AGGGATGGACGGGAGAAACATGAGAGTAAAGAGGGGTTGGAGCACTAAGGTGTTCCGGAACATAAACTCTCATAAATGATGGAAGCAACACGCATGTGATAGTCTAGTAGTCTCGTACATTCATCAAAGGGTTCACGTTTTTGACACTTGCTCCAGCCATCGGTCCAAGCCACCCAAAGAAAACTACTCGCGGCGCGATGCCATTCTCAGCAATGTGTTCAAATTGTTCGAAGGGATTTCCAGATTACTACTGGCTGCTCAAGCCACCGCATCCTGCAGCCGTCGCTTTTTCGATCAACTGAGGCTAGCGCAGCTGGAAGGGATACGTAAGCTCCGGCAGCCTTCTCCCGCTCTTCGTCAGAGACATCGGCCTGGTAATGTCACCTTTACCAGACAGCCAGGTAGTCCAGAATCCAGATGCCGCCGACCAAATTTGAGGCATCATCAGACAGGGTCATAATGCACAATCTGAATGGGGTGATCATACTGGTGAAGGGCGTGGAGTGGAGCGGAATAATCTTCGACACCTTCAACGCAGACACATAATGGTGACGGATACGAAGCTGCCCCTCGTGGCTCGTGCACTCCATCAAGTCCGTACAGGTCAATCAACTTGTTGCGCGTGTGTCATCCGGTACTCTTTGTCGAGTCCGACATGAACAAGCCTTCTCGAAACGAAGCCTCTGCTGGGACCCGATCATGATCGTCCATGTGTGGCTGTATCACCGCATGTGGGCTGCTGACGCTTGGCTTGGGGTCTATGCCCCGTTCAATCCACGGATTTGGTGTCTCGCACCACAGGGGCCGATAACAGAATTAGGAATGGCTTACGAGTACGAAAGATGTTGCCCAGGTCGGCTGGGCACCACAACCCTGTTTGGGTCGGTCACTGGAACTCGAGCAAGCGTCGTAATCTGCATTCAACACGGTAGAGCAGGCGCTATGGGCCAAATTTCAATATGTGTCCAATTGAGAGCGGACTAAATCCTCGTTTATATCGTGCGTTCAAGCGCCGTGGCCGCAATCGCGTGACGTGTCGGCCGAATGTGAAGACTGAGCCGTGATGGACGACCTGTCGATTCTTGTTCCTTTGGACGGGAGAGTTGGACTCATTGCAAGCGCCTGGAGCAACTGTTGAATCACGGTGGAAATCCCATTTCTAGTCCAATCATGTCATTCTCCGCTCACCGGTCTGGTCCAGGCTCGACGTGGATGAAGTCATGAACAGCTCGTGAGGCCAATCATTCGTGGTGTTTTTACTCTGTGCTTCTCGGAAAGGATCAATCATATCAAGACGATAACGGCCAGCAGGTATAGGTTCCGTGAAAGGCCGCAAGGCATCGGGTTTGACGTTGATAATCTGATCAAGACGACGATCTCGAATGGTCCTCACTCGAGCCGAGCGGGTCATTGCAAGCACGCACGTATGCGCATAATCACATACTGTGCAACGTCGGCTCCGCGATATGCAGCTGTTCTGACACAACCACCAATTTTCGGGTAAACCACGGCTTCTTCATTGATGGAGACACACAGGGGGAGCAATCAGGATTCATCCTGTTTCGGGGCATTGAGCAACTTGGATGTTCAGTGGTCCACAGACCACATGGAAGATGGCGTCGAGCTCAAGACATACCTGGCCCTTTGAACGCGCCAGGCGTAGCATCATCACTTACGTATGTCCTACTCAGTACTCGCAAGCAAGACCGTTCTAGTGCGCGATGTGCAGTCCGCCAAAAGTCGAGCCACGTGTAATAGCGGGACGATCCTTTTTCTCCATCTGATAACGCGTCTCCCCAAAGATGAAAAGGCTAGGTTTCCGTCTTGACCTTTAGCCTCACCTTGACCTATGACCTATCCACATTGGGAAGGATAAGAGGGGCATGTATTTTTCCTTGGAGTGCGGATTGGGTGGTGGATAATATCTTCTCCGGGTCAATCAGGTTCCAGTGCGGTGGAAGCTCAATCAATCTTTGTGCCGAGTCGCCGACTAGTCGGGCGGTTCCACACGTTGAATCAGTCCAGGGTCCGTAGAGTCCACGAGTACCATGGCAGCCTGGCGAGTTACGTGAAACCAACAAATGCCCAGGGAGTCAGGTCAGGGATAGTGGTTATGGTAAATGCACAACCAAAGAGAATCGATTGTTTCGTGTCTAGGCAGCGACAAGTGTCACAGCAAAAGTATGCTGCCACCCGAGGTAGTGAGTGTATATCCCCATTCTCAATCTTGAACTCGAAGGGGGGGGGAGTAGGCTGCCAAAACTCGATCTTTTCCAGGGTCTCAGCCTCTTTGATATCGGAAAGTGACACTCCGTTGGTGTTTCGTGGTCAGCGATCTCCTGTTTAGTCTTTGACAGGCGGTGGCTGAGACCACGGTACAGGAATGAACGATATCAAAATTCAAGTCTGGTTGTCAAATCAGGCCCCATAATGCGGCATACTTCCGCAGCAAGTGGAGAGGATGACCAAACAACCACGCTTGGATCGGATGAGCCGAAGCCCTAGTCGTATTGGTAATCAGGTCTTTGCATCACGAAATCATGCCATCTACCTTCATTTGGACCCTGTGGCATGCGCAATCTCGACCAGGGATCGGCAATTCCACAGAGAAACAGAGACGGCTGTGCCCGTCAGGGGTGTATCTGTACGGTCCGGATCCATCGGCGACCGTCGAGGCTGAGAGTTGAGAGCACGATTGGCAGCTCGGCATGGGAACCTCCGAGCGTCCGTGGCAGCGAGACTGTAAAACTGTACAACTGCAAACACAAGGGGTCCACTTCCAGGGTGGTTTGAGCATAAAATAATCTGATGGCTCTCAGTTCCGCCATCGAGCCCAGGTGGAACCGTGGAAGACTAGAAATGACCACGGCTGTGGTACTGTACGGTAAAATACGATCCCCAAGTCTGGTCGGACCTTAGGCGGGGCGCTGGCGGCTTGCGTTGTTGACGACTCGGACGTCGTGTCAGTGTCATCCATCGTTTCGACAGTACCGTAATTCCATGAAAGAGTGGAACACTAACATTGACAGTCAGTGTCGAACGTGAACCTCCATTGCGCTACGAAAGTCTAATGGTGCGCAAGGACCCAGATACCTTTCCCCGATCATCCACTCTGTGCCCTTGAAAGTTCAGGGTCGTCGTAGTGTATGTCCGTCTTGGAGCCAATTCGACGTACTCCTGAATCTAACCCTGACGCCATGCGCCAGATTAGGGGTTATTGAAGGAATTCGAAAACTGTCCCTTTTCTGTTCCCCCTCCACGGGCCTCTCAACACCGAATCTTCGGCTCGTTGGGAAGATCACACCTGGAGGATGATCCAGCCACTGCACCTGTAGATTCTCTTGATTCGGCTGGAGACGTGACGACCACGTCGTTTGTCAGTGCTCCATCTCATCTTCCCAGACCCTCCAGCCAGACGGTCTCAGACGAGCATGATCCTGCATTCCTAGTATGCTGACTTTAAGCAACGCTAAAGATGCAAGTTAGATCAACACACTTCCGGACCTTCGTCGAACTGAGGGATTCTCGATGGTTTTACCAATCGCCCTCGCTCATCCAGGCTCCACCTGAGAAAAGTGGCACGTCCGCTAGTCCACGGGCGTATCCACGGAGGGGGAATACGTACGACCCTCTGGTCCTCTGGCCCTACAGTTCGAGCTTTTTTCACCACAGCAGCCTCGCCTGGATGAGACCCGACGGCGGAGAGACCCTGGAAGCTTGGCCTATCCGGGCGGTGCTGCGTAAGTCCCTGGAAATGTGGATGTGTTCCAGAATCGGAGCTGGCTGAGGTACTCGTCACCCTGCTCCTGCTATCGGCTATCCTCTGCAGTCGTTTCTGCAACTATTCTTGGGAACCTTCCGTGGCCTAAATCTCATTTGCTTTCTCATTTGACTTTTATCATCAGGACTTTCCTGCAGTTGTTGCAGAGTCGGCATCTTTTTTGAGCAGGCTTCAGATTTATCATTTCGTCTCTCCCCTCCCCCCACCCATCTCTCTTTCTACCCCCCTCCTCCTCTCACAACATCACTCACTGCACAGTTCCCGCCTTTTCGGCGAAACTCCGTGGTCTTATCAAACGGCTCTTTGAAGCTCTGAGGCTTGTTGGCAATTCAAAAGCAAGACAGCTCTTCCAAAAAGACTGCAAGATAACCTGGGTTCTTCATTCCGTTTGATCTCGACTTTGAGATTCCGTTCATTACCAACAGAACACAAAAAACCTGGACGTTATCGTCTTGGATCAACGAAACTTAATTTGGCCATTCAGTCATCAGCAGGGACGCTTGACTCTGAACATTGCAAAACCTCACCTTGATCTCGCTCTGCGCACCTCGGCGGGAGCTCTTGCAGTCTGTTTTGAAATTGTATACCGCAACTGCTTTCTTGCAAGCGAAACTTTGACAGCCCGCACGCGAATCAAGAATTCTGCCCCAAGCTAGCTGCTTCAACCACAAACCGAGGAGATCAACCACGGAGAAAAGAAATCTGTAAGGTTTTTGACTTTCCGAACCAGCCAGCCCTCTCACGCTCAGCAAAGCTGGTCTTCTCCCGGGTTGCAAAGACTCAAAGTCACTCCCGGTACCATTCCAACGGTCCTGGACGAGTCGGGAGGACACTGCTCGGCCCGTTTGACACGGGCCCTTGGAAGGGTTGCAGTCAAGTGTCGATTCAGGGTTTAATGTTGTCAACTTGCTATACGACGTGCGCGACAAGCATCTTCCGAGAGCCGCTGGTATGTCTTGGTCCACACCCTTGGGAGATGGAATGGTCCCTGTCATTGCTCTGTATGCCCTAGCCATTGGTCTTTCGGTCACTCCTTGGTCAATTGTGTTCCCCCGCAGAGGAATCGACGATGGCGACAAGAAGGTCCTTGAGATTTGTTGCTATGGCTGTATACCAGCTGGCCGAGAGGGAGACGAGACGGATCGCGTGCTGACCAGGGGGACTCCTCAATTCTTAGGGCGGCTTTACTTCTCTGACCTCGTCGTATTGTGACAGTAAGATGTCAGGTGACACGCCGATCTCCAGTATTGTGTCCATCTTGAATAACGACGATCATCCATCTTTTGCTGTTCGGTCGAATCAGAACCCAAATCAGACACAGACCAGCCATTCACCGCAAAGTCAGAGCCAATACCAACAAGTGACGACTCAACTACCTCCGCCTTTCTGCGAGCCTCAATATGCTCGCCAGTACACAGCATCTCAATCTCCCAACACATCACCGCGGGGCAGACAGCGCTCCTCGGGATATCCTACGGAAGCGCCGCAGGTGACCTCTCCTGGGTCGTCGGACGGCTCTTCCTACGGGTATTTAAGCAGCCAAGGTTCCTCCAAAGCCTATCACCCTTATGCCCGACAGGAGGCCCAACAGGGGACCTTCACTTACATCTCCCGGGGCCCTGCTGCCCCACGCACACCACCAGAAGTCCCCATCAACCAGGACCCCGAGACGAAAAGCCCCAGATCCCAATCTGTGTCCTCTCGGGGATTGGGCCGCAAGAGCAAATATCCCTGTCCATACGCACGAAGTCATGGCTGCACGGCCACATTCACGACGTCGGGTCACGCTGCTCGCCACGGTAAAAAGCACACGGGGGAGAAGAGCGTTCACTGCCCGATCTGCAACAAAGCCTTTACGCGCAAGGATAACATGAAGCAACACATCCGCACCCATCGAACTCGCTCGAATGATAAACCCTCCGCGTCGGCCGAGACGGACGCTGATTCTCCGTGGGCCGAACCCCATTCCGACGCCAACGAGCCGGCTGTACATCTCAGTCGTTCAACGAGTCGCTCGACGGTCGCCAGTACCATCACACCTTCATCGATCACTGGGCCACAATCTTCCCTCATGAAAGATGACAGATGAAGTCAACCATGGCCGTTGTGTCTGATTCCCTTTCCCGGGGTGGGGGAATGTCATCATTACTTGAGGTGATTGGTGGAACTACTTAACGCTGTCAGGGGCACCGCCCTCCAACTATATGTTGGGTCCAACCGATGCACACGTGGCCCCCTTGACTTCAGATCCCGTGGTTGTGACCATCATCGTATCTTGAGGCTAGAATCCAGCAGTCCTGCGCGGTCAGAAGCCAGTTGTCTCAGGGAGTCTCGAGACAAAACTCCCAGTCTGGGGACACTGGACCAAGACAGGGGACTAACGTAATCGTTGGTATGACTTGGAAGAAAAGTCATCGACATCATTAATCCCCTGGGATGTGTACAACTGTACACTACACAAAACGCGTTGCTTGACTTTCCAAGTGGCGCACCCTCACAGCTGACGTGCTCAGATTTACATTTGTACTATATATCTCTGCTGTCTGTGACACATTCCAGATTGTACGATCCAAGCGAGCGTTTCTTTTCCTGCACAGCCCTTGTTCCATCGCGTCTAATCGAGACCGGATTGATCCCGATTGGAGTGTTGCCGTCACTACCTGTACCCAGAACTGTAAAGTGTACCTTGAGCACAACCGTGACTGGTCCCCCTACCTTAGTACATAATACATAGTACATACTATGGAGTACGGAGTATGGACACACCACACAGTAGAAAAAGCACAACCAACACCCCCATGAACCCTCCTTCGGTAACCTCATCGCAGGTAGGTAAGGTACACCCAGAAACAGAGATCGGCTACCTAATCTCCAGGATGACGAGTCACGACAAGCTGTACAGTGTACATTCAGACTAAGAGTAAGCACTAAGCACTAAGCACCGAAGCCGATCCTCAGGTTCGGCAGCTAAACACAGGTGGAGCGATTCTCCCACCCCTCGTCAAATGGACCGGTACCTCCCGTCGGTCTGGGACCTTGGGTGGCCTCGAGCTTTTTACAAGACGAATCTGCGATGGTGGACTGGTGGATCGTGAGCTGGATGAGGTGTACTCTGGTACTCTCTTGTCATTACATCCTAGCACCACTTGTAGCTGGTAGGAGTAGTAGGAGTAGGAGTAGGAGTAGGAGTAGGAGTAGGAGTAGGAGTAGTAGTAGTAGTAGTAGTAGTAGTAGTAGTAGTAGTAGTAGTAGTAGTAGTAGTAGTAGTAGTAGTAGTAGTAGTAGTAGTAGTAGTAGTAGTAGTAGTAGTAGTAGTAGTAGTAGTAGTAGTAGTAGTAGTAGTAGTAGTAGTAGTAGTAGTAGTACCAGTAGTAGTAGGTTAGACTAAGCATGGACAGTCCGTCTGTGGCTTTGTGCAGGCGGCTATTTGGCCGCGGCAAAGGAGCGTCCCCGAACGAAGCCGTCCGAGTGGACGGGAAGGAGTCCTTCCTCTAAGGCCTTAGCAGCTGGCCTGAAGTTGAGGTGCCCTGCGCGCGTTCGTGACAGAGAGTCCCGGTCTAGGTCCAGGTCCGAGTCCAGGATGGACGATTGGAAGCTCATCGCATGCTACTTTCATGACTGAGCTGAGAGTCCGCTCAAAGCAATGGACTCAAGATTGTATGTGCACATTACGGTGGAAAAGGTACGAGGGTGCCCCTGTTGACTGGTGTGTACCAGAAATCGGGGCTGAGTCCGCCATCGACCCTGGATTAATGGGCGAGGGTCTCTTGTTCTGACTCGTAGTACTCCTCTATAACTACAGGAGTCCTCATCGACAGTGAGTAAGGCAGGTAGAGTACGTGACTACGTGGTGACATGTCGGATGTGTTGTCGGAATTGACCGATCGGTCTGACCTCGCAGGATTCTGTCACTGGGGAAAACAATACCACAAAAACAACCCAAAAGTGGCTGGCATGGCTCTGGGCGGTCGGATTCTATGGATCATCTGGAATTTCCCCCTCTCCCGTGGTCCACGTGTCCTTCGCCACCGGATGCTTGATTGTTGGGGACCCGCGACCGAGAGTGGGATGATGTCTCTCGCCTCTGGTTGACTGCCCAGCCACGGGCTCAGCCGAACGTGGGCCCATGGAACCATTGTTTACTGTGGACTTTGGAGAACTAACTTACCGGTTGCCTACTACGATGGAGTATGGACTATGGAGTATGAACATTGACGGCGGTGGCACTGATAGTCTATGTCACTGTGTATCATAACACTCATGAGATCAAGACATTGGAAGGTATTACTGGACAAGCCTCGATCGACCCGGAATGATGTCTCTTGTCTCGGGGGATAAGGGGAACAGGGCAAAGAAATCAATGATCATGAAGCATCATACAAGCGGTCAAAAACAGGGGCAATCCATGGAGAAAGGCAGACGGGCATTTGCCGCCGTAGTCACCGAGCCAGGATGGATGCTGTGAGTGGAGCGCGGTCATGGTCAACATATGAACATCGTCAGCGACTCAACGCTCTCGGGGTCGAACTATAAAACAGAAGGCAGGTCTGGATGCAACATGACGTCTGGTGCGCTTAGCGGCTCGAGCCCCCTTCCCGAGTGAGTGGAAGAGAGAGAAGATCGAAAAGCAGCAGGGCCATGTCTGTACTATGTAGTACTACCGTCGTAGCCGTAGGACGACGACTGCTGCACTGGGTAGTGGGTACTTGATCACTTACGCTGGTTGCACATCAACCTGGAGCCATGGACCATTGAACACAGGGAGTTCAGTCCTAGACCTTCTTCACTTGCACCTCTCTCTTTTCTCTCTCTCTCTCTCTCTCACAGGGAAAGTGGTGGAGCCAGTCATCCACGCCGTGGGACCCGGACTGACATCCTCAAGAACGCAACTGGACATTTTCAAACTCTCGAATCGATTGCACATCCACATTTAGTCGACGGGTCCGCGTCACTCGCAAGTCCTCCCCTCTTTCGTTTCCCCCCGGCATTCCCCTTGCCGACACGCACTCGGGGGGGGGGAGTTCTGGTCTTTCATGAACTGCATGGAACCCACCACGTCATTATGGATGCCCAAGTCTAGACCAATTCTGCTAGGAGAGACAGACACAGAGAGAGAGAGAGAGAGAGAGAGAGAGAGAGAGAGAGAGAGAGAGAGAGAGAGCATAGAAAGCGACCACAGGAGGTCAGAGACCCTCCTTCATATAGAGCACCTTGTAGCCGGTGCATTCGTTCCCCTTCTTCCCCGGCTCTCTTTCTCAGTAGAAAAGAATCCCCCAAAAACATACCCCCCCTCTGGATGGATGATGAGAAAAAAAAAAGTCCCATAAGCAAACCAGACGGGTAACCCATTTGACCACCTCTGTACTCCCTACGACGATTCTCTTCCCTCACGCTCTTCTCGCCATCGTCCCGGGCTGTCGCTGCCAAGTTGCTCTCAGCCCTCCCCCCCCTGCTACTAACCTCAACCTCAAGAACCTCTCAGAGCTGTCGCTGCCGAGGGGAACCTTTCTGTGCCTGAGACCATGACAAGGTCTGACTTCATCTTTGAACGGTTGTCTAGATTCTCTTGAGCTCTCTGCTCTCTGCTCTCTGCTCTCTGCTCTCTTGCGCTCTGCTCTCCTGACCTGCATCCCGTGTCTGCTGCCGCCGTCTCCAGTCCACCCTCTTGTACCCCGTGCCCCGTGCCCAACGACGTCACGCCACCATCGCCCCGCCTCAGCGTCGACCATCTTCTCACAAAACGATCGCCATCTCGGTCTCGCTTCTCCCCTCCATTCACACATCTTTGTCCCAGTGAACGGTAGCAAGTTCACCTCAGATCGCCCCCTTTTTCTTTTTCGTGCAACCTCATCGTGATTCCCCAAGTCCATTCTCTCGGCTCGATAAATCGCTTCTTTTTTTTGTGGCGGTCGAGGTCCATTTTCTCCAGCCCCCACATTTTCTGCTCCCAGCATGGCATACTACGACGAGCGTCGCAGTTATGCGCCGCCGCGCAACGATCGCGGCTATGCCACAGAGTACTACGAGGAACACCCCCGTGCAGGCTATGCCAGATATGAGCGCGAAGTGCGTCCGCACAGAGGAAGCCAAGATTCAGTTGAAGAAATCCAACGTGATTATCCTCCGGGCTCGGAGTACGTGTACGAGCGAGGCTATGATGCCCGGCGTCCCGCTCGTCCTACATATGAGAACGTCCGCCGCGCTTCCTCGGTGGGAGGAGGCTATGACCCCTATGCTGGAGATGGCTACTATCATCGGACCCGACGAACCAAGTATTACGATGACCACCGTAAGTGTGAAGCCACTTCGGCGCGTCTCGATGGGAGAAGTTTTAGAAGGTGCTGACTCCGCCAAAATGCAGACTCCCGTCGCTCCAGATACGCCTCGACATCTTCATCCAGTCCATCTCCGCCTCCGCGAAGACGTCGCAAGTCATTTGGCGAAACGGCCCTTGGCGCCCTAGGCTTGGAATCTGTCGTCTCCAAAAGCTCAGACCGCACAGATCGCCGTCGTGGTCGCTCGTCCTCGCGCTATCGTGGCCGTGGCCGTGGCCGTGACTACTCGTCGTCTCCCAGTCGCAGCCGGAGCCGGAGTCGTCGTCGTCGTGATGGCAGAGATCGCGCCAAAAGCCAAGACAAAATGATGCAGGCTGCCCGCGCCGCTCTGACAGCCGGCGCCGTGGAAGCCTTCAAATCCCGAAAGGATCCCGGCCCCTGGACCGGTGCCAAGGGCAAGCGTATCCTGACGGCCGCAATTACCGCAGCCGGTACCGACGGCCTCTTGGACAAGGACCCCAAAAAGCACTCCAACCTCCACGTCATCGAATCCACGATCGCAGGTCTCGCTGCCGGCCATCTGGTCGGAGGGCCCAAGGGTCGCGATGGTCGAGGTCGCAGCCGCTCCGGAGGTGGACTCAAGGATCTGGCTGCCACCGGCGCCCTCGCCGCGGCCGGCAAAGAGATCTTTGATCGTGTCTCACGTTCACGCTCTCGACGTCGCGACCGCGAAGACCGCGGCCGTAGTCACAGTCGGGACAGCGGAGACGACGAGCGCCGGGGCTCCAAGAAGCGCAGCAAGAGTGTGTCCGACTACATCAACAAGGGCATGGCCGCGTTGGGACTGGGAGAAGAGGCTTCGGAACATGATCGTCGCGACCGTAGCCGTGAGAGAGATGATGGGCACGACCGAAGACGGGAGCGACGTCGTCACCGGGACCGGGACTCGCGATACGACTCGTATTCCGACTCCGACGCAGATACCGATTACCGCAGCAGAGATTACAGACGAGGCAGAGGCTCGAGAGATGTAGGTCGTTATCGCTCTGCAAATGGCAGCAGAGCACCCCCTCCACGATCCGCAGGTGCCTCTCGTGGAGAAAGAGGCCCCGGATCTTCTACCCGGCGATCCAGCTCCAGCTCTGAGAGTAGTTCTGACTTAGGTGACAGTGACAATGAGAGAAAACAGAGCAAGAAGATGAAGCGGGACCTGTTGTTGACATCCGGGCTGGCCACTGTGGCCACCATTCATGCCGCCCACAGCGCCTACACGTCCGTGGAGAAACGCAAGAAACGCATGGAACAGGTCAAGGCCGGCGAAATCACCGCGGACGAAGCTCGCAAACGCCGGATGAAGGCCAACACGGTCGACGCCGTCAGTATCGGCCTCGCAGCTCTGGGGATCAAGGGAGCGTACTCGGAGTGGAAGGAGGCCAATGAAAAACGCAAGGAAACCCGACACTTCCAGGAGGAATGCGCCGAGCGAAGAATCAAACGTGAGATGCGTCGCAGCCGTAGTCAAGGACACGGTGCTTATCATCGCCGTCGATGGCCCGACGAAATTGAGTATCCCACCGACGCTCACTCCACCCGTGGCACTGGGGTGGCTTATCATGACGGAAATCCCTACGCTGCAACGGCGGCCCCGGCGATTGCCAACTAGCCCGAGATTGAGCCTGTGAGGTGTTCTTCGGCATGGTTTTTCGGGTGTGCTTTGTTTCGCTTTTTGGCTTAGGAGTTTGTGTTTCCCACCCCCCTTGTTTGTTTTGGATTTCTTGTTTGTCTTATGATTCTACGACTATTGATGACCTATGACTCCATACTACCTTCTTATCGGCGGAGAGTGTCTCTCAACTTTGTGACCTGCAATTGGACTCATTTTATTGACACGCTTGATTATCCATCCTTTTGTTTCGTTCGAGAATTAAAGTGGTGCGACTGGAAGCCTGAGAAAAACTCGCAGCTGGTTTGCTATCTGGTCAAGTAGTTGCGTCTCACCAGAGTCTTTGTTTTTCCGATACTAGCATGCTTGCACGCCAGTCTGCCTTCGCCTTTGCCCAACCGGTCCCTCCAAACAATTACCTTTCTGGCATGCGTTGAGACCCGTTGTTCGAGGTGCATATGACTAGAAAATGTGCCCTTCCACATCCGAGGAAGGACGGGTGCTCAATGGCCTGAACAGTGACCGCCTGTTCGGCAGGTCCCCTTATCGTACCCCGCCGACCCCTCTGTTGATGGGCACTGCAAGTGCACCTGGGCGGCCCTGAGTTGACTACCTTACCTAAGCTCCCAAGGTACCTCAAGACTCAAGTACCACTGACTGGAGTACCTCTCCACACAGCCCAATATGGACAGGTACATTCACTCCCGTCAGCGTGGCCAGAGGTCCCCACCGATCCACGCTCCACCAGTCAGCGGTTGTACTGCTGCAGCGTGAGGAGTCGAAGGACTGGACCTGAAGTGTGGTGGGAAAAGGCGGTAGGTGGGGCTATAGACTTTTCCCCTCTTCATTCAAAGATCTGTCTTTCCCTCCTTTTCTTTTTCTTCTTTCTTCATCCCTCTCTATACCCCATTCTTTTCTGGTAAGATACGCTTCGAGTCTGCTTGCTGACCGACGTTATTGACTGATTCTTTGGTTGCCAGTTTTCTCTCATCCCATCCTTCACAATGGCTGCCCCCGCTCAGAAGTTCAAGGTTGCTGACATCGTATGTATTCTGTTTACCCTTGTCCCCCTCCAAACTGATCATCATCATCAGTGGGAGGAAATAAGTGCTGACAATGGACATCATCTCTAGTCCCTGGCCGCCTTCGGTCGCCGGGAGATTGAGCTCTCCGAGGTCGAGATGCCCGGTCTCATGGCCATCCGTGAGAAGTACGGTGCCGATCAGCCCCTCCAGGGTGCTCGTATCGCTGGTTGTCTGCACATGAGTATGTTTCTTGAGACCGGTGGCAACGTTTGAAAGCCTGCCCTAATATCCTGAATAGCCATCCAGACCGCTGTCCTCATCGAGACTCTCACTGCCCTCGGTGCCGAGGTCACCTGGACTTCCTGCAACATCTTCTCCACCCAGGATCACGCCGCCGCCGCCATTGCCGCTGCCGGTGTCCCTGTGTAAGTCAATTTTTTTTTCTAATTCTCTCAAAACCCGCTTGGAGCCAGGACGTCGCGCTTATGGTTATCTTTGTCACAGCTTCGCCTGGAAGGGTGAGACCGAGGAGGAGTACCAGTGGTGCCTTGAGCAGCAGCTGTTCGCCTTCAAGGACAACAAGAAGCTCAACCTCATCCTCGATGACGGTGGTGATCTCACCTCCCTCGTCCACACCAAGTACCCCGAGATGCTCGACGACTGCTTCGGTGTCTCCGAGGAGACCACCACTGGTGTCCACCACCTGTACAAGATGCTGAAGGAGGGTAAGCTGAAGGTCCCCGCCATCAACGTCAACGACTGTGTGACCAAGTCCAAGTTCGACAACCTGTACGGTTGCCGTGAGTCCCTCATCGATGGTATCAAGCGTGCCACCGATGTCATGATCGCGGGTAAGATCGCCGTCGTTGCCGGTTACGGTGATGTCGGTAAGGGTTGTGCCCAGGCTCTCCACTCCATGGGTGCCCGTGTCCTCGTCACTGAGGTCGACCCTATCAACGCCCTCCAGGCTGCTGTCCAGGGTTTCCAGGTCACCACTATGGAGGAGGCTGCCCCCATTGGTCAGATCTTCGTTACCACCACTGGCTGCCGTGACATCCTCGTTGGTCGCCACTTCGAGGCCATGCGCAACGACGCCATTGTTTGCAACATTGGTCACTTCGATATCGAGATCGACGTTGCCTGGCTCAAGGCCAACGCTCAGTCCGTCCAGAACATCAAGCCCCAGGTGGATCGCTACCTCCTGAACGGCAAGCACATCATTCTGCTCGCTGAGGGACGTCTTGTCAACCTCGGCTGTGCCACTGGTCACTCTTCCTTCGTCATGTCCTGCTCCTTCTCCAACCAGGTTCTTGCCCAGATTGCTCTGTTCAAGGCCTCCGATGTTGCCTTCGGCAATAAGTACGTTGAGTTCGAGTCTGCTGGCAAGAAGCCCGTTGGCGTCTACGTCCTGCCCAAGCAGCTCGACGAGCAGGTTGCTCGTTGCCACTTGGAGCACGTCAACGCCAAGTTGACCGAGCTCACCCCTGTCCAGGCTGAGTACCTCAGCCTCGACGTCAACGGCCCCTACAAGAGCGAGATGTATGTTGATATCCCCCGCCCTTCTCACCCTTTCCGTCTTTCCCGTTTCCCAGTGGATTCCTACCGCAGTTTCACTCTTTCTAAAATTGACTTGTTGCTAACGCCCTTTGCAGCTACCGTTACTAAACAACCACTCATTTCTCTTTACTTCCTTCCCCAATTGCGTCCGATATCCCATGATACTTTTCTTGAGAAATAGACTTTCAACATGATTCGACGATTTTATGATTGGCATTTCGCGGGTTCTTCATCAACTTCGAACCGCAAAAGTGGTTGTCCTTCAACGGCATAAAAGGTGGTCTCCACACCCCGGGATATGTGGAGCAGGTGTGTTTGATGTGTCTTTTGTTTCACTGGCGCCGGTTGACCTGGAAATGGTCTTGCATTCAACACTGCGTACTGGATGGGAATTTCTATTGTCTACTCTTTTGTTACTTGATACCACTACATAGTTTGGCCGATTTGGACCTGAGACTGTGAGTCTTGCTAGGGATCTTTTGATGTCCATGTGAACTTGCAGCTCTGACTGGAACGGCTTTACACAATATCATGACGCTGAGCGCATGATTTGCTTTGCATGATCTTAGTATCCTTCGTGACGCGTGGCTGTAGTTGGAAAAAATGGTCGACGGAGAGTCGTCGGGTCACGGTGGAACAAACCACTTCGTTCTTTTAGTTTGTATTTTGATCTTGGCTGATCAACTCACAGAGCAGATCGGCCGCTGCCGTGGCAAAGCCGGGGTCATTGATGGCCCGCTCATCCCGGATGATGGCGATCTCACTGGCTCGTAACTCGTCCTCCAGAGTCGCAAACAGAGCATTATCCGCGTCCGGATCCCAAAACGGTTGACCAGGGGTATCCAAAAAACTCAGGCCCCCAAGCGGCAAAATCACCTTTGTCCGACAATCCTGCTCCCAGCCCGCATTTCCCTCGAGCAAATTCGTCGCAATGACCTTTGCAATCCTCGCACACTCCTCACCCGTCGTGCGCATCAGCGTCACCGTCGCGTTATGTCGATGAAAGACTCTTTTCTGCTGCGCGCCACCGGATCCCTCTGCGTCGGCCCCCGCAGCGGTAAATATGGGTGGAATCGAATCCGGCGTGCCAAAATTCACCATGTCGCATGCTCCAACGCTCAGCACCCGAGGGATGTTCCGCTTCGTAGCAGCGCATAGACGGGACGGGCCGGCGCTGAGAACACCGCCGACGACCTCGTCGGCGATCTCGGTGGTGGTGAGGTCGAGGACGGCGTCAAGTTGGGATTCTCGGATGAGGCGTTCCATGGCTTTGCCGCCGGAGCCGGTGGCGTGGAAGACGTAGATTTCGCACGAGGGGAGGTTGGATTCGAGTCGTTTGCGGGCGGTGGTTGCGGCGGGAGTGGTCACGCCGAACATGGTGATGCCGATGCGGATGGGGTTGGAGGTGTTGTTGTTTTTGTTGTTGTCGGTTATAGTTTCTTGTGTCTGGGTTGATGGTTGTGGTTGATGTCTTTGAGGCTGTGGTTGTGGTTGTGGTTCTGCTTGATGCGTTGATTCTGATGATGTTGATGAATCCTTTGTTGCATCTGGGACTGTTCGCCCTTGACTCTGTGCTTGAGCAGCCGTCGTAGCCTTCGTCTCTGGAACAACAACATCTTCAAAGTAAACCTTGGCCATTCCCGCAATCGCACCCGCAGCATTACTCAACACTCTCTCCAGCAAGCGATTCCGCCCCGCGATGTCTACGACACTATACATCATCGTCACATCCGTCTCGCCAACATACGGCCCAACATCGCCCGACGCCATCGTCGAGACCATCAACTTGGGAACGCCCACGGGTAACGCGTCACGCATGACCTGCGTAGCCAGCGCCGTCCCGCACGATCCTCCAATTCCTATGACCGCATGGACTTTATGCTCGGCGAACAAGTCCGCGACAAAGGCACTGGCGTAGAAGGCAAGAGTATCGATGTACTCTGATCGATTGAGAGAGTTGATCTCGACGGTGGGGCGTTTGCGTGATGTGAAGTGGGAACTGTAGATGTCCGGGGTAAAGGTGATGTTGGGGTCAATGGGGATGATGGGGTTGCGGCCGATGTCCATGATTTGAACGGTGCAGGGTGAGCGGGTTTCAATTTGGGATTTAGTGTAGAGGAGTTCTGGCAGTTTGGTATCGCATGTGCCTAGAAGGAGGACGGTGGGTGTGGTTGGGGGTGGCATTTTGTTGGAGGGGTTTGAAGTTAACCTGAAGAATGGTGTTAGATATCCGGTCAATTCACACCATATCTACTAAACAGATGATGAGGTCAACACTTGTGGTCGCCTTGCTCGCTTTTTACTCTCTTCCTCCGGAGTATTTTTATGGAGGAGGGGGAAGGGGGGAGCAGCACATCTTATAGATGCGAAAGTGAGCGGGGAGGAGAATAACAGGGCCCGTTGGACATAAGTGGCCGCTAGACCAACACACGGAGCTACTTAGGTCAAGCCCACTCAATAGTAAACTGGGAGAGACTCGAGCACACATACTTTGCGGGAAGTTGACCAGCCATTGAAATCTCCAATTGTCGACGGAGACGCATTCGTTCACGATGGCGTGCCATTTTCACCGGATCGTCGTGTCGCAGAACGATTCCTAAATCTTTTCGTATCCTTCGTAACGTGGTGTCAGAAATCGTCACACCTTCCTCGGCAAGGATCTGGAGGATCTTCTATACCAGATCGCGGTAGAACATGGATCAGCAACTTGCCCACCGCGAATCCACAATATAGTCCATTATTGAATGATTGTCGCAAACTGCAATACAGACCTTAGTTGAGAACTTGTCCTCGCAGACAAGTTTCCTGACTCGTTCGCGGAGCGCATCATCGCGAATAGCCCCCTGGCCACCGCGAGTTTCTACCCCCCAGTCATCGATCCGTCGACGGAGGGTTTTGACGGTGATGGAGATTCCGTGTTGGTCCTGCAGGATGTTGCATATTTCCTGAACTGGCGTCTTCCTGGCACAGAGTTGGAGAAGCTGATCTTTGTGTGCGTCTAAATTGATGAATGGAGCCATCGTGCTGGCTGCTCCTGGAGTTTGTCACTCTTGTGTATTCGCAGTTGCGCGGTGATTGATATAGTTCGGTTGGAGTCGGGGGGTCGAGACTCGAGACGATCGCTGCGACCGCGGAAATCGGGAAATCGGGACCCGCCAAAAGTGACTTGAGTGCCACAGCGGTCAGTGAGGTACAGTTACGTCAGCAGTCAGCACAGTGTCTCCCCGGCCGCGGCCCTGACTCGGAGTATTTTAGTAACTACAACTAGTACAAAGTACAAACCTCAGCATGCTTAGTAGCTGAGGTCTTCAACTCACCTCCACCTCAGCCTCTCCGATGTCCGATTGCTGAATATTCAGCTGAGTCCCTAGAGACGGATAGACGGGGTATGATAGTCCTCAAATCCCTACACGCGCCCTTCCTTCATGGATTACTCAATCTCGCTAGAATGGTTGATTGATAACTTTTTCCCATCGCTCATGGATCTTTCCACAGGTTGGTAGGTGGAAACATCAGTAGTGAGTAGACGGCTTCCATACTTCCATCCCGGGACATTTTATGAGATCATTAGGTTGATCTGACTCAACGTACACCTTCTGTGTATGATCCACGGTCGACCGCCGTGATATAGCTATCTACTCTGCACGATTAGATCCTTTACCTTGGCCCGGTTTCGGAATCAACTCCAGCTCCATGAAATGAGCATTCACCAGATATGTCAAGATCTGTGTACATGGAGTCGTGAAACAGGTGCTGGCGGTCAATCTGGTGTTTCCTCACACTATATGTGAACTTCCATGTCTTATTAAGGATCGATGGACAAGCCTGTGACCTCTGTCAACTTAAGCATCCATGGTCTCGATTCTCCACCGATGTCTATAATCGGAGCCTGAGGCAGAAAACGACCATTGCTAGGCGCGGACTAGTGTGTTCCACCCATTCTCCTTGATGTCATCCAATAATTTCCAATTTCAGCAGTCCACTACACCTTGCATCAGACCTTGACGACTATGATCGCAATTGATTGGGATAATATCTGCTTTAATGCTGCGACCCTGATCGCAGGAGTGTTCGTTCTCGATTATGGAGCTGACAAATTCCTCGACCACACCGTGATTGTCGGCCACCGGCTTGGCATTTCCCCAACTTTGATTGCTCTGTTGACTGCAGGTGCTGAGTATGAAGAGGTATTTCCACCATCAGCTCTGTGACACGCTTTCAGACTCCCCCCCCCCCCCTGATATTGATTTATTCGTGTCAAGACGATGAGACTAACAATGATGCCAAGCTTGCGGTGGTCGTCGCTGCCATCCTCCAGGGTCACAGCCCCTTGGCACTGGGGAATGTGGTGGGTTCCGCCATCTCCAATATCCTGGGCGCATTCTCGCTTGGTCTGCTCTGCCATACTGGCCGCATGCAATTCGATCGAAGTGCAAAGATCTACTCAGCTGTGCAATTTCTCATCACGACACTCTTTGTCATTCTGGCCTACCTGAACCAGCTAAACCAAATCACGGGTGGACTTCTCATTGGTGGTTTCGTTGTGTACATTCTGTCCATTGGTTATGCCATATATTTGGGTGTCACCGAGGCACCTCAACTGTCAGACAGCGATAGCGATAGTGACAGCGATGATGATAACAGCTACCACCGTCCGGCTGCGGCCGGTAATGACATCGTCGATCAAGAAAGCCGTGTTGCGATCTCGGAAGAGTCGCCGCTGCTACCTGCAGTGGAGGAGTTGAAAAAGCCGTCGCGATCACTGTTCTACCATATCTACCAGCTCTTGCTTGGTCTGATAGCGCTCTCTCTGTCGGGCTACATTATCGCCCATAGCGCGGGCGCTTTGACAGAATCGTTCCATCTGTCTGGGACTGTCTTTGGACTCACAGTCATCGCCTTTGCCACGACGCTTCCCGAGAAGTTCATCTCTGTCCTGAGTGGATCTCGGGGACAAGGCGGTATTATCGTGGCCACCACCGCAGGAAGTAATATCTTCCTGCTGACCATCTGCATAGGAGTGGTTGCCATCACGGGGATCCCGGTCACCAACGCGGACAACTTTGTCACCTTCGAGCTGGCGACGATCTGGATCTCAGCAGCTTGTCTTCTCGCCATCGTATTCCTGGGAAGTAGCCGGGTGGCTGGTCTGGTTCTGCTAGCTGGCTACATTGTCTTTGTAGTGCTTGAATTTACGGTATACAAACGCTGAGCCGAATACCTGTGGGGTGTGATCATCACTCAGTCCCACCAGCAAGCAACTTTTGTCCTTCAATAAACTCAAGCATGCGATTCTTTTGAGGGCTGTAGGATTGGACATTTATTGCAAAGCGTAATCCACGAAAGATGTTTCAGCGTGTTCCGAACCTATGTTTTGCCTAAACACGTGAGTTCAGGGGGCCCACTCCGCCCACTCGACGATGACGAGCTCGTCTCAGGAACAATCTCCAACGTTGTCGGTCAGATGGAAACGATGCTGCAGGGTAAATACAGGTTGAATTGATCACTCAGCTTGAATCATGTCCCCACACTGCAGATTATCTCCCGGTCGGCAAACAGTCCGCACCATTTTCAGTAATCCCGCTGTTCAGAATCACCAGAATGCCGACTGCCATGAAAAGGTCCCACCGAGTGTGAAGGCTTGTCAGCCGAGAGCCAAGTCCTTCGATTTCATCTTGATTTCTTTAGTCGGAAAGCGGTCCGCCCCCGTGTCCTTCTGAAGAAACTTCTGGACCAGTGAACGCAGTGCCCGCAATTGCAAACGCGGAGATACGGATCCAGTTGGGTTAGTCTGACGGCGATGATGAAGTTCACCCATAGGATGAGGCAGTCTTTCCCCAGAAGCCCACAATCTCGGAGTCGATGTGACAACTGAATCCTGTCAAATTTCATTCAGGGATCTGGAAGGTACCTGAAGACGATCTCTCCCGCAGCATGTCTACCCCAGGACGACCTTCGGCAATGGCCCTGTAATCTCCACCAAACTGGGCGCTCTCGCCATCATGTCGAGTCTACAGTCATGAAATCATCTGACTTGGCAAATTGGACTCTGCCATCGTCAAATGACAGTCAGCTCACGGGCCAGATGTAGCCACTTTTCATTTCACGCTATTTCACGCGACTCCACTAGACCGGTACTTCAGCAACTTCGATCAGTGACTCCATGACAGACCAAGAGGAGCTTGAATGGCAAGTGTGGCGTGCAATCTGAAACCCCCATCGGAGACACTCTGAATGTTGACGATTCCTCCCAGCCGGCCATGTCGAACAAGATCACGCCCTGGATCGCGATGGCTTCGTTGATCCTGATCCCTTGTCACATCGCCACGGAGAATATCCGGCTCATTAGCCTGTGTAGCACCAGCACAAGCCCCCAGTGGCACAGCTCATAGCCTACAACCGGAACAGCAAAGGATGGGAAATCTGATGCCACTGCCATTCGATCGACAGAACTGGAACTACGGCACACAAGCCGAAGCTACGACGACCTCGCGACGCATGGGTTTTCTACCCCATATACTCATGCTGAACCGGAACAAATTTGGAGACCCTGCTTATCTGCAGCTCGCTGAAGAATGCAAGTTCCTCGTGCTTCAGCGGTGACGCTTACCACATTTGGCCTCCCCGTGGTGCTTAGGGCCCGGTAGAGAGGCAACGACCCCTGGCGATGCGGAGTAAACCTTGTGCTGTCCAATTGCCGATGCATGTGGGCATGGTGGGCTAAATGTCTCTTTTGAGCCATGAGCACGTTTGCTCTCCCACTTGGCTCCCAAATTCAGGAGGTATGTTCTCTGGAAAGGATCAACTCGGTTGCAGATCAAGGCTCACTAAGATTGTCTTGCAGATATGCCAGGGTACTGTGGACCACAAATTCACTATGCTCCGCGCCATTTTGAGATAGTGTTCCGTGTCCGTTGAAGTCGTTACATTGCGAGTCAGGCCAGTGGTATGAGTGTCATCCTAGTGATTGAATTCTATATAAATTACACATGATGACCCCAGGATTCTGTTCCTTTTTTCTTCAGTTCACGCAGCACTCGGGCATCTATCGACAATCAAGGACTGACACCACGAACTAGTCAAAATGCAGAGGACATCAGCTTGGGCTCTGCTCCTTCTGGCGCAAATCGCCACTGCTCAGCAGACCATTTGGGGGCAATGTGTGTCATTTCTCTGATGAACTCATGTTGAAACATTTTTCACTGATTCCGCATTTTTCACCAGGCGGTGGTAGTGGTTACTCAGGACCCACTGCTTGCCCTGCGCAGGCTACTTGCAGCACTCAGAACCCTTGTGAGTACTTCTGAACGAGGGCACCGCAGGATAAATGTTCAACGTACTGAGTTCGCGACAAGACTACGCTCAGTGCATCCCAGGAAGCGGAAATGGCGGTGGTGGCGCGACAACCACCACTACGACCGCTGGACAGACGACCAGAACCACTATGGCCACCACCACTACAAAAGCGACCACTACGTCAGCTGGTGGCAGCGGTGGTAGCACTACCACTGCTCCTCCATCCAAGGGCAACCCCTTCGCTGGATATCAGCCCTACGCTAACCCGTACTACTCCTCCGAGGTCGTGAGCCTGGCAATTCCTTCCCTGCCAGCTTCTCTGGCCCCCAAGGCCAGCGCTGTCGCCAAGGTCCCCTCCTTCGTCTGGCTGTGAGTTTTTGAAGCAAAGACGATCTTCCTTCTTCGATCCTTTGCTGACCTCCCGTAGTGACACCGCTGCCAAGGTCCCCACCATGGGAACCTACTTGGCTGACATTGAGGCCAAGAACAAGGCCGGCGCCAACCCACCCATCGCCGGTATCTTCGTTGTTTACGACCTTCCTGACCGTGACTGCGCTGCTCTGGCCAGTAACGGCGAATACTCCATTGCCAATGATGGTGTCGCCAAGTACAAGGCCTACATTGACTCGATCCGCACTCTCCTTGTCAAGTACTCCGATGTGCACACTATCCTCGTCATCGGTATGATCCCCACACCAGTACTCTCAAAATAGTTCGACTCGCTGACTTGTAATAGAGCCCGACAGTCTCGCCAACTTGGTCACTAACATGAACGTGGCCAAGTGCGCCAATGCTCACGATGCATACCTGGAGTGCGTCAACTATGCGCTGAAGCAGCTTAACCTGCCCAACGTGTCCATGTACCTCGATGCCGGTAAGATTCAAATCGAAACTATCAATCATCTCATTTGTCTGTTGTGCTTCTCAACTAATCTTGCTCAGGACACGCTGGCTGGCTCGGATGGCCCGCCAACCTTGGCCCTGCTGCCACCCTTTTCGCCAAGGTGTACACGGACGCTGGCTCTCCTGCCTCTGTTCGTGGACTGGCCACCAACGTTGCCAACTACAATGCCTGGTCTCTCGACACCTGCCCATCCTACACCCAGGGTGACCAGAACTGCGACGAGAAGCGCTACGTCAACGCACTTGCACCTCTCCTGAGCGCCGCTGGCTTTGATGCCCACTTCATCACTGACACTTGTAAGTGACCCCCAAGGTTCCAAAATACTTTTGACGGACTCCCACGACTCACCTTGTGCTTTTTCTCAGCCCGCGACGGTGTCCAGCCCACCAAGCAACAAGCCTGGGGTGACTGGTGCAACGTCATCGGCACTGGATTCGGCATGCCCTTCACCACCGACACCGGTGACGCTCTTGAGGATGCCTTCATCTGGGTCAAGCCCGGCGGTGAGAGTGACGGTACCTCTGACTCCTCTGCCACTCGTTACGATGCCCACTGCGGATACAGCGATGCCCTCAAGCCTGCTCCCGAGGCTGGTACTTGGTTCCAGGTAAGCCTTCGCCCCGTGTGCCTGGTAAATGGTCTTGGATTTATCACTAACAACCTTCCAGGCCTACTTCGAGCAGCTGCTCGTCAACGCCAACCCCAGCTTCTAAGGGATTGGTCGGACGGTGGACTCGATTCACAAGTGACGACTTATCGGAATACAAGATATTCATGTCTTTTCGTTTTGGGGAGAAACTTGTACCGAGTCGCATTTAGATCTTAGCTTCCTAGATTGAATCCAAAGAGTTGAGATCCATCAAAGTGACCAATCCGTGCTGTCGCGCAGCAAAGAGCCAGGTCCAGCTTACTACTGCTTATCAGTCGATATGACGAGCGTGCTGAAGCATCGAAGAAGCCCTTACCACTTGTGTGACGCGTCTTTGACCAAATTACAAAAGCTTAATCCTCAGGTTTGAGTCTTCGAAGGAAAGAACATCTCGTAGTTGCCGAGCAGCTGCCCGGGCCGAATACCTCCATTCGGTAGAACACTGGGATGATCATCCAGCGTGGGCAGTAGATCAGTGATGCAATTATTCTCGGATAGTGCCATGTCTTTAGATCCTCGCGTGTCTGGAGTAGACCACTACTCAACAAGAAACTATCCACGTTCATACCTTATTGACCCGATGCAAACACCAACACCGCCTGTTCCGTGGTTGGATGATCATATACGTCGTGTTAGTACACGTAGCGGAAATCCAAGTTCTTCAAATCCGTGACATCTACCAGCGGCGCCGACGTGCCTGTCTCTTGCTTATCACCGGGTGCACTGAGCTCGGCTGGCCGACCCGTCATGCTCAACCGATCACGTCGCGCGTTTTCCCAGCGAAGATAAAAGAACAGGGCCAGGGCTGTTATAAGGCAGATTGCGAGACAGACGATGGTGGCCAGGAAGCCGCTCTTATTCACGCTTGGTCAGTACTGTGTTTCTCGCCAGCTCCCGGCGGGGAACGAGGTGGAAGAGACAGGAGTGGTATGGGGTATGCTTACTTGGTACTTGGGCGCTTCGCGCGCGAAGAACAACTGCGGCCCGATGATATTGCCAGCGCAGTACATGATGAAGTATATGGCGCTGACAGAGGATCTTTTCGTGAAGCCACCGACATTGGAGCTGATCATGGCCAAGGAGACTGGCATGCTGCAGGAATAAATACCCATGAGAAGGAGGCCGGCGTAACGAACACCGGTACTAGTCCCTGCGTATACCATTACGCTTCCGATGATGCTGACTGTAATCGCGGCTGCGATGACTAGACAACGACTGTTGGGGACCTTGGATGAGATTGTGCAGCTTGGTGCGACTTAGTCTCTGTTTTCTTGGTGATCCAAAAAGGATACAGCGTATCCGTCAGGATGAGAGCTCACCTGACAAGTACAAAGACGAAAACGATGAAGCCGCCGGGTACTCCAAGTAGGAGCGTGTGGAAGGTATCAAACCCGAAGCCTTTGAGTACTAATCCATTGAACTGATATGATATTGAGTTAGTATTGCATGGGAGCTTGGTGGGCTAGACAACCTCTTCCAGAGTCCGAAAGAAGCCGACTTACAGTAGTGAACCCGCCATTGGGGATATTCGAAGCGAGAATCAGAATCGCGAGAAGCCAAGTCTTGATATCCGTAAAAGCCTCCGCAATCTGGCTGCGATCGATGTGGGTGTTTTTGAAACCCGTCTTGTTCGCTCTCATTCTCTCGATCGCGATAGCGCGTTCTTCTTCTGTGAGGAACGTTGCATTGGTAGGTGAATCCGGCAGACGAAGAAGCATCAAAAGGCCCCATGCAAGCGTGGCGAGTCCGAAAATGATGAAGAGCCACTGTGTGCGCAGAACCCGTTAGGCCAGACCGTGATCTTGTATCTATCATACAATGAAGAGAATATGACAACCATACCTGCCATGGGTAAAGATGTTCCTTGATTTGCAGGATTCCCACCGCGATCAAATTCCCCAAAATCGCAGAGATGGCGTTCCCACAGAACCAGATTCCTGCACGTAAGGGCTGCTCAGAGGTTCGATACCAGAGTGAGGTTATCAGAGTAAAGCCCGGAGACAGGCTGGCTTCGGTGCATCCGAGCAGGAACCGAGTCACCATCATGGTCGTAAAGTTCTTCGTGGCAGCATGGCAGGTAAGCACGACAGCCCATAGCATGCTTTGAGACAGTCAATAGTGTCAGCGACCTTGACATTCAAGCAAATGTGGGCTAAGAGAGGAACAGATCAGGTGGTTCTTACAAGCTGACAGCCAAGTACTTTCCAAGAGGAAATTTCACCATCAATAACGATGCCGGATATCTGTGTCCCGGCAGTGAATTAGCTATACTGGAATGGTTCCCTCCGGCAGGGCGTTTGGGCAGACTCACGAGAAGAAAAGATATCCGAAATAGAAAATCCCAGAGGTCCAACTGTACTGTGATCCGACCAAATGAAGATCCTTCTGAAGGCCCATCAGTGCTGCGTAGCTTAGGGCTTGTTTGTCAAGGTAGGCCATCATATATGCAACCAGCATGAGTGGCAGAATCCTGGTTCGAGTGTCAACAATGGTTTCTCTCGCTCAAAAGACATCTCAGCGAAGATCGTTCTCACATCAGATCAATTCTTCGTACAAGCTTTCGCTCAGCAGCCGCCGAGTATGGCGTGGACTCTGCTGGCTGTTGCTCCATGGTTCCCTGGTCAACACTTTGACAAGTCGTTTCCTGCACCAGAGAACGATTGTGTTTTTCCGGCTGCTTCTCGGTCATTTTGATCTAGAACAAGAGATGTAAAGCTTCACGCAAGATCGCTGGTAACAGACAAGCGTGTTCGATCCCTGGCAGGAACAGATGTACATTATATACACGCCGACGTCTGGAAATGCCCAGAGTTCTAATCATGTTCATGAGATATGGAGTCGATAGATACTGCTCTCTCCATACCAATGAAATCAATTAACCTTATTTTGCCTCCTTGATTATCGGTCTTCCCCCGCAAAATCGTAGGAATCGTCGCCGATTGGGTTCCACGCGCATGCACTTCGGCTATTGGCTCGGTCGGCAAAGTAGTTGGGGGCTTGACGAGGTTGACGAGGTTCGAGCGGCGAGGAAATGGGGAAATCGCAGATAGGCAACGGGGAAAACAATCTAAGCGAGCTCTCTCGACGATAGCCAAAACAGGCCATTCCATGGAGATAATCGAAGGTTCCAGGATCATAAGTTGATCAAGAGGGGCGAGCAATGGTTTCGGGGGTAAGCAGTAACCTCCGAGTCAATGATTTATTGGTAGCAGATAACGAATTACGCGTCGGTTAGTGTTTAAAATCAGATAGCTACTCATGGACGAGCCCTAAGGTACTCACTCTCATGGTGTAATGTATAGCATCTATGAAACCCCGACTACTTGACTCGGGTGTGTTGTGTGTAGATTGGTCAAAGTGTCATGATTCTATTCGCGAGAAATCTAACCCAGGAATAGGAAATCCTTTCTGTGAGTACTCATACAACAAACATCATCTATCTGCTCTCAAAGTCCTTCTTGACAGCCTCGGCAAATTTGTCGTCCACCAACATCTGACATCCAACAACCGCCATACCAGCGCCACAATGTAGCGCTCTCTCAAAAGCTTCGGGAGACCCAGCACCGCTGGTGAATTCATGAGTATGGTTGACTCCCTTGGAAGGAATACAAAAGATTCCATGGAATCCAGGTACGACGTATGAAACGTTGCCTATCGATAGATTAGCGACCAAAGACGGGAAGAGAGGGTGGACTAAGACTCGACTGACCCATGTCAGTTGAGCCACCCGACATTGCACCCTTTCCAGCAGCAGAATTGTCGAGTAGAGTCAAGTGACCCATGGCGCTCATTGCAGAGACGTATTTTTCGCAAATGGGCATGTTAGACTTGAGGTCGTCATATGATACTCCCCTGGATGAGCAGGTTCAGTTCGAGATTAGCTCCATGTTCCTCGACCGTATTGAACAGCAAACGGTGAAGATGTGCACTGTACCATTCATATTCCACCTTGCACCCCGTCGCAGTTGCAGCGGCTTCGAAGCACTGAACGACCTTTTCGGTCAAGACTTTCAATGTCTTCTTCGTCGGTGATCGAATGTAGTAATCCAGCGTGGCAGACATGGGAATCACATTGGGACGGTCGCCTCCATGGACAATCACACCATGCACTCTCTGAGAAGGTAAAATCTGTTGTCGGAGGAGTGAGATATTGACATAGGCCGACACGACTGCATCCAGCGCGTTGATGCCCTCCCATGGAGCACCGGCTGCGTGGGCGGGTTTTCCGATAAAAGTGACTTTGACCTTATCATTGGCAAGGTATCCGCCCTCCACGGTCGTCGCAATCCCATGCACTTGTGGTTGAGTGGGAGACATTGGAACTGGGTGAACCATCAAACAGGCATCTACGTTGTTGTAGGCGCCCGCTTGGATGAGCTTCACCTTACCGCCTCCAGACTCTTCGGCGGGAGTTCCCAGAAGTCGAACAGTAAATCCTGGGAGCTCTGATGCTTGTGCCTTGGCCTTCATCGCCTCGCAGGTCGCGATGAATGCAGCGATGGCACTCGTGGCAATGAGATTGTGGCCACATGCGTGGCCGATTCCAGGGAGCGCATCTGAACTTAAGTGAGCTTGGGCGTTCGAGGTTGGAGGGAAAGTGTCATTCATTCACGAGGTGGCATACCGTACTCTGCGTTGAATACTATGAGGCGACCTCCCGCTCCGTGAGTGTACTCAACTTCCAAAGCCGTGTCCATTCCATAGGCCTTACGGCGAACTTGATACCCTTGCGCCGCAAGCTTACTGAAGAGATCGCAGATATGATCGTGGGCTTGATACTCTTCATAAGCTAGCTCAGGATTAGACCAGATCTAATTCAGGTTAGCAGGACAGTACGACTCCACGATCAACAATCTTATACGGATAAGGTAAGATGTCTGATGAACCTTTTGATTGATATCCTTGAGCTCGGCATCGTATTTGCGAAGAATCTCCTGAACACTGTCCAGAAACGGCTGTTGGGCTTCGGGAATCTGCATTGTGTGCGAGTTTGTGCGGTATATTGTTCTCCAATTCGAATGGTTTGGGTCCAAACCGCGATCGCGATGTCAGTAAACTCAAACAAGATCAATAGGAACCCAACAGAAGGAGGATCTCCCAATGCTTTTAAAGTTCCACATGGCTTTTGAAAATAGCATCGATCCAGTTTCACTCCCATCTTCCGCCTACAGTCCTGTTGCAAATCCCCGCATGTCGCGTGAAAGTGGCTCTTCCAAAGTGTACAGAAGATGATCCAGGTTCAGCTCGGCTGTCAGGGCGGCTCCGCAATTTCCACCTTGCCGATGCAGCCAATCGGCTGGCCAACACCGGCAAATAACCTTTCTGCTAATCGAGCTGTCATCTTCAAAAGTGATGAGATGAGGGTATTTCGGCGATAACCACCCCCTCCTGACTCGGACTCGGACTCGGCAAACTGGTCTCTGCGCTCATTCTCCTCAATAGCGCGAGATATTGCGCCTTGCCTCGTTGCATCTGGTCACTGGTGGTCCCGTACTATCGCATCGTGGTTTGCGGGTGGGCTTTGGTCTCTGACACTATCTCTGCAGAGACCTGCAGATAAGCCTGCCAGAGTAGATTGATACAGACTTCTCGAACGAGTATATGTGGGGTTAACAAGGGCGAAGGGTCAGGGAAGACCAATATCAAGCGATGCAAAAGTCTGGGAAGACGCGATCTAAAACAGGTAAGACATCATGCACCCCCCTTCCCTCCCCTCCCCTCCCAGGTTCAATTAGCAAACATCTTACTGGGCTCATTGCAAGCCCCGGCAGCAGTTCATGTGTAGGCGATAGGCTGACTGACGCTCTTGAACAGGATGCCGAACCTGCCGCATTCGCAAAGTGAAATGCGATGAGGAAAGACATCTTTCGAATGAAAAAGAGCCTCAATGCCGTCGATGTTCAATAGCGAGGTTGAAATGCGAATGGAAAGGTGATCCGATTCCACGTCACTCATCTTCGAATGCGTTGAGATTCTCTACCGTAGGTGGCAGTCGGAGCGTCTCTGAGAGGCCCATTCATCCGCGCGAGGTTCAAATGCAAAGGTTGCGTCAAAATTGGCATGTCAAACACGATCGGAGTGTGAACATCTGCCCAACCTCACAACCACTACCATCACTGTGTCGCAATCCGAGCGAGGCCGGTCAATCCCAATGTGTCCAGGCAGCCAACTCACTGGCGTTGTCGGCGTTTGACCGAGAGTGCCTGAAGTATCTGCAGAACTCGACTCTCGTCATCTTACTTGGCAAGCACTGGCCATGGTCGACCATCGCCTATGCATACAAAAAGATCGCCGTGACGGAACCTATGGTGATGAGTATGATGCTCGCAAGTACTGCCAGGGAGATTCACCGATTGCGACTTTACGATCGTGGAGAGCTCACAGTGCCCTCGGCTGCTTCCCATGAGGCGATTGACTTGGATGGGCGGACGCACTACGGTCGGGCATTGTCGAGTCTTCGTGAAGCCCTGAGATCAGATGTTAGGTCTCCAAGGAAGATTGAAGCAATTTTTATCACTCTGTGGCTTATGGTTGACTATGAGAACCGGTTTGGAAGTGGCGAATCTGCGATTGACATTCATATTAAAGGAATCGAGAGTCTTTTGTTCAATCACGTCGTCCCCGGTCTACAGGAAGAGGCTGGGCGACCACGAGAGTATGCGAGATCCCTATCATCTGCGCCATGTATTGAGCCTGGAAGAGATTCAGGTATATGGAGTCCTTCAACGGCCGGTTCTTCTCCATTTATCGGCCGTGACAACGAAGAGGACACCAATCAAGGCTTGTCCACCATGAGTTCGGCACCATGTACCCCCATCGGACTGGGACAAACATCGGTCCCTCTTTTCCTGCTGTGGACGCTGTACTTCTTCACGCCTTCGCCATTTTCCCGTGGACCTCTGACTGGAAAGCTCGACTCTGCCATCTTCCAATTCTTCCTCCACAACAACGACCATCGCAAGGTACCCTTACCTCTCCCAGAACTGTATCGCATTAGCCGACAATCGCCGGCTCGCTTTTGGGGCGAGTCGTATAGCACCGCCGCCCGGATCGACGATCTCGAAAATCTCGTACCCTTGACACTCTTCCATAAAAGTCACATCCTCCAATTTCGAATCACAGAACAACACAAGCAAGGCATACCCACTCACCCTTCGCTGGATGAAGTCTCTCCATATCAACTACTCATTGACAAGATCAATTCTCTCGCCCTGGTAAGTCAAGACAAAGATCGCAGAGCCCCAAAGCACCCGTGATACTTCTCTCCGACATCCTTCCCGCAACTTACAATCCAACTGACAAATCGAGTTTTTAACAGGAGAGCGACACCGTCCTCGCAACAGTCAACACATCCGACTCAGCCGACCTCCTCACCGGCCGCCGCATGATGGAAACCAGCTACTGGGCCGCCATCACCTTCTACAGCACCATCATCTTCTACCACCTCTGTTTCCAGGACATTGTCACCAAGCACCCGGCCGCGCAGCTCCCTTGTACCGCCACTGCGCTCATGTCCCTCGCCGAGGCCGTCTCTCGCGTTCTCGACCTGAGTCTCAAACTGCATCGCTCGAGGCCCCATCTGGTGGTCCGCATTGCTTGGCCGTTGTTCTTGGCTGGGGTGGCCACTCCGGATCAGATCTATCAGGATTGGGTCTCGATTCGGTTGAGGGAATTGGGCCGGTTTGGTCAGAATTATGCGAGGATTAGTATGCGGTTTGATGGGATTGTGAAGGGGGGCAAGTCGTGTTTTTCCGAGGTGGATCTTTATTTAGGACATGTGCTCGAAGAGTGATTTACTGCCCAGTACCCAGTGCCCAGTGCCGGGGGTGCAAGATTCATTCGATTCGACATGAGTAGATGCCGATTGAACGTTGCCGAGAGCAAACTCTGACTATGGTTGGTGTAGTTGAACACAAGTTTTGTTGTCAAGAGAAGAAAGTCAATGAAAAAGATCAGTCTTTCATTAGAATTCGCATAATCATCTGAAGGAATGTGCTTGGCTATGTACTTCAAAGTCTTTCTCCCGGCATGTCAGATCAAAGATCCCCATTACAATGCAATTTCATAACAAGACCGGCAGCGGCACCATTTGACTCTAGGTCCCCTGCACAGCCGTACTCAAAAGAGCCTCTTCAGCAACAACAGCGGATGTTGCCATTGCAGACGGAACTTCTCCAAGATGTCTCCACACAGAAGGAAAAAATCTCCTTATCTAAGGGAGAGCATAGGGAGGGTAGCTCTGGTCAGGCTTGACCACATTGCCACTCTCCACCTGCTTATCGGTGTAAGCAGGGTAAGCGATCTGGCGGCTCACGTTGTTGACGACGGCCAAGGTCGTGAAGCCGTTGCCCGCGCCGAATTGGCCGCTCCAGCCAGAGGTGACGGTGTAGTCGCCGCAGTTGACGGGCCCGCCGTTGGCCTGGGAGGCATGATCGCCGGTCACGACGAGCTTGCAGGCGGTGGCATCGCCGGAGCCCGGGTAGATGCCGAAGGTCCAGGTGCAGGAGGAGTCATCGGCGGCGCAGACGCGCTTCATGTTTTGAATGGTCCATTGGGGGCTTGAGGCCATCATGGACTTTTCATTCGAGGGAGCGGCGAGGGCCGATGGGACGGCCAGGAGAGTGGCCAGGAGGACTTGAGTGAACTGCATGATTGCGTGTGGTTTGGGTTGGTGAAAAACGGACGTGGGAGGTTGTGGTGGATACGAAAGATGAGATTGAGCTTGGTTGACTGTGGAAAGTGTGTGTGTGTGTGTGTATGTGAAATGATGATGAGACGACAGAGATGGGAAGTGGTGAGGGTATTTAAGTGATTCCGGTTCACATGGAAGAATCGGGATCGCATCGTCAACTTGCTCGTCCATTCCTTCATGTGAGTCCCATTCAGTGGGCTGATGGCGATCCTCTGAGCCGTAGCCGAAAATAGATCTCACGTCCATCACTATCGATGGGGGCTCACCGTAGTCCGGACGGTGTCGCTGCGGAGAAGCCGTGCTCCCCAGATGGAGAAACAAGTGTAGTCATCTTGACGTGCGCGCGGCCAACGGAACCCAGTCCGTGAGACTTGGACTCGTCGAGTATCTGGCCATGGACTTGGCTTAGCGGTGCTGGCGCAACTGAGACATGATGGCTCAAGGCGAGACATACACATCATCGGGGGCGTTTGCATGCAGGAGTGATGCCCGGTGGTGGTGGAGCTTCCGTGGTGCATGGTTCCGTCGTCCATAGTCCCCACCGTCGGAGTATTGCAGCTTTCAACGAAGAGTTGGCCAGTTGAAGAAAGGCGCGGCGGGAGGGAGTCAGAGACATTGGCAAAACCCACCCAATCACCGAGGGCGCGGCATCCGCAGGACTCCCCGCGATCGCCGCGTTGCATCGTGACTGAGACGTTTGGGATCCACGTGCTCGGGGGATCTTCTAGGGTACATGGCCACAGTATGCCTTCTGTCTACTAGGAAGAGGTACCCTTGCAGTACTTCCAGCCCCCGGGGGCCTACGACCGCAGTACTATTTTAGTTCTTCAAGTTAGGTACCGTGACCCAGTTGCATGTTCAGGTACCCCAAGCTTCCCCTCTACTACTCAACTCCAACTCGGTCGATTCGCGCTTCTCGTCGGCTCCAACCCCAGGCAGTGGCACTGGCAGTATCCTCACTATCGTGACTGTTCGCCCATCACTGTTTCGGTGCTGGCAGATGGACTGCCCACGTTGGGCCTGGATATGTGGAGATCCGACACCCGCATGATCCGAAACGTTCCATCACCCTCGTCGAGTTGGACACCTCATGGCACTGTCTCAAAAAGAGCTTTCGTGGCCCTGTACGGCGTACACACACCTCACCATGCAATATGAATAACGTCTTGATCAGGTTGCTGCCGGGGTCTTGGATCGATGGATCTGCTGCCTATGCGGTAATATGCCTCGTTCTCAGGTACAATCCACCCTACGGCTTCCAGTAGATAGGTCAGCTGCTATACGTGGAACGCCTACCTCCTACCTAGGTCAGGTACTACTACTATTAGGTCTGAGGTTCTGTCAAACATGATACCTGGGAGAGTGCCAGTCTCGGATAGGTGCGTCAGAGACTCCTCAAAGTCTCACTCATCCACAAGACGACGACGTAGTATCGAAGGACATGGCTGGTCCGTGGTCAGATGCGGTGTAGGATGTAGATATGCATCATATGCATCATATGCTAGCCTGTGGTATGATACCCAAGGACCTGCAGGACTATCTTAGCTACACCATGTAACTTCGAGTATCCTTCGAAAAGCCACATAAACTGATGAGACACGTCCATCCACCTACGGGAAGAGCCTCCCACTAGGTGCGGCAGACAATTCCGGTCCGGGCGCAGATGACAGGAGAGGCCCTATGTCCGTCAGTGTTATCGCGAATAGGCGTCGCTCCAGTCACCCGTGCACCGTGCAGGGTCGACGTATCCACGTCCAAGTTCGACCTCGCTGGGACTCCTGCTGATACATGTACCACGTCGACGGTGTGACCGATAATCTGGTAAAGTATCCGATGCAAAAGAGATGGAGAATGGCGAGGCTAAGGTGGGGGGGGGGTAGTGTTATAGAATTATATAGCTACTTTTACCATGTAATCATATAGATCGGTAGGTACCAGAGCCCTGCTACTAGCTTTCAAGTTGAGAGTATAGCCTCCGGCTGAGACTCTGTGAAGATTCCATCATCGGGATGTCTGCAGTCAGATCGTGCCAAGTCGTCGACAGTAATGCTGTGCAAACGAATGGAATTACTCTACTGGAGCTAGAACACGTGTGACGGATCAAGAACTGGAAAGCTTTATCCTAATAGAGCAAGGTACACGAAAGAGACATGGATGATAACGGTAGAGAGAGCCCCGGATCGGTGATAACCCGCATCTTCTAGTATATACTATGTAGTGTTTGGCGCATACTCAATACTGTTTACTCAATCCTGTATACTACCCATGGTTTAGCCTCTATATAGATAGTAGATCGACGTTGTATGAAAGTGAGGCGACCCACAGCACACGTGCCTCGCCCGGGCCCGGTCTGCGTGAAGACCTCTGATTAGCGAAGAAAGACGCATAGTCTTTCCTCGAGGGGTTGTCTGTAGCCATATCGTGGTGAGTCTCGTCGTCTTCACGAATGTCTCGCCAGGTCAGTTCGAGAGCCGGCCTTTCATGAGGTAAGGTAGGCTAGGCTAGGTATCCTCGGACCTCCAGGTGGTACTTGAAGGAGGTTCTGCCGAATGGACTTGGTGACCACGGTTGTGCATGTCCATGTCGAATGATGATCTAACTGCTAGGGAGAGGACTCCCGTCGACAACACTATTAAAGTTCACTGAATCATTTTGGTTCCATTGAAATCACACAGTTTCTCATTAGATATATATATAAGACATAACAGAGCGCGCAACACCGTTTCCCGGCATATAGCCGCCAAACCCAGGCGTATATGGGTATGACTTTCACCGACCAAAGTGCTTCAGCTCCAGGTATCGTGCGGGCAGATAACTCAAAGCCGTCACCACAAAGGTAAACTCATTCGCGACATCACCGCCCCCATCACCAATCAACATGGCCAAAGGTCCAATGAACCAGGTCTCGTCCATCCCCACTACCCACGCCACGACACCCAGCCCAAAGGCGACCGCCGCACCGAGTCCAAGCGGCAGACGCGCAGGGTCGTTCCATCCCTCCAGATCGTAATTGTCAAAGTTGCCCTTGCGGAAAACGTAGTGCTCTTCCAGGAGGATGACGGCGTAGCTGGTGCACCAGTATCCGAGTAAGGACAGGAAGTTCTGGAGGTAGGTGTTGAGCTGCTGGCGGCCACCGATGGCAAGCGCAAGGATGCAAACGAAGCAGAAGATGGTCCACAGGAAACGGGGCACGCGCGCAAAGGGGCGAGAGAGTTGCTGGAAGGAGATGGCCGAGCTGTAGATACTGATGACGTTGACGTTGATCCCCGAGAGAACAAGCAGAGTCAACAGGAACTTGGCGAATCCTCGAGGGTAGAGCATGTCCTGGATCAGATAGCCAAGGCCTTCGTCCTCGTAGGCGCTCTTCCACTCCGGCTGGTTGTTCAGAGCCGAGGCGACCACGCACCCGGCCATCATACCAATTGATGTGGGAATCGCAATGCCAAAGGTGGTCATGAAGAAGACCTTGACGCGGCTGACATTGGTGGGGTAGTGCACGTAGTAGTCACTGGCCATGGTGCACCAAGAGGCACTGGAGCCGTACACAATCGCGATCAAACTCAGGACTGCGGCGGCAAGATTTGCGCCGCTGACCGTCGCGGGAGCGGTATTATCCGCATATTTGCCGGTCTGGCCAAAGATGATCATGAAGATCACAAAGAAGACGATCCAGGCCCATCTCTCGTAAAACAGGATCGCTTTCAGTCCCACAAAGGAGATGATCAAGGCGACGACAGCCAGGATCACGATGCCCAGGATGAGGGAGACGTGGCCATCCGAAACGGCAGTCAAGGCCAGACCTCCGGTGATGCAGGAGACAGCGGCCCAGCCCATCTGTTGGATCGCGTTGAGCAGGGCCACAAGCTTGTTGGGCCACCATCCGAAACTATATCGGCTCACACTGATCTGACGCAGACCCGTCGCCGCACCAAAGGTGGCACAGAATCCACTCAGCGACGCGGCCAGGATCGAAGCAAAGATCGTGATCAAAAGCGATTGCTTCAAGCTCAACCCGAACTCCCATCCCAGGAAGCCAGTCGCAAAGCAAGAGGTATTCATGGTGCCACTGGCCCACAGCAAGGCCATGGACAGTTCTTCCACCCAGTGAACCTTTTTCTTGTCCTCCGGACGCTTTCGCACAATGGCCTCGGACTCGATACCCAGCTTCTGATCCATATTGGCCTCCAGAGCCCGCATCCTGGCCATCAGACCAGTCTGGTTGGGCGATGCGACATTCCGTTCGCCCCCGATCGAATCCAGCGAGTTCTGCTCGGCAGAGGGATATTTGGCCTGCGCGAGGCCCTTCTCTGGATCGTAGGCCATGTCGGGCAGAGTTTCGGCAGTGACCAGGCTGGGGTGAGGAAATCGGATACCAGGCCGGAGACACGCGACGAAAGAGAAAGTTAGAAGTGAGGAAGCGAGTGCTTCTTGTACTCGTCGGCCGCCTTCCCCCCCCCCCCCCCCAGGCACGGGGACTGTGGGGATTTATAAAACCGCGCGGTTAGCTGTGGGGTGGTCGAGATAAGGATTTACTAGTTGGAGAAAAAAAAAACCCGCGACCCAGATATCTTTGGACCGACAAATGGACATTTTACTCACCCAATCCAAGTACGTTTGGCGATACGGATCATTGGTGATTCCTTGGTCATGGAGCCATGATAGGCGGAGCAGAAGCGTAGCGTGTTTATTTGGGTCCCTCTTGGATGTGGAATCCACCCAGTCGACTTAGTCTAGAGGCTAGTGCTACTGATAGTACTGACTCCTGAATTAACTGATAGATGTACACTGATACAGTCTGGGTCAACTAATCATACAGAACAGCTGCGTGACTGTTGGCCACTGCCAGCAACCACCTGCCTCGCCACTCGTTGAAATTTTCCCATGAACGTCTCTCGTTACCCCGTTATCGTGTTTCCTAATTCGGCCTTGCAGCGGGCAAAACTCTTGCGCCACCTTCAAGGCTTATTGGATGATATCGCGGGTTTGTTGCGGAGCTCCGGCTTGTACAAACTTTAACCGGCGTAACCGTCCACGTGAGACACGGTTCCTAAGCAAATCTCAGTCGTAGGGTGTTTCCGCCTCGTGCGCGGGAGTAGCAGCGTGCGTGTCTCGGTAGGATGGACGCATTTTGCAGTGGCAGGGTAGGCACAGATGCTACCGATATTTTAATACTTGTGAAGAGCTTCAAGTTGGCTTGGCACCGTCTTATTCATCTCAAGTCTCATGGCTTGAGGATCATGAACGACTTATAGTAGTAAGTGGCCAAGGATTGTCCAGAATTTTCGGAAGGCTTGTCTCAAAGAAGCTTCGTCTCATGCGCCAAATCCTTGGCCTCGGGTAAGGTTGCCCTCGCCTTTCTGTCTTTTTTTTTCTGGCTCATCTCAATGCAAGCAAAATCCTTCATGTAGCAGTGAGAGCACCGTTGAACTCAGCGTGTTCCACCGATATTCACGTCTTCTTTTGATCTTCGAGCATAATTCTCGACTGCAAGACCATCAGCCTTCGGATCAGTCGTAGAAAGCCAAAACTAGTACAAGCCATCACGTATCACTTGTGCCAGCTTTGTTCGAACCCTGGAACTTCAATCTCGTGAAATCGTGCCTCAAGATATACGGTCGGAATTTCCCGGTCCCTGCCGCAAGCCACACCACGCGGCTGGCGTCGGACCAGGGAGCCCACGAGAGGCTGATTAGAACCAGATTATCTAAAGTTTCATGGAGGGTTCAAGATGGAGTGATCTTGTGTATTGTACCTTATCTCGGCATCATCCAGGACTACCCGGTACTCGGTCAAGCTTATGTTGATCCAGACCGTTTGAATGGATGAAGTGGTGATTTGTGTATCCATGCTTGTGTAGTCTGAGCTTCAATCTTCATAACACGAGCACCTATCAGTGTATACACACCAGAGCATCAAGGATTGCAATGATCTTGTTTGCTGCAAGCGAAGCAAAGAGATCGCTATACTTTGATTCATCCATGAGCTGACGCCCAGTCAATCGGCAGAAATGTTTGATGAGTCTCCATGGCGGGCGTTATGATAGTTGGGGTACAAGCTCGAGGTACTGCTCAGATCGATGCTGGAGGAGGATAGTTGGATCACAGATCTGTCACTCAGTCAGGCTGCGTGAAGCCCTTGCCACTGACGAACTCACGTGGTGCTTGACACTGACACTACGCCAGTGGCCTGTTCAGTAGGTGGCAGCAGGTCCACCGTTCAGAACCCTCCAAGTATTTCTCTGCTTTCAACGTCTAGATTCCTGGATCTATGGACTACCTTTAAAGTTGGTAGAATCTAGAATATGTCACCCCTTCTGCTACTATCGTAGCGGTATTCCTACTGACTACCCTGCTCATAGGCGAAGCTCTATATCTTCAAGAGAAGACCATCGAGAGAAAATGGGAGAATATGCAGTAGACTCACAAGTCTTGCCATGTGGCCTCAAATAGAGCTTAGTGATGCTCCAGAGCTTGGTTTGGCCCCCACTAATATTCAACCCGTGTGACTGTCAGCTTCAAAGCTCCCATCACTGTCCTTCACTTCAGTCATTCATATATCACATACGCCCAGAATCATAAATCAGAAATCTAGTACTTCCGCAGAAATATTCTGACCCACGTCCGATTGGCATTGCCTGAATCATGACCTCCGAGCAACCCTCGCCTTTTCCTCCTGGCCTTCCTATCACAACTCAGCGTCTCTGCATTCAGCCTTTTGATCCAGAGAACCTCACCCACTGTAAATTTCTAGCGCAGCTATGGAATACTGATGACTTCATCAACTCATGTGGCAAGACGAGCATCGACTCCCCCGAAAAAGCTGCGGCATTCATTCGACGGCGTATACTTGCCGACTATGCGCAGAATCGACATGGCCAGTTCCTGGTGTCGCGCCTCGAAGAGAATGACCCCGCAAAGCTTATCGGTTGTGTGTCACTCATGAAAGGGTCCCCGCCTGGCCCGCACTATCTTGCGCCCGACATTGGATTCACAATCTTGCCGGAAGAGAGTGGGAAGGGGTTTGCGTCCGAGGCCGCCAGGGAACTGATTGATTGGGCTCGACGGGAGCTCGACATCCATGCTGTCTTTGGGTTCTGCGCACCAGATAACGCGCGCAGCCGGAGAGTCTTGGAGAAGTCGGGGTTGGAATATCGTGGATCAGCGGCGTTGCGTGTTTTTGGTGACCAAGTCTCTGCCATTTACGCTCTGCCGGACATGGACAGTGATCTGGGAGTCTACAATATGACCGAAGAGGTGCATGGTGCAGCAAGTGAAGGCTCATAGAACGTCCACTCGAGCGGAACGGCTGAGAATCTCGCCGAGGCAATCGGTGGTCAAACCGTCAGTGTGGCTGGTGATTATCAGCCGCACGAAGCTTTGTCAACAACCTAGCCCTTTAGAATATACAACGATATCGGAAATCATCCATTTTCAAATCCATGCAGTAGTGAAACACGAACTTGAAGCAATGGGGAAACCACGAGCATCCATGATGAGAAGAGAGTGGAGCGCTCATGATACATGCGGACGGCCAGCCTGAGCCTGGATCTCTCGATCACCATAATTCGGCGGCCTCAACTTGAGTTTTTGACCAGAAATGTAAATATGTAAGGTATCATCTCCACAGAGATCTGATTGTTTGTTAGACTTGAGATATTCCTCTGTGCCCCCTGACTCGTATGGATCTGGTCCGTCTCAGCTTGCCTCATCACCGCTAGTCTATACCTCTATACAGACTTCTATACACTTTTACAGTGTGTAGTAGTAGCATTACAACCCAAAGGCGGTGGGCTAGAACGAACGCGCAACCTTGTGGAATGAGCGGGCAAAATAGCGACCGCCCAGCCCACACTTTGTCGGATGGCGGGCACACTTTCATCTCCCCTCGAATCAGCGGTTCATCTCACCCCACCTTTGTCCACAGAGTGTCGGTTCTGATTATCAGCTACGAACGGACTTCATACGGCATCTGCGCTGTCTTTCGATACTGCAGTTGGGGCGCGCAGCACCCTGGGGCTGATTAATCCCGAGATCTCGGCGCTGCTCGTATACCCACATTCTCCAACCGTCGACTTCGTCTGAGCGGACCGCATTTCCCAGAGCCTTAATGGGTACCATGATGGAGGACTTCAACAGTGAGACAGATAGTGATTACACAAGCTACTGGCGAGATTGGGTAAGTCCTCAAAGTTCCTGACGATCAACTGAGCTATTCCACCCCACCATTATTTTGCGATCAGGGCAAGGACATGCTTGGTTGCTTGGGCGCGCGCGCATTTGTCGCTTGATGAAAGCACCCCTGCACTTTTCAGCTTTTGGCTTGGTCTGCGATGAGCATGTTTTATGAGCATATTTGAATTCTGCGCCAATGCTCATCTGAGGGCCACGTCTGTATTTTCTTGAAACGCAATGCTGACCAGCCTCTTTTTTAGTTTGTCTCGTCGCGAGGAAATGAGTATTTTTGTGAAATCGACGAAGATTACCTGACCGATCGATTCAACCTCACTGGCTTGAACACTGAAGTCTCCTATTATCAACATGCCTTAGATCTGGTCACCGATGTTTTTGACCTCGAAGCCGAGGATGACCTCCGCGAACAAATCGAAAAGTCGGCTCGTCACCTGTATGGCTTAGTTCATGCTCGCTATATTGTGACGACGCGTGGTTTGGCGAAAATGGTGAGTGAAACCTGAACCTACAAAAAGCCATCGTATGCATTCCAACAGAACGTTGTCTGACGCCGCAATAGCTGGACAAGTACAAGAAGTGCGACTTTGGGAAATGTCCCCGTGTGCTGTGTGACGGTCACCCTCTCTTGCCGATGGGTCAGCATGATTTACCAAACATGAGCACCGTCAAGCTGTATTGCCCGAAATGCGAAGACATCTATAACCCAAAGTCATCCCGCCACGCCTCTATTGACGGGGCTTACTTTGGTACCTCCTTCCATTCCATCCTCTTCCAGGTCTACCCCGCCCTCTTGCCTGAGAAGAGTCTTCGTCGCTATGAGCCCAAAATCTACGGGTTTCGAGTTCACGCCGCTGCTGCCCTCGCGCGCTGGCAAGATAGCTGTCGGGAAGACTTGCAGGATCGGCTGGCTGAATTCGGCATGAGTCATAAATTCATCGAAGAAAGCGACAGCGAAGACGAGAACTTTGAATACGGGGAAGAGAATGAGTCTGCCAGAACTGAAAAGGTTGCTGGGGACGGGGCTTCAGGTCGAATGGACCTCGGCAACTGATTAGATGTGTCTTTTTCACCACCAAACCTACCTTACCCGGGTGTCCTCCACGGGCAATCATAAACAACTGGCGCAAATGGGATAAGTGATAATTTCCGGAGCATCAATTCCTATTTTATATGCTTTACGACTAATGGCGTCCCTTTAAGTGCCGCATGGCGTGGCTAAGATTTGTTCTTCTTCAAGCAATGTATCTACATCATTCCCTACAAAACCCCTGAAATGATAACCCTGATCCCAAATGAGAAGAGGTCATAGCGACTATCGGTCCCTGAAGAAACACGAGCTGATCCCTCGGCCACAGGTTTGATGTACAAAGCAGGAAATGTAATCCAAAGTATATGCATGAGGATTGCAGGTAGCAGATGAGGTGGCCGGATGTTACAATTCTCTCACACTCACGCTCGAGCTGCAGACTCCGGACACAGGCCCATCTTTGAAAGCTCTGCGAATGCCGTTGCGATTGCGCGCGCAAGCTCATGGCCCTGCTTCCAAGCATCATCGTGTCCTCCGCTGATGGGGACAACCCGCACGCGGCGTTCTCCCGAGGATAATTCTTGCTTTTCAATCTGCGCCTCTCGCGCTTCCCAGGCCCGAAGAACTTCTCTCATCGCCTCGAGCTGGGCCTTTTCCACGAGTTCATCATCATCGGAGTGCACCAGCACCGCGAGTCTACCAGTCTTCCACCCTCCTTCCACCCCGCGAGGGCCCACCATTTGAGCTGGCGAGACAGCATCCCACAAAGTCTCGTCTGCTCCGAATGCTCCTTCGACGAATTGGCGGTACTCGACAATATCCCGATGCGACTTCACAATTGCGCGTAGGTCGTAGATACCTGCAACGCCAATGATGGCCGCCGGATGCGCCGACAGACGCGGGGGAAGTGGTTCAGGCGACGAACTCACTGGCTCAGTTTGCACATCGCAACCATTAGTGCCTTGGTCAGAGACCTGCTCGCGATGTCCCGCTATCGCGCCCATAACCGCCTGAAAGGCGAGAGTGGCGCCGCAGCTGTGGCCAACGAGGATGTACCGCTGACCGAAGTTGTATGTGTTTTGCAAGAATGCCAATGCCGCTTCGACATCGCGGATATGGTCTGGGTGCTTCGCTTTGCGGTATTCTTCCGCAGGTGTGGTATTCTTGTCCTGTGGGAACTTTACACTGGCGCTGAGTCGGTAATTGAGCGAGGCGAAGCCTGCAAATGGTAGATCGTAGTTGGCTTGCAGGACGGATTTGGTAGTCTCGAAAGACTCCGCTGTGATCCGGGGATCACGCCAAGCACCTCCATGGATGTAGCTGTGATAAGCCTGGGATGTCAGTTTCTTGGTCCTGCTTTCTCGGGAGTGATCTCGCTTTTTATTCGGTGCGTCGCCGAATGGAATCGGGGGACAGGATGATATGTTATTCGTACATGATCCAGTAGCCGTTCTTTTGATCTTCACATGGCTCCACGACAACGCTCTGTAACGGGTCGTGCCGTCCATAGTTCAGCTTCCTCTGCATCTGCCTGGACTCCATGATGGATTTTGCAGGTTGTGTATTGAAGCTACATGACTGGGAGTAGGATCAGTCCGCGCCCTGTTCTTAATGCTCGGTTTATCGGGTCGGATGGTATCGATAGCGCGGCTCGGAAGTGGGACAGTCTCCGACATGACTCCTTGAGTGTCCCAGTGTTCAGTGTATGTTTATATGTTATGCAAGATGTTACTTTCACCTTTTGATGCAAAGACCGCATAATCATCACTTGTACTCAACCCTGTGTCACTAGCCTAAGCTGAAGTGATGAGAGCTAAAAAATGTATAGGACTACGGTAACTTGTAAAAGTAGGGTGTGAAGGGGTAATACCAGCGTACCTGCCCCTCTTCAACCGCCCACCGCCTTACCGTATTTACGACAGGAACTATATCACGCTAAGCCCAAAAGGAAATTGTTCGATGGGCTCCTTTCACACAAACCGTGCATCTGCCCCATCCTCAAGTCCAACCTCACCACATCCACACGGTGCAACCACACTTCAATATGGCTGAGTATGTGATCATTGGAACCCTGATATGAAGGCTTATACTGACCCTGGTATAGAACACAAGCCCCCTTCGCGGCCGTCAAGGTCGAGGCTTTGGTACGATCTCTGCCCGAATCTTGAAAATCTTCCCCCCCCCCAAATCCTCGGCAGCCAGAAATACTGATGCTCGAGGCTTCTAGGTGGTGATGAAAATCATCAAGCACTGTTCCCAGACCTTCCCGACCACCGCGACCGGTTCCCTCGTCGGCATGGACGTTGATGGTACCCTGGAGGTCACCAACACTTTCCCGTTCCCCGTTGTTGAGATGCCCACCGAGTCGCACTTTGACAATGCCGCTCCCAACCCGGCCGCCGCCGCTCCTCGCGCCAAGTCCAACGTTGCATACCAGGCCGAGATGGTGCGCATGCTCCGCGAGGTCAATGTCGATGCCAACAACGCCGGTTGGTACACCAGCGCAAACATGGGCAACTTTGTCAACATGAACGTTATCGAGAACCAGTTCTTCTACCAGAAGGAGTTGAACGAGCGGACGGTGGCTTTGGTTCACGATGTTTCGCGCAGTGCTCAGGGTAGCTTGAGCCTGCGTGCGTTCCGTCTTTCTGCCAAGTTCATGGAGGCTTTCAAGGACAACAAGTTCACCTCTGAAGAGTACGTGAAAAGAGCTTGCTGTGCTGCGATGAAGCGCCTGCCCACGGCTCTTTTGTGTTCCTCCGGCTAACAGAATTCGGAATGTAGTTTGCAAAAGTCCACCCTCCGTCACCAAGATATTTTCGAGGAGCTGCCCGTTCAAATTCACAACTCTCACCTGATCACCTCCTATATCCACCAGTTGCAGGCCCCCGCTGCCTCTAGCCCCACCGATCTCCCCGCCTCTCTCAGCGCTCTCGAGGCCGGCCCCTTCTCCAAGCACAACACCCTCACTCCTAACTTCGACAACCTGTCTCTGAATGTTGACCCCTTCCTCGAGAAGAACTGCAACCTCCTGTTGGACAGCATCGAGGCTCACAACACCGAGGTCAACAACTACCAGTACTACCAGCGTGTGCTCGGTCGTGAGCAGCAGAAGATCAACAACTGGAAGCAGAAGCGCTCCCAAGAGAACGCCACCCGCGCCACGCTCAAGCAGCCTCTCCTCCCTGAGGATGAGTGGCAGCGTCTGTTCAAGCTCCCTGCTGAGCCAAGCCGTCTGGAGAGCATGCTCAACACTCGCCAGGTTGAGCAGTTCTCTCGCCAGGTCGACAGCTTTGTCTCCTCCACGACCGGCAAGATGTTCGCTGTGAAGGGAAACTTGCTGCCTGGTGAGACTGCTTAAACGCACCACTCTACCAGAGTCCAGCATCGGCGGTGAAAGTGGGGAAGAGAGAGAGAGAGAGAGTGATGCGCCTCGGCTTCGGGGCTTTTTGAGTATTGCATGAAACCTTTTTACGGCGTAGGGAGGGAAAATATTCTCTGGGATGTTTATACGACTTCCTCTTTTTGCTTTCTTTGTATTCGGTGACGATGGGCTAAGTCTCTGTTCGACTTGCCAGCCGTCCATAGAACACAATGACTCTATCTAGATATGACTTTGACACTACTTTTTTTCACTGTCTCTTTCTGTTGACTCGAATGCTGCCCTGCAGGAAGGTGGTATATGATTGTCCAACTCAGTTGATCCCAACTGTCCCGTCTTACTGTTTAACTGATTAATAGTATGTCTGGGCCGATCTAGACCGGAGCAATGATAGCCCTAAGCAATATAGGGCATCCTAGGTCACATGACTATGAGAATGACCTCATGGATCCATCACCTTATCGCGATCATCGATGGGCGATAAGATCGCAATCAGGGCAAATGTGACCTGATGGCGTGTAGATGTACGCGTTCACGCAGCGTTGTTTAGACTCCTTCCAATTGAATTCTCAAGTTCTCCTGATTGCATACTAGAGCTATGTACAATACGCATACAGATATTTGGGTGGTGAGTGACTAATGTAGCTGCTTATTATCATAAATCTGCTGTGCAACTTGCCTTGGAAGCTCAGTACCTCGGGATTGAGCAGAGTCCGGATTCCTGAGGTCACAAGCTAACTTTATCCCATCAAGGCCGGTGCTTTCGCCGCAATTGTGGTGGATTTTTTTGTCTATCCAGTGGACACGCTCAAAACACGCATCCAATCACCGGAATATGAGAAAGTCTTCAAGGATGCGCAGACAAGAGCGATAAAACGAGACGTGCTCTTTCGGGGTCTTTACCAGGGTGTTTGGAGTGTCGTCTTCTCGACGATACCTTCATGTAAGCTTGTCCTTGTCCTTTTGAAAACCATCTTCCTAGTTCATCGGTGTGAGACACGAGTCCTACGGTACTCTTTGTTCATTGAAATTGCGTTGCGTCAATTTCCAATCCTCTTCACCATGTGTCTACCACAAACCAGTCCTAGCTCAGCTAACCCCGTTTTTGCATTGCTCCCCTTTCAGCAGGAGCCTTCTTCACCACTTACGAGGCTATCAAGAGCACACTGCACGGCTCATCGACCAGATCCACCAAAAATGGTAACCCACAAGACTACTACTCCAAATCTCAAACGGGGATACGCCTCCCCTTCACGCACTCCCTACCCAGCCCCATCATCAACGCAATCGCCTCGTCGTCCGCCGAAGCCGTCTCATGCTTCATGCTCACACCCGCCGAAGTCCTCAAACAAAACGCCCAAATGGTTCAGTCGGGTCAAAGGCACAGTGGCCAATACGCCGACGTGAGCGCCATGCGCCAAGTGTTGGCCCGGTTCAAGGGCCACCCGTGGAAACTGTGGAATGGGTATTTCGCCCTGCTGGGCCGCAATCTTCCGTCGACGGCTATTCAGTTCCCATTGTTCGAATATATCCGGTCACGCGTTGTTGAGAAGTACAGGAGACGTAAAGCGGCGGGCTTATCTTTGGATAATTCGGATAGAGCCTCGAGGACAAAGGAGACTTTGATTGAGCGGGCTGGGTTGACGGGATTTTCGGCTTCGATTTCCGGATCCGTTGCTGCGATCATCACGACGCCGATTGATGTGATCAAGACGAGGGTGATGTTGTCGGCGAGTGAGGCTGCGCCTGAAGAGTCTAGGGTTGCTGAGAAGCAGAAGGAGGTTCGCGGCTCGAAGCAAAAGGGTACGTGGGCGGTTGGCAAGCAGATCTTCCGCGATGAGGGGGTTCGCGGACTTTTCAGGGGCGGTGCGATCCGGAGTGTTTGGACTGCTGTTTCGTTGAGTTTGTATCTTGGGCTTTATGAGGGTGGGCGGCTCTATCTTGAGAACCGTCGGCGAAGACTTGAGCAAGAGGATTGATAAAGTTTACAGCTAGATATAATTCCCAGCGTTTTGGCCGATGCATAACGCATACCAGCGTCTTAACAATGTAAAACCACATAAAATCAATCTCACTTACAGAAAATGACTCGACCATGTTGTAGACATAGAATTATTTCACCGTGAATGTCACAGCCCAGACCGAGGTTCCCATATTCTGTCGAAAATTCTCCCTACTGCGTGCCAGGGGTGTAGGGGCTCCATTACTGGGTAAGGTTCACATGGTGTCCATCATATTCGTTTCGCTGGTAGGCTATACACGTAAATCATCATATCGTAATTGTCGTCAAGAGTCGGGTTGTGTCGAGGCGTATGTAAACATAGCCTCAGGTGATACACCGTCAACATAATTGAAGGAGTATCGAGGAAATCACAAACATAAAGAACGCATTTTCGCCATAAACACCACCTCAACCTTTTCTTTCCACTTCTTGTATAGATCAAGACGAATAGGATCGTCCATCAACGCTGATCACACAGCCCATCAAATACCAGAGCGGTGAGTTAGAAGTTAGAAACCAGTCAGTTTCTTGAACCAGCTTGGTTTCTTCGCATCAACACCTCGCTGCGGGGGTAAACCACCACGCCGACTCTCAGGCTGCGATCGCATTCCACGGTCACGCTCATACTCTCCACTCCCGGAACTACTCTTCATCCCTTCACGGCGAGATCCGCGTCGCCTTGAACGTACATCGTCCGGCTCCTCCTCAGCCATCTCACCATACTTGGCACGACGACGAGCCCTTCGGCGCGCAGCACGGCGTGCCTCTTCATCCGAAGAGAGCGAATGAGTGTTCTCGACGGCCGCGGCTTCGTCCGGCGGGAGGTCGATGAGCGTGGGTACGATAGGCGGCGGTTCAGGATGCTCTTCAGCTTGTGAGTAGACCCACTTGGAAATCTTATCTTTCTTGGGCCCACCTGTATCCCCATGATTGAGGCCACCCATTCTTAATGGCGCCCGCACTGGCTCCAGCGGAGGAGCGACCTTTGAACGACGTCGACGGGCTTTGTCGTCGACGACTCGGGATCCGCGACGGCTATCAAGTTGCTCTTCAGGTGTGTAAAAGTCAATTGGTGGCTCTTCGGCTCGGGCTCGACGGTGCCGGGTTTTCGCAGCCATCATTTCTTCTTCACGTAGTCGGCGACGTTCGCGACGTTCCGCGATTTTTGCCTCTTCGGCAGCGGCCGCTTCGCGTGCTGCTTGTTCCTCGCGGGCTCGTCGTTCTTCGCGTGCGGCACGGCGGATCCGTCGTTCCTCCTCTCGACGCTGCTCCTCTTCTGCACGAGCTTGTTGCTCACGTGCCTCACGCTCTCGAAGTTTCTCCTTGCGACGGGCACGACGTTCCTCCGCTTCGCGTGTCTCAACCTCTCGTGTATCTGAAGTCACCTGTCGGGAAGTGCGTTTCGCTCGGCGAGCAGCTCGGCGAGCCTCTGCATCCTCAGGTTCTGCTTCACCACCAGCACCCTGGCCGGCAGCGTCAGTGGTAAATCCTTCAACGTCTGTCTCCGCCTTTCCAGGCCTTCGACGTCGTTCCTCGCGGCGCAGTCGACGCTCTTCGCGTTCTGGTTCGGTGAACTGTCTGCCATCCTCGTCGCGATATGAGCGTGACTTTCGACGATCAGGCATCTCCGGTCGCGTGGGCTTTCGCAGCGATCCGATGAAGCCCATAAACCCCCCAGAGTCCGACTTTTTGGGCGTTGTGTTGGAGCGTTTCAGGCGGCGCTCACGAGGTGGCGCGTCGGCAAAGGCCATTTCATCGGCACCTGGAAAAACTTCTGGAGCGCCGCGAGCTTGCTCGGCGTCGACCATGACCGCATCTTCTTCGGCAGGCTTTGATCGGGACTAAATAGCGGTTAGAACAACAGCCGTCAGCCGAATCTGCTACTTCCCGATGAAGTTGGGGGTTAGTGCAGCTCACCTCCCGATTCGACCTGCGCTTTGACCCTCGCGAACCCTCTTTGGGTGATTGACCGTCAACGTCTTCCATGTCGACAATGACCAAGTCATCATCCTCCACTAGAGCAGAATCCCGCTTAGCTATACAATGGAGTTTAGTATGGATGACATTGAATCAGGAGGTTCCTATTTAGAGTTCCGAACACATACCTGACTTTCGTCGCTCAGCACGTGGCCGCTCGTGTTTAGATCTTGAACCGTTGACGCCCATCAACTTTGCGGCCTTCTCATTCATCCCGTACTTTACATCTGGAGGTGCTGGTGACATAGCACCATCGGCCTCATGATCGAAAGATGGGCGTCGAGAAACTGGTTTAGAAGAGGGCCTTTTCGACGAGGTTTCGGTTTTCCTGATGGACTTGGTCCGCGGTGAAGGCTGGCCAAAAACCAAACCGGATAGAGTGTCTGCGCGCTGCGGTTTGGACAGACGCCCTTCACGTTCTCGCTCTCGCTCCCTCTCCCGGTCTTTGCGCTTTTCTCGATCAGATGAAGATCTCTCTACTTCACGTTCAGCGTCTTTCGGACGGGATTTGGTAGATTTTGACCGAGCCTTGACGGGGGAGGATTCACGCGCCGCCCTCTTCTCTTCCTCTCTTTTTTTTTTTCTTTTCTTGGGTGATTCCGCATCTTCGCTCGTCTGAATTCCCTTGACGTCCTTAGGCTCCCTCTTGCTCAATTTCTTGGGCGGTGGCGCAGATCCCCAGAAGCCCCAAGCATTGCTGCTCGTAGTACGATCAACGCGAGGGCGATCTTTCTTGGAGGATTTCGGAGGCTCTTCGTCGGCAGGTGGTGGCGGTGGAACAGCTCCATCGCCATCTTGATCGACCCCAGACTCGGGTGCTGGTTCGGGTTCGGGTTCGGGTGCTGGTTCAAGCTCGGCCTCGGGCTCAGGCTCGGGCTCGGGCTCAAGCTCTGCGGCTGGCTCAGGCTCAGGATCGGGAGCTGGAGCTGGAGGTTCCTCAACCGGGGGAGGCGCGGGTTCCTTAGCAAGTGCTGCGGCAGCGGCAGATTTCTTCCATTTTTTCATCTCCTTCTTTGACATCTTGGACAAGTCGGGAGCGGGTGGTTCTGGCGCTGGTTCTGGAACAGGCTCCGGCTCCGGCTCCGGCTCCAACTCGGGTCCTATCTCTTCGATTTGCTCTGGCTCAATCACTTCAGTTTCTGGTTCGTCAGGGAAGCTCCCCGGGATTGAATCCGTGGATACTTGTTTACCATTGTCGAGCTCGGGCAGAGGTTCCTCTTCCGGTTCTGGCTCTGGGTCTGGCACAGGTACGGGCTCTGGTTCAACTGGCTTGCTGGAAGGCAACTCAAAGTCTTTTCCGGGGATGGGAAGTCCTTTTTGAATGAGCTTCTTCTCGCGCTTCTTCCGGTCCTTAGAAGACAACGTGTGCCAACCTTCGTAGAGGGGATCATCGTGAACAGGGGCGGGTTCTGGTTCTGGGTCTGGTTCTGGCTCAGGTTCCGGTTCCGGTTCTGGGTCTGGTTTAGGATCTTGTTCAGTAAGGGGCTCAGGTTCCGACTCCAATGCCTGGGGTTCGATCTCGAGTTCGGATGCCTTCGATTTCGATTTCGAGGTTGATTTACCTTTTTTCAGTTTGTCCTTTTTGATTTGCTCCAAGGCTTCGATGCGCTCAGCGACAGACAGTTTTCCAGTGGACTGGAGCTTCGATGCCTTCTCGACGACAGGTGCCTCAATCACTGGTTCAGGATCTGGTTCAGGCACGACCTCGGGCTCAAGAGCAATCTCTGTTTCCCCGGAAGGCTCATGATCAACCTCAACGAGAAGATTCTCTGACTCCTCGGGCATCTCCTCCTTGGACTTTAATTTTTCCTTGGTTGCCTTAGATTTGGCAGAAGACCCTCCAGTCAGCGATGCCCAAAATCCCTTTGCGGCTGGCTTCTCTTCCTTTGCCGGTTCCAGGTTCTTGGACTTCTTTAGCTTTGACTTTGGCGCCAAATCACCCCAGGTTTCATCCGCATTTTCAACGGATTCGGGCTCGGGGGTCAAGCCCTGGGGTGGTGGATCAGGCGCTGGTGGTGGTGGTTCATCAAAGGTTTTCTTCTTCTTTTTGTCCTTAGTAGTACCCCAAATGCCCCAGGAGTCGTTTTCAACTGGTTCGATGGGTTCTAGTACGGGCTCGGGCTCCGGTTCTGGCTTCGCCAATACAACGGGTTCTGGTTCAGGCTCGGGGGCAGGGGAAGGTACCGATTCAGGTTCGATTGGTTTTTCTGTGGGAAGTTCAAAGTCCTTTCCAGGAATGGGAAGACCTTTTTGAACTAGTTTCTTCTCACGCTTTTTCCGATCTTTGGAGTTTAGGTTGTGCCAATTGTCGTACAAGGGGTCGTCATGAACAGGGGCTGGTTCAGGTTCCGGCTCAGGTAAAACCTCTGGCTCCGGCTCGGGTTCTGGCTCAGGCTCTGGGGCGGGCTCCTCAATCTGGGGCTCTGGTTGGGGCTCTGGTTGGGGCTCTGGTTCAGGCTCTGGTTCATTTTGACCTTTCTTCTTCTTCTTATCCTTGACAGGCAAGCCCCAGGAGTTCCAGGAGCTTTCCTCTTTGACCTCCTCGGGCTCGGGGGCTGGGGGAGGCGCTGGCGCCTCAATCAAAGGTTCGGGGTCTTTCTTTGATTTCTTGTCCTTTTTACCCGCAAGACCCCAACTTGAGCCCCAGTCGTCTTCTGCAGGAGCAGGCTCAGGATTTGCGAGTAGATCAATTTTCTTCTTATTTTTGTCCTTCTTGGGCGCAGCCCAGCCCCAGTCGTCGTCACCGTCTGCTGGTGCATCAGCCGCTGGCTCTGGCGCGGGGGGTTCTGGAACAGATGGTGGTTCAGCTGCTTCCCTGGCTTTCACGGCTTCATCGTAGGCGGCCTGTTTCGCTGCATTCGATTCTTGGACCCGCTTCAGCTCGACTTCGGCATCTTTCACCTTCTTTTCCCAATCCTTTTTGGCCTTTCGCTGCTCCTTTTTGGAAAGTCCGATGTACCAGGGGTCTGTCAGGATGTTTCCCGGGATCTCGGGCTCGGGCTCAAGGTCAAGGTCGGGGAGTGGTTCCAATGTAATTGACTCTGGAATAACCTCTGGTTCGGGATCCGGGTCAAGCAGACTCTTTTGCTTCTTGTCCTTCGCGGGCATACCCCAGGAATTCCAGTCTTCCTCCGTCTTCGTGGCTTCAGCGGGCGTGGCTCCCAAGTCGCCAAAGTCGAAGCCGGTGGCCGCTTTCTTTTTGCCCCAAGGATTGTTATCTTTGGGCTCTTCTTTGGTAGGTATGTCTCCAATCGCACCAAGATCCCATTTGTTGCTCGCTGCACCACCCCCTGTGTTCCAGTCCTTACCCCAGCCGCCAAAACTGAAACCAGTGCCCCCAGTCTTTGGCCCAGTGTCAAAATTGAGGTCCAGTTGGGGAGCGGTGTGATCGAGAGTGACATCTTCAAATGACCCTGGAGGTGGCTCGTCCTGATGATAGGATTCAGCATCTCGAAGAACTTTGCTCTTGTCTCAAGCGGAGTTTCTGACCTACCTTGTCCTTCTTTTTCTTCCCTACCGCCCCAAATCCCGCCCAGTCATCGCCTCCTCCTCCTCCACCGCCATTATCATCGACATTATCAGCCCAGCTGAGATTGTCTTTGGCAGCGGCTTCGGCTGCCTGTTTCTCCTCCTCTTCTTCTTTTTCCTTCTTGTTCTTTTTCTTGCCTCCAGTGGCAGTGCCCCAAGTATCCCAGTCCTCACCACCGCCATCGCCACCTCCCTCGTCACCTCCTCCGGCGCCTCCGCTGCCATTGTCTCCACCACCTCCATCGCCTGACCCCGCGTTCCCCCCGGCATTGGCATCGCCGCTCCCCTGGTCATCACCTCCCCCTCCTCCACCCCCATCATTGGCGCCACCATTGTTGTCAGGCGGAGGTGGGGGAGCAGCTGCTTTCTTGGGCCCCTTCTTCTTCCCTTTGTGCTCGCGCACACCGGTCACGGTTTCGAAATCAATGTCGACCCTTGACGAGAAATCTTTGAATATAGACTGAATTTGTGGTCTTGGATTGGTGGTAGTGGTGACCGGCGGTGCGGGTGGAAGCGCAGTCTTTCGATGCGCGAGGGCTGGAAGCCCGAAGAATTCGGGCGGAAGATCATTCAAGGCCTCGTCGTACGAGGGAGGAGGGTCGTTATACTGCGGGGGCGCAGGGAGATCTGGTATGGGCGTCTCGGAATCCGCAATCTTGTTCAAGTGCCGATGCGTCATCCTGGACGGATTCTGTACAAGGGCTCGCCACACATCGTCAACAAGATTCTCTACCGTATGTTCCCAACACGTAGTGTCGCATCTTGTCCGGGGAACGGAATCTTTGTGCGCGAGGACCGAACACGTAGCGGGCGCAATCACCTCCATGCTGTCGACAGTACATGCGATAATCTCCTCACAAAGGGCCTAAACCGAAAACTCCTCTCACTTGAACTCGAACTGAGACAACATGGGGCAGCGTTTTCTGGCCCGAGTTGCGCGCAATACAGGCCGCTATCTCGAAGATGCAAGCGCTTAGTTTCCCCGAGCTTCGGAGTTCTGCGGGCGTTGTTACGGCGCAGGAGACCCTTGGAATGTCTTGAGCTCCGGAAGATGGAAGCACTCAGCACGTCCGGCGTGGAGGGAGGCTGGAGAATCTTTGTTGTATAGTTCCAAAGGGGTGGTGGTAAAGCGTTGATGGTGTTGCTGGTGACTTGGACGCCCGTCCCACAATGCGGGCACTTTCTATGCGACCAGATAGAAGCGGTCTATGCGGAGTCAGAGGAGCAATCTGCGAAAGTTTACCGGGCAGCAATGAGTGGGCACTGGAGCGAAGAAAAAGGGAACTAACTACAGGCAAATGCTGGGGTGGAGAAGGTAGGGATGGAAAAAGACATTGGGGGAGCGGTGGAGGGTTTGATCGCCGGTGATCTGAGCCCGCACGTTCACGTTTGTGTACCTTCTTTCCCGGTGGTACTTTTCTCCTTGGAGATGACTCGAGGAGTCGAGGTGGGTAAGGTACCGCGGGGCGGGTGGTCAATATCACTGGTGTGGATGTACTCCCGACCCTTGGCACAAGTTGTGGGGACTTTGTACTTGCACCGAGGAATGTACCTACTACCTACTGAGGTACCCATGTCCTTTTGCTAGAAGAGAAAGAGGTGCTACTCTACCATCTATCTCGCCTTGTCCTTTCGACAAACTTGACGTCCGAAAAGATCATGAAGATGTACACGGATCAAATACCGCGCAGTCACAAGGCATTACTAGAACTGGGGGGAAAAATCAGATCTCGGTCGAACCAGAAGAAAGAGGAAGGCTGGGATCGAGTGGCGCGGGCCCTCCGTGCACGATCCGTTGGAAATTTGTATAGTACCTTATGGAAGGAGTCTGTCTGGTGATGGATGTGCCAACCTCCGAGGGGGTATTTGCCTCTCTATGCGGTCTCGATTATGAACACAGTCAGAAGAAGAATCAAAGCTGCAAGTCAATGTCTTTGTCAAGGTCTAGGAGTAAACTTACAGTACTATTGCAGTGGACATTGAATATGCAGGTTGTTGAGGCCCACCGTGCACGATGTAGCCCGACCACACGGCGTGACGACTCTATCATCTCGGTCTGCGAACATAATAACGATACTCAAATGGTAGAAATCCGTCGGTCAGGAGGCTACAGTACCAGCAGGTCGGAGACGCGTCCAAGCTTCCCACCTGCAGTCCGAATGACTCTCGCATCACCAGTTGCACAAGCAGGCAATCTTAATAAGAGGCACGTAACCCTAGTAAGCCTCCACCTGCAGTTTCCAGTAGGAAGTCAACTCGGATTGATTCCCCTTCCATGTCATTATGGCTACGAGCTAGTAGCAGGCAATAATATGGAGTTAATAATCAGACCACTTGACTCTGTATCCTTGTTGCACTCTCGTCGAACGTATTCAGTCCCCCACTTCTCTCGTTGACTTTGTTCGTGAATTTGTACAGGTCTGTTCTCCACCCTGCAGCATCGGCCTGACATCGCGCGCGAGGGTAAGCCGACCTATCGATGGTGAAAGTGCCCCTCCTTGACCATTACTTCGAAGCAGGGGGGATCTCTCGATCCCTGGCCACGGGCGACATTAACGAGTGGACTTGCAGACTGCAGTCTGGATCTGAGTCTGTGCTGCGTCCGTGTCCTGCATCCTGCATCTTGCATGCCGCACCCTGCACCTGAACCTCTTTTTTTTGTGTTTTGACTTGGACTGTTTCCAGTCCAAGGTGTCTGTCTATTCACCACCGACCACTCTATACAATTTTGATAGAGCGCTCCGTAGAATAGTACAGGTATTGCATCAATTTGTAAGAACGCAATCACTTTGAAGAGGTCGTCATTGCTGAGTATCGACAACTCTTGTACAATCAAGCTGTTCAGTACAGTGTACAGTGTGAAGTGTACAGTGTACACACATTACTGATTCAGGTGATCTGATTACGGTGTACCAAGGTAGAGCACGTGGATCCATCACCCATGGTTCCCTACAAAAAGACCCCCAAAGCGCCCTCTCACCAAGACAACCCAAAGCCACGCTGGAACAAACTCATCTGCCATCCATGGATGCCCGATGGGCGGGACTGATCCACGGATAGACCCGTCTGCATGGCATCATGGATACATTAACCATCAACATCCGACAAGGCCCTTCCCAGAAACCTCCAGCTTGATTCCACCGATGAATCCATGAATTAGCTGCTGGGCTCTGCAGATGCAGACCGGGACAAACAATTGCTGCGCACGTTGGCCGTGGAGTACAATCGCTGCAGTATTTATGCAATATAGATGAGTAAGTCAGTCAGTCAGTCAGTCAGAGTGGTACAATGGAAGAATGGATGGATGTTCTCCATCGATGCGGTCCAGAATGGATCCCAAATGCATGTTCCCGTTGAACATGAGCAGCCCAACGTGGAGTTGCAGATAGTCAGACACTAGACGGACAAGTGGAGGGGTTCTTACTCAGAGTCTCTATGTTGCTTGGAAGTGACCCGACTCTGAAGAACATGTTGAGGGCCTGGATAAATCGATGCATCCTGCCCTGTCTGTCATGGATGACTGCACTTGTAACGTGGTCTGCGTCTGTATGTGTGGCGTGCAGGGACAACTGCCTAACCTGGAATCATCACGGTGGATGGCCTGCGTCCTTGATTAGGATAGCCGAAACTTGTACACCACTCTAGGGATCTACATATTTACTTTTACACGAGACTGAAGACTTGCGGCAAAGAAATTGAATATGTAGTTCAATCTCAAACTACACACGACTTCAGCAAGTTCACCGAGTACCGCCCGCCCGACTCTACCAGTACCGAGTGATAGCCATACAGCGACATTATTACACGATAAACAGAATGGATTGTCATCGCCGCTGTTCGCTACAGAAATGTTGCAACACCCTTCGCACGGAAAGTCAATCTACAACATCACCTCTTCGCCAAAACAATCCAAGCACTGTCCATGAATTGAACCACTTGGGCGCCCTACACGCGCCGACTACCCAATTGAGCTGGGAACAGTTAGTGTCGGAGGAGAAAGTTCGCTGGTCTCTTTCTCACCGCCACTTCGAGGCGCGGACCAAAAAGAGGAATACAACCACGGTGATCATGCATATGGTAGAAGAAATCCACTCCCACGACTCACCAGACCAAAGCGGGGAAGAGGTTCCTTGTCCACTCTGGGAATTGACACCGTTGGACTGATGGTCATTATTGTCGGACTTGCTGAGTCGTAATCTTTCTTTTGGACATGGGGTCGACTGGGCGTGCAGCGTGCTAGAAAGGCGTAAGAGAGACCGGAGAAGATAGTTTGAGTACTTGCCAAGGTCGGGGCGGTGGACAGAGGAAAATGAGTAATTGAGCATGTCGCTGGAGAATTTCTGTAATGTCAATGATATTCCCTCGGCGTCGGGAAAAATTCTACATATGATAAATGATATGATCGATGAACTCCGGGTTCACCCAGTAACAACCAGGGGCCCAGGCCGTCGGTGTAGAGAACAACGACCTGGGAGGCAGGGGCTTTCTACATCAACAAAGCATGACTCGTGGACAATAGTACGTAGGCTGCCAAGCGCGTAGAATACAACAATAAAAAAGAGGGAATTGAGCGACAGAAAACGGACTCAAACAGTTGCCACACAAAGATACAAGACACATGCCCTCAACCGAAGCGCACCGAGCCTACGCTCACCCCATCCTATTCATCATCCTAGAAAGCCAGAGAACTGACTTTGACTGTCACCGCTCAAGTCTTCTATGTTTATGGGTTGGTGGACTTGGCTTTGGGAAGGGGAGCATCCTCGCCATAGACCTCACGGTACTCCTCACGGTAGCGATCCTGGTCGCGTCCAGCCTTGTCAAAGTAGGGCTGTACATAACATCGGTCAGTCTTGGTCTCTGCTTCAACGTGACAGAACGGAACTGTCATCCGCAAGTCTTACCTTCTTCTCTGCATCAGTCAAATCTTTCCACTCCCCGGAAAGCCGCAGGGACGCGTCCTTGACGGCAAGGTGCTTGAAGTCGCCGCTCTCGTGACGCTCCTTCATGAACCACAAGTACGGGCTCAGAGGAGCCTTCACCAGCCGCTCGTCATGGATACCATAGTACTTTTTGTGACCAAGACGGCGAAGGTGTTTGCGAGCAGTGTTGGCTTGCTTGATCTGGATCGGCGTGTACTGAAGAAGCCACGCCTCATAGGAAGCCTCGTTCGCAGCTCGATTTTTCTCGGCTTGTTCGATGAATCGCTGCCGGTGAACATTAGCACGGCGCTTGCATGGACTTGATAATATAAGCCCCACGAGAGAGCAAACAGACTCAACGTACATCGGCTTCTGCAAGTCGTTGAGCGGTGACCTGTTCGACGGCTTCCTTGAACGTCTCAACTGGAGAGCGAGAAGAGGATTGGGTCTTCAGTTCGTTGAGCTTGGATTGAGTTGCAACCGCTCGGGAGGTTTGAGGCAACTTCTTAGGAGGCTGAAGCGCTGTTGTCTTGAGCTGCTTCAGAAGCTCGCGGCTCTCCTTCTTTTCTTTGGCTTCTTTCTGCTTCTCGGTCAATTGCCGCGCTGGCTTCTTGGTGGATTTCTTGTCTTTGGTGGGCTTGGCTTCGGTCGCGTAGGATTGCGATCGTTGTCCAGCATGCACTGAGCGAATTGACCCAGCAACGGGCGTCGAGGGTCGTGAGTTTGATGTAAGCGACAGACGAGCGAGCTGGCTGTAAATGGTGGTCACGCGGGTTTGGAGCGGCGACGCATCGCCGAGGCAAAGGCGCCGCAGCGCACTAGCGCGAGCCACTCGTTGAAGAGACATGAATAACGAAGAGAGGTGTGATTGCGAGTCAGCTCTCAATTGGCGTACAGAAATCTGTCTTGGTAAGCCTGGGAGTTTGTGGAAGCTGATTAGTGAGGACCGAAGATGGTAGGTAGGTAGCTGTGGAACACTCACTGACGCAAGCGGGCAGGGGAGGCTGGAACGCTTAATTGAGCCAAGAAACCAAACAATCAAACAGGCACACAAGCCGTCGCAGGCGCGTCTGACATTCGTTTGGGTCGGAGCCGCGTTTGGACAAGCGTATCAAACACGTGACCGGTGTCTGTATGTCTCCACGTGATAATGCCGCGGCGGTCCCAGTAGAGTCCAGGCGCAAAAAGTCCAGCCGGCGAGCATGATGCACAGCTACATTGACAGTGCATCATCTCATTGAAAGCTCAGACAACACGAGTGCCTAGCTATCGGGCGAGACTACTTCGAAGCGCGTTGAACATCTTCTCAAGCTCCTCGTGATCTAACAATCTGGTGCCTGCGAGTTTCAGTAATACTCACTCATCGTTGGCCTGTGAAAATGGCTCGCCACGGGGATACTCGCTCACCATCTCCTGTAGGCAGCACATATTCTTCATCTCGTCGCAACCGCAGAGATGACGACCGCTACGACAGACACAGAAGGGATGATGGACGCGGTTATCGCAGGTCCCGCAGTCCAGAGGTGAGTGAGCATGTGGATATATCATTATCTTTGGATAACTAGGTTTACTAATACACCTATGATTTTTTTTTCCAGCGGCGATATCGCGATTATCCACATGGCCGGGACAGAGATGGCTACAGACGCCGTGATAGATCGATAGACCGACGAGACGAAGACACCTATCGCCCCAATCGAAGAGATCGGTCTCGTGAGCGCCGGCGATCTAGAGATCGAGATGACGACCGAGGCTATCGTCGCAAGAGTCGCGATAGAGATTATCGACCTCGGAGGGATGACTCGCGGGATCGAGACCGGAGACGTACAGACGATCTTGCCGATCCAAAGCACAAGCCCAGACGAGTTGACAGTCAAGACCGTGGCGGATCTCGACGCTCGAGGTCCCGTACTCAAGAGGTATGTCCCGCAAACCACGAAATTATTCCAAGTCAAGCTTATGATGCTTACCTCAATTTGCAGCCATCGAAACCTGCTACTCCTGCCCCCACTGCGCCGCCTGCCGCTCAAACCGAGGAGCAAAAAAAGGCCGAGAGATTGGCCAAGCTAGAAATGTGGAAAGCAAAACAGGCGGCTGAGCGTGAACGGAAACAAAAGGAAGAAGCCGCAGCAGGTGGCGGACGTGGTATCCTTGATGAGCTAGACCGCCGCTCTGGTCGTCCTCCTGCTGTAGCCTCGCCTCTCGCCCCAGTAACGCCCGTCGAACCCTCGTCTCCTGCGCCTTATGCTGGCAAGTTTGATCCTAAGGCTATTGTTAAGGGCGCAGCCTCGAATGGAACGGCAGCCACACCAGCTGTCCTCGGAACCGATGTCCATGTTCCCCAGAACACGAAGCCTGTGACAGCTCCACCTGCCGCGCCCTCTGTTGCACCTTCTGCACCGTTGAAAGCCAAGGGCAATGTCAGTGGATTTGGACTGGGAGGGAAACAGGCGTCTGAGAATGAGAAACCTACTGCCACCCGAACTCTGGGATTCGGCGAAGAAGAGTCGACTCGCAAGAAATTGGAACGGCTTCCAACGCCTCCGCTTGATGACGACAAGGACGGCCTCGCCGTTGTCGAGGATGCCGGCGATGATGACGATGTCGATATGCAAGACGGGGACAGCGAGGAACAGGCCGCCGCCGCCGCACGAGCCGCCGCCGAACGGCGTGAGGCTCGCCTTCAATACCAACAACCAGAAACAAATACTGACGTCCAGATGGAGGAGACTCCCACCCAACAAGCTGATCCAGCGGCGATGGAAGTTGATGAGGTTGAAGACGTTGATCCTCTCGATGCCTTCATGTCAGAACTTGCAGACACTGCTCCTCCAAAAAAGAAGTCCGGTGTCTCTTTCGCAAAGAAGACTGGCCCGCAACAACCACAGGCTTTGTTCGGGGATGAGGACGATGTGGATCTTACGGCTGTTGGTGGTGAAGACGCGGATGATGTTCTCGCAATGGCCACTAAGAAGAAGAAAAAGGAAATCCCGACTATTGATCACGCCAAGGTCGACTATGAGCCATTCCGCAAAAACTTTTATAATGAACCTTCCCACCTCGCCGAAATGACCGAGGAGGAAGTGGCAAACTTACGACTTGAACTAGACGGCATCAAAGTTCGTGGTCAAGATATACCTAAGCCAGTCCAGAAATGGGCTCAGTGTGGTTTGGGTGTGCAGACATTGGATGTTATTGAGCGTTTGGGTTTCGATGGCCTCACCTCAGTTCAAGCGCAAGCCATACCTTGCATCATGTCAGGTCGCGATGTGATCGGCGTTGCTAAGACTGGCTCTGGAAAGACCATGGCATTCTTGGTTCCAATGTTCCGACACATCAAAGATCAGCGACCGCTCAGCAACATGGAAGGGCCAATCAGCTTGATCATGACACCAACCCGTGAGTTGGCCACTCAAATTCATAAGGACTGCAAACCGTTCTTGAAGGCACTCGGTCTGCGTGCTGTATGTGCATATGGCGGTGCCCCTATCAAAGATCAAATTGCGGAGCTGAAGCGTGGAGCCGAGGTCGTTGTTTGCACACCAGGACGTATGATCGATCTCCTCGCTGCCAACGCTGGTCGAGTCACTAATCTCCATCGCGTGACTTACGTTGTGCTTGACGAGGCAGATCGTATGTTTGATATGGGATTCGAGCCTCAAGTCATGAAGATCTTGGCCAACGTTAGGCCCGATCGGCAGACAGTGCTGTTCTCCGCCACCTTCCCTCGAAATATGGAAGCATTGGCACGAAAAACACTCAAGAGGCCCATTGAGATTGTTGTTGGTGGCCGAAGTGTGGTCGCCCCCGAAATTACCCAGATCGTGGAGGTACGCAACGAAGACCAGAAATTCGTGCGTCTTCTCGAGCTACTCGGCAATCTTTATTCAGATGATTCGAACGAGGATGCGCGGGCGCTGATCTTCGTCGACCGTCAAGAAGCTGCCGATACTCTACTGAAAGAACTGATGCGGAAGGGTTATCCATGCATGTCAATTCATGGTGGCAAAGATCAAATTGATCGCGATTCTACCATTGAGGACTTCAAGGCCGGTATATTCCCAGTTCTGATTGCCACTTCAGTCGCGGCTCGTGGCTTGGATGTGAAGCAGTTGAAGCTCGTCATCAACTACGATGCACCCAACCACTTGGAAGATTATGTGCATCGTGCTGGTCGAACTGGTCGCGCCGGCAATACCGGTACTGCTGTTACATTCCTGATGGACACTCAAGAACGATATTCGGTGGACATTGCCAAGGCTCTGAAGCAGAGTGGGCAAGAGGTTCCCGAGCCAGTGCAGAAGATGGTGAATAATTTTCTCGACAAAGTCAAGGCTGGTAAAGAAAAGGCCAGTGGATCCGGCTTTGGTGGCAAAGGTCTGGAGCGACTAGACCAGGAGCGTGAGACCGCGCGCAATCGTGAACGTCGAACGTACAAGACTGGTGAAGAGGGAGAGGAGGAAGAGGACAAAGATGACAAGAAGGACAAGAAGGGCGACGAAGACCGCTTCGCCAAAGCTCTCTCTGCAGTGCAGTCTGCCGCTACCGCGCCCGCACCGGCACCGCTGGCTGGTGTACCCAAAGGTATTGACCTTGACGGGAAGATCACAGTCCACAGGACCGAGAAGGATCCCAATGCTGGCACCAAGAATGCTTTGGACAAGGTTGGCTCTGCTGTTGCGGATATTCATGCTCGTCTCAGCCGCGCCGGTGTGATGAGATCAGGTGTGCCCATCGATAATCGGGGCCCAGATGCAGGCGCATTCCATGCTACTTTGGAGATCAACGACTTTCCCCGTAAGTTTCGCGTCTTTACCCGCTCGACATGCTCTTAAATAGGGAGATTGACTAATCACGTTCTTGAATCAACAGAAAAAGCTCGTTGGGCGGTCACCAACCGCACGAATGTCGCCAAAATTTTGGAAGCTACAGGGACCTCCATCACGACCAAGGGTAGCTTCTATCCCACTGGGAAAGTGCCTGGGCCGAACGAGAATCCCAAACTTTATATCCTGGTTGAGGGAGAGACCGAAATCTCCGTTACCAATGCCATGCGCGAGCTTATGCGTTTGCTGAAAGAGGGTACTGTCGCTGCTGCTGACAGCGATGCGCGCCAGCCAGCCAGCGGTCGTTATAGTGTGGTTTAGCATCTTTATCTGGATTTTGACTAGCCCGGTCGCGAATTATACATGGTCTCAAGCCTGATATGTGAAAGGCCCTCAGATTCTTCAATGAAAAAATGGTCCTCTAGTACTGGAATGTAAAATAAAGAAATCGCGGATTTCAAGTAACCCTTAATTGCCAGATCCGGCGAGGGCAATGGTAATTGGTAAAGTGGGGCCTAATGTGATCGCTCAAGGTAAGAATTCGCAGAAGCTCGCTGTGGTAGCCTTGCGACGAGAAATGTAAGATGCCAAACGCCAAATGCAAAAATAATCAATATCAGATGACCACCCCAGAACATAACCCCGGAACAACCTCGGTGTTGCACCCCTCTAGTTCCACTGTCGTGCCGTCTCCGCCTCATCTGCATTGCGTACCGCTCGCTCTGTCTGGCTCGCCTCGTTCAACGTCTGTGTCTGAGTCTTTGCCCTCTGCTCAGCCAATTTGCTACTCAGCTTCCCCTTGTTGGCCGCAGAAGCTGCTTCAGCTCGTTTCTGATCGCAAGTAAGAAAAGATATACCAGTCAGTGTCTGATTTGCAGCGCGAAGAGCTCGCGAACTAAACGATATCACGGCATAAAAATGCGCGTAATACAACTTACCTGGGCTGCTATCGCGGCATTGGACCGCGCCTCGTCACTGCCCCCTGGTTGCGGGGAGCTTTCGCCGAGCGTTCGCCCAGGACTGCTTTGCCAATTTTGGTTCGTGGGCATAGATGCACGGGGCGCAGGTGATTGACTTGAGGCAGGAGCGCCGACGACTCGACCGGGGCCCGTAAAGCCCTCGGGCTTATTTGAAGAGCGAGAGCAGATGTTGCCCATGTTTCGGTTGGTGAGTGGGGGAAGCGGAGAAAAAGGAAAAAGGTGACAAGAGGAACACAGTATTTGAGTGGCCAGTGACCAGTGAGCGGTGATCGGTACTGGGCGCTACTATGGAAGAGAGACGGTGAATTGAGAGTCTAGTAAGACCGTATTGATTGGAAGTAATGGTTGGAGTACAGCGCAACAGATACTAAAGACAGGATCGCAATGACTGGCGCCCTGTCGCGATACAAAGCGGAGAAATCGTTGATAGCAGCCTTCTTATCCGGGGAACATGTGGAGTTACGTCAGCAACACAGCAACGGGCAGTCTGGCACTAACCCACTTGAGCTAAACCCGAAACGTCAGTGAGTCTTACAGTCTTACAAGAATGGCGCCATTCTGCTGGGAAATAGCGGCCACATCAAGTAAACGGCAGACCAGATTTCCCGGGCCGGAATGATCTAACATCTTATCTGATCATCACCACACACACAATATTACGGAGCAACGCAAACACCATGAGCACGCCAAAATAAGAAGCACTTTTGGCACATTGCAGGTCATATATAATCTGGAAATGAACTGTAAAGTAAAAGCTGGGAAGTTTCTGAAGGTACCCTTTCATTATCAAATGTAGATGTCCCGTGCACAATCTGATCCCAGGCAGTGTTGGAGCCAACCTCAATCAGAATCATATTGCCTTTGAGCATGTCGCTCTTGACGATCAAGGAACCAACGGACCGCTCGCCAGATGACTAGTAGGATTTGCAGGGCAAATACCGCTCTGATCCAATGGGTAACCGCCGCCTCCTCTATTCACACCATGTCAGTATACAGTCGATCGGCGTTAAGTGAACAGAGACCCTATGGAGCATGGAAGTAACTTACCACCCAGTAGCTCCATGTAACTTTTTTGAGCCTCGTCCAATTTGCAGTGCAGCTCTTGTAGCTGATTTTGTACATCCTCAAAGCTGATACGGGTATCATCCGGGAGATATGATCTTGGCGAGTGCAGCAAAGTGATTATCTTGATCATCTGTAGAATCAAAGGGCTGTTCAATATTGTAGCGTAGTGATCGAGAAAATTTCTCATTGGCAGCATAAATCTGCATTCACAGATGAGTTGGAGACGAGAGGCCACATACCAAGGGCAGACAGAGGGCGAGCATTGCGAGTACGGAGTGGTCAGGATTGTCCACTAGGTCCATGATGGGCGAGTATTCCCGTGAGCAGTGAGACGAAGACCGTGGTAGAACACCGAATGCAAGGCGAAGCTGACCGTGGGGGGATGATGCATAAAGGAAGGAAAGTTCAGAATGTGGGAGACGCACTTGTTTGAGGATGGGAGATTTTCGATCAGCTGACGCGCTTCTCTTGACTGATTGATCTTCGGTTGCGATGAGAGGTCAATGTTCACTTGTGGTTACAGGCACGTCACAGGCGCATGGCTATTGATCATTGATATGGTACTTAGCCTGGGCAGCCAACCATTTGATCAAAAAGTCAAGCGGAACTCAGATTTGTAGCTATCAATCTGAAATTCTGTTTGCTCACAGCTCCATACTCACAAATGATACACCTAGAAAGGCGAATTTGATCGACAAGATTTTTCAGGCTCGAAGGGCATGATGCCTTTTGCGACAAGATTCCCACCTTGACACATTGAACCGAACTATGGAATGAGTGATTTGTAAAGCCACGAATGACCGGCACAGAGAGGCCGTTCCAGAGAAGATAATCTTTTTATATATAGGAGAGATCTGGATGATATAGAAGACATGACTATGACTAGGTTCGGGTCGCCTCCGACGCTTTCTGTACGTGACACTTATGTCTCCAGACTTAATACAAGCCTGACCACAACCTTATCTGACCAAGGTCCAGCTAGGCCGGATGTCACTCTCCTCACCACAAGCCCAATTATAAATATCGCCTCCTTCAACTACCTATAGAACTGTCCTTTGAGAGTTTGCAAAAATTCTCAGTAACTCTGTGGCAATTATATAGGGCAAGTAATCATTACATAGGCAAGTAGGTCCAGTGCTTCGAGGACTTGAAAGAGACATATTGATCGATCGATAAGATAAATCATTTATCACCACGTGACTCGACGTCATCCGCTCGCAGCCGAGGTCCCTCTTACGCCTGAGGACCTCGATCTTCTTTATCTTCGCAAACGCAATCTGATGAGTGCAAATTTCTCATTGCCCTAGTTTCCGACGACCCTGTTTTACAATTTTCAGAATGATTCCCTTGTCAATGCGCTTTAGAGCACCCCGCCTGCACACTCAGGCAGTCCATGCGCGAACGTGCTGCCTATTCAAACAGTGCCGTACTATCCACCACGTCGTGAGCAGACTCAATCGCAGCATAACTGTCGAAAGGCCAAATATCTCGACGGCAGCCGCTTACCCCCGTTCATGGCGCCCACAAGCAATTGGATGCAGTCCACCTGCGTGCTTCCGCCTCCAAGAATTCTCAAGTAACACCCCTGCCAAGCCAACAGCAGACCTACTCATCGAGGAGCTTCAAGATCTGTACGAGACCGCCAAAGACGAGTTTGAAATTGCCACAGAAAGCACAGATGGGTCCACTATCTATGCGCCGTCTGACAGGGAGTCGGCACGGGATGCGTTGAATCAGCTTTGCGCCGTCTATCACCTGTACACGGCTCGACCGGGCGAGGACGTCGACAGTGGGGTGCGAAATACGGGGTCTGAGCTTGAAGGGGATGCGGGGAGTATCGGAGATGCTGTCGTCGAGACCAATTTCAATCCGGAAGATGTGAGCAGTGAGGTGCGTGATGAAGTGCGGAAACGAGTCGGGCAGCGGGTGCGGGAGCTGCGCAATGCAGTCGAGTTGTTAGAGGAGAGGGCGCACGCAGAGTAAACTTGATGCAAATCGACAATGGAGTGTCCAGGAGACCTTGAATGGTACATTGAAGGCAGACGGACTAGTGTAAAATTGTGGGAAACCTGGTGTATAGTACGGTACTTCATATTCGGAGGTGGGAGTCTACCGGCTTGCTGCTGGGAAGTCCCAGACGCCTTCTTTCCTACCATTTAAATTAACAATCTTTTCCGTGTCTTGATTCAAATTCTCAACTCTCCAGCATGTTTTGCTCGAGATTGCCCTCGGTGTAGCAGCTGTAATGAAAAAGAGAAGGTGAAGGGTTGGATGGGTAGTTGGATGCCAGGTGCAAGTTACTCAGGTAGCGAGACAATATTCGAAGAATTTTCGAAGTGACCAGGCTCTCGAATGTTACTTTTGTGCAGAAAGGATATATAAGGCCCTGTCTGATATTGTTCTGTGTTCCACTCTTCGGAATCAGATGCATGGAGTACCTGAGAAAATTCGGCACTCAAACAAAGCATTTTTTTCAGACACTTTGAAATTGGTTCAATGATGGTATCATTAGGTAGCTGGTGGTAGTTCTGCAGGAGGACAAGTCGTAGACAGTGCTGCAAACAAGGGTTGGCTGTACCTGGCAAGTATCCACGGGCGAGAGCAAGGCTTCCATCGCTGAGACGTGCTATTCCGGGCCGGAAGTATAGCTACTAACATTCTCATATCCGAATTCTGGGGTAGTCTTCATCACGTCCGATTCGATGACTGCTCCAGTCCGCATTGCTGTTCACTTGTGGTGTCCCATTTGATGGGTCCATCGCACAATTACCAGACCTGTTATGCTGCTTTTTATTATGAGGGATTCAATCGCTGCAGGAAGGCTTCTCATGAGACAAGCAATGAATTTGAGGGTAGTTGGGCCAGAGTGGGTGAGGTTTTTTGTGAGGATGAGGGCTCCCGCTCGTGGGTTGTTCGCTGATGCCGCTTGAGTTGATCTACCCGTGCAGAATTGGTCAGCCGGTAATTGGACATGAATTCCATGACAATTGATCGTACCAGGTCTTGTGAAGCTCTTGGTGCATCCAGGGTATGTGCACTTATGTTTGCGTTCGCCATGAGTGAGTCTGTGGCTCGACATGTTCGACGACTGGGCGACTATCAGTCTCTACTCAAGACGCGGAAAAAAATCACAGCAAATTCACTCACATCACCAGTCTCGAAATTGCACCCGGGAAATGTACATTTGAATGGCTTCTCTCCGGTATGGATCCGTGAATGTGTTTCTACAATCATTAGCAATAGAGACATGGGCCACATGTGAACCTGCAGAAAGGACTTACTCAATTCACTGCTATCAGTAAATGTTTTCCCGCAAGTCTTGCACCTATATGGTTTGTCGCCACGATGACTTCGCTCATGGCGGTCTAGCGTTGCTTGTCTGGCAAAGGTCTTCCCGCAGACAGAGCACTTGAAACTTTTATCTGCATCGAGTAAAGTCAGTATGACCTGGTCGAGCCTCTTGCATTGCACCGGTGTACTCACGATTACTGTGCGTCAAAAAATGGCCCTGCAACTTGGACTTTTGCGAGAAAGCTTCATCGGGCCGATAACACCCTTGCCAGCGGCAGTAGTAGCCTTTGCCCCTGGCACCAGCGATAGTATTCGTATGCTCGGCGACCAAATGATCTTGAAGCGCGCCAGAGTCGGCGAAAACAGCCCCGCACGGCACTTCGACCCCATTGATCGAGGTCATCCATTTGCATTGATGGATGGTTTTGTCTTCCGCAGATTCCTCGGGTGTCGTGAGGACCGAGGATCGATCTTTTTCCAGGGGTGGAGGCGTGTCTCTGGGGCTCGACATAAAATGCGAGCTGACACCGGATCGTGAATGTCGAGAATAAGGCGAGTATGGATGAGCCTGGTGATGGTGGTGGCTGCGGCAGCGATGCTGAGTGCGATGGGGACCGTGAACATGCAGATCAAAATGGTTCGGATTTTTGAATTCAGCTGATAAGTGATGGTGTTCATGTCCTGGACAGGCAAGAGGCTCGTGGTTGAAATGCCCGAATGTGTCCGGAATGGGATGTTCATGATGAGTGATGTCGAGATGAGAGCTATGACAGACTCCAAAGTCATGGCTCCCACCCAGTATTTGATAAAGGTCGGTGGGATCAATGTGTAGTTGTTGGGGCAAAGGTTGTGTTTGATGATTGAACATCCCTTGCCAATCCTTCTGAAAGTCTTGGCAGCCGAGGTGATTTTGGACATGTTGTTCGCATTGCGTAGCATGGGCCTGATACGACGACAAAAATTCAAATTGCGAACATTGGTCAATGTTGATCGGCAAGGTCTCGGCAACAGGTTTTCCTAATTCACCGGCATTGCAATGCATGGTTGTTGCAGTCGGTAAGAAATGTGTGGGGTCAAACATGGACGGGGGGATGCCGAGAATAGATTCAAAGGTGCAGTTTGGATCGACTTCGTCTTCGCAACAGTGATTGTCGAAGCAGACAGGCTCTGCATTTTCGCAGTGGGTTTCGTCACAATCTGCTACAGAACATGTTGTCGAAGCACCGCAATCCACGTAACCATCGCAGACCGAGTCACAGTCCCTATCGCAGTCATCCGTACAGTTGTCTGCCTCGCAACAAACTTCATCTGTCCCGCATTCAGCGAGCGAAGCGTGATGCTCGACATCAGAACAGCTCCATTGAGCCTCGGGCGGGTGAAGCGATGGCGCCTTCTCCGTTTTTGGGTCGATGTGGAAGCCTTCCCATCGACATTCTAGGCAGGGATCATTGGGCGGGGCCTGAGAAACCATATTGTCTTGTGCTCAAGGCTTTTTTCGTGAATATCAAGTTGCGAGTCGGAGATGGAGGCTCGCGCCGGTTCGATCATATGGAAGAAAAAGTCTCGGGGCCGGTTGGGTTTTAGCTGCGGTCTGATAACGAAGGCCGAACCAGCTACGCAATGGAAGCGAATGAGCCTAGACTGAAAGAGCTCGGTATTGCGTTTCAGCAGTCGTGGCAGTGTGCAATCACAATGTCGATAGGGAATGATCAGTGGACTTGCGAGATCCGGTGCACGATCGGCGGTATGCGGCACACTTTTCCGGGGTTGTTCGAGGACCTTGCGAGACACGGGCTCAAACTTTGCAGTCGAAGGTGCGATTGGTATAAAGACGGCGGCGCGGTCGCATTGGTGCTGTTAGAATTCTCAAGATCAACGAGGTGATTCCTCTTATTCTCTTTGCTTGCGCCCGCGCTAAGCTGGTCGAAACCTCGTGAGGACCTTCGGAGCGCAGATGCAGTCTAAAAGTGAGGACCTTGTGGATGAAGCGTCATGTCCCGCAGACACACTGCGATGCGCACGTGGGGCAAGGTACCACATTCCACAGCGGCCACAGTCGGTCAGGAAGGGTCCTGCCAATGCCTTATCGATTACGGCTTGACATCGCCGACACGATCGCTCCAGTACAACTACCTAGTCCTACTAGTCAATATTCGAATATGTGGAGATGGTCAGGGGTCAGAGGCTTTGTGGGTATTAACTGGCGTGTTCACTCAGCACTGTAGGGATTCCATCACCGTTGACAAACCAACAACTTGAGCCGCAATGCCAGCACAGACCTTTGACATGGTGCTGTTTCTGCATACGTTTCTGAACTTTTACTGATTTTTGCCGGCGGTATCACTCTCGGACAAAAGGTTACCTTGTTCAACGGATGGGCCATTTCAATTCACCATTTTCATTTGATTGCAGTTCATAGTCTCTCTGCCTATCTGCACCTCTCGCGGGCGGGGTTCATCAACTCCTCAACTATCATAAAGTCATAGAGATCACGTCCAATCATTCCACTCATGTCCGTCAAAAGTCTGTCACAGGCAGCTCAAAACATTTCTCACACCAGACAATGTTCAAGTCCACAACATCAACAGACCCCAAGTTACTTGTTCTTGGGTACAGCGCCCTTGGAAGCAACTGGGGCGGCAGCTTGACGACAAGGCTGGCCAGTACGCTGGTTCCACTCCTTGCCGTTGCACTCGTCGTTCTCCCTGGCATTGGGCTTGCCTGCCTCGCCCTTCCTGGCCTCCGCATCACCCGTCATGGCGTTGTACTTGCCATCCTGACCAGCACCACCTTGGACAACAGTCTTGGTAGCGGCCGCAGTGGTAGGATTGGCATGCCACACACCATTAGCATCAGTCCAACCCTGACTGTAATCGGTCGAGTGCCAGACACCGTTGGCATCCGTCCATCCAGACGAGGTCTGGCCGGTCTGGCCGGTCTGGCCGGTCTTGCCAGCGGGCCAGATCTGACCGGCGCCATGCTGTTGACCGTTCTTGTACTGGTCGTTGTTGCCTTGACCCTGCTGATTGCTCCACGGACCCTTGTTGTGCTGGTCGTGGTTGTACACCTCATGACCGGGATACTGGCCCTTCTGGTACCATCCGACTTGGTTGGGGGACAAGTTGGAGCCCTGATCAGGAATGAAATTTCCCTGTGCATCATAGTGGCCTTTGCGGTACTGGCCGCTGGGATCCCACTGGCCACCTTGGTCGTTGGGGTCAATGGGGAGGGCGAGGGCCATGATGGGCGAGAGGGCGACCAAGAAGATGCTGCTGATCATGGTGGAACGCATTTTTGATGGTTTGAGACTTTATGGGATTTGGAAGATGATTCAAGGGAGGATGTGCTCGTTGATCGGGATTCTGATTATTGGATGAAGCAGAATGTTTGGAATTGCTGGTTGGGTGAAGAAGAAAAACAACGTCCTGGCGAGTTCTTGCCTCATACTTATACTTGTCGAGCAGCGAAGTCTCGGTGAACATGGAACTGATTTCCAAGATGGAAAGAATGTCTCGTCATCATCCCATCCGTCCGTTGTACACGAAAGTCCCTCAACATCGCGAATACGCAGAGACGCACCGCCATGTAGCTGCGAGGTTAAGGCGCCTGCCGCAAGGGACACTCCCCCAAGGACGCACGAGAACGTCAACCATGAGGGACCTGAGCTCAGAGCTCTTCCAAAAGCCGGTGAACACGGTATCCAAGAACCCTGACACGAGGCATTTTGCTTCGAAAAAGAGAGCGTAGCAACAAGGGATGATGAGCAAGCGCCCAGTCACCCATTGTCTCAAGCTGGACGAAGCCCTGACTACCCAGCGTCTTACCTAGTGTATCCTAGCCACGGCCCTCAATCAATGATGTCGATCCGATCAAGGTCCAGCGCACCATGAAAACTGCAAGTGGACCCCTTTCTTGAATGTCCATGTCACTGCAGTTCAATACAATATGCCCTGATCGACAAGGAAACGAGAAATCGAGAACTGATCGGCAAGGGCCACCACGCGTGGTAGATCTTGGAGAAGAGGTCTGTGCTTGATCATGCCTTGCAGGACGAGCAGGTGGGTTTTCATCATCACCGCGTCGGGTTTGATTACTTGAATTAGTTAAGGTAGAGATGATGAAAGATGGACGGCTGTCTCGGCAGCTCAAAGTGTTGTAAAGACTATCGGTGAAGAGTCCAGGGTCTCCACGGATAGGTAGCGGCGATGGTGTTTTAGTGGTTCAGATACGCCTAGGAATTGAGAGGTCATCCGGTCTAATTGGGTGGGATGAATGATGATATATTTTGGACTGCCAGCTCCTGGTTGAGGATTCCCTGATCGAATAAAGCCAAGTAGGTATGTGGCCTGGATTAAGTGCCCTTAATTGATGGAAATTCATATGGTACGGTGGTTACGAGACTTGGCAACACCTCTAATCTCATCCTATCTGTCTTATAAAGGAGTCAGCACGGTGTGAGCAGACGGGAGGTAACTACACCGGTGTGGGAGTGGGAGGTTCAAGCTGTTTACTAAATTCGATCGGGCTATGTATGTAGTATGGATATATCATGTGCGCCTCAATGGCACACACTTCGTAGGAGTTAAAAATATCAAAGTGAGTGGAGTGGGATCCCACGAGTCATCAAACTGGTCCGGCCATAAATGATTCAAGACGGCATGAAAACAATTGACGAGAGGAAAAGAGAATCGAATATGCAGACGCCAGCATCAGCGCACTTATTAGACGCAAGGAAAAAGAGTTGATGCCACTGGCAAGACTCAACGACGTGCGCGGTCGCACTCAGCTATGAACCTGTGGATCCCATCGGCATCGTCATCGGATGTGAATTCCATCTGCTCAGCGTTCGACTCTGGGAAGAATGGCTGGTCGCCAAGTTCACTGATATTGATACTTGAATAAGCAGAGCGCGGTGACGTCCACGGGTTACTGCCAAAGAGTTCTTTGTCTTCAAAGCTGATCGCCTTGCCAGATTCAACGCCCGAGTCGCCAGCGAAAGGACTGCCGATCTCAGGTGTGATCATGCCGTGCCAATCAATGTCGTTGGAAATGTGGGTCTTTGGGAGTGAAGAGTTCTCGAAAAGATACTCTGTTTCCGAAGACGCCACGCTGGGAGCGAAAGGGAACAGGAGAGCTAGGTCGGCACCTGTGCGAATTTCAAAGTCTTCGTCCTGAGTGATGCGACCACGCTGCACACCAACCTCATCACATAGGTGTTCCACAGTGTCGGCGTCGCAGCCGGGGAACCTGACACGAATTGTTGAGCGATCATGCAGTGTGACTGGTAGATCCCCCAGTGTGGACAACCGCTTCAAATCATTCAAGACTACGGCATACTCCTTCAAGGCTCGAGCGAAGTCGACAGAAAGCACGTCCATGACGCCATCAGAGTTCAAAGTATTGACGGCCTCGGCGTCGGACTGCTTGCTCAGGGCGCTAAAGGCCCCAAAGGCGGCCATGGTGGGAGAGACTTGGAAGTCAAGGCTCGACCCCGTCGCCTTCCGAGGCACAGCGGTCATCTTGCGACCAGCCTGATCCTGCAGGCCACTGACCGCCTTGTAGCGCTTCTCACCCGTTCGGGGATCAACTCCGTCGAAACGGACCTTCTGGCCCGACAGAAAGAAGACCCTAATGCCCTGTGAAACATTGTGAATCACCTGGGCAGGAGCCGCCGGGCCATGAGAGAAGTATCGGGCTCCTCCGAATCGACCTGCACCGAGAGTGTAACCTCCCGCGGTGCGACCGAGCGTACCGCCCGTTAAATTCGGCCGAAGGGTAGAAGCGAACGGAGCGCGGCTGGTGAGCTTGCTGATATTCGAGGCCACTCTAGTAGTTCGGTATGCGTGGGCCTCCGCTGAGACTCCTGACCGAATGGCCGACACGAAGGCACCGGCTGCGCGAGTGGAGAAGTAACGGCTTCGGGCCTGTCGAATGGCGGCAGCCCGATTGATAGGTTGGGACCCATTAATGCGAGCATAGACAGGTTGGTACCGCAAATGCGAGTATGTGGTAGACTCTGGGATTTTGGCTCTGATGGCCTTGGATGCCCTTTCATAAGCAAACCTGTGGCAACGCAGCGTTAACAGATGACTCATGCAACTAATTTGAAATCTTCGACTGGGTGAGCATTACTAACCTTGCTGCTCGCCATATCTTGGGAAGCAACAGGTGCCCATTGGCAGGCGCCATGTTGAAAGCTGTGAAAAAAACTGGGCGCACTGGATAAAACGTGCGGTGATAGTTGACGGAAGAGAAGGACGAAGAGGAGATGTCATGTCTTTTGAATACCTCAGGCATGATACCCCAGTGGCGGTGTTTGCCACGCATGTGACCCCGCAGGGGCCCACAACTTCCATGATTGGCAGAGTGGCTGGTGAGCTACCCCACTTTGTGATCGGCAGTATGAAATGTACAGGGAAGAATTCCGAGCATCAGATATGACATCTCGTGAATGGAGGAGACACATTCTTTGATGCCGTCGACTCGATTGATTATGCGGTCATTGAGTTCCGGCTGGCCACGATGTCGATTTTCAAAGTGGATTTCGCACGTCAAGGGTCATTTCTGAAGATGCGGATCGTGCCCGCGATCTTTCGCTACGAGTGTACTGTACAGAGCTTGAATTAAGCAAGCAGCTAGTGGACTTGGGAAAAGCATCCATGGATGTCGTGTGGGCACTGTCAGAAAAGCATTGATTCAAATGACTTGAAAGGGGTATATCCAAAAAAGTAGCTAGAAAAATTGGTATCACAGGTCGTATGGTACAGTCCATCGAAGGCTTCCTCCACATGGAACGGCATTAAGTCGTAACATTATTTGTTTCACATCGGTCGTCCGAAGAGGATTTCGTAAAATCATGATTTGAACACTTGTTTGATCTTCACCACATGTGTTGACGGTCTTCGCATCGCCGCCGTGTCGCAGGACTCTACCCGCGAGAACCCTCCAAAGTCGGTGAGCTCATGACCCAGTGTATTTGGCGTGCGTGGACTGGGGCTGGGTGAGGGCTGCCAGTAATCGTCGGAGCCCATCTGATCAGGGCGGACCAGGCAGATCAGTCGGTTGAGGACGGCGAATTCCAGCTTCAGCTTGATGCTGTACACCAGTGACTTCAACGCGGTCTGGATAGTGTAGCGATTGGTAAATTCCATAACGAGCAGGATAATGTCGAGCAGGATGAGAAATACATTGATGGCGAGGACGTAGTGGAGGGTCTTGCGGTGGACTTTATGAATGCGAGAGTTGAGCGGGACGAGGCGGAGGTTGCGGATGACTTGCACGACATAGAGGTAGGAGATGATCATTTCCTGGATGGAGAAACCAACGAGTTCGATGCGCTCCATGACGGCGTAAGCTTTGGTCCAGACGGCGTTGTGGGATTTGGAGAAATTCGAGCCGTAGGTGAGGATGGTTGTGGGGACATGGAAGATGATGGCATTGGTGATGATCATAATCAAGACGCGGCGCAGGACGCGAGGATCGTTGACCAGCAGACCGAGTCGAGAATACAAGACGACGGCTTGGCCGGTGACCATGAAATACCAGCCGATCGTCGAGAGGGTGAGAGAGAAGGTCAAGGGTGCGAGGTCGAGATCCTTGAGGATGAAACTGACGGCCTGGGGGACCACGCCGAGGAGACCACAGAGCAGCAAGCTCCAGAAATAGAGGCCCCGGTAGTGCCGAAAGGTGCAGAGGATGAGTACGACGAGTTCAATGGAGTTGTAGATGGCCAGACTCAGTAAAGTTACGATGCTGATGATCAGCACCAGATTTTGCCCCGAATAGACGCCCGTCTCATCGGGAGGTGGAGCGGTGCCGGGCATGGCGAAGAGCCAGTGTGGACGATCGGATCCGATCAACGCCGACTGCCAGTCCGGGAGCGTACATGAGATGCGACCAGAGACGCTGGAGATGGGGGATAAGGAAGCGGCGGAAGAGGAATGAAGAAAGGTAGGAGTGAGAAGCTGTGTGTGTGTTGAGGGGGGAGGGAGAGAGAGAGGGAGAGAGAGAGGGGAGGGAGAGAGAGAGGGAGGGAGAGAGAGAGAGAGAGAGAGAGAGAGAGAGAGAGAGAGAGAGAGAGAGAGAGAGAGAGAGAGAGAGAGAGAGAGAGAGAGAGATGCACACACACACACAAACACACACAAGGCCAAGGGTACTCGGGATGACCAGAAATGGTGGGCTGAATTCGCGCGAAGCAGCTCGGAACTCCGGGGGGAGGAAGAGGTAAAAAAAGCAAAAGCCAAAGCAAAAGCGAGGCCCAGAGTCAGAACCGACCGGAGTGGGCAGCGCGACGAAAAAGGACGCTAAACGCCTGCGATGTCACGAACTCAGAAAGTCGGGGCCAAGGGCAAGTTAGAGTTCCGGTCTATTCAACGGATGAGCAAAAGAGAGAGCGCGCGAGAGAGAAAAACGGGAATCACAGGATCCAGAAACGAATGACCGGTCGATGCCACTGACTGTGCGAATCGGAGAGGCTCTGCTTGAACCAAGCCGTCCGTTGTTCGTTACGGGGACTAATCAATAATGTGAAGGGTGGATACGATCATATCCCAGCTGTGGCAAGCTCACGGCTCTTTGTTAGCGACCGGCTTTCGAGCCATTCCGAGACGAGGAGACCCCGGACCTCTTTGGGATCTGGAGACTGGAGACTGGAGCAGCAGTGGAGATTGGACCGAGGCCGGTGGATCGAGAACCCGAAGTGGATCACTGACTACTATGGAGACAGTCGAGTCACTACGGCACTGGGGTCTGAGTCTAACCGTTGGCTAGTGTCCGGTTCAGGAAAAGAGTCAAAGAAACAGAGGGATGTGTGTGGGGAAAATCAGGAGAGAAGGAGAGAGAGAGAGGAAGAGAGGACGAGACGGGGTACACCTCGTACGAATCACTGGGTTCGAGTCGACGTGAAAAGGATAATCAAGAAGAAAAGGTAAAATCCACTCCACTTTATCTAAGATTGATCATTGATGACACGGACGATACAAAGTATTCTTCGACCGTATCCATTAATTATAGTCTAGTCACAGTAGGCGACGTCCAAGATTCATGCAGTCAACTGAACTGTCCGTAGGAGCGGATGAAGGTACGGTCTACATAGTACATTTCAGTGCCATCCAGAAGCGACGTCAGTGTGCGGCCATAGAGGTTAGTCGGTGAGGTGGTGCTGACTCGCTGAGAGGAATTTGTCATGTGAAACTTGGAATGTTGCCATCGTGCCATGTGCCTGGAAACGCTTATTGTCACCTTTTCGGGGACTTTTTCTCTCCAAGTGGTTTTCCAATTCAATGGAAATGATGAGATTGGCGTCTTGTCTGCGCCCGTTGTCTTTCGTCGGTACCTGGAATTCCCTCTGCTTGTGTCATTATTGTTATTATTATTGTTCCCACCTCCATTTTCTTTGCGCCAACTGACAAATGCCGTGCCGGAGCAGAATTTCACCGCAATCAATCTGGCAACGATACACACACAGCATGAGCACTACACTAGCTCGCCTCCTGGATTCGAGCAGCCGCCGACTGACATGGCACTTGCTCGCCTTTGTACGCGCTCGTATTCCAAATGAAATGGCAAATTTTTGAAGCTCACGAACCAATCACTTTACTTTCCTGTCTTTCTCGGAGGACAGCTATTCATCTATGGACGGAACTCTCAGATCCCTCGGCTGTCACATCTGCTCGCTTGCCCATGACTGAGAGTTAAAACTTTGGTCTTTCGGGGACATCCATGCCATTCCCATCCAGGATGCACCGTGTAACCCCGCTCTCTCCTGTCAGCCGAGCATCGCGTCCACTGCTGATCAGTGGTCACTGGCCAAGCGAGACGAAGAGAACGGACGTTGATCCGATTTAGACATCGGGGGATTTTGAGTTCCCAAAGTCAAAAGACTCCCCGCCGAAATCCGAGAGCGCATTTGGCATTTTGTGGGCGAACAACGGAGATCCAGATCGAATCACGACTGCCTGAAAACTATCCTGCCACGAGGGACTTGGGCTGGCTCATGAACCACGGATCGAACAGATCAACCGAACCGGGAAGCTGTAAGACTGGTGGCCATGACAGATCATGTGAGCACCTTCATGGACTCGACAGAGTCAACACAGTGGTCTATGACTTCCGAGGAGGATTACAATCGCGACCGAGTGATTGATACTGCAGTCGCCCGCCGTCCATGCGTGCAGGTCGGCACTGTACGGGAGTGTGTTCTGGTGGGTCTCTCTCTCTCTCTCTCTCTCTCTCTCTCTCTCTCTCTCTCCGTCTCTCTACTCGGTCCAGCAATCGTGTGATGAACTCCATCCCCGACCTCGACCTCTCTCTATCGATCACCACAGTCCGTTCCCTTTCCCCACTCCCCCGCGAGACCCTGTCGAGGGCGTCCCGGACGGGTCCTATGCATGGAAAACGCGCAATGCTCGCTCTAGGCAGAGGGGCAGACTAAGCAGACTTAGCCGAGACGGTAAATACTGGACGTGCGCACCGATCCTTTTGGCGCCCTTGGGCTTTTAGCGTCCCTCGCTAAGGCCTGATTAGCCTTTTAGCGCCGCTGCGAAGTCTAACCAGCTGCCAACTTGGGCTTAAGTAACAGGGGTGGTCCAGTAGGGCCAACTACCTGATTGAGTTGATACAGGGGAGAGGACAGAGGGGTCCTGTCAGAGTCATGGAGCTCTTCGAATCACAACGCAGGATAATGTCATTGTGAGTGGGGTTATATCCATTGTTGCTGGGTATCAGGCTGGTTTTCCGTAGAGAATGCTATGACTTTCGTGCTCCTCCGACCGTACAATTCTGCGAGTGCGATGTACCTACATCGCAACTGGCATGTCTCCAAACCCTCCTCACCAGCCAAGAATTGTTCGAAGATGCTCTCGATACTGATAGCACACAAGGTATTACTGGCTAGGGCAAGCTGATTGACTCACGATCATGACTGTTTCATGTCTGTCTTCATGGCATCATTCCCATCTTGTTGTGCGTCTACCTGCATCTGTCTCACGGTTGATTTAGTTTTGTTTTTTACCCCGGCCCCGAGCAAATCTCATTCACCCCCGGACTCGGTCATGGACCTGGCTCCGCGATTCTTTCCTGCACTCTTTTTCTCTCTCCTCATTTCCCCCCTCATCTTGTAAAGCATGTCTGGCCACAAGCTCTCTATTATGATGTTATCCAGCGACCCACTGATCCAGCCCTGTGGACTTCTCCTGCTCCCTCGAGACCACCAAAGTCTGGGGTCCAAGAGGGAAAATCGCCCATGCTCGTGTGCCCCTGATACAAAGGAGCTGGTTCTGGCGCCTCCCCTTTCTGGAAATGGAAGTTGACATCCGGGTCTCGATTGGTAAAATCTCGATGATATCCCAGTAAGGGTGACACCTGAACGGGTTGTGAGGTCATGTGTAGCCATGGGCAGTTTAGGCTCAGAGTCAGCTTTATAGTCCTGTGCGTCCGTCCCGTTTGCGATTCTCGGCACTTTCAAAGTGTCCAGTCGACACGTGATGTTTCAAACCACTACTGGTCTGAAGGACTTCCGTAGAGGAGAAACAGAAACCATGGAATCAGATGTGGGATGTTGGCATTCTCCACCCAGGTACCTACCATTAACGCTATACACAAGTACACATCAGATTGGACAATCGACTTCCAGTGTCTATCTTATTAACTTCATATCAGGTAGTGGTACCAAGTAGAGTAAGTGGTTAAGTGCAATGTCCCTGGAATCGCACGTGAGCAGCATGACTACAATCGACCCGGGAATGATCTTCATGTTGGAGGGTCCAGAAAAGACACGGGCTCCAGCTCCTCAGACCGAGACTGGGACTGGCGCAAGGTACTCCGTGAGTCCGTACTGGACCACTGGTAGACCCCTCGATCCTCGATCCGGAGGCTGAGTTCTAGTCCCGAGTTCCGACTCCGACTCCCCACCACATGCTGAGTGTGTCTGCATGAGCACATTTGCCACGGAGGTGAGCCTGCTGGATCGTCAGTCCTTTATTGCTGTTGCTTCAGTGTGAGTTGATTGGATTGTGCAGGTAAGGTGTACTGCTTGGCAGAAGACGGCATGAAGAATTCGGATTGTGTAGTGCATTACCGCATGATGTTGACGGTCGGTCAGCAAGCATTGAACTCGATTAGTATCTCCAGGTACCTACTTCCTATGTATGGATGATGCTGTACTCAGTCTCCCACTCAGTACTCACTACTCAGTACTCACTACTCACTACTCACTACTCAGTACTCACTGCCTACCTCACCTCGTTATTTTTCGGACTCGAGAGGTAAGACGATTAAACTATCACGATTCTCTGTCACTGTCTTTGAGGACATGCAGGTGCCAGACTACGGGTTATGGAAAGACTCGGCCGAGGTGAGTTGAGAAAACCGAGAGTTGAGGACCGCCGGAGCCGAACAGGACAGGGCAGGGTGCCGGAAGTGCTGCCAAACTCAATCACCGCGTCCTCAAGTTGTTAGGGAAGAAAAAAAACCCCCTTAGAAAAAGGATCACTGGATGTACTGTCTATCAGGTGATCTAAAATTTGGATCATCTCCATCTCAGCCTTTGGCGCGTCGTGGAAAAAGCGGGCGGAGGGACTACTCTGCGCACTGCGCCTCTTTCCGTGCATTGGAGGTCCACTTTCCGACCGAATTTGAGCCTGGACGAGCGAGATGGTAGCGCGGTATTGGAATGTAAGGCCCGATCTGATTGACGATCATGGTATGACAATTGATTCCTGCTGCTTTTTCAATGCCCGGAATTGTCACGTTTTGAGAGTGGCTTGAGCCAGGCTAAAGGATGAACAGGTCTTGACTTGCAAAACACTGCCGCTATTAATAACCCAATGGTCGATCGTGGCCCAGACAGTACAGTATCACTGCCGTGAGGGTCGGCATTTGATATCTCGCAATTGACAGTCAGGCACACCCCTGGACAGTAAACTTCATGCTGCCTAGAAACGACTCGTTGAGTCGGTGCCGCCCAGTTGATTAAGCAGACCCGGGTTTAGGTCCAAATTTCCAGAGAACTATGACATGCTCGATAGAGCCTCCTCTCATTGAATCCAAAGGCCACCAGAGAAGAAACAAGAGACATCCTGGTTAGACTGGACAAGACCACTGAAGCGAAGTACAAGATAACTCGGAATTTGATGAAACAATGAATTTGAAATCATGGGGATGCTCATCCATGCCATGGACGCAGAGCCACGAGGATTCCCCAAAATCGGTGCAGGTCAAACCTCGAGACTTGTTCCCGCGTCCACGGCCAAATCCGCACAAATCCCAACGAGCACCGAACGATCCATCTTCGTTACTTGTTGCTGGTTGCTTGTTGCTTGGACGTGTTTGTTGAGCGGACCGAATCCACGACATCGTCCAAGACTTGTAAGAGTGTGGTCGGCGCTCACTTCCGTTCGACTAGCGCTCGGTCTTTGCGACCGTCTGCACTTCCCCCGAGTCTCACCCGCTCATGAGCCGAACTCTCTGGTTCTTTCACCTCTGTCAACCTGAACAGTCTAGCCTTTCCCCCCGACCGAAGCAAACAAGCAGTCTCAGTAGTCTGGGCCGAGCATGCGTGCCCACGACCGGGCATTTTCGCCACCCGTCCCCCGTCCCTGCGCTTTCCTCCCGCACAAGCTCAACAATGATGCTATTCTCAACACCGGGATGGTGGATGACCACCGCAAACAAGACTAATTTCCAAGGAAGTGCGCCCGATCATGGCAGAGCTAGAATGCAATTTGAGGTCACGAGTGCAGGTGGCAAGCTCCGCACTTGATACTTGGGCAGGAGAAGTCCTAGAGTCCGGATTCCCTAAGCCCTGACAGTCCGTTTTCACTCGCTCGTTCCAACTTTCTCAGACCATAGGGCAAGAACTGTTATATAGCCAATTGCGCCGCCACGGCCAATGCCGTGAGGAACTATCAGGAAGACATCTTCGGAGACAGGACTCAGGAGGTCCGTTTCGCTGGTCAGCGCTGCTGGGCGTCGATCTTCGCTCTCAAACCTCTCACGATGACCGAGGTGTTCCATCTATTTCTGGAGCTTCCATTCGAACTGCGTCGCATGATCTGGAAAGAATGTCTTCCCAAATCGCGTGTCTTTGACACAATGCTCCCCTGCCTTGTCTATGAAAAGTCTCGATGTCGCGGCACCCGCTGGTCGTCTCGTCAAAGTTGGAGACCGCCGATCATCACCCGAGTATGTCGGGAGTCTCGTGCCGTGGCCCATGAAACGGGTCGAGTCCTCTTCTACGGTGACGATCCCAATGTGCCCGACTACATCGACAGCGTCTGGTCAGACGCCACAACCGACATCGTGGCTCAATATTGGTGTCCGGGCCTCGAGAGCGTCATGTTCTGGCCGCATGATGAGCCGGACACCTATCTCTTTCACTACGCGCCTCGGTATCGGGGCACCTTGATCGCCGAGGCGCGGCTGAGTCGCGCGCTGCGCTCACCGACCCCTAGCGCAGATTGGTCGACCTTGTCCCAATTGCAACATTGCTATGTGTGTCTGGAGAACCCAGTGATGATTCATCTGACGCGCAAGGAACTGCTCCTCTCAGGATTGTTCGGCCGATTGGGAGAGGAGTTCATTCAACTCGTTGATCCGACTGATGTCTCGCGTCTGAAGAAGTTTCACAATCTGGCATTGACCTCCAGTCAGCAACTTCCCGAGACGTTGGAATTTTTCGAACAACTCCATACTTCTACTTCTCAATACAAGATCCACAACTGGGCTCGTGAGACCCTGATACGGTGGATCTACCAGGAATGGCTGCAGGCCAAGCAAACCAGCTTTGTGGGAATTCCACATCCCGAGCGTATCTGGCTCGGCCCACGATCCCCAGGGGTCGACGAGAAGCCGTTCAATCCGATGGCCCCGGAAACGTACAGCAAGTACAGCATGTGGTTCCATCTTTCGGACACGATGCACTTTTTGTATGATGAAAAACATCCCTGGGTAAAAGAGAAGCTCGCCAAAGCACCTCGTTTCTTGCCCCGAATCATGATTCGACCTTGTATCAAAAGATGCTGGTTCCCCCCACGCCGCCTCGGCGTGGGTGGCCGAGAGGACATTATCGCGTAGGAGGGAGGTGATGGAGGCCGGGTTCTGTCTGTGCACTTGTCAATTTGACTCCAAGATTGAGATTGGGGCCATTCTTTCACGATGACCATGACGCAATGTTTAGACCTGGAGACTTTCTGCATTACGATGACCTCGCTTGAGAGGAGATTGATTCAATTACAGAACTAATTTGCCAGAAACCTACGTTGCCTCATTGGCTCAGGTCGTCCGCTTTCAAGTACTAGATAGTAAGGTCGGTACACTTTCTCGCCGAATAACCATAACCAGACAATGTACCTTACATTTCAATGGATGGAGAGTCTCGATTCTGACAGGCCTTCCAATTATTTTGGTCATCAGTCATTATTCTACTTGGTGCGCCTTGAGACCGAAACTACTCTTCTGGAAATCACCAGCCGGACTGCAGACGTCCCTCCGAAGGTCCCTCAACCCTACTCATCATCTCCAAAAAACACCTTCATTGGCAAGAATCCGTCTCCAACAATCTTGCACCGACACTGCACCCGATCCACCTGGCGAATTTCGGTCCGTGTCAAACACCACCCATCAAGATCAAAATTCGATTCGATCTGACTCTGCTTCGTCGATCTGGGAATCACACTCCAACCCTTTTGAATCCCCCACATCAGCAGGATCTGCTGCGGGGTCTTTTCCTTTTTCTCGGCCAGCCTTTTCAGAACGGGGTCCTCACAGACTCCCGATGATCCGGAGCCCAGACATGAGTAGCCCGTGGTATGAATGCCTTTGAATGTGTTGTACGCGACGAGTTTGGGGGACGGGTTGTATGGATGCAGCTCGATTTGGTTCACGGCGGGGATGACGGTAGTGAGCGGGTCGTGGAGGAGGATCTCGAGGTTGTGGATGCCAAAGTTGGAGACGCCGATGTTGCGGACTCTGTTGGTGGAGAGGAGTTTTTGCATCTCGTGCCTGGTCATGAATGAGAGAAAAGGAGGGCATGTCAGCGGGGTCTTTGATCTCATCAATTGGATCAATTGAGTCAGAAACATCAATTCCGTCTCCAGGGCCACGTCGGCTTTTCCAACTCATTGGGGCCGTATGTTCCGGGATCAGAGATGCAGCCGATCCAAACCCACCAACCCGCAAAGAGGATAACCAAATACCGAGAAAGAATCGATGACAGCGACTCAACAACTCACCAAGTCTTCACAAAACTCCAATCCTTCAGTGCCTGACCGGGATTCATCGGATCCCTCGCAACAGGCCAATGCATCAGAAACAAATCCACATACTCCACCCCGAGCTCCCGCAGAGAAGCATCAAGACCCCGTTCTACACAGTGATGCCAGTTGTTCCGCAGTTTGGTAGTGATCCAAATCTTCTCCCGCGGAACACCAGAGTCACGAATGCCGGCTCCAACCTGGGCCTCGTTGCCATATGCCATGGCCGTGTCGATGTGGCGATATCCGGCAAGCAGGGCGTTTTTGACGGCTTCACGGGCCACGAGGCCTGTGGATTTCCATGTTCCCAGGCCGATTGCCGGGATTGTGTCGCCAGTGTTGAGGGGAAAGGATTTTCTGGGATGAACGATCAGGTCCGGAGTATTAGCCGTCTCCACATCTCACTGGGTTTAAAAAAACGGAGGAAGGGATGGAAGATGTGATGACTTTGTGGAGATGAAGAGTCCTGGGTACATACGTCGAGATATCCTGATCCCCGTACATGATGGGAGGCAGAGGTGATCGGATAGAGTATCGAATTGCCCAAGCAAGAATCTTTTTTTTTCAAATAGATTGATCGTTTCCAGTTGGGCATCCGAGATCTTAGGAGAATGATGAAGTTCAAAGTCGGAAAGTTTTCGAACAGGGTGCTCATGACTTTATACACCTCCCATCTAGCTGCCTGTTTACGTTTTTTTTCCCTGCACGTATTACTGGGAATTATCGGAACGCTATGTCGTGCACTTGTAAGACAATCTGCACAAGCCACGAGTTTGGTCGTCCCTGAGATATTTAATGCGCGATTACTCAAGTTGCTCCCAGGATTGAATGTAATGGTTTAGCGCTGCTGTCAATAAAGCGGATTTGATCTGGCTCTATTAGTAGGGACTAGGGATCGTATTCAAGTTTGTTGTTGAATCAGTTCATGGATCGAGCTGGACGTGTATGCGATGGTCCGGCGGTGCTTAGAGAAGAAACTCATCTGGCTTGTGTGTTCCTCTTCATTCGGCTCATTTGACAATGGCCGCCGTGCATCTGTATAGCTAGAAGAGGGTCATTGTTCTCCGACGGGACCGTATTTAAAAGTTGGAAGAAGTGAGATAAGAGCACAGAGCGTTCTCATATATCCAGTCTGGTGAGAAAGTGTCTATTAGATCAATGAATTATTGCTTCATTTCTAGGCCCTATTTCTAGTAGGTCCTCACACGCGTGATTCTTCGTTATTACGCCTACCACATCTTGTTTGTTTCCTGTTTCTAAACAACAAGCAGTCATTTAGGTCCCTACTAGCTAGACTACCGTTAGTCAAGGAAGTCACAATGATCATAGTAGTCGGGCGCTCGAAATAACGTGGCTTCCACAGAGTATCGGAGATATGGTTCCGCTCTGTACTCCATTGCCCGAGACAAGCCCTTGAAGGTACCGAACCCCAAAAAAAGTAACCTGCGGAAAGTACGTAGTTACCGTGTTTCATTCAAAGGGCCTACTTACACTTTGCCTATATTGTCTCCGATGATAGGTTGTTGTCGTTTTGTCTTCTGTCAAACATTGGCGGTAATGAACATCATCACACATGAACAAACCCTGCCAGCAATCCCCTATCAAAAGACATATTCAACCCCAGCACAATGGATGATGATCTTTGAGGTGTCACGTGACTATAGGTTCCCGCTCGATATACAGTCGGCCTGCTGACAAGAATGCCGATGGCAATTGAGTGGTTATCTTCGGCACATGCAGACGCTGAATTGACTGTCTTTCATATCATTCTTCCTTCTAATCTGGAGCTACCCAGGTAGACCACGCTGACTCTTCTGCTCAGCCAGGCTCATCTGTCCAGATGATAACCCGGGAACCCGCTCCACTAACCGTCTTATCATTATCTTATCAAGATGTCGACTGCTGACAACCGTGCTGGTTTTCCTATTCTTCAACACGCCCCCCAACTCCACGGGGCATCTTCTTGAGCCGAATGACCTAGACCTGCTAGTGTAGGTATATTTTCAAGTTCAGCGGCTGGATGATCTCAAGCACATGCCATTCTACAATTCAACCCTCATCCGCAAGTCAATTACCCGAGTACCATCGCGAGTCCTCTGCTAGCCCAAGCTGCCGATCCCGTCCTATCTCCGCTCTGTAATCAACGCTCCGCGGTCAATCTTCCATCTGCCACAAAAACGATATCTACCACGCCCGTCCGCTGTCCCCTCATTTCACGCCATCATATATAATCTACCAAGCAGCCTCAGCCCTTCCTTCCTGCATCTACCAAGATGTCATCAGGCTTTGTTTCAGCAGGGACGAACGAGGAGCCCGTGGAGCGCGACGACGCTTGGGTGAGGGTGCAAAAGGAGCTCGAAGAAGAGCGCAGGCGCAAGGCAGAAATTGGCCAGCAGAAAGATGGGAAAAGTTTGTACGAGGTGCTGCAACAGAATAAAAGTGAGCTCAGGAATTCCTCTCCTCCTTCTTCGAACCGCGCCAGACGTACAGATCTGTTGCCTTTTCAGTACAAGAGGCATGCAACATGCGGCTTGGTCTGGAAATCCCATGGGACTTTTGGTCCTTCGTATGGCTTGAGGCTTGAGGCTGGAAATGCTCAATGTTCTCTAGGGAATTTGCGGCTGACATGTCAGGGTGACTCTCTCCTCCCATTACGATAAAAAGTGGCCAAACAAGAAGAACATGAAGAGAAAATGCGATTGAAGAACCAATTCCGCGCACTCGATGAAGATGAGGTGGAATTCCTCGATTCGGTCCTCGAGTCGACCCGGGCGCAGGAGGAAGCCGTGAAAAAGGAGACAGCAGATCAACTGGAAGCCTTCCGAAAGCAGCGAGAGGAGGCGGAAAAGGCTGCAATGGGACATACTTCGTCAGAGGTCACGCCAGCAGCTGCCGAAGAGGAGGATTGGGCCATTTCGTCCAAGAAGAGACGGCGTGATAAAGGCAAAGACTCACTCTTGCCCGGGAAGAGACGGAAATCTTCCGCCGTAGATGAAGTCGAATCACCGACGCCGCAGTCACAGAAACCCCAGGGCAAGGACAAATCTTCTCCGGCCATTGCTGTGGCGAAAAAGGACACACCAGCGCGCAAACCTGCTGAACCTGCGGCTCCTTCAACGGCTGGGCCGGGACTGCCTAAGAAGGAGCCCCCGAAGCCGAGTCAAGCATCACCCCCTGCGCTGGGCCTGGTAGGGTATGGATCTGACTCTGACTCTGACTGAACCTAATAAATCGACCTTGTCATTGTCGCAAATGATCTTCTGAACATATCCAACAATTAATTTCCCTGGTCAAGTAATGATGATCAATTTTCGTTCCTAGAGCGGGCATCTTTCCCATTTGGTCGTCCAAGGCTAGAATCTACCACGTTCGACTGGGTATCTCCCAGCTGAACACGCCGATCAAATCATATGGCTCATTCCAAAATTGCATTTGCAACGTCTTATATCAGATACCTGAAGCTTTAATGGGACGTTTTGACCGACAAATGGCCAGAGGACGAGTGCTAATGACAGCAAGACTTTCAACTGAGCCATTGGACGAGTGGCGAGGCAAGACTTCCATTCATATAGCTGATGTGTTTTGCACTAGCTCATTACTATCGACGGATTGAATGCCGCCAATCGTCCATTGAATGTCAATCATGGCAGATGTGGAATACCAACGAAACGATCAAGTATTTAATGTGCAATATCTCATGCGGAATCGCTCGGCGTAGGTAACAAACAGACTTTAGGTAGCGATATCCAGACACAACCCATCTTATCCACCCACTGCCGTCTCAGACCCCCCGGCTCTAGAAGAGACGGGAGATCATTGTCACAGTATAGCAGCAACCTGTCAAGGGGAACTTTCACCTACTCCACATGCTCCGCACTCTGCTTCATCTCCCGCTCCTCCACTTTCCTCTCCAAATCATGAGGCAGATAATCCTCCTTCTTGATCCCCGGCACAATCCACGGCGCATTCGAAAACATATAGTTCATCTCCTCCAACGGCACCTGCTTCGTTTCCGGAAGCAGCATGTAGAAGAACACCGCGTTCGTAAAGTTGCAAATCACAAAGAGATAATAGAACCGATATTTGATGGTATCCATAGCAATGGGCGTGACTTGGCCGATCATGGTATTGAAGGCAAAGGAAAGACCCGTGGCGATAGAGACGCCCTTGGACCGGGTGCGCGTGTCAAAGACTTCGGCGGGAATGATCCACGACAGGGGCCCGCAGGTCGCGGAGAAGGAAAAGTTGTAGAGCCAGGTCATGATGATGAAGCCCCAGTGGGCGCCGCTGTTGCTGGTGGTGGGCGGGAATTTGGCGAGGAGGATGGTGGCGATGATGAAGGTGAGGCAGTTGCCGAGGTTGCCGCCGATGAGGGTCCAGCGACGACCGAAGCGGTCGATGAAGAGGATACAGAGGAACTGGGCGATGAGTGCTATGATGGAGTTGATGGCTTGGTAGCGGAGCGTGGCTTCTCCGGATATGCCGATTTGTTTGTAAATGTCAACGGAGTAGTATCTTTCCGACTGTTAGCGATTTGTTCTATACGGGGTAAAAATGGGTTGTGAAAGGGGGATGACGGTGTTGAGAGAGCTGGAAGGCTTACTGAATAGCAGAGACACCGGTCATCTGCACCGAAGCTTGCAGTGCACAGCAGAGGAAGAGTCGTCGGAAAGAGGAGCGGTTGGTAAAGAGCTCGGCATACGACTTGGCTTCGTGCTCATGCTCAAAGGTGATCGATTCCTGGATCTGTGCAAACTCGGCCTGGACCCAGGGATCGCTTTCATCTCCATTCGCATGAAGTTTGGCCAGAGTCCTGAGCCCTTCCTCAGGCCGGTTGTGATCGATGAGCCAACGAGGAGACTAGTAATTGAACAATTAGCAAACTACAGTGCCAGTCTGCCGCTTGCCCTCCGCAGGGAGCTTTCAAAGTACGAACCTCGGGGAAGACGACAATAAGTAAACCCAGACACACTGCAGGGATCATCTGCAGACCAAGTGGAACCTGCCACTGCGCGTTGTTGGTCGGCGCGAAGCCAATGTAAGTGCCATACGAGATCCAAGCCGCGCATAATGCACCGACTCCAAGCATGAATTGCTGTAATGCTGTGACTCGGCCACGGATCTTGGGATGGCAGATCTCAGCCTGATACAGAGGAATGATCATGGTCAAGAAGCCAACCCTATTGAGTTTGGTCATCAGCGACGAATGTCAAGTTGTGGGACAATGCAGGCTTCGTGCTAGATGCACACTTGCTGGTATCTTGAGTACAAAAGCAAAACTCACCCGAATCCGGCAAAGAATCGACCACTCCACAGATAAGCCAGAGACTGAGCACCGGTCTGCAGGGCACCTCCCAAACAAAACAACAGACAGCCGAGGGAAATGGTCCTGCGACGACCCAGATGGTCACCGCTGAGGCCAGCAAGGACTGCGCCGAAGAAGGCACCGCATGTGAACATGGATACAACTAGACCACTGTTTCGCGTCGTTCAGTACATTGGAAGAAGGTCTCCAAGATGGCCCAAGATGGAGTCGTAGAACTGACGTCTGTGTAGAGTTTACCTCAAACTTGGAAACGAATGATTGCGATGCAATCACCTCGGCGATCACACCAAGATCATCTTCTTTCACCATTAACCGGGTGCCGAATATTGGTTTTGGCCTCTTACAGGCACATCACTCACATCCGTATAGGAACGATCCCAGCGACGCGAACAAACCGACCAGGAACTATACATCACCACTATTAGACATCCGCCTATGCATTCGACCACAACACAAGATCAGAACTTGGAAAGGTGGCAGTCAATCCATCCATACCTGGTACCATGACGGTGAGAGACGCATGATAGACGATGTCAACAATCAGCAGCTCCAGCACGAGAGAAGACCCACGAAGCGCAAAGCACAGACACAATGTTATTGACGAGGGGGTCGTTTCCGGGTCGAACAACAATCTGGGGATCCCTACAGAGACTGGGCAAGCATCTGAAGTCCCACACAAAAGGCGGGACCCAGTCCGTCTACATATACTCTCTTTTTCCGCGGGCGAGATGAGTGAGTCGGTTATCAATAACGGGGGATCTTCGGTTCAACATCTATGCGAGGGCCGAGCTCTGGCTCGAACAAGAGTGTCTTTCAGCCCAGGACTCATGCGGTTCGGGAGTCTTCCAATTTTGTTGCCGATTCAGGATGATCGGCGTCAGCTCGTGGAGCCTCGTGCTTGTCCACCAGTCATGAACTAACCGTTGCCCTTGGACGGTGTTTCCAAAGTTGCAGCTCCAGGATTAGGGTTCGACAAGTGATCATGTGAAGCGATTCTCAACTTGCAGCCGAGAATGTACCAGGTCACAGTACATGACTACATGGAGCTTCAAGGCTCGCTCGGACGTGCAGCTTAGGGTTTTGACATCGTTGCGAGAGGAGACCGAGCGTTGTGCCCAGTGCCCAGTACCACTTGGATCCGCCTCCGGCGCGTGCACTAAGATTGGTTTTCGTAGAGACAGTGCTTTTGCTGGACCCACCGATCAATTAGGTTACAGTTGCTGGAAAGCTGCAGTAGTAAGTGATGAGGATGGAGGGGTCGGAGCATCGTGATTGAAGGGAAAAAGAACTCCGTTGTAACCACGAGCTGGCACGATCAAATCATTTGCTCTGGTCCGAAGCCTGCCTTGGCTCTGTTGAAAAGTATAGGTTCAAGGTTGACTTGCCAAGTGAATCTTGGCTAGGGAACTGGGTCACTTCTGTCGCAAAGTAGATGGTGTGGTTTGTCGCAAGAAAGGACTCAGTAGTAGTACTACGACTTACTCTTAGTGCTCACAGAATCAATCAGCGGAATGAGTCGGTTCTGGTGCAGAGGTTTCCATTACATCAAACATCTGGAATCTCGGCAGAGCTCGAGTATATTGACGTTCAGTTACCTCGGTTAGACCAATACAGGCAACGATGGGTGGGCAAGAATCACGGACTGTGTTTAGACGTGGTTTCCAGGTTGACTACTGTAGAAATGTAGACTCTGGAGAGGGGTCGATGTCAAAGGACTGAGACCTCCACCGGATATATGCTGGTTTGAGTACCCAAAATCGAAGATCCACATGGAAAGTCAGTTTAGCTATGCAAGTCAAGTGGAGTACTTCAGATGCCATCGGGACTCTGGTCGCTTCCTATCGTCTCAGTCCGACTTCAAGTTCCAGGCGATCTCAAGTACGCGCTTAGACATCCCTTCAGCTTCCCAGTCTTACATAGATCCCAGAAGCAACAGCGGAAAATCGGGGCTCAATAGCGCCCGTGTCGGTCGAGGTGGCTAAGTGCCATCGCGATGGGAATTTAACCGAGCAAGCGATCGGCTGTTTGCAGCGCGGTCTTGGCTTTGCTTCAATCTACCGAAGATCTTCCAGGATTTGGCGACACAAGGCGCGCGTTACCCCTCCATTGCGACCTGTGGAATTGTGTAGCTCTTTTAAGTGAAGGTTAGGTGGCCACCACCGTCACTTGTACATAGAATCGGATCACTTTGTTTTTGCCCTCCCATTGACCAACGGATTGCGAATCAGAGGCGTGGACGTGAAGACACTTCACAGACAGCCAGTTTGCAAGTGGCAACCAGATCTTCGACTTCCGGGGAAATATCGCAACGTAGACCTTGTCACAAACATCATGACTTCTTTTACAAAACTTGCCGACGATGAGACCCCGACAATTGCGGTGCATCCCACCCGCAAGGTTTCGCAAATCAACCCCAACATCTATGCAGGCTTTACCGAGTAAGACTCAGTCTTGGGACCTCGTCCTATAAATCCAAAATGGACATGACTCACCAGTCTTTCGTGCTACCAGACATATGGGGCGATGCATTTACGGCGGTATCTACGACCCAGGGAATCCGCTGTCCGATGAAAATGGCTTCCGCAAGGACGTGGTAGACGCATTGAAGGAGCTCAATATTCCCACCGTTCGATATCCTGGCGGAAACTTTTGCGCCACATACCACTGGCTGGATGGTGTTGGTCCTAAGGATCAACGGCCTTCGCGGTAGGAGATTCCTCGCCGGTCCCTCTCCCTCGGATTGCGAAAAGAAATCACAAGAAGCGCAATTTCAAGGCTGACGGCGCTGCTTTCTTTAGTCCCGAGCTCGCATGGCTGGGTACCGAGACGAATCAATTCGGAACGGATGAGTTTATGAAATGGTGCGAAACTGTGGGCACGGAGCCCTATTTGTGCTTCAACTTTGGCACAGGCACACTCGATGAAGGTATGCGCATGGAAACAACATCAAGGGGGCTTCTCCAATGAAGACTTTAGGGAGTGCCTGGCTTTGAAGCCTTGACTGATGAGATATATGCCAGCACTTGCTTGGGTCGAGTACTGCAACGGCACTGGGAACACGTATTACGCCAACATGCGACGTAAGAATGGCCGCGAAGAGCCCTACAAGGTATGCAAACGCCGGCTCTGTGATTTTAGCCTGTTTGAGGGAATTCCAAGTTGACAATTCTTCCCCTCAGGTCAAATACTGGGCTCTCGGAAATGAGGTTTGGGGTCCCTGGCAGGTAGAACAGATGACCAAGGAAGCCTATGCGCACAAGGCTTTGCAATGGGCCAAAGGTGAGGGAACCAAAGGCCTCTGTCGATAAGACTTTAGCAACCTGTGAGGAGAACGAGCAGCTTTCTAACAAATTTCATTTGCGCAGCACTTAAACTTCTCGATCCAAGCCTCGTTCTGATCCTCTGTGGGCAAGACGGCACCGCCAGCTGGGATTACTACACTCTGAAGCAGTGCCTCGTTCCTGCCCACTCAGCTCTGTCCACCAGCGCCGTGCCTCTTATTGACATGCACAGCATCCACATGTATACCAGCTCCAACGAGCATCTCCCCAACGCAACTGCTCCTCTGGCGGCTGAGCGCGCGATCGAAATCACCTCCGCACTGATTGATCTGGCGCGCGTCGAGAACAAGGTTCCTCCCTCGCAGCCCCGTCCAACCATCTGTTTCGACGAGTGGAATGTCTGGGACCCCATTCGTGCCGAGGGCAGCCTCGGCGCCGAAGAAAGCTACACTCTCTCCGATGCTCTGGCGGTGGCGATCTGGTTGAACGTGTTCATCCGCAAGAGTCGCGATGTGGGCATGGCGTGCATTGCTCAGACCGTGAATGTCATCTCTCCGCTGATGACTACCAAGGAGGGCATCATCAAGCAGACGACTTGGTGGCCCTTGTATCTGTTTTCACGGTTTATGCGCGGATGGACGGTGAGTGCCCATGTCTCGTGCGGTGTGTACGAGGGCGAGACGGCGCCCGGGTGGCTGCGCAGCGCTATGGATACCCCTTGGTTGGATGTGAGTGCCTCGATAGGAGAGGATGGGTTTGTGAGTCTGGTGGTGGTGAATATCCACGAGAAGAGAGGGTTCGAAACCAAGATGGAGGGGGTCAGGGGCTCTGTGGATGTGTACACGGTCACGGGGGAGGGTGTGCAGTCAAACAACATGAAGGGCCAGGAAGAAGTGAGTATTCGGGAGTCCAAGTGGGATGGCGGTGATCACTATGAGTTCCCGAAACACTCGATGACTCTGATGCGGTGGAAGGCCGAATAGAGGAGGGCATGTGCCACAGACCTACCTTTTTCTTTCCTTTCGGGCCGATGACTGCTATAAGAGATATAGCAGGGCCTTGGGCGGAAGAACCTGCCTGGCATGAAGCGGAGCAACATGGACGACCGATGATGCGTTTTTTGCGACAGAACTTTTACCGTTGGGGAAGGAATTAAAGAATGCGCAATATAGAGCGTCCGAACAGTATTAAACCGGTTTGAATTAGGAAACGGCATCAATATGTAAAGATAGCTTCTCGTGTCATCATGAAGTAATTCGTCCACATGAGGCTTCTCAACAGTGGCCTCATCATTCTAACCGTAAGTGACATTCCGAACGGTGCCGTCGTGGTCAACGTGGACGTTCAATCTTATTGAGACTCGACATATCAGCATATGAGTGTGATATATCAGAGAGGATGGGCATGCAGGAGCAGAGGCTCTGAATTACCTGTCAGGGTTGTGATCCATGCTCTTCATGTCATCAGGCTTAAGGACACGGTGAGACTGGGGGAGATCTTTCTTGGCGAAAGACTGGCCATGGCAAGATTGAGCGTTAGCCCAGAATTCACAAAGAGAGTAAGAGAATCTACTGCAGATGATAGACTCTTCACATGCTCAAAACAAGACACTCGGTTTGAACGTACCACCTCGTCGCTAGTGCTGTCACTAATCTTCTTACCCATGAGCTTGTTCACCCACTCGGACTTGTCGCCCATATCGGAGTTGACTCCTGGCACAACGAGAGGCATGATGATGATGACAATGAAGATAGTCTGCAAACGAAGATGGTACAAATCAACAGTGTTGGATGTTGGAGAGATAAATCCAGGATGACCAGAAGACGTGTGGCTCATCCCCGCATCTATATAAGCCTCAAACAAGCAATGACGTAGGTCTCGGCGGATAGCATCGCCTCAGGTTGACGAAAAAGTCACTGAAGTATCCATTCCGATAAACGGGTTGGCTGGCCCGATCTCACTTGACCGGCGATCGTCTGAACGCCACACGATACTCGAGATACCCGGAACGATTTCTGTTTGAAAAAGAACTGGTGGTGACGATGTCCTTGACTTCCCCATGCTCATCTGCTTGTCCAGGGATAGTCCGGTCCCTGATCCATCCGAGCCCGGAAGCGGATATCAGCGAAGTCTTGATCTTATCGTCGAGATGCGTACATGCAGGAAAGCGTAGACGTGCAAGCTTTTACCAGTCATAATCTTCCAGTATGGATGGCATCTCTCGTTGATGCACTCAGTACTCGAGCTTCAAGACCTCACCATCGACTAGGTCGTTCTTGCCATATTCCAGCGGTCTGTGTCTGCGCTACCGGTGCATTGCAGCTCTCAATTGATCATACGCCAGGTGCCGCTCCTCGTGTCGAAGGAAGGCGCGACATGAACTCGGCGACTATGGAGTCAGCCTACAAGGGAAGGTGCTTCCCATCCCCATCAACATCCATTGCGACAGAATTCTTTCCTTCCGCTTCGAATGGATTGTATTCCCCTTCTCTTTTAGACCCTCCATGTTGATCTATCTTGAATCCTGTCATGGTCTCGTGAATGGGACCATTCAGGAAAGGGGTCATGTTCGTATCAATTTCCGTCTCGGAGTCTTTCCTTGGACAAGAGACACATACAACCGTGCATGGCTTGGTCGAGAGGTCTCTGGGAACCGTAAGTGCATGGGCGTAGGCACATGGTTGTTGATCATAAGTTCGGGAACTGACACTGGTTCCACAAATACAACAGCGCACCGGTCCAACTTATGGAATCAGCGACATTGGAAAACCAGATGTCGAGTACGCACCCAAGATGATCGCCTTGGCAAGCCCAGTGAATGAAGTCCATGAGCTGATCTCCGTCCCATCGATGAGCCGACCACATTCTGCAACTTCGACTCTAGTCGCTCGAAATGGATTCTCCCGGGTCTTCGACGGAAGCTCATCAGTCGTTGCAATCACTTTGCTGGTTGTAATCGCTGTGTGCGCAATTGTCTTCATGGCGGCGTGGTCTCTCCGAGAGGGTTCCAAATGCAAACGACGAAAACGTCGGGTTGGGTTCGATCACTTTGCTCAATCCGATGTCAGTTTGGCCGAGGACACCAGCCGCACACTGGACACATTCCTCATGAAAGATGTGTATCCTGAACGAAACACGCTTATGCTCAGCCGCAGCCCGTCACCTCCCTTCATAGGTGGCATGGATGGGGCCGAGTCCTTCGAAGGGAATGACCAAATTCAAGACGGCCGCGGCGAAACAGCGTCCTGTTCGGGTGCACAGGTCACTCCGACTCGCAAAATCACCTGGACTCCACGACGCAGTCCCCTTTCTTCAAGCATGTCGGCAGATGATGAGGACTTCGCAGAAGACGTGGACACTTCCCCATCCAAGAAACCATTCGGCGCCTTGACTACGCCTCGATCCTTGCCGTATAGGCCCAGATCATTGCAATCCATCTCAATCCGAACGCCAACGACCCCTCCCACGAACAGAGCGCCACAGCTGCGGGTACCCAGTGCTTCTCGCGCTTCAAGTCCAGCGACGGTGCACAAAGAGGTTCCTCTGGGCATCCACCTGAGCAAAAGCCAGCCAACCGTGGAAACGACCAATGTGTCTACCCCGAGAACTGTGTCTCAAAACACAGTCATTCACATTAGCCCACCCCATCCTGCAAAATCAAGCTCTGCCTCCCCCGCCAAATCAATCCTCGGCCCAGGCTCTTTCTCCGTCGAAGTCAACTCGAACCCTGAACCGTCAAAGCAAGATTGAACAAGCTTCAGCTGCTGGAGAAAATTTGTCCCCTGATCGTGGATTGTGTTAGCCTGACTTTCTCTTGTCTTCTATTCTTACGGAACCTGCCAAAAGAGACCGCATCTTCAACACTGGCGGAGGAACTGCTTCAAAACTTATGTGTATAGCCTCGAGTATGCTTGTCGGCATTAGAGATTCAGAAATTGAAGAATGATCCAATCCTGCTTCCAAAACGATCATCATCTTGCAGGCAGAGAACGCTCACATCGGCTCTGGAAGGCGTAACCCTCTACAAGACCCAGGTCCGCAATCCACCGATGTGCCTGGACAGATGAAGCTTGATAGCAGAGATGAGGCGATAAGACTGATACTGTCTCCGTAGCTAAAAAAAACATCTCGTCTCATGACATTTAGCGAACGCGCCTACTGCCGATCAAGTCCAAGGTTCAAGTCAAGATCAAGCAACGATTCCAAGGATGTGAAAGAAATGTTGATTGAAGATCTACCCCGCCACATCCTTATCCAAAGACAAAAGTAGGGGAATAAAGAGCAAAGAAATCCCCAGCAATCTCATCACAGCCCCTCAAAGACATGGTCTGATGACTTCATCTCACGGACAATGCGCAGGCATCTTTCAATCCGTTTGCCCCGCTCTTTCTCTCGAATCAACGTGTCCTTAACGAAGGCGCGGATCGCATCACGACCGACTTGTTCTCGCCATGTGGACCAACCAGCAAGTTCACTGACGACCACGTCTTTGTTCCAGGTGATTTCTTTCGCGAGACGGGACGATTGGTATTCGCCTTCTCGGATCTTCTGCTCGAGGTCCCGAACAGACTTTTGCCTTGATTCTTCAAAGCCGGGGAGATTGAGGTTGAATTTACGTGGTAGTGAGCTGGAGAGAAGGGATGATCGGGAGCGGGAGATTCCACGATTGGTGGCTGTCAATGTGGACATCAATGTCAGTGGGCGGGAGAGGGAGGTCAGGATGGCGGCGGTGGTGTTATCCATTGAGGTTAGAGCAGCGATAAATTGGAGCAGAGGGGATGAATCAGAGGTCGAAGTTGAGAGGCAAGTACCGTAGCGTGCGAAAGCCTCGATGTGGGTGATGGGGAGCGCGCTCGTGGGATGTTTCAGTGTGGACAGAAGACCGGAGCAAAGTATCACAGCATCCGCTAGATCCGAACTACTGTTGTGCAGGGAGTGGCCGCGACGAAGCAAGCTTCGAGTGTTGACGTGAATGCCGCGTACCATGTCCTGCGCGTGGGACACGAACTGTTCTGTATCCCGCATTCCCTCGAGGGTAATTGGAGAGTACTCGTCGGCAATAGTTTCGTTCAAGACGGCTGCCTTGCGTCGCGACCGATCTGCCATCATTTCAGGATGTAGCTCAGGGACCAAGAAGAACTCCCACAGCATTTCGTGGGTCGAGAACGTGGGATGACTGAGTAAAGTCTTCAAGAAACGATCAAGCTTCTCTTGAAGATCGTGTAGAACCGAACGGGACGGCTTCGAGTGAATTTGGAATGGGTTGCGGAAATCGGAAAGAGAGGGCACGTAGGACGCAGGGTGTTCTATAGCGAGCCATTTTGCCAAATTCTCAAAATCACTGAAACTGCGTCGACACGTGGTGACTGTGTACGTGGTTGAGCCAGGGTGAGATTGTTCGACTTTTTCAGAGGCAGAGTAAGGAGCGCCAGATTTGAGGATGAAGCGCACGGTTGCGTCTTCAACAAAGAAAGATCGAACAACGGTAGTGACACGCCCAGAGGGATCGCCAACCGCTGAAGGTGGTTGAGAGAGCAAAATGAGGTCGTCGATACGATTCCGTACATCATCATCTTTGGCGAGCTCGACTGCAGTCAATCCCCGAGCTTCTTTGACATGCACGTCGACTCTCGGGTCCAAAAACAAGACCCGAACTTGATCAACCCTTCCGTACTTGCTAGCCATCATCAACGGCGTGAATCTTTTGTCGTTTGTGGCATTTGGATCACAGTCACTCTCTTTAAGAAGCCTCGTCGTGATATCGGGATCGCCCACAATATGCAAAAGAGTATTTCCTTTCGCATCCACATGATCGTCGAGCTGCAGCGGCATCGTATTACCTTGGGCTTTCTGGGCTGCTGTCAAAGCCTCTAGAACCATCCCTTTATATTGCGCATGATCATAGGACCGACAGAGTGCAAAAAGCGGAGTCTGTCCGTGTTTGTCACGTTGTCGCCAAGGGACCATACTTCCCAGCCGACTCAGCAGAGATGGGGTGCTGAACAAGTAATGGCCTACTGTTCGACCATGTATATCGGACTTGGTGAGATACCGCGCCACTACCCGACTGTCTGACCTGCGGGATAGAAAATCGAGCAATACCTCAACGATCTCGGGATGAGCCAGCTGCACGGCTGCGCTGAGAAGGGTGGTGCCATTCGCGTTAGTGTCTTCTAAGATATCCTCAAGGGGATAGAATTCTTCGAGGCTTAGGAGGTATTTCAGAGACTCAATCTGACGACTCTCTACAGCCATCATAGGTATTGAATCGCCTGCTGGATCTTGTGTTTTGGTCAATGTCTCTAATGAGGAATCCCCCTCAATATTGCTCGCCATCGATCCAATAGTGGGGGTCCTGGAGACGAAAGACACGCACGAAGACATGGACATACTACGAACATTCATAGAAACCCGTTTGATAGGCCGTTGATCCTCTTGAGCCGCCGCTATGTCACTCCATTTCTGGAAGGGAAACACATGCGCAAGAGGAGGCTCGTCTGGTTCAACTGCATCGTCAGGGCCTGAATGACCATTTGTGAAGACCGAGCTGCTGTACATAGATGTAGGCTCAAGTGATGACTCTTCCAACTCAGATGACGCCTCTGTTTTGAAAAGGACAGCTTTTCGCTCTGGAACACAGGGTGTGGATTCGTCAGTCGCCTGATGATCTTCGTTGGGCTCGAGGATGCTTCGCATGTCTGCGATTCGGCCGGCTTTGGTCGCTTGCCATAGTTTTCTGTTTCTTTGACTTGCACGGCGTAAACCAGCAGAGTCAGTGACAAGGTACATGAGCACTGCTTCGAACGTGCTCAATGCATAGCCCATCTCCCCGCTGTCAACATCGTCGATGTAAATGAAATGTTGCATGTAAAGCAGCCTTGCTTGGAGGTGGCGGATTTGAGATCGAATGACAACAATCAACAGCAACGAGACAAGCACATCAGCATTAATTGTAAGTGGCGACCGGCCCTTCTCCAACGCCGGTCCGTCGACATTGTCATAACTGCCAGGATAAGAGATCACTTTGACAGTTTCCAGCAACGTATTCAACATTTCGTGAGGACTTCTTGAATCATTCATCTTGCGAAACTCCTCCACGCCGCGATTGACACGGCAGATGACCTCGCGTTTGCCATCACGGCCGCCGTCTATAGAAATGCCAACTTGTGTCACGTCAATGCTTTCCATGTGGCGAATTCTTGAGTCCAGCTCCGAATCCTCCGGTTGCCGGAAAGCGCAAATTCGGGGAAAAAGCAGCTTTTCATGCACTTGTTCCGCCACGTATCGCTCAATCAGACGCTCTATCAAGGGCCCCGTGAGATCTGTGGTTGCTCCTAGTAGTGAGAGCAATTGCTTATCCACAAGGCGAAACAAGTCTATTGCGGCTGTCACAGCTGTCTCGAGGCTACGACGCATAAGATCTTCATCGTCCTCGAAGTATTCTTCCGAATTGAATGGTAGCCGTCCTCGGCGAGATGACCAGCTGCGGATGGAGGAGCTCTCGTCCTGAGAGGACCGGACACGGGACAGAGAACTCCCACTGTCAATCTGCGTTGTAGATGGTGAGCGAGATGGTGGCGGAGGCAATGGCCTCCCCAACTCCTTGCCAAACTCTCGGAACAGTCTTTCCAGCCCAGGCTGCATCTGTCTGGCGATCATTGGGAAATTGGCTAGTAGCTCTGCAAAGGTCCGGATTTCCTGCTTTGGCGGGGTGACGGATTCTGCATTTGAGCTTTTCATATCCGCCGCATGGCTTTCAATGATATTCCTGCTTGTGCCCGGTACGGCAGCAGGTATGACTTTCGCCGGGTCGAAGGATCCAACCAAAGGTCGTGATATGTAGTAAATGAGCCATGGGCGGGAATCGCTTGAGGGAGCGTAGTAGAGTGCATCGGAAAGCAGCTGGGCTTGCGTAAGAGACTTGAACCCTAAAGACACACGAAGAGATTAGCATCAAGGTCAGACCTGCCAAAGATGTGCCACCTTGCCATACCCTTGTTGCTGTAAACCGAATTCTCCTTGATGATGACAGTCCTCCCGTTGAAAGTTGTCACCTGCTTCGCCTTGCCTCTGCTATCCCGCATATTTGAGTCTTCCTTGCCATTTGGATGACCTTGATTGACAGGTACGCGCAGCACATGGCTGCCTAGGAACTCTTCCGACGCGACAAGGTCTGAGTAGAGCAACCCGGACTCGCGGTCTCGTGGGCCGACGAGACAGTCACTTGTGGGAACTAGCAACACCTAGAAGTCCAGAGTCGTACAAACATCAGTGATTGCGGCCGATTGGCAACAATAAAACACATAGCTAGACGTACATGGTTCTCCACAGGCACACACTGTCCGGGAACGGTGCTTCTAAAGAAGGCACGAAGGAAAGGGTTGAGAGGGTGCATCCAAACGGTTATGGACGGCCCAGAAGGTAGACTGCAAGAACCATCAAGGCTAAATCATCAAACTGGAGCCGCCGCGGGATCTTAGTCTGCAAAGACGATGTTTTGCGGGGAATGACTCTGTCGCATTCCCTGGCGGCTGTCCGAGCTTGGAAGTTAATAATAATCAGCAGAAAGCGAGGGCGAAACGAATATTGATGCTTGGAGATGGGGCGTAATTGTAGCCCGGGCGAAAATACGTAATACGATCCAGTGAAATGAAGGTCAACGATTCAAATGAGACTATGCGAATCGGGTTCATGAAGGAGTTCGAGAACGTGATCGCTGCGGCCGCCCAGTGACGCTATTCTATTTTTGGGAATACTCCCAGCGGGCGATAACAGCTAGTTATCAGGCATCAGAGCTGTCTGTTGCCCGTGAACGTGTTCGAGGACTGGATAAATTTCGAATTTGAACATGCATAGAGAATTTTTGTAAAGATGAATGAATGTATCGAATTCATTTTTGCTTCAATTGCACCTGGGTCTTGCAAGACATCAGAAGATGAAATTCTTCAGCCACTAGGTTGAGGTTCTATCGCCCGACTTTTCACATGTCTACGAGTAACTTACCTAGTAGCCTGCGATTTGAATCAATCACAGCTTCTGCACATTTCCCATCACCAGCAAGTCAAAACATCTGTCAGTTTCGGAGAAAAGCGATCTATTCACCCAATCAGGCTTGACAACCATTAATATAAAGAGCTGCCGTATGCCCGAGGGATGCACCTCATTGGTAAGTAGTCTGATGTTGTATGCCTCGCTCAATCCGTGAAAGTTGTGTGCCCAGATCCACATACGCAAGATCCAGGCAACAAGTAGAAATACAAATGGAGCCTCGTCAAAGAGTCATACTAGTTGATATCAAGGTGTATGGCAATATTTGGGCTAGTATACAAAGACATGCTTAACGTCAGATGATAGATGGACCTGAAATGCAACAGAGTGATCTCGAAAGTAGCAGAAGCCGTGCCCGCATCTTGGGTCTCTGATGTAGTAAGAGGTGGAATCGAAACGCTCTCTTCTTTCTCTGGGCAATCGGCCTATTCGAACAAGACAGCCGGGTTTAACCCAGTCTGCGAACCTTGCGGCTGCGGGTACCTCCGAACTTGATGCGCGTTGAGTCTGTTACCCGGCTCACAAGGCCTCGGATCTTACGTCCTTCGTTACCAAGGAGAACCTTTGTGAAGCCTTCGCGACCTTTGCCAAAGCCTCGGAAGACGATCTCCAGCCTCTTGATCTCCATCAATAACCCGCGCTCTTGGATTTGTGAAAGGACGTGGGATGATAGTTGATAGGCAGGGTCGAATCCAGCTCGGCCACCCTTGCGGAACCCAATTTGGCCAGTTCCCATAGACAGAATGGGATTACCATTGGGTCGGGTGAGCGTGAGAATAGTGTTGTGCTTGTGCGCGAAGACGTGGAGATGGTGGGGAGGCGCGCGATCGGCGTAGGGGTTTCTAATCATATCGGCTTCCAGGCTTTCAGCCAGACGAGCGTAGTCGGCATTGACGCGCGAGGGCGCAGATGGTCTTCCACCAGTCATCATTTTAGAGATGGCGGAGAGCGGTGATGAAGTGTCTGCAGACTCGGGCTGACGGTCCAGGATCTGGTTCTCAATATTTCGTGTTTTGTCCTTAAGGCTCGAGGAGTCCTTAGGAGTGGAAGAAAAGTGACGCAACGCGCCCAACCTCACAAGAGATGACTGATACTGCTGGCATACTGACGGAAGGGTCTTCGCCAGGGCTTTCATCGAGAAGGTGTTCATGGCGGCGATAGGGCCGATGCCGCAGCAAGAAAGGTATGGGGCAAGAGCAGCGGCGTGGTAATGGCGCTCTGGACCTGAAGGCTGCCTTGTCGAATCGCAATGCCTTGTTGGTGATCCAAGCCCTGTTTTTGTTGTGGAAGATTGTTTAACGTCGGGTTATCGAGAAAGCCGTGGCCGGGCCGAGGAGAGGCGGAAAGGATGCGCTGGAAGTTTTTCGAAAGTCTTGGCGCTCCCCGACTTTTTCCCTTACCCGTCGGACTCACCATTTATCATATTGTCAACATACTCGCCCGCCGAACGGCCCCAGTTGGAGCCATCTCATTTAACGTTCGATTCGCCTCCAAGTCATTGTGAATCTATCAAGTATGATTCCTGCGAGGTTGACCATGTCCGCGCGTGCGGCGACCGCGCGCTCCCAAGTCCCAACCTTGAGAGCTCTCACGCAATCCCGGACTCTGTCAAGTTCATCATTGCCAATTCGAGTCAGCAGCCTAAACGCCAACAAGAGTATCTTGCAGGCAAATTCCGTGCCCTCCCAACTGGTCTCTCCGTTCGCCGCGCTATCTGTGACTCGATCATTCCACGCCACATCTCCTGTCCTGCAACAGCAGCAGCAGCAACAACAAAAACCGAAAAACGAGCAGAAGGGTGAAGACTCAGAGTCTGAACAGAACAAGGAACATGAGAGCTCGGGGAAGGAAGAGTCCAAGGAAGAGAAGAAGGACGAAGCGCCTCCCCCACCCCACGGTGACAAGTCTCCGTGGCAAGTCTTCCGTGAAACCCTCCAGACCGAATTCAAGGCTTCCAAAGAATGGAATGAATCTACTAAAGCCCTGGCGTCCTCTGCTCACGAATTCTCCGAGAATGAGAACATCAAGCGCGCTCGTGCTGCTTATCAAGCGGCTTCGGGAGCCGCGTCTAGCCGCACATCGTCCGCCCTCAAGACTACAGGTCAAGCGATCGGTAAAGGTGCTGCTTGGACATGGAACACTCCTGTTGTCAAGGGTGTCAGAAAGGGTGTCAGTGTCACCGGTGCCGGTCTTGAGAAGGCGACGCGCCCTGTCCGTGAGACAGAGGCTTACAAGAGTGTGAAGGAGGCCATTGACGATGGCAGTAGCTCACGCTACGGAGGTTGGATTGAGAAGGAAGAGCGTCGTAAGCAGCGACAACTTCGTGAGGAGATGGAGGCCAAGTCTGGCAAGCGCCCAATGCAACCGATGGAAGAGGACCCCAAGTAAGTTTCCAATATCCATGCTCATGTGAGGCACTCGAGGAAGACTAATAAGCGATTGCTAGCGCCGGGACCAACGTGACTCTGCACAAGGACGCAGCTTGGAAGGAGTCATGGAACAACTTCCGGGACTCTAACCCTATGATGCAAAAATTGTTCGCTATGAGAGACGTCTACGAGGAATCGGAGAACCCCCTTATCAGTACCGCTCGCAGCATCACGGATCGCATTGGAGGATTTTTTGCCGAGAATGAAACAGCAATGGTGGTTAAGAAATTCCGCGAAATTGATCCCAACTTCCAAATGGAAGAATTCCTGCGCGAGCTTCGTGAATACATTCTTCCGGAAGTTCTCGATGCCTACGTAAAGGGTGATGTTGAGACCCTGAAGCTCTGGCTCTCAGATGCGCAATTCTCCGTCTACGCTGCCCTTGCCAAGCAATACACCACTGCTGGCCTTCGATCGGATGGGCGTATTCTTGACATTCGTGGCGTGGATGTTTCCAACGCTCGTCTATTGGAGCCGGGAGAGATTCCCGTGTTCGTCATTACCTGCCGTGCTCAAGAAGTACACGTTTATCGCAACGTCAAATCGAATGAGCTTGCTGCCGGTATGGAAGACAAGGTTCAGTTGGTCACATATGCCATCGGCATGACACGCATTCCTGAAGAGGTCAACAACCCCGAAACTCGAGGCTGGAGACTGATCGAGCTGCAAAAGGCTGCCCGTGATTATATCTAGAGATATTGACGATCATCTTTCCGCGATGAGGATAGTGGGACAATGCCTTGAGGGAACATCCTCTATCGATCTCGACATTTCTCTCGCCTCTCATTCATACCGTCCATTTCCATCCAAATCACACCTCCCAACCGATTTCTCCAATGTACAATATTATTGCCTGGTGGCCTTGCACAGGACAAAATGCTCGAGCTCGGTCTTTCACTCTCGAACTTCCCAGGTTTTAGCTGGCTCTCCCGTGCCTGCTTTTCTTCGTTACACCCATGTATTAATGCTTATCCTCTCTTGGCTGTTCTCTGCTTCGTTCCATGATCCTTTTTGGCGCGTCTTACCTGCAGTTGTTGTCGCGATTGCGCTTCTTACTTTGATAGACTCCGATCTGGCCACGTCCTCAATCCAGCTCATCTGGTTGGCATCTGTTGTGAAGGCGTCCTTGGTGTTTTACGATTTTCCTCTCTTTTCCTTCCTCTCCCCTCGACGTTGTATTGTTTTTGCCCGGAAGGCTCCTCGCATCAAGTGTTGAATGCGAATAGCAGGGACTCGCCTGTTTTTCCTCCTACTCGCACGAGCAAGGACCGAATGGAAAAGGTGCATCATGGTGTTTGTGAATATAGCTGTCAGTGGGTATGACCTCATCGAACTGCTCAAATGCATCGGGCTTCATGCCAATCGGCACGTGTATTATCGATGAGTAGCTTTCGTTTTGCAAGATTTGATGCCGTAGTATGTCCCTAGGTTTCTCGCGTCTCCGTGGAAGGGTAAAATCGGAAGACAATTTAGCTTTTTAGGTATATTTAAGTCAATCTCCCCAAGGCAATCTTGGATTTATTCCCTTTCTTCTATCCAACTTGGATGACTGACTACACAGTACATACGAGAAATATTTGCATTTTCGCTGGAGATGAGGCTTGCTCCATATCAATATACAAGCCGCGAGTCCCGCATTACTAGGTAGGTTTTGTTCGGCCCAGTTATACTAAATGGCGCATTGTAGAACCAGTGGACGGAAGGCTTCACGGGGTGTAGTACATACCAGTCATTCTTACAGAAAAGCTCGCTCTTCCCGCGGCTCTCAACATACGATGTTTTGTGGAATATCCCAAGAACGGCAAGGTAGCAACCACTAGGGTTGAATTCAAGAAATTGGGATCAAGATTCATTTCTAGGACAGCGCTGACAAGTTTTGGACATCAACTCCCATGGATGGCATACAAAAAGATGACGCGGTTCTCAACTTCAAAGTCTCATTACTTCGTCTGCACAGTGAGTTACTGGCCTCGGCCAGCACCTCCAGCGCCACCACCACCCATCATGTTACGGGCCCTAGATATAAAGCTAGTCAGCACACTGCACACAAAATTTCTCATGATGTAAGAAAAACTCACATCTCGGCGATGCTTGGGTCGCTCATCAGACTGGACATATCCGGCATGCCACCACCGCCACCACCACCTTGACCGAAGTTCTCGGCCATTTGACGCAGTCGGGGGTTGCTCATCAAGTTGCCGAGCATGTCAGGGTTGCTCATGAGATTTTGGGCCATGCTAGCAAACATGGGGTTATTCATGATGGAGGACAAGTCAGGCATACCGCCGCCGCCACCACCACCGCCTCCAAGCATGCTAGCCAGCGAAGAGAGGTCGGGCATACCACCGGCGCCACGGGATGCGCCAGGAGCGGTGTCCAGATCCTCCGCGGGGGGCTCAGTCGAGCGACTGCCCTCCTCAATCTTCTTCTTGCAGGTCTCAAGACCGCGCTTCATGGCTTCGCTGCCACCGTTACCCTCCGCCTCAATACCCTTCTCGTAGGCCTCCTTCGCAGCGTGGTAGTTACCCATATCAAATCGAGCAAGACCCAGACGGCTCCAGGCCTTGGAGTACTTAGGATCGACAGCGACGGCAATCTCGGCGTCGTCAGCGGCCTTGCTATGTTGACCGGACGCGGAATAGGCGGCAGCACGGTTGGAAAGATAGATTGGATTGGAAGGCGCAATTTCCAGTGCCTTGGTGTACGCTTCGATTGCTCCGGCATAGTCCTTCTTGGCCATCAGAGCGTTACCCTCTGATTTCATCTTGTCCGACTCGGCAGTGGGAGCACCGGCCTGGGGTTTCTGCTCTTGCGATTCCTGAGGGGCAGTGGTAGCTGACGCGGGGGTAGACTTGCTGCGGAGTTTCTCGTAGACGCTGTAAATACTCGCCAGAGATTGACCACCAACGGCGTCCTTCACAGCAGCTTCATCAGTGGGGTCGACCTTGAAGGTATCGGCGATACATGACTGAGCAATCTCAATAGATTCGGCATCGTCCGCGGTAAGGGTGCCGTCCTTCAGACTGGAGCCGAGGAAGTCGATAATGGCCAGAGCCAAACGCTTTTTGCTTTCTGTGGGAGCCTGCGAAACGAGAGACACGAAAGACTAGCGTTAGAAAAATTCATATGTCCAAGAGGCGAGGGGGGATTGTACCATTGTGTTCTGATGCTTGGAGTCGTGGCTCGATCAAACAGGAGGGGCTGCGGATAGCTCAGGGGAGAAAATGGATGATGCGGGGAGGAAGCTTCCGCACGTGATAAGGCCAATCGTCCCCGTAGGTGACCAGACTGTTTGGCTGTTGTGCTGCGGTCAAAGGTTACTTACTTTGAACGACACCCCGGTGGTGGAGCGTGGTTAATATTGGGCCATTCCTTGAAGCGTAATGACTCTCTATGAGCTTCAGGGTTCGTCTTAGCATCCCTCTCAGCAGCGACCCGAGCCATGTACTGGCCTAATGGTGTACCCCGGGTCTATGCGGTCAATGGGCCCAAAATTGCCCCAGTCGCGGACGTCGTAGACACTCATGACAACAACAATTTACCGGAGAGACTGTCGCGCGAGCTACCTGCCGGAGAATCGGCTCATGATCCTGAACTAGCCGCTGAGCATCGAAAGCAACAAACTCCGCATCCTAGTCCGGCAGCGTCTTCGACCAACGGGAATGTCTCGCAATGGCAGGAGGAAGCAATCAATGGCCTTTGCGTTTCACGGTCAGGCCATCTCTTTGCGACAATGACTGATTCCTCGGTCTCTCTCTGGCAAACAAGGGTACGGTTTTCGTCGCATCAATTCACGCAATTCTTTCTATCTTTTGGCCATGGATGATGTATGCTAAAGTGCGTTGAAGCCGACGGTAGTTGTTGCCGCGATAGCTCGATCCGCATCCTCTCTGCAAACATATGGCACCAATGTCTCGGTACTCATGCATCCAGACTCGACTATATTGATCTTGCAAACTTCCAATGGGTATCTTCTCACCTATTCGCTTGCCTTTGACCCCGCGACGCGCGTTTACCATCAAGTCTTCGATCATTCTACGCACCCGCGCCGGCAGCAATTGGCACATTTTGCGGCGGTCGAAGATGCAAACGTTGTAGGCGACGTCAACGTTAGTTTTCGAATGGCAATCAAGATAGAATCGGGCATTGTCAGAGCTCTGGCACTGGAGCAAGAACTTATTGTTGCTACTGTCAAGCCCGCCGCTATCCAGTGCATCCGTTGGGCCTCAGAGGCCAGTGGGACGCAGACCAGGTCCGAAATGCTGAGTCGAATACTTCATGTTGCCAAAACGGTCACGATAGTTGACATGATTTACGACCGGGCTATGAATCTTCTCATTTGGCTCACGAGCAATGGTCAGGCATATGCTGTCCAGCGAGTACCCGATAGCCAGGAGCAATCGAGTGGGCCACAAAAACTCTTCCACGGTCACTGCTTTCACGATCCGAAAGGTGAAGGCGAAGAGGCTGTCAAGGTGGCGGTGAACGCCCGCTTCTCTCTGCTGACAGTGAGCTGCGCGAATGGCAAAGTTCTTGTCTATACTGCAAAAGACTATACGGGCAATGTTCCTCTTTCGCAAGAATTATTGCTTCCGGCATCTTCCACCACAACGGGAGCTATGACCTTCATGAGCTACTCTCCTGATGGATATTGTCTTTTTGCGGGCTACGAGAATGGTTGGACGACCTGGAGTGTGTTCGGGAAACCTGGCGGTAATAGCTTCTCCGTCGATCCTACCTTGGCGAAGTCCAACGATGAAGAATGGCTCACAGGCGCTACTAATGGATGTTGGATTGGAGGTGGCTCTGATATCATTTTGTCGGCGAAGCATGACCGACGCCTCTGGATATTAGAGACGGCCCGGAGTGCCTTGACTGGATGCTTCTCTGCGGCGAACCTGGCACGAGGCTTGCTACAAACTGGGACCGAGTTCATCTTGTATCGAGGCCACGACTTGCCCGATTTGATGACAATATCCGGCAAAGACTCCCTTTGGCATCATGCTCAGTATCCCCCGGCATATCTTCATTCACAATGGCCCATTCGCTCTTGTGTGGTCTCCCAGGATGGTCGATATGTCGCGATCGCAGGTAGACGTGGCCTGGCACATTATAGTGTCAACAGCGGCCGGTGGAAGGTCTTTGAAGACTCCATTGCGGAAAATTCCTTTGCCGTGCGGGGAGGTATGTGCTGGTACGGCCATATTCTAATTGCGGCCGTCGAAAGCGATGGCTCATATGAGGTGTGTGGACACAGAACGCTCTACAGAGATGCCGATACTTAGGGGCTAACGTGAACCCATAGCTTCGACTCTATTCGCGCGAGGACAAGTTGTCCAAGAGTTTTATCATGCATATTGAATACCTTCCTTCACCTGTGGTATTCATTGGTCCATCTGGAGAGGACTCTCTACTGGTTTACACTTACGACAACATCCTCTACCACTACATCATCAACTCCACGAGGAACAAAATCAGTTTAGTCCCTGTTGGACAGATTGCTTTCAATGGCATCGTTAGAGCGCCCACGCGAGTTCGAGCAATCAGCTGGGTTCTACCCGAAGAGCAGATGCGTGAGTAGGACAGAAGAACCGCGCATTTCAATGTAAGAGCGTTCGGACTGACAATTGCTTGAACAGGTAACGGCGATCCGTCTCAGGACGTCAGAGTGGCCTCTGTGCTCCTTCTCGTTGATGGCAATCTTGTCCTGCTTCAACCAACGGTCACAGATACAGGTGATCTCAAATATGACATGCGGGTCATCTCTCATGATGTTGAGTACTATATCTTGATGCGGGATCAGCTTTCCTTCAATTTCTCATCCCAAGTCGATGAAGCCATACCCTCCAGCCCTTCCGTGGACATGGCACTAGAGCCAGCGTACAGCAGCCTGTCTCTCCGAGACTCTTTATGGATGTTCCGAGGCAAGGATCTCCTCGCTTGGGATGACATACAGGACATTCTACAGCAAGAAACGGTGCCAGTGCCGATCAACATTCCTTTGGATTTCTATCCCCTTTCGGTCATCTTGAACAAGGGTGTTGTGCTTGGCGTTGAATCCGAGATGACCCAACGACGAGACGTCACCTTCACTAGTCTCAAATTTGCCATCCGAGTAAGTTCTGCCTGGCTCCTCGTTTTCATCTTCACTTTTCTTATCAGATCAACCTAGACACATCTTTTTCTTCCTTACTTCTTGCGATACTGTCTTGTCCATCTGGGCATGCCAGCTGCAGTCTCATTGAGTCGACATTTCTCGCATCTTTCCTACTTCCCCCACGGTCTTGAGGTTTTGCTGCATCATGTTCTTGATGACGCAGTTGACAATGATCATCGCAGACATCAGTCCGATGAATCAGCAATCCAAGAGGAACCCCTTCTTCCTACAGTCATAGCCTTCCTTCAAGCATCAATACCCACACGGGAGTATCTAGAGGTCGTGGTCCAGTGCACGCGGAAGACTGAACTTCGCTTTTGGCGCACGCTTTTCATGTATCTTCCCTCGCCAAAGGATCTCTTCGAAAAAGCTCTCAGGCTTGATGCACTCAAGACTGCTGTGGGTTATCTGCTCGTGCTTCAGGCATTCGAAGACGAAGAAGAACTTGGTCACGATGGACACGTTGAAGAATATGTTGTGCGGCTCATTGGCCTGGCGTCGCAGAAAGGGGACTGGGAGCTTTGCGCGGAACTTGCTCGCTTCTTAATAGCACTCGATTCATCAGGCGAGATGCTCAAGCGTGCTGTCGGCCGAGTCGGCTTACGCTCGAGTTCTCGCTCGTCGGTAAATGGTGGCCATCCAGCGCGCCCCGGACTTGGATCAAGGACGGGTTCGGCAGCTAGTATGAGAGGACTTGGGCTTGCCCTCCCGATTCGTACGCCTTCTTGGTCATCTCTATCCCCGACTCGATCTCTCTCCCCACGGCAAAACAATGGAGAGGCGGAGGTCTCTGACAATTGAACTTATCCTGTCGAGGGCTGCGAAAGGTACCCGAGGTTGGAGGAACAGGCAGCCCTTCTATCTGTCCATATCTCACGCGATGTGTACATACGAGAATGTGACTAGTAATTAACTCCTCGGCCTTTCACTTCCCATATGATGTTGTCCTCTGGTATCAGTATGCTCATTTTTAACAGCTTAAGCTAGAGCTCCAGGTCTCGCAGCATGAGCTCCTCTGAACAAAACCATACCCCAACGCCTCCCAAATAAAGAAAAGTAACGCTTTGACCATATGGAGTTTATCTTAATCGATATTCTACCCCAAGGCTTCTTTCTCCTCTTTACTTTGCACGATACTGTACCATCATCATCACCACCATAACCACCACCACCATCGGGGCATCACTGCAATCAACCACCCACCACCGGAACAGCATCCATAAACGGAAGAACGAAGAGCTGAAAAATCAATACCATCATTACCATTTCATGATCTAGACTCTCAAGGCCCTCAGAAAATCCCGATCTTAATCCAAGTGCAGCTTCCACAGCCCATCTCCCAAATAATGACCCTCATCAATAACCACGCCTTTCCCTTTACTCTTGATCTCCTCGGTGCCAACCTTCAACGCACCGACAAGACAAACCTCTTCCTTCCCCTCTGCCTTTACAGCCACAACCTGTCCAGCTTCCAGCGCGTGTTCGGCGTCCGGTAGACGACCGCCGGGAGATGTCAAGCCGGGAGCCATCAAGGTTGCGCCGGAGAGGACGAAGCGAATCGCGCCGCGGTCAATCTGGACGGTAGGTAGAGCGCTAGGAAAGGCATGAATGAGACGGAGGTGGGGGACGGGGGGGTCGTCGAAGCGCTGGAAGAAGAGAGGGTTGGAGTCTATCGTGTAGAGAGTTGCGCGTTCGGGGCTAGTGGGGTGAGATTTTAGTTTTCCAATTTGAATTGGCCCGTGGACATATTCAAGTTGTCGAAATCCTTGCTCCGAGTATCGAGAGAAAGAGAAGTATGAATTGCATCGAGACGTACAGCTTGACTGCTTCCAATGAAGCTTTCTTGGGCATGATCTCTTCGATGTAAGGCTCGAATCCGGGATAAGTATCCAGGAGCTTTTGCCGCAAGGCACGAGCCGCTGAGGACTTGACCTTTGAGCGGTTGGTAGGTGGGATACTAGAAGGAGAAGCCGGATGTCAATCCAAGTTGTCTTGATTTCAAAGAAAACATAACAGGCAGTATCGTCAAGGGTGGAATTGTCGATATCGCGGATATAGCCTTGGGCGACATTTCTCCCTCCGCGGGGTTTGTTTCTCAACGAGAAGGGCTCGTTGACTCTTCTCGCGGTATCAACCAACCAACCACTTCAAAGAGCTTTCCAACGTCGCCGTAGTTCAGAGAAGGTGAGATCGATGATCATATAGCACTTACTCTTTCTTAAACATGATGTTGGTTGCTTGAATAAACTTGATACAAATGATGACGGGCAAAGTGGGATGCCGCGGGGAGTATCACGTGAGGATTTACAATAATGTAGCTGCTGGCCTGTCGCAAAGTCCAAAGCTCCAACGCGACTTGTTACCTCCACAGATACCAAGTCTTTGCGTGCTGGACAGCAGAATGGCATAAGATAGACCCCGAACGAAGCAATTTTTACAAGCACGTGTTCCAATGTGTATCAAGCTGAGAGTATGGACGACAGACACGACACCGCACGAGGCACATCAACTACCACTTGGCACTTGCAATAGTCTTTCCGGAATTTGGTGCACATACAACATGCGACCTACGCTAGGTATTACACATGACTACAGTCGACTTGTGAATTTGTATTCCAGAAATAGATGTGAAGGTTTGTATCATCAATTGAGCTTGCTATATCATTATTTTGATAATCTGCTTAAGACTTGGCAGCACCAGCCTTGATGAGCATGATGTCGCCATCTTCAACAACGTAGTCCTTGCCCTTGGTCATGATTTTACCGGCAGCCTTGACCGCGGCTTCATCACCGAGCTCCCGGAGGACACTGTAGTTGTACACAATGGCTTGGATGAAGGTCTTCTCGAAATCGGTGTGAATGACACCGGCAGCGCTGGGGGCCTTGATACCCTTACGGATAGTCCACTGGCGAACCTCATCCGCACCGGTGGTGAAGAAGCTGGCCAAGTTAAGAGCCTGACGCATGGTGGTGATAACCTTGGGAAGACCAGAGGCGGTGCCCAGTTTCTTGCACTCCTCGGCGGCAGCTTCGTCACCCAACTGTGTGAGACGCTCCTCGAACTGAGCAGAGATGGGCAGAATAGGAGAGTTGGGAGACTTCTCCTTGACCCACTCAAAGAGCTTGGGCAAGTACTTGTTCTTTTTGCGAATGAAGTCCTTCTCGCTCAGGTTGACCAGGTAGACAACAGGCTTGGCAGTGAGAAGGAACAGAGGGTTGATAACTTCGACCTGGATGACAATTTCAAGTCAGCACAACTCCATGAACACAAAGAGCTTGGACAGTAGACGTAAGGCCCAAAAGGTCTCCAGTGTTTTCTTTTCAGTGCAGTGCTTTAATTTCAAGATGCCCTCTAACGTGATATAAAAATGAGGGATTCAACGAGCTGGGTTATATTCGCGCAAGCGCTTATTCATCATGAAAACACGGGAGCCTTCATTTGTGCGGGCGGGTGGCGGGTGTAGCATGCAAAGGGAATGCGAGCGATGTGCAGTACATACCTCCTTAGGACCCCATTCACCCTCACGGATGTCCTTGCCATCCTGAAGCCATTGAAGCACCTTGGCAGTGGTGGCCTCCTCCTCCTTCAGCTTCTTCATCTCCAGAGACTGGCCGCCACGGCGAGTCTGCTTGGAAAGAGCCTCGAGAGCCTTCTCGACGAACTCGATATCCTTGATGCGCAGCTCCTCGCTGATGATGGTCAAGTCACGGACAGGGTCAACGTCACCCTCGACGTGGATAATCTCAGCATCGTCGAAGCAACGGACGACCTGGAAGATAGCATCGACAGCCCGGATGTGGGACAAGAACGAGTTGCCCAGACCAGCACCGGTGGAAGCGCCGCGAGTGAGACCGGCGATATCATACACGGTCAAGTTGGCGGGCACCTGAGACTTGGGCTTGTAGTGGTCACACAACCAGTCGAACCGCTCATCGGGAACAATGACGCGGGCCTCTTCGGGGTCAATGGTGGCATACGGGAAGTTGGCCGGGTTACCCAGAGAGGACTTGGTGATGGATTGGAAGAGCGTCGACTTGCCGACGTTGGCAAGACCAACCTAAAAGATCACATGGTGAGTGATGCGCACGGAGAAAACACTCCAATTGAAGAACGCGGAAACTGTGTTAAGAGGAGAAGAAGGAGAAGGAAAAGGGATGAGGGCGGAAGAGGGATTAAATAGTTTTCGTGGAACTAAAAGTGGACTGTGGTGTGCGAAAGGGCAGAAACGGGAATAATCAAATAAAATGAAAATTCGAAAAAAAAACCCCTCGCAGACAACGCAAGGCCAGGGTGGGGTCGTTGCTCACATACGATACCGCTCTTCAAGTTGTTGCCAGGACGGCCCAGCAGGACCTTCTCTTGCACTTGAGCCTTCTTGGGAGGCATTTTACTGGATTTTTTCTTCTTGCTGGAGTAGAAGCGACAGAGAAGAGGTGGGAGGTGGGGGAATGAGGAAGAGGAGCGAAGGCGGAAGCGGGCACAAGGAGGGCGCGCGGCAAAAGCAGGTCCAGCTGCGGATCGGTCAACGATGCGAAGGAAAAAAACGGAAGACGATGGAAGAGACGTGATGACGGGTGCCCACCGGATATGTGGACAGACGTTCTCGAGGTGATGTTTCAAGGTCTTAGAGACTGTACAAGAGCGAGTAATTGCAATTGAATTGAGCGAAAAGAGGTCAACAATCCCCTTGGAACGCGAGGCTTTAGAAGTTTTCTGCCGGTCATTTTGGACGCTGACCGCTCACGTGAACCCCTTGCCCTGTTCTCCTTGACGTCATGCCGCAATTGCAGGGTGCGCAAGGACATGGACATGTAACTACAGTCAACGGCTAGAATGACTGTAGGCCCAAAGCATACGAAGAAGGATTCAACCTGATGTCAAATCATCAATCGACTTATAATGCTACATTGCTTCGCATATGAGACGATAATCGATCAGAGGAGTCCGTCTCCCCCAAATCAACCATTAGGGTAGCACCGTCGGCAATAGACTTCAACAGAGGTGTAGTAAAATTACAGATTTGGGAAAGGCAGACATCAACGCATGATCAGAGATAGCGCTTGACTTTCGAAGACCGAGCAGCACAGAGCTATGCTAGGGCATCATGCTCCTAATTCGTATGACGCCAGGGCCGCCATGAAGGCCCCAATCCACCAACGCCAAAGATTGTGGGGGATATTATCTCAAAGTAATAAAAACTGAAGGGGAAATTCAAAGATCCATCGCGTCACCTGCTTCGGAGACTGTGTCTACCATGTCCAGGAGTTTGGCGTAAGGGACGGTAACCCGTTGAAGTTCACGATATTTCCCTAAAATAATCCGTTAGCATGACGGAAATGCATAGGCAGCCCCGCGCCTTCTGCTGCCTTGATTTCCTGGAGAGAAGACGTACCGAGTGCAAGAATCACTTCCTTGAGTAGAGTCTCACGAGGCCATCCACAAAGTTCCTCCTGTCCTTCACGCCAGTTGCGGTCCTCATGTTCGTTGGCCTGGAGCTTGGAGACAGTCACAGCGTCATCATCATCGTCATAGAGTCCACCAATGAGACCCTTCAATAGCTCTTCGACCTTGCCCTTCAATCCTTCTGCGCCGATGCGCTTAGCATACATGTTCAGATAAAGGCGGAACTCCTCTTTAGCCCCTAGTGATAGAGCTGCGGCCATACGGTTTTCAAGGTGGGCAATTGAGACGCTAGACTCGAACGTCTCATAGCCCTCCCGCGACAGCAAGACCTTGATAAGTCGCTGGAGGAAATATGCTCGTCCGCGGAGGAGGGCTTCGTTCGTGGTGTTGCGCTCCAAAAATGGAATGATACCAGCTGAGACGGCAGCTTTGGATTCCTTGGTCTCCTGGCTGCCTTCCCGGGCCTGAAGATTACCCACAGGAGCATCGGTAGAATTCCAGTATTGACTGCCGACGGCCCACCACGCTTCGGAGACACGTTGCCACGTGTACATAGCTGGATTGTAAGAATATCCCTCTCCATTGGTCAGCGACACGACGATTCTGCCTTCTGAATTGATACGAGCATCCGTGACAGCGGGTGTTGAGGTAGGGTTGCCCGCGAGAGTATGGATCGCAGCGTCCAGAACAGGCTGCAGAGAAATAGGTGGATGAGGGGAAGAAAGATGCTTCACGTTCCAAACGTAGCACATTCCCACTGAAGTGATGCAAAGAACCCAAGGGCCATTGCACTCTAGGATCACCGGCTGCGCCTCCAAAACTAAGGCGCTGACCAAGCGACGACCGGCAGGTGTCCAAAGATAGACTGATCCGTCTTCACATGCCACCGCCCATAGATTCTGGTTTCCGCAAACTAGAAGCACGCACTTGGGCAAGAAGTCCTGCCACAGGGGCTGCTCACCGCGGAACAGAGTAAGACGCACTGGCTCACGATCGCCAGCCCGTCCCGTAAGACTGGCGGCAGAGGGGTTTCTCGCCTCAAAGACCACGTCAATACGGCCTTTTTCTTTCACATTAGATTCCCCCGCCTGAGCAGGAGGCTCAGTCGGCTTTCCGTTAGGGTCAAGAGCACGTAAGATGAAACTTCGAATCTTGGGCACCGCCAATCTTGTCTGGCTGATCGACATGCACGGATTGGTGACCGCAGGACGAATGAACTCGGGGGTTGGCTGTTGACCACGGGTGGGAGGCTGCACGATGGCCGGTAGAAGGCCATCAAGGGTGTTGGTCAAGATCGGAGTGGCTCCATTTTGGCTGGCAGCAGCAATACGCTTCTCGACCTGCCCCTCTTCTTCGCCCTCCATCTGTGCCAGGGTACGCTTGTTCCCAAACAGCAACGCAGTCAATCCCCCTTTCGGTAGGCCGTCAAATGGCTTAGAAAGGTCAACCATAGACGTGAGGGCATCCCCCACGGCTTGGTTACTCACAGACGCCATGAGCCGGGTCTGAGGTAAGGAGGACTCGCCGGCTCCAGCACCGGAAACAAGCAATGGTGCGATGCGCTTTCTACCATCTTTGGTGTACGTAGGACGCGACTTCAGTCTCTCCAATTTAGCCATGTATGGATCTGGTTTAGGTGCCTCGGTTGCTGGCGTGGATGTTCCATTGGGCTGGGGATTTGTTGAGTCCGGTGCAGGAGATGGAACTCTGGCAGGCGTTGTACCACTTGATGGGGCTGTAGCCGCTGATGCCGCCGCGGTTCCATTGGTGTTGGCAGGCTGGGCATGTCCATCGCCCATCAGAGCTCCCATACGGCCTTCGACACCTCTGAGTTCATCAGCCTTGCTCTGCTCCTCGAGCAGCAGCCCATCTGTAGTCTCGGTGATTCCGGCTCCCTTGCGGTTGGTGCCGAATTTCGTGAGAGATTTCTCGTTTTCTTCCATTTCAGTGGCCCAGCCCAGCTCTCCGTCCTCGAAGCGCAGTGCCAGGATCGTCCCATCGAGAGCAGTTGCGTACAGACACTTGCCATCAGGGCTCCACGCGAGATCTGAGATCGACTTGGCCGCCATTTCCTGCGCGACAACAATTGGGCGGGCATTGCTCGTAATCCAGACACTCAGAGACTTATCTGCACCGGCGCACGCAATGACTGTGATATGATGTTGGGGAGCGTGGTTATCGGTTTGGTTTTTCTTGATGGGTTCTCTTGAGTAAAGACGAGGGGAGAACGAGCACACCTCTACAGGCGCCTCGTGTCCAATGAGGTTGATGTCTCCATCCCACGATCCACGGTTAATGATGGCAACTGAGCTCACCGGTCCATTCACGGCGTTTGCAGCGGCGATGTGCATCCCATCCGGGGACCACGAACACCGGCGGAAGTAGGCTGTCAAGGGAGAGTTGGCGAAGGGCGCTGTAATTGTGTGTTCTAACATGAAATTGTTCATTTGGTCATGGGAGGTAGAGTTGGGGGTAGGTGAGGTGAATCGGAAAACGCGCACAGTCCGATCATCGCTCGCTGTGGCAAAATATTTGTTGGCTGGATCAAATGTGATGCCCTTGACATGGCTTTGGTGCACCACTATCGTCTTCAGTTTTTCAAACGTATGCCCCGACCATACAACAATTTTAGAGTCAAGTCCAACCGACACAAGAATTGAAGAATCATGCGACCATCCCAAATCTTGCACATCATTATCGTGACCAATTAAGCGGCGAATCGTTCGCCAATTTTCGACCGGGGGTGCCTCATCCGAGCCTGTGTGTCCAGGTACGTTAGTCTCCTCCGCTGAGACTTGAAAAGCATAGCCAGCTTACCAAAGGTGGAGTGTGTTGGGGGATTCGAATCAAGCGTGTAGACGCAAACAATCTTATCGTCCGCGCCTGACGCCAAGTATTTTCCGTTTGGCGAGAATCGAACCGTATGAATGGTACCTGAGTGGTTGCTCATGGACGCGAGCTGCTTGGGTTTACTCGCAAATTCTGGGTTGTCGGTGTTGTGAATGGCCTCGATAGACCAGATGCGAACGTATCCATCTACCAAGCGAAACCATCAGTATGAGCGCCTCCATTTTGATTGACTGGTCCTTCATGCGGCCAGCAAGAGGAGAATTCTTTTGGCCCTCGTCGCTTCAGGAAAACCCACCTCCAGCAGCGGTCACGAGTCGCTTCCCGTCGGGCGAGACATCGCAACTGTAAACCTCGAAATCCTTCCGTTCACCTATGGAGATCATTTGATTAGAGCGTCTCGATGGTCCATGGTGTAGGGAGTCAGAGTCAGTCTGAAAATACCTCCATGAGTCAGCCACACGGGCTTGATGATGTGCATTTTGACTGGGAGCTCAAAGGCTCTTTGCGCCTGGAGATTCGGAACGAAATCGAGCTGGTGCTCTATGCGATGGCCACAGGGGACCTGCTCGACATCGCAGACCGGCAGAGCAGCGCCAGTCAAGAAAGCAACAATCGGAGACGTAGAGAAGTAACCTCAGGCGATATGACTTCGAGGAATGATAATCGATAGCGCTGTGTTGCGTCGAGAGGGGAATGGATGCTTAGGTTTTGGTTATCAGGCGCGCCCGCTCAAAAAGTCGCGGGCGATCTCCAGCTTAGTCGTCGCTGGTGGCCCGAGCTCCATTTCGCGTTCTTACTTTAAATGGGTCTTGGATCTGGTCAAAAGCTCGGGGAATATCAGGATGTCCGATCAACCCTGTCGTTCGCTATTTTCGATCAATTTTTGTTGCAAAATCGCGAAGATGTTGATCAACATGCTACGTACACATACTACTAAAAATTGACATTCTCCAACCTACTTGACATAGATGTTGCGTTGGCCACATTGAAGATTCTCGAAAGATGATGGGGTGAACTGCGCGTGCAACCTTATTCAAAATATATCCGTGCACCGAGCCTAAGGTTGCCTCTCCGTATTTAACAGGGAGAGCAACTTGGAAATGTGCGCATTATCAAGAGGAATAGGAGGCCACAAGCCAGATCTGAGGAGACTACAATATACGTTAGCGAGGTATGAGGAGTTTTCTAAGAATGGTCTAAAAAAAGCATCATTAGAACGACCATCCAAAAAGACCTATCAAAAAGACCATTCAACCCAATAAGGTTACTATACTTCATCGCCTGACTACCTAAAGATTAGACTCACGCCCACCTGCGTCCATGAGAGGTCTGCTGTAGCTAATAAGCTATAGGTAGTTCCCAAAAGATCACGTATAGTACCTTAGCCCCTAATCTTGCTGTATGGATGAATAAAAGTCGGTGCCTCCTACCTACCCGGCATTAAGCCTACCTGGCATTTCCACCAACGACTGAATTGGGTAACCTGGGCTAAGTTACTGGCCTACCTACGTAGGTACCATGAGGCTGAATAAAGCACGCAGGCAACTACCCCATCCCGTCCTTCCCTAACATGACGACCAGGACGTAAGTAACTTGACAGAAAGAACTATTAATGATTCGATACGGAATCATTTAATCTACTTGTCTTCCTAGCTCTTCGACTCGCAAGAAGGGGGATGAAATGTCTTTGTCTACATAATGAGTAATAATACAACGTGTGCTCGCAGCGGCACCTAGAACGAACCAGCATGTCATTTCATCCGGAAGGTGTGGAATGTATACGGGCCAAGAAGGCTGCGTACCATGCGGAAGCCTCGAGCGAAAAGAGTGAGATCACAGCGGAGGCCGATGGTAACTGAAACGAGCGAGCACGATTAAGAGGACACCCAGGAGGAATTGAGGTGGGGGTAGGTCGGAAGGAGGATGTGTGGCTGGAAGGACGATGTCGATTACTGCTATTCACTGGGCGAAGTTCATTTCTTTTGACTAGCCTCCTCGAAACTGTCCAACACATTCTGGGCAACGCTATTTTGCGACACCTCTTCAGAAAGTGCTGAGTCCACCTCGCTGTCGACCTGCTGGGAGTGACCTGCCTTCTGGCTGGAGGCAGGATCCTGCTGGCCGAGCGCCTTAGCAGCCATGCTCTTCGCCTGGGTTTCGTTGATCTTGCCATACACAGACATGGCAGATGCAATCATGCCTCCCATATCCCCAACATTGCCGGGCACAACAACAGCCGTGCCCTCGCGAGCAAGCTTAGAGAAGGCATCAACATATTGCTCGGCCACGCGAAGACTGAGTGCACCCTGCGCAGACTCCTGACCTTCCTGAATAGCACGAGCCACCGCCTCAATTCCGCGAGCGGTAGCCTCTGCCTTCAGCTTGATAGCCTCAGCCTCACCAGCAGCGCGATTGATCTGCTCCGACCGCAAAGCCTCAGAGGCAAGAATCACGGATTGCTTGCGACCTTCGGCAATGTTGATAGCACTTTGCCGTTGACCCTCAGAGTCCAGAATCTCGGCGCGCTTAGAGCGCTCAGCGGTGACCTGGCGGTGCATGGCTGCTACAACGCCATCAGGTGCATGAATGTCTCTGATCTCATATCGCAGGCAGACAACACCCCAGTCCTGTGCAGCCTCATTGATTGCTTGTGTGATGTTGGTGTTCAGTGTCGCACGTTCCTTGAGAACATGGTCCAAGGTCAATTGTCCGATCTCGGATCGCATAGTAGTCTGGGCTAGCTGGGAAATGGCGTATTCGGCATCTTCCACTCCGTAACTATTTTGATGTATTGTCGATTAGCGTCAATGTGCCTCATATCAAGTTCGAGAATGGAGTCCCGCTATCTTGCACTTACCTCGCCTTGTACGCATCAAACACCCTTGTGTACAACACACCATCCAACTCCAATGTGACGTTGTCCGCGGTGATAGCATTTTGACTGGGGATCTCGATCGCAGACTCCTTCAAGCTCTTGACGTACGCAATGCGATCGATAAATGGCATGAGAATGGCCAATCCGGGTTCCAGAATGCGATGAAACTTTCCCATGCGCTCAACGATCCACGCAGTCTGCTGTGGAACGAAGCGAATGACTGTGTTGGCTGGGAGAGCCTGCCGATTTGTGAAGTAAGTTGAAGGAAAGCCTCCTCCTTGGGAACCGCCCGCAGCCGCAAAATTGCTGAAGATGGATTCCGGGGCAAGACTCCGCGGAGAGTTTGAGACCGAGCGAGCTTGTGTCGTGGTTACGACATGCGTGGACGCCGGTCTGGGCAGACGACGCGAATGGGTGAGGACATTCGCACTGCGAGACTGGGCAAGTCTCGATGCCTGGCGGGTCATACCCTCCATCTTGAATGCAGGAATTAATGCGAGGGGATGGTGGCGTGAGGTAGGGAAGAATGGGCAGGACCAGGCGATACATCCGGGTAAGCTGAGCTGTCTCGCTGATGCTCCGTTTAAGTGGCCTGAGGCCTCAAGGCCACCAAAGACTCAGCCCTTCTCCGCAGTCCGCACCGAAGTAGAAGCGTCTCCATCGAGCGCCACATGTGCTATACAGTCATGTACTGTATGTTCACCCAACTGGTCCAGAGCAATGCGGTACACAACGCTAATCCATAACCTCTCAACGTGTCACTCAAGATCAGTGCTCGTCTGGACCTCTGTAATACCTCGCAGCTCAGGACGCAGTTTCCACAACAATGTCATGCCCGTACCGGCAGCCATGGCTTCATGTAGGATGTCAATGCAATTCTTCCTTCAGAGCCCCAACCCTCGATTCCTCAGGCATCGTGCTATGACAGTATGACTATCATGCAATGCATAAGATACGCGACCAATACGAAATTTCCTTTTGAAGAAGAAGCAGTCTGACAATAAACACACATATTTGAATTTGGAAACCGTACACTGCCTTCTGCTGCAGAAGCATGCCCATATGCCAACAAATTCGTTAAACCACATTGCAAGTGTCGAGGCAAAATGACCGAATCGTCACGGGTTGATAAGGGCCAACGGCACACGCACACTCAAAGTCAGGGGACAAGACAGATAACCTGAAAACAATAATACTCTATGACCCGTGAAATAAGCGGAAACGTTCAAAGCCCAAAGGGCGGACTTTTGGTATCAGGCAAAAGGAAACGGCGAATGTTTTGTTCGTGGATATCAAACCCGAGTCCAGGTATCGTTCCAAGGAAGAATAAAGGGACTGGGAAGCCGTGAGTCCGAGAAAGAAGACGACATGGAAGTGGAGAGGAGTAACAGAAAGATGACAATGTTGAAAGGTGAAAACAAAACTCCGAGGGGTCCGTGGCACATCAGAAGACCCTAGAATAAAATCATGTGGCGCTGAAGAATAACCAGAAAAGCGGAAATGCATGTAGGTTTCCCAAGCACAAGGATGCTGGTCGAGACAGGTAGACAAAAGTGAGTTGAACAGAGGAATAGATGATCAGACAGCCAAAAAAAAACAACAAAAATCCAAAGACAGGGAGAGTTTTTGGACTCAAAATGAAGAGCAAGATGTTCTCACGGGGCAAAAGTCTGCCGATACCCCGTGCTGTGCTCACGCCTCACGGACTCTATTGTAGAGAGTGTCGATGACGCGACGATTGGCTTCTACCACCAGACCACAGGTCATGGCCGAAGTCAGAACATCAGCGATCGCAGTCTGAAGGCGCATTGTCTGATGTCCGCTCAGATAAACCATGTCAGTCAACACTTCTTCGGGACAAGGAGTGGGGTTGAGTAGGCAGACTTGATAAAAGCCCAAGAGTGCGAAATATCCAGAATCAGCGTTTCGGGTGAGGAGGTCATCGAGTGCAGCCCGTCTGAATTTATTGTAGAGGCGAGAATCGAAATTTTGAAGAAGGGAAAGCATCCAGGAACGATAATGAACACCGTCTTCGGCAGCATGGTTGATTGTTGGGTAGGCCCACGGAACCTTGGTATGAGGAGTGCTGGCCGAACGACGAGAAGGGGGGAAACTTTTGAGAGAGGGCCATTCGCGGTTGGACAACCGGTCCTGCCGTTTTAAGAATCGAATTGTGGAATTCAGATTAGAACCCGACGGAGACAGTTGGGTCGTGTACCGTTCGTGAGTAAAGTGACTGATAAATGAAGAGAACCTGATCGTCAGTACATGGCTTCAGACATCGTATGTGCGATGAGACAAACCTTGGCTGGCACCACTGCGTCTCAGAGGAAGAGTGGATCGACTGGCTGTTCTGTGGGTTTAATCCGCACGCTAGGGACGCGTTAATATCCGAAATATCCATGGGAATGAAGTGGGAGCCTCGGACTTGGGGGCTGGGTTTGGATCCAGGACGGGTCAGGGGAATGCCTACGTTGCTGATCTCATTCTGGGATGGCTGGAACTCAGCGGCGGCCGACGAAAGAGAAATTCGAGACTCCGGAACACCGTTTGCAGTGCCATTGGGGACAAAGGGGCGAGATCCGGGGTGCATGGAGCCGTTCGAGGTGGCGTCGGCGTGGTTTGATGTGGTGTTTGGTTCGTCGTGCTTCACGGTGACCTGAGCCATCGGAGCACCTTCGTGCTGGGCACAGGGCTCCCGCTGCTCAACAGGGAGTACCCACTGAGCCCACTTTTCCCTCGGTCGAAGACGGTCCACGCCGTCCTCGCCCATTTGGTACTCCACATTTCGAAGACCGCGTGATACGTGACGAAGCATCTCGAAGTCTTCGGTCAAAGTTCTCATGCGCTTGAAGCCAGCGACAACGGCCAGTGGGACGAATCCTTGGGAATCCATGTGTCGGCGCAGGAACATGTCCTTGCACATGTTGTCAACCGAGAAGTAGTATTCGAGCTGCATAGACAGCATGTTCATGAAGGCGAAAGGCTCCATGTACTGCTGATAGGGAACAGCGCTCATTGGACCGGGGGCCACGTTAGAGTATGAGGGGTACATCGTGTTGATCTCAGCGGGGTACGTGTACACAGGGTTGTACATGCCGCCGGAAGCGGGCAATGATGGTGATCGCATGGGCATACGGTTGCCTTGCTGTTGGTTGTTTTGGACCGTGTGCTGTTGAGACCGTTGGCGGTCGTTGAAGCCGAACTTACCGGGCACAAAGGTGTTGCCCATGCCGAACTGGTTGTGCTGGTTGTAGTTCGTGAACGGGCGAGGAGCACGGTTGGGGTGGCGACCTCCACGGTCCGCACGGTTATCCCCACGCTCGCGATTAAAGTCGTGGAAGCCCGCAGCATCACGACTGGGGTCTGCGGACTTGGAGCCGGACTCGACGCGGCGATCAGTGGCACGAGCAGTAGCTTGAGCATCGATGGCCAGATGGGCACCCTTGGCACCACGGTCACCGGCTCGGCCTTCCTGGTTCTTGAAGAACTGCTTCCCGTCACGCATGGGGCGGGGTGCCTGCTCACCACCGTTCAATTTTTGGCCATTGACAGCACTGTCCTCTGGACCACGGGGAGCACGGCCACGGTCCACATGTTGAGCCTTGCGTGCATCCGGGTTGCTGACATCAGCGCTGGCAGAGCGCCGGCCTTGCGCAGGGAGGGAGGCGGCACGAGCAGCTCCATTGTCATGGCGGCCGCGCTCTCCAGGCCCCTGCTTTCCAGCAGCAGTTGCACCAGGCTGACCAGAGCCAGTCTTCTCGGTGGATGCGGCGCTGCTTCCGTGAGGACCACCGCGACCACCATCGCGTCCTCCTCGAGTGGTTCTGCGACCACCACGGCCGGACGTCGTGGGGAGTGGGGTGTTGAACACAGCCGTGGGGACATAGTTGACCGGCATCCATTTCTCCTTTCCATGGGAGCGAGCGACGGGGCTCTTGTCGGTTCGCTCCGGCTTATCACCCTTCTCCTGGGCCTTCTTCTTATCCTCGCCCAGAGCAGTCTGGGGAGTCGGCCACGAAGACGCATCTGCGACGGGCGGGATGCCTTCATCACGTCCCTTGCCATCAGACTTCTTACCCTTGGTTCCATCCACTGTGCTATCGGCACCCTTCTTCTTCGTGCCAGCCTTGGCAGGATCTTGCGTGGACTCTTCGGATTTGGGCTTTGCCATGGGAACTACTGGCACGGTCTTGGCCTTGGCCTCCTGAGCTTCCTTTCGTTGCTGCCAGATGTTGACAGATGGAAGAGGGGCAGCTTTCAACTCCTTTGGTGGAGCAGGCTTCTCCGACTTCTCCCCCTTGTCCGATTTTTCAGACTTCTCAGACTTCTCAGCTTTGTCCTTGGACTTCTCAGAGCTACTGTCGGACTTCCCAGCCTTGGCCTCCGATTGTGCCTGCTTCTCAGATGGGGCGGCACTTCCATTCGTGGTATTGGAGGAATCGGTATCCTTTGACTGAGTGGCATTTGAACGAACACTCGGAGATGCAGTGCGGGAGTTGTTCGCCTTTGATCGCTGGACGTGCTTGCTGGTCACCGTGGTGAATTCGGCATCGTTGTCAACACTTGTCGTAGAGGTCTCCATCTCTTGCGGGGTTTCTGTCTCGGAGGCCGTGGTCACAGACTCGGTTTGAGCTGCAATGCTCTCAGTCTGTTCCTCAACCTTCTGCTCAGCTTTCTCGGGTTCAGTTGAAGCAGGCTTGCTGGACACTGGATTTCCGGCAGCGCCTTTGGCGGCTTGCGCGTAAGAAAAAGTGGCGCTCATTTTGGATGAGTGCAGCGACGAGGGAGCTTTTATGTGATGTTTTTTTTTTCCTGCGAAGGATTGATCTATTACAGATCAGAGGATTGATGGGGAGACAAGAGTCTCTTCACACGCTGAACGCGTGATTCAAAGTCAAGCACCAGGTGGCACTCGAGCCGTGTCTCGCAATCAGAATACGACACTGCTCCACGGCAGGTTTCACGCAGGTCGATGTTGTCTGTTCACTCAAGATTGAAGAACACGGACGTGGAGGGAGGACGAGAGAGCCAGCCGATATTGTTGGTGATCTGTGTTGGCTCAGAGATGAGGTCGCGTGATCAAAGGATATGATCCAGCAACTAATACGTCGGGTCGAACGAAGCTGGGGACCACTGACAAGGCTGAAAGGGCTATGTCGAGTTTCTGGACCGAAGTGGCTTGATCGGGGACGAAGCGACAAATTAATGAACAGGCGAACACACAGATCCTAAACCTAACGCGCCAATGTCAGCTCAAGTGTTGCGTACTGTGCGGCTTGTGTCCGGGTCACAATCCGGACGACTTGGGTCAGACAAATGAACAAGAGACTCTCGAGAAGTCCAACAGCCTCCGGCAGCGGAGGGCGGGACGTATGAAGATCGTCTCTATGTCCAAGTGACTGGAATCTCGCTTAGGATCCTTTCGGAGAGTCTAAATGACGAGGTCGCGCGAGCCAAGCGTAACGGATGAGAGCGGATGGCTCGAAGGGATATGCTTTAGTGGGCGACACGAACAAGATAATGGCGTCCAAATCTCTGGTGGGAGACGTAGCGCCGACTTGTGCAGATTGGGCGATGTATGCGTTGTGCACCGGGGTTGGCGTATTTGCGCGGAGCGTTAAATCGATCGACGTAAAATCACGGACGGATTTCTTAGACGACGGAGATGGGCACTGTGGTCCGCTTGGCCAAGGTCAGAACACAGAAACGGGTTTTTTGTAAGAAAAGAAAAAAAAAGGAAAAGAAAAGTAAAGCCAGGAAGCATTCAAATAAACCCCCACAAAGACTTATCAGAGAGATGACGCACAGGAAAGGCTTCGAGGGGATGGAGGTATGAGGGAGGGGAGATATGAAGGAAGGTAGGAGTTGGAGGAGGAAGAGGGACGGAAAACGCAAAATTATGATTTGGGTAATCAGGGCCGTCAGTTGTGGTAGCGGGGTGTATCTGCCCGTGCAGAGCCCAGCACGACAGACTCAGAAAGAGGACCACGCATTGTCCCGCAAGCGCGCGTTACTTGTGACAAACAAATCAACCACGCACTACCTCTTCCACGCACTGCATCGATATTACTGACCTGATCCTTTTTTGCTATGGGCAGAATCTCGACAGTCCCCCTCTCACAGCTGAGGAGGTGTAGGCGATGCAGGTGATCAGCAATTTCACGGAGAAAAAAAAATATTAAAAAATTCTGAACTATGGAGACCTTGTGGAATCCCTCGGTGCCGTAGCCGTAGCCGTATGCCCCCACGGAAAGATTTGGGGCCTTCAGTTCCCTTCACACACAAGTGGCACGACCAGACAGTGAGTGCTGAACAGTAGCATTGTGCCAGTGCAGGACTCCGTGAGTCAGTCGTCCTAGTCAGTAGTGGCTATTTAGTAGTCACACAACCCCATCCTGCTCCCCAAGGCCCGTGGCTCATGGAGGTAAGACAATTCCGGAATGCGCGCCGTTGGAGCGACTGCCGTGCTCTCTTCTTCTGGCTTAGTTGGAAGCAGCCGAGGAGGGTTTCGACAGCACCCAATAGCGAGTGGAGCTATAAGGACCCTTTGGTATGACAAGCAATTACCATTCGGAGTCGTGAATCGCCAGCCTGAGGTCTGCTCGTATAGGGATGACCGCCTCTAGAGTGAGGTCCAATATGAGAGACCGGCAAGCACTTGCGGTAGGTGTCTTGACTCTTGAGGAGCCTCTCTCTACAAGACAGATGGCGGATGCCAACCACAGTCATCCTCGATGGTTCACTTTTCCTACGACTACGGACATTATGACCCTCAATAGCGAGCGTCTCCCCGAAAAGGTCATATCCTTCTACCCAACCCTTCCATGTTGATCGGCGACCTATGCAGGAAGATGCCTATATGGACTTAGGACTGCGAGGCTACCGCATGAGCTGGAAAGGCTGGCCATTGATCTGACCCAGGTCATGAATGAAGTCTGATGCTTGGCACCAGAAAATCCTCACCTTTTACCATCGGTGATTGTCATTGTCTGCCCGACAGAGCTAGATACTGTGATATTCCAGGTGGTGTGGGGGGTGTACTGCCTCATGGGCTGCCAGTGTTGAGTGTACTACTGCTGACGGTACTTTAAACCTCCATTCGACAGATGCTGCCTTCCAAAGAGCAAGCGAGGGAAATGGAACTCCTGTCGGTCGAAGCCCATTCATTGCCTGTGACATGCCGTTGACGGAATATGGGCACAAGTCACTTCAAGCTCCAATGCACGTCTATAAGGGGGATGCCGAGTTCATACAGTATCCTGTCTCTACCAACTCAGGTAGCTGGCGGTGGACAACTGAAGAACACCTCCTCTGTATTACTATTCAGCACCAGAGTACATCACTACATTAGTACATATGTACATGGTTATGTACTACCTACTTCTAGTACCCTTATTTACACACAATTACACACATGTCCTCAAATGGCTGCTCTCACCACCCTCTCCGGGTCTATCCGCTCCAGTCACCCACGTCTGAAGCCAGAATCGTGCAGGACCTAGTCTGACCGAGGGAATCCCACCCGTCCCGCCTGCCCGAGCAACCTTGGCGGAAGTGCAGGTGAACGTGAAAAAGTGAAAAAAAAAAAAAAAAAAAAATTTGTGGAAGCCCGTCCCGCTGGTCATGAAGTGGGCATGGGCAGCCAGTGCGCAACGCACAAATAGGGTATCAGGCTACGACTGGTCTCGTACTCCCGTGGTCCTTAGCGAAAGTTTTGCGCGCAATGCACCGGTCTCCTCTCGTCCTCTGGGTTGTTTGTACTTTGTCCAGTTCGGTGAAATGATGGCATCGATGATGATCTACCACGTATCCAATAGCACCTCGAAAAGCCTGGTCACTGATGATATACTCACTTATGACATGGGGATTGACATCGAAAGATTCATGCTGCCATCGAAATCTCCCAACACCAGCCCTAAATACAGCAGAGACCCCTTGTATTGAAGCTGGAAATCGCCCGCCATTCACTGCGCTGATGGCCAGGGACTGGCAGTAACCAAGATACTCCTAGTCTTGTAGCCTACCACTCCGTACCTACATAAGTAAGGTACCATCTTAGTAGTTCCGACTTCCGAGTCCATCTAGCCATCCGGACCGTCTTGGGGTACAGCTCTGAGGTTAGTGCTGTGCACCTCCACCGCACAACTGGAATGGACATCCAGATTGCGGGATCCACCGGACGCGAGGACCATGCCAGATCATTGGAATTGGTCCTGGCGACACAGGCGTGTCTATGCAGGGATTGAGTGCAACCAGCCGGCCGAGTCATAGAGACTGGGGCAGTAGTCCCGCGGGACTCGAAACCCTCCTTTGCGAAGAGAAATCGACCGCAGCAGAGGAACGAATACAGTCTCACCACTAAACTTTTCGACCGAGAAGGTAGGAAAAGGCGGGTTGTTGTTGGTCGACAAGTAGAACTGTCAACTACTAACTAGTGGTGGGACTATAGGTACGGTACTAGAGGAATGATGCACATGCGAAACTTGGTGATTGCACTGGGCTCTTACGATGGCTGAGCATCCTTGCAATCACATGACAACATCTCAGGTACAATGCCATGCTTGGCCAGTCTATGGATGGTGATAACAGGCAGCCCCGAGTGCTCACACTTTTTCCGTGAGCATACTAAAAAAAATGGTACATTGTGTCGATCAGCACGACCCTTTTCTTGTATCGAATCCATTCAATTTTTCAGGTTTCGTGTTTCGTGTCTCGTCATTTGAATCCCAAGCCGGAGGGATGGCATCTTCATGGCCACAATACCCCAGCACTAGTACATGACTAACTTGGATCATACATTTGTGCGCGCCCCTGAGGCTATCCCCACCCCCTCCCTACGACACGCCGTACAGCCGTAATCACAGTCATCATGAGCAGGTCCAGTCCAGGTCCAGTCCAGGTCCATGATAGATCCAAGATTTACCATCTCCTCTACCAGTGACGCACTCCCACAAGCACCTGCTCCCGTGGGTCGGTCTCGACATAGTTCACTGGACCCGTGAGAAAGCCCAAGCGCATCAGAACCTGAGCGACCAGCTTGCGCTTCAAGTTCTCGCGAACCGTGATCTTTTCTAGCGCATCGAACCCATTGAAGTACTTCACCAGTAACGGCCAATGTTGTCTCAACACGCCATGCTGTTCGTGAGGCGCAAGTTCATGACCCGACACATTCAGCTCTCTCAGCGTGCTCGGTTGAGTGGGGAATCTTGACAGAATCTCATCGAGCCAACGAGACTCAAGTGGAGATGCACGCTGGGGAGCAAGAATAAGAGAAGAGAGACGGAGAGCGGTCGACTGATCCAGTAACCGATGAGAGAGCTGTAGGCGAGCGTGGGGGTTGAGTTGAGCACCTGGCATCGGCGTGTCCTCGCCGCTCCCGTGGCTGGCCAGAGAAGATGAGGAGGAGGAAGTGGCGTCCGCTTCGTCGAGTGGCGATGAGCCTTCATCATCGCTGGCTGATTTGCCGTTGCTTTTGGCGAGATATCGGTCGACTTCCTCTTTGCGAAGGGCTGTTTCAACCGCCAGTTTGATTTCGGGGGACACTTTGATGCGCGCGAAGCTTCGGAGCTGTGTGACCCAGCCGCCGCGTAGCAGCCACGCCAGTATTGAGAAATACGTCTCCTTGTGATCTTTGCTGGGTATGAAGCTGCCGTATGGTCGGGGCGTACCGCTCAACGCGGAAAGCATCTTTGGAAGACTTGGCAATGTCGGGAACGCGGCCTGGTATGCGATGGTGGCAAGTTCCAGCTTGCTGAGATCGCAATTGGGTGACACAATATAGGTGTCTCGTTGGTGAATTGGAGGAATAGCCCGTGCACGACGCCAGTAGACCAAATGACTCGCCAGCATCTGAATGGTAGAGAGCGGAATGCCCGACGAAGCTGATATTTGCGCAAAGGACTTTGTAGGCTTCGAGGACCGAATGTAATGGGCAAGAGCAGGCGCGAGTGCACCTCCAGAGGCCTCGACATCTTTGATAATTGCGGCTTCGCTATCGAGGAGAAGCAGGGCGAAATGTTTGGCCAGTACTTGGTGAGAGTTGTTGTTGTTGTCATCATTGTGATGATCATCGATGGAATTCGCGCTGTCTGCTGTGGTCAGCCAAAGCCCTGGATAGGCTTTGTCGGTAGGCCCAGCCAGATAAGGTGTGGACGTTAAGGGTGGGATCTGAAGAGAGATGGAGACGTCAGGGCTGAGCGTGACGGATGCGATTTTGGAGGCAGAGATGCTGCTGTAGACGGTATAGATGGCTCTGGCCAGGCTTGACTGAGTAATCAATTCTGAGTAGAGGTTATGGACAGAGGTTTCTGCCAACAGATACAGTTAGTCGAGCTCATGCCACTGACGAAGGAAAAGTGCAAATCTCACTATTCTCGCGGGCCCTTCTTCTCACTTGCAGAATATGCTGCGATTCCTTCCAAACATAGTCGTTTCGAGATTGCTCCCACTTCAAAGCTTTGGCAAACTTTTTGATCACGTTCTCGTAGATGTCCTTCACCCTGGTCGAGTACTCCAACAACGGGGGATCCATAACAAAGACTACATTGAACATGGTCATTTGATCCTTGTCCTCAGCATCAAGGCCATCTTCCGGGTGTCTTCCAAGCCTACTGCTCGCTGCTGAGGTCCGCTTATAGTCGGTGGGGGAAGCCGTCAACGATAGCTCAGTGATGGTAGCGACACTTCCACTCATGTCAGGGGTAGCCGTCTGATCATCCTCGCCCTGACCATCTTCCGAAGTGTCATTGTGTCCCAATTCACCACCATCCCACTCCGGTCGAGGCTTATTCTTTTTCTTTTTGCGGCGTTGCTTCCGCCATGTACCATCTTCGCGCACGAAGACGGGCCAGCCGATCAGCGCCAGGTCGTTGATTCCGACCTCGAAACGCCTCTTGTGCCACGAGCGTGACGGACTCAACAGCTTTTCCCATACACTCCCTGGAAGACCAAGAAGTGACTCCCAAGGAGCTCGCGAAGACCCTGCCGTTGCCCCGTCCTCATGCCAATCCGACCCCGCATCGTCTTCGAGATCCGAGCTTGCACCTCCTCTCCTTCGTAATGAGGACGGTCTAGCAGAGCCAATGGACCCGTTCCTTTGGGATTCCGCAACACTGGAGGGTGCGCCTTCGGGGGCGAGCACGAGAGGGTCAACGCCAAAGTTGCTGGGTCGTCGCCCTAATCCGGCGGACAAATTCACGCTCAGATTCGAAGCCAGGTTTGCGCCCACGTTCACGCTTCCAGCCAGGGGCGTTTCCCGCTCATCTTCATCCTCGTCTGAGCTCAGCCCAGTGTCTGAACTCGAGCTCGAATCGGTGTTCTTGGAGCCCTGCCGGCTACGGGTGCGAGAGACGCGGCGACCACCTTTGGTCGTTGTGCGGAGGCGGTTCTCGCTCAGCGGGTTCGGGGGTAATTGAAGACTAGACGTGGACCGGTCCGTGATCGGACAATGAGAATAATCGCAACTAAACATGGGTCAGGAGGGCGCGCGATCGACGACATTGAGTGAGGAAGCTGCGGACCAGCTCCGTCGCAAAGGCGATAAGCTTGGTTACTTTGGGAATCGTTGCGACCACAGAGTATTAGGACTGATTACATGTGAAGGCGGTACCGCTTTCCCCGCATATTTTAGACCTCGAGCTGGGTGCAGCCGTTGTTGCGTGCAGAAGTGTTGCATGACTCGGAATTAGTTTCTCCATCTGAATATGTTCCTCCCAAGTCCTACAGTATACGAAGAAGAGAATTTTGGGATGGCGAAAATCTTTGTGTATGCAATGCCCTTTTTGAACGCCAATGACGAACCCCGTGGTCTACTCCTCCAATTTCTTGTCTTTATCGTACATGGTCTATCGGCCCTGATGTGTGACCTCCGAAACCTCCAATGCTTATACTTGATCTTTCTTTGCGTGATCTTGTGGCTGTGCTGGATTTCTTGAGGATTCGCTACCTTCTACCGGGTCGTCTTTGAATATCAGCCCGAGATTCTGAAAATTGTCTGGGGCCATCAAGTTCCTAGGAGCACGCAAAAATGAAAAAGCGTCAGTGGACACCCTACCACAAGCGACTACCGATTCTCGTCTGCGACAGATCGAAAATAGCTGCCCGCAGGCGATGAGCAGAATAGGCCAGTCACAACATACTTGTCCATGCGGCAGGCGAGATATTGTTTCGCAAGCTTGCGACAAGCCTCGTCATTGGTACCACGATTGAGTTTGATGCATTTCAAGTAGCCAGAAATAATATGCTTGCATTCTCCTGTGCGAGTATATTCAGCTGCTGTCCTTCCCATAGCTGGAATTTCGGAAACCGGACGGAGCGAGTGACTTTCGTACCTTCGTGATCAAGCGGGAAACTTCCGCGTTCCGGTCTGTATGCAGTTGGACAGAGTGTCAGCAATGAAGTCCACAAGCGAGTCGCGCAAGGATCTTCAGTCTGCAGAATGTAGAGAATCGCATGAGGTCGACGCCCAGTCTATACTCACGGGGTGGGCTTGTAATTGACCGAACCACCTCCGGGTGCTCCGAAACTCATTCTGGAAATGGCCTCGAGACGAAGGTCAATAATTGACTGATTATGTCCGTCTCAGTAAGCGCGAAACGGGTCGCAATGATCTTGTCGGTGGCAATGATTGCCTCGACCTGGATGTCATGCTTCGGGGCAGATGCCAAAATCCAAAGACAAACAGGACAAACCAGACAAACACCTCGGGCGGGCCGACCAGCAAACGCCGGTGCACGAATAGGTGCCACCGATGATGTAAATCACTGCACGGAAAACAAGACTTCTTGAGTACAAAAGTGCAGCTGAGTGGATGACTGAGGATAATCGGGAAAGACAACTGAGGATCATGCAGCTAAAAGTATCGAGTTGTTTGCATTGGAGTAGATTGATAAGTCCCACCAATGATGATCTGTTCAATCCGTCATCTTCGAGTAGTATAATCCTCGCATGTCGACACATATATAGACATGTTGAACCCCCGTAGACTCCGTGTCAGGACTAACAGTCCAACCCAACTACAAAACCATCCGCCGCTGAGCCTCCCTGAAAGCTCCACCCCACCCACTGCCAGACGCCAATAAGGAAGACACTGCTCGTTCCGTGGCGTTTACACATTCGACAAAGCCCGCAATATCCAAATGTCCGCAAAGAGCGACAGAGACGCACACAATGCCAATGTAAGTGCAACTCGTTCTCGTGCTCAAGTACCAGGTAGCCGGCCGAGACGCGCCCCAGTCTCCATCGGCGACATGACATAGCCTAACAATGAATGTCGACAATCAGGAAACTTGAGGGAAGCTGTCAGTGTGGAGGGGTTGAATTCAACCTTCAGTCCAATACACCCGTTCCCTACCAGCTGTGCGCCTGCAGTATCTGCCGCAAGATCGGGGGATATGTTGGATGCGTGAATATTGGCGGCATAGCTGAAAGCCTTCAAGTGGTGAAGGGACAAGAATTGATCAAGTATGACCTTTCTCCCCATTCCAGATACCATCAGAACCAATTGCGACATACGCATCTCTTCGTAACTTATGGATACGAGCTTCTGTCGTTCGCAATGATTAGGGCTGATAGTTTTCTATCTAGGAAATACCACGCCATCAAAGACCGTGGAACACCCGATGAGGAGCTTTGCAGTTCCGAACGCAGTTTTTGCTCGAACTGTAGTTCTATGCTCTGGCTATGGGACCACCACTGGCCAGAACTCATTCACCCATTTGCTTCAGCTATTGATACTGAGTTGCCAGAGCCAGCTGAGATGGTTTGTATCATGGAGGATTCGAAGCCGAAGTGGATGCGGTGGCCCGAGGGGACCAAAAGCACCCACTCTCTTTACGGCAAGGACAGCCTGGAAGAGTGGCACAAGAAGCATGGATACTTTGTCGAGTGAGCGCCGAGATACGGACAGTAATTGACCTCCGCCATGGGAAGTTGGAACCAAGCATCCACTCAATAGAATCAGTACAACGCATGGTGACAGGGAATCATTTACAATAGCTCAAGATAATGCGAATCCATCTTTCAAATACTAGCGATGGCACAGGGTTCACTTTACAAGAATAGAGAGGTTTGAGGTGCAAACTTTATTCATTTGGGCTATATTCAGAGGCGTAGATCTGAGTTGCGAGTCAGCAGGTGATCACAACGACATGCCATGAGTCAGTTGGTAGATGGAGGTAAAGGTCAGTTCTCCAAGGTGAATATAATTTTTTATCTTCAATGTGTATTCAGAAAGAACACAGCGAATAATTGGTGCTCATCAGGAAATGTGTAGTGGGAAGAAACAATTCAATGCTTACGTACCGTTAGTATCGAATCATCCACTGAAAGACGGTTCCCATATTCTAGTCTTGTATCAATCAAGTCAGCGGCGGCATTCACAAAAAGATGCAAGCGTGATGATCAAGTTAAAGACATGGCAACTATGTCAGGCTTTGGAAAGTCAGCGCGAGGTCCACACGGTAGAGTCATGAGACAGAGCAACGTACCTCATTAAATCAGATTTTTGTATAAATGTTCATTGCCGGGATACCGAAGCACCCAGCTCAAACAGTGTGAATAACACATTCATCATAATAGATATGGCCATGTGATGGGATGATGCAAGCACGTGAGTGCATAGGAATTATTATTACCTGGTTCAAAATTGATGTCAGTGCGTGATTCAAGTTTTTGAAAAATTCGAATATCAAGCGTGACAATGGGCAGATTGTCAGGTGACGAATTCTCAACAAGTATTCCACCTCCCATACACCCACAGAGTTTGTACGCTCTGGGTTTGTAGGGTGCAGGGACATGGATACGTTTTGTCCGCCCGTTCGTTCAAGATTTCTTCATACAAGGCATGGAGTCGCAGAAGGGGAGGAGAGCCGGTGGGAGACTTGGATTTACCTAGCAACATCGAGTTAATTTGGATTCACAAGACAAGATGCTGCGATCAATGACAATAATGATTTGGGTGTAGTCAGACAAGGCTGAAACTTAGTAAATGACAGATTCCACATGATAACTTAAGATTGAGGAATGCCTTTGCATGTCGTAGGAGTCATCATCCAAAGGGGAGGGTGTGAGAGCTGAGCAAGGTCCTGGACCTAGAAGCCATGTGCTTACCTTTTGATTAGAGGAGAGAATCAACACCGGCGCAACAATGTAACATCAAGAATTGCAGTGTCCGGTGAGACCTTCAAAAACACAAGCCATCTGAAGATTCACATTGCCGTCTCCATTGCTGAGCAGAACAAGTAGAAAAAATCAGGGCTAATCGCAATGTCGCAGTCACCGAAATGGTGTTGCGAATGATCAGAGAAGAAAATTTTTTGTGAGTGGAGCGCGGATTATAAACGAAGTCTCCGGATACGGTAGACGCGATAAGCTCATAGCGTAGTTTGTCTGACTAGCAAACAACAGACCCACCTCACCCATCTAGAAGCTTCACGTGTTGATTGCCTGGTTCCGTTTTGTAGTGCCTCAGCCAAGCCGACCAAGTCTGTAAGATTGTACGATGTGCGAATTAGAAACTTCCTGACAATTTAACCACTTGGGTACTATCTTTATCTTGCATACTTTAATTCAGGGTGTGAGAGTGACTTGGAAAAGCTACCCCTTTCCCTTTCAAACGGTGCGACAAGGCGACTCGAGATCAAAGGACTAGAGAAATTTCTTGATCCAACTGCAAAGTTTCGGGTGGCGCGCGGGATCAACCAGAGTAATTCCAAGCGTATACGGAAGAACTTGAAGTGATGAGCTCCTCTCACAATCTTACTCTATAGTGTCGATCGATTCGCAGATGTTGAGAGCTTGAGTCGAATTGGAACTGAAGGTTGATTATTTCAGCCTGGCACGAATGGAACAAATCGCAACGTCACGAATGGACCATTAATGCCATACCCCCAACGCCTGCTAAAGTACTGTCAGCATCACGGATAAATTGATGTCCGTCAGGTTCATCTGCCTCCAATCGTAATATGACAGGGAACCTGGCTTACGGATGTTTATGCTCATTGTGAATCATCCTTTCGTGCTTTTTTAAACATCATGATCATCCAGCTTCCTGTATGTTGATCAGAACGAGGAAGTTCTGCTATTCAAACAATGAACACAAAAAGCAGAAGAATTTGAGCATTTCTTGTCGTTTTTACACGCACGGACGTAGCTCAGCTTCAGCGGACTTGAAATACTTAGCCCATAGCGAAGAAATGTGGATGCATAATTGTATACTGCATAGAAAGGTAAGGTCCAATCTTAAAAAGTGTGTTCTTTTGATAGAGAAAACTGAGTATCTGCACATATCACAGAGTATTTCAATATGAAATTTGTAGTTTTCCTACACTCCGCGCCAGATAGAGACGAAAAGTGAATAATTACATAGATGTCTTCTGCAACATGGACGAGATAAGAAAAGAAGAACGTTACAGCACTAGTAACTTCTACTTATACCAATAGTCTAGCCCAGTTCTTTCAGAGACAGAATCTCTTCGATCCCAAAGACGCAGGGCTACTGTAACAGCTATCACATACTTAGTTCGTATATGGACAAAGCCCCGACGAGTCTGCCAATGCGCTCTCTTGCCAGACTTGGCAAAGCTTATCCTGCGAGTCTGAGCATGCAACAGTAAGGTAATGATACATGCCTTCTGCAGGACCATGGCCACTTGATTGGAGCAGACAGAGCGATAGGACACTGCAGGCCAAGCCTTAGTCTCGAAGGACCAGACTCTGGTGGCGCACCACCGAGAGAAAGCGCCACCAAGACGATGTATTAGTCCCTGAAAAACCTTCAGAGTTCTGCAGAACTCGGCAGGTGGGCATGTTGAAACCTGCATCAGCCTGAGTACCTACTCAGTATCCACTCAAGTGCCTAATGCTTTCCCGTTTCCGAACAACGTTTGGCCAGCGTATCGGGACATGACTGGGGTCCACGCCGGACTACGTCGGTATTGCACCGGAGTCACTCTTTCTATTCATCCACACCTTTGACACGAGGCTTTGACTGTCAAAGACGGCTGGTATCTCCACACAATGGACAGAACGTTGGTGACATCGCCGTTATCAGTGGCTGCACGTGCTGCAGCCGGAAGAAACCTTCGACACGAACTTTCCTTGTGAGGGCCCGGCTGGTGGATCTTGTGCTCAGTGATCTACAGCAGATCGGCAAAGCTCCATTGATGCTAATGAGTTACCACATCAAGATCATAATTACTCCGTGTGGACTCCGAAGATCCCTGAATGCGTGCGACAAATGAGCGGACTCAGTCTTGTCAGCCAACGAGTCAGACGGTCGATGGCACTTTCTGTTTTGGGAGATCCGTCCGAGTTCTATACAGAGGCGTCGTCTGGTTTAGAGGCAGAATGGGTGCGGATTTGCTGAAGCCAGCGTGCTGCTGCTGACTTGCAGCCCGAAGCTAAACCTCTGAAACCCGACAATTCCAGCATCGCACTTCAAGCAATGTTGCACAAAATGAGATTTCCACCAGTGACTGGCCAGACAGAACTGACGGCTATAAGTTCTTCAGTCAATCCAGCTAGATTTCTGTCTTGCCCACAGACCGTGAACGCGATTATCATTCGCAACGAGTTCTCAAGCTTCAACTGTTTTTCTACAAGCTCCTTCAAACCGAGATGGCTTCTCCTGAAGGTGTCGACTTTTCTAACACCACTGACGCTTCAAATTTCTTGGGCGACCTCTTGGATGATAGCGTCTTTCAAATTGACGGCAATGCTCGGGCGAGATATTTTTGGTACGGTATTTCCGCTCTTATTGGAGTCATAGCTATCTTCAATCTCGCTTGGCGTGTGAACCTGCGACAAAGGTGGGATCCTTTCTCCCCCCTGGCTTTCCTACTCAACATTACCTTGGAAGTGTTTCGCTGATCGAATAAACAGAAGGCGCTCCCACAAAGATCAACCTTTCGGGCTACTGACCCGTTGCGCTACGACTGTCACTCAGCTGGTGCGGCGGGCGACTTACCTTCAAGTGACCCCCATACAAAGCGCATCTTGGTTCAAGGTTCCTCCACTAGGTATCGTCTACCTGATATTGGCCTACGCTTTGTTCATTCTTCTTCTAGAATTCGTGGAAGATGACAATGTATCGGGCCCGACATGGTGGACTCTGGTGGGAGTTCGCGCAGCCTGGCTTGCTGTGGCTCAGCTGCCGTTGATTGTTCTGCTTGTTGGCAAGCACAGTCTTGTCGGGCTCTTGACGGGCGTGTCGTACGAGAGGCTCAACGTCTTGCATCGATGGGTTGCTCGAGGCATGTTTCTTCTGGCCACTCTTCATTTTGCCCTTCTCGCTTGGGGATGGAGTCGCTATCCAGGACTGCAATCCTTAGAGTGGGCGACAGATGAGGCATACCGGACTGGTGTTGCGGCCTATGTCATCGTTATCTGGATGAATCTGTCCACAGTGGCACCCTTGCGGCATTTGTCGTGGGACTTTTTCGTCCTCCAACACATTGTGACTTGGATGGGGTTGATCATCGCCATTGCGATGCACATCCCGGGCAGCGCCAGTTATGCTCTTGTCTACGTATATGTTGCCGTTGCTTTGTACTTGATTGAGCGGCTGGTGTACTTCGCTCGCTTTGCGTTCACAAACTTCGGATCGAGCAAGGTCGTGCTGGAGCCGCTGGAAGGCAATGTCACCAAGATGTATGTGGCCAATCGTCGCATCAAGGCATGGACTCCAGGATCGCACGTTCTGATTGGGATCCCTCGCTTCGGTCTGATCCAATCTCATCCCGCGACAATCTTGTCGATTCCTAGCTCGCACAACGGAGATATGGTCTTGTTGTTGCGAGCTTACAAAGGGTTCACCCGGCGCATTCATGACCAGCAGCATGGGCTTGGAGGAGACGAAACGATGGACATTTCACATCGAGAGCAACAGCCCGGAAACAAGCTGGCCAGGTATATGGCGCTGATCAATGGTCCCTACGGCGCATCGCACGCGGACTTTACCTCGTTCGAGACTGTCGTACTTGTTGCTGGTGCGACCGGTGTGACATTCACGATTGCTGTACTGTTGGATCTCGCCCACCGAGTGGCCAGTGAGGTCGAGTCTGGGAAGAGGACATCCCCAGTTCGCAAAGTCATCTTCGTCTGGCTGATCCGCAAGTCAGTTTGGGTCGAGTGGATCTCTGAGGAACTGCGCAAGGCCGCTGTCGACCTGGAGAAAGCGCAGATTGTCTTCGACTTGCAAGTCTACGTCACCCAAGCAGACAGCCAGGAGACGACATTGACCAACAGTCCCGTGATTGGACCTCAGGGGACGATCACGGGGTCGGATGAAAAGGGGGGCCGGTCAAAATCATCTCCTGATATTTCTGGACTCAACATGGACTCAGGACGTCCACCGTGGAAGAGCTTCCTGCACGGGGTCCTGGGCGAGACAACAGGAGAGAGTGCAGTTGGCGTGTGTGGGCCCTTGAGCTTGTCGGTGGAGGTGCGCCGCGAAGTGGTGTCACTGAATGCTGACCGGACTCGTCCGGTTTATCTACACGTGGAAAGCTTTTCCTGATTGAGTAACGAATGAAAGGCCCCTACTGTACTTCGCTTCTGTAAATACTGAGATATACAAGCAGTCCACATTTCACACTAATCGTTCAGGTCTGACCTGGTAGTACTAGCGCCGGGCCAAGAGTCCATGAACAACTTGCTGTAGTACTGTTGTACTCCTGTAGAGTGTACTCTAGTCTCTCACTGCGAGCAGTCTATCCTATTCCTCACAGATTTTCGACGCTCAGGCCGCTCTAACGTCGGACAGCTCAAAGCGGGCCCCATACTATCTGCCAAGGCTTTTGTGCCCTTGTGCTTGAGGCAGAGATGCACGATTGTGATTCTCCGACCAAGGCACAGAGTCGCCCAATGGACTGGGCTGAGTGACTGGTGGGCGTCGAGGTAGCTCCCAACATCGCAGGGAGCGGACCTGGGGTCCATTGCAGGTGATTGCATAGTCGCGAGCGCGAGAGCAATGGCACCGCCCGATTAAATGCAGACAGACAAATATATGGTGATGGAGAGAATGGTGGAAGAACAGGCAACGAATGTTTGAAACTTGGTTTTTTCTATGTGAACACGCCAGGGAAAAAGACAAATCCATCGTTGGAGAGTGTGTCTGACAGCCGAGTTCTTTGCATCAGAGTGAACGCGCCAAATCCCGAGGAAGTAAAGATACCATCCAGGCGAAAGACCGAAATTCTGAATCTATTAAATTTGGTTTCACATGTACGACTCGGTCACACAACGCCTTTCTCTAAGCATACGCAACAAGCTCAGAAGGGGGCGAGTATTCCTGGGACAGGTACAGTGCCTTCGGTAAGTGAGAAGAAACGACACCCTGGATCCATGTGGCTGTCCCTTTTTGTCCTCGAAAACTCTCAATTGACATTACTGCTTTTTTGTAGCGGCCAAGCCTTTGAGAAAGAAACTCCGAGGTTGCAATGTGCGCAGGATTTGGATAGGATGTGTATATCGCACGGCCGCCACACAACAGTCTCCTTCTGGGGCAGTGCGGTCTTTCAGATTGGGATCCAAGGACGGGCTTGGATTCTGGACGAGGCCATGCACCGAATTGCCTTGATCACGTGGGTCGGACCCTGGACCTGTCATGGGAGCCACCTGGGGATTTCTATGGTCAAATCGCCAAGATTATACGCTGTTGGCTCCGCATCCTGCAAGTGATAGGATGTTGGGAGATGTGACTATTGAAGTGTGCTCGAGACGGGAAAAGAGGCCTTCTTGGGTCGACAAATGCCCGTCTTCTCTGCAGATGTTTTGAAACGTGGACCTCCCCCGGGCTTACAATGTGCCACTGTGGTCCACCACTTCTTCTCGCCTCTTCAGATCCTTCGGCATAGTCAAGGCTACACCCTGCAATCAAGTCGCCATTGCGGAACCTCCTCCGGCGACAAGACTCATGCGCATCCATCTCGAATCGAAGACGGAGTATGAGAATCTCTTCACACCCTAGTCACTCCCGAAGTGGGCGAGATCTTGCTGTCTTACTGCTCGGGACTTTCAAGAGGGCAGTAGTCACGAGCTACAACATTGCTATGTTGGGCAAGAAAGTAAACAATGGTTGCTTGTCTTCCACTAAGAGCGTCAATACAATGCAATATGAATACTCCATTGTCGGGAGAAACGTATGCTCTTCTTGTAATGTTTCTTTTCAAGTATTTCTTGAGTCACCAAATCCCACGTGTCCTCATTTCTCCATGGTATTCCCCCCCCCCCCTTCCTGCTAATCTACCAGTTTCATTATCGCGCATCGAACAGGGCCTGAGGAGCAGATAGTGGCGGCTGTCTCGCTGTCCACTGCCTAAAATGGTCACCAGGGCCTAGAGGCTCACAGTTCAAAGTTGCTCACACATCTGACCCAAAAAGGCGTGCATGACCCAACTTCCGATATGTGTTTCTTTTCATTGGTGACATTTCCAATTATTCTAATTATCCCAGTCCCATGGCGCCGAGTCGTCGTTGTGATCCAGTGAGTAGTGAGTCTACTGTCTAGTCATGTCGTGAGTAAGTTGCTGACCATTAGGTGGAGTGCCATTGGTGGGAAGGGCGTGGACCCGGTGGAGTGGGGCACTTGCTTGCCCTAAACCTTAAAAGGGTGCAACGTCAATCCAACTTGGCCGCAGCCCGCCGGAGAAGAGGAGGACTGGAGATGTGCTAAGCCTGTTCTTGATTGCAGTTGCTTGTACTGGAATTATCCGGTGGTGTCAATACCGAAGCTTACCTGGTAAGCCATAGCAAGAGTTCTCTTTTTTCCCTCCTTTTGGGATTGAAATCATCATGCCTCGTGTCTGACTCGGAACTTCCCAAGCCCGTGAGACTCAGACGAGATCATGCTCCCCATTTCTGCAGAATGACATCCGAGAAGAGGGAAACCCAATCACTTTCTATGACGACAACTTTTGCGTTCTCGCTTCCTTTGTGCTCGAGATGTCGCATGATTTGAAGGAACTTAGCAGTATGATTAGAGCTTGGACTGGATTTTCCAGTGGATTTACTTCTGATGAAATTTCCTAGATCACAAAAGAAGCCGGCTGAAGTAGAATTTCAACGAAGATGCATGAGTATGAGTAACAACCCTAAGAAAGAGCCCAAAAAAGGGGGACACAAAAAGACAGAAAAAAAAAAAACAAAATCCAGGCCAACGTGAAGAAACCCTATCGTTTTATGAAGCACATAAATCATGTATTACAATAAACTGCTTTTGCCTAAAGGGACGAGGATCGCCGGCCCTGCAGTATACAAGCACCCTCGGACGGAGTTTCTCGATTCGGAACTCGCACATGCGTACGGGGACCATTTCGTTTCAAGCCCATGGCCGGGCCTTCTTCGCATTCGTACCGTGTGCATCTCACTGGACACCATCCATTATGGATGTCCGATGCTTCACCTTGCGTCGGGCTCCACTTGTCGTTTGAACGGATGATAACAGTGAGAGACTGTTGGAATTCGACAGAGACAGATTGCACATAGTGCATAAACATGAATGACGAGTCCTGATTTCCCAGTGGCTGAATTCGGGTTTGAGTCAGAATCACAAGGGAGGCCCGGCTGTGCACCTCAGTAGGTAACTAGGGATTATAGCATTCCCGAGTGTAAGACATGGCCTGGTCTTCTATTGTTTTTTTTTGCTACTGCTGGACGTTCAGAGATCAACAAGAATGTTCCATGATTGTGGATAACCGACCTACTTTTCATGCACTGTGAAGGTTCTCCATGAGAAAGCTTGAGTCGGCGTTTGAATATATGTTTTAATAAGAGGTTACCTTAAGGTAGCCCCGAATTCTGTTCTGCAGATGGGTATATCTAGTCTCAATGACAAAAATTTGTAATCAATTCCCAATATTACTGTGATCAACCCCGTACACAATTCCATAACTTGTCCCAGCCGCAATGGCTCCAACGATGAGTGTTTGTGCAGCGCCATAAAAACCGGCCCGTTTGGTCTTGATGATAGCAAAGTTTTTGAGAAATCCAAACAGAATGCAGACGACAATAGTGATTCCAATCGAGATGAAAAGCGCATGCGTAGTATTCTTCATGGCAAAATAGGGTATCATGGGAAGAAGGCCACCTAGGAGTGAAGATTTTCTACAATTAGCCTTTTTGATTCTCGTTCTGGTCTTTCCTTCAAGAGACTGTAAGGTGTCGGCGTATCGCACAACGTACCGATGAAGTATGAGAGTCCCATTGTAGCAGCTGAGATCCAAGCCCGCGATACATTTGGCTTTTCAAGCTTTAATTCAAAGTCCATCATAAACTGAGAAAGAATGATTAGCAATGTGCAGAATGCCGAATTCCACCCTTGCGTTGGAAAGAACCTCGTTCATGACACGAAGAAAGACATACCCGAATCCATTGCTCAGGATCCCGTGTTAAACAATCCACTACCGACTGACTAGCCTCTCTGGAGATTCCATACCCATCCAGAATCTCCAGACACTCTTCCTGCTCAGCCCCGGGCTTCGTCAACACTTCTTCCCGTTCACGAGCCTCTTCACTGGAGTAATGGTCTCGGTCGGTCACGGCAGCAAGGTAGGCCCCCAAGCCCATCGAGATGGCTCCACTGAACAGTTCGGCGAGTCCACCGACGATGACAATCTTGGACGACCCGAGACTGGAAAGTCCCGCGGTTAGGGCAAACGGAACGGTCAGTCCATCGGCAAACCCGATGGTGATGTCTCGAATAATGTCTCCCAGATCGGAATGTCGTTCGGATGCGGCGTGTGTTACACGTGGGAGCTCGATTCGGGGTTCCGTGCGAGGAAGAGACATTGTATGAATTGCCGTTCGCAACGACAGACAGAGAGAGAGAGAGAGAGAGAGAGAGAGAGAGAGAGAGAGACAGAGCTGTCGGAGGTATTTTTTCTTTTTGCAATTATTGCTGGATTTCAAAAGTCGATCCACTGCTCATGGAGAGATTCGACATCCTGAAGCCTGAGTATTTAAATATTGCAGCCTCAATCCAAAAAAACCATTGCCTGGCCCTGGAGGCAATGCCTCATGCTTGCATGATTCAACTGGACTGTCAAGTATAAATCTTGCCCCGCCAATCAGCTCAGACCTATTTGCAATCATCCTGTTTATAGCCTGGATCTCGAGGGTTGAATATGCTGCATAAGTTGGGACTTGGGACTGACCTGGACCTCGTCGACTCCACTTGAGCCCTCAGAAAGAACATAAGCTTTACCAAGCAGCCGCAAGCATAAAATGAGCCACCAATGAAACGTTGCCTATTACACATCAGCATAAAGCAACTCAAAAAGGTCGCGCCGACCCATCTCTGACAAGGAACGGCCAGAGCTCAATACGCGAAGATCTCGCTGAGGGTGGCGTTGACAACACCGCACAGGCAGCAGAATAAGAGCTAATCGGGCGATCCCCCCAGTGCGTGAACAATATGAGCATGACCTTTGATTGGTGATGACGAAGCTGCGATCTTTGGAACGATCGAGGATGATCTGTCCCTCGCGATCGCAGCTCGTGAGGTGATGGCCAACCCTGTGCCTCCAGGCTTTGTTTTCTTTCCTTTTTTGTTAACTTTTCTTTCCAATTGCGGGCCGGCAACTCTATGCTGGACATCGATGCTTCGATCTCTCTGTGCTCGTCTGGGTTCCTACCCGAAATCTACTGATTACGAGGCGAGCAAAGGATCTTCCAATCTACATTTGCCGGCCAGGGACATTCGATCACGACGTCTTCGCTTCATCATGCAGTCAGCGGTTGTTTTAGCCATTGAATGTCACCGGACCCGGAATCCCGCCGCCCAATCTGAATTCAAAAAGTAAAGAGGACGATTCATAAGGAGGCAAGGCGGCTTGAATCGCTCAAAGTGCCACGGAATCAACTTCCATGCACAACTCCCGCCGCGTCAATCTGACGTCCTCACCTACAATCTTTGAATGCGCTCAGTTATGTAGCCGCTGGAATTTTCCGAATCGACCGGGAAGTCTACGCATCAATTTGGCAAAATCCAAAAGTCAATATACGCCATGCCGACACATTTCAAGCTCAACACCGGCGCAGAAATTCCCGCCATCGGTTTTGGAACTTGGCAAGATGAGCAGGCCCAGGAGGATGCTGTGTTAGAGGCACTCAAAGCGGGCTATCGACACATCGACACCGCGAGGGTGTAAGACCTTTCCTTGTTTTTCGGTTATTTCGTAATCATCGTCGAGTCCGACTAGAGTCCGACTAATATCGAGTTCTGGACATCCAGATATCTTACTGAAAAGGCCGTTGGCAAAGCCATTAAGAAAAGTGGCATCCCACGCCATGAGCTGTTCGTCACAACCAAATTGTGGAATCACCAGCATCATCCGGATGATGTCCCGACAGCACTTCAGCAATCGCTCGATGATCTCGATATGCAGTATGTCGACTTGTATCTGATTCATTGGCCTGTCGCGTGGAAACGGGGCACAGATATGTTCCCCAAGAAAGATGGCAAGATGCTTCTCGAGGACATTGACTTTGTTGATGTGAGAAACCAATCTTCAGATCTCTCGAGTTGAAGTGGAGAAACCCCTCCCCCAATGCTGACAGTAATTCTAGACCTATAAAGCCATGGAAAAGCTTCTAGATACGGGCAAGGTCAAAGCGATCGGCGTGTCCAACTTTTCCAAAGCTGAAATGGAACACTTACTGGAGGAAGTCTCTGTCACCCCGGCTGTACATCAAATGGAGTGTCATCCATGGTTGCAGCAGCGCTCTTTCGTCGCCTGGCATCGATCGAAGTGCATCCATATCACCCACTATTCACCGCTTGGAAATCAGAACCAGCTTTATCAATCCAAAGGTTCGGTAGGTAAGTTGATTGAGGAGCCTGTTCTTGCCGACATTGGCAAGCAGTATGATAAGAGTGCCCCTCAAGTAACTCTAGGTATGTTCAGCCGTACTCTTTGCCCATCCTCACCCTAAGACAACAAAGGCATTGCTAATCTCAGCCATCGACCTCAGCATGGGGAATCACCCAGGGTCATTCTGTGCTTCCCAAGTCAAAGACACCCGCACGGATCCAGAGCAACTTCAAGGGCGATTTCCGTTTGGGACCGCGAGACATGGAGAAAATTCAACAACTTGACAGAAAGCTTCGTTTCAACGATAGCAGTGAAGACTTTGGAAAGGAATTCTTCACCGACCTCGACGGCAAGTAGATGCCTGGAGCTCATGCACAGCAGGTCTCCTCGCTCAATGCTTCCTGGCTCTATCTTGGCCCCTCCAGTTTGCAGTCTCTGACAGGCGACTTATAGTTGAGTCTGCGCTGTCCACATAGACTATAGTCATGTCAGGGTCAAGCCTCGAGGCACCGGATGCAACGATAGAGTATCATCAAATGTGTCATTGGAACTATAAACAAAGTGCGAGCTCTAGTTGTGCAACCATGACTCGTCATAACAAAGTCAGACGATAATCATGTCATCTCACGTCTCCATTTTTCAATCCCAAGCATCGCCCCATCCATCGTCAATGTCTTCGTCCTTTGGTTTTGTATCAATCTTCTTGGGCGGTGCGACAGCTTTAGGTTTCACAGTTGGCTTTGGTGTGGTCGAAGACTTGGACAGCCCTTTGGGTAGCGCATTTTTGGTCTTTGACTGATTCTTCGCTGCCAACCAGCCAGCGAAGTCAGGTTCGCCTCCGTCGTCATAGGGGGCTGCAGAGGCTTTCGATGTAGAATTTGAAAGGGACGGCCGAGGAGAGGACACGGCGTCAGTAAAAGCATCCGCACCGTCCTCTTCGTCCCCGTCGATAGCCCCCCAGGCATCGAATACATCCTCTCCATCGTCGGCTTCGTGCCAGTCATCCTGTTCCTGAACTACCGGCGCCGGTCTATCGGACTGTGACCTGGCTAGAGGATGCGCAAGTTTCCGAAGTGGTTTGTTGAAGGGCTCGACGGGGTGTGTTTGTGAGAGACTTGCGGGTTGCGGAACAGAGGCCGATCGAGGAATTTCTTCTGCCTGGCTGACAGCCGTCGCCGCGGTTGCAATCTGACCGTCTGCGGCGGCAAGTTTATTGGTGAAAGAGGAAATGGCCCAACCAGCCCAGGACTTGTCACTTGAGTTACCGATGCGAGCATCTGATTTGGGAGGCTCATTGGCTGATACTGTAGGCGCTTGAATGGCCGTTTCGGGCATGGTACTGGCAAATTTCCGGACTCTCTGAACGTACAGATCGAGAGTTTTGTTTGCTTGGTCGCGGACAAGTCTGAGACAGATGTTAGAAGGCAGCACTCCACATCGAAGTCTTGATCAAACGTACTTCTCCCTGTCCAGAAGCGCAGGGCAGATCGCTGGCAGGATTTTGTTCGCGCAATCGTCTTCTGTAAAAGAGTCTATCGTGGCAGCAAGAGCGAGAAGTGCAGCGTTTCGGGCATGTACGAAAGGATCCCGTATGGATCTTCCGAAAGCAGCAATAAGAACTTTGGAACGGGTCTGTTCTGGTGTGAGTACAAATGTGTTTCCAGGAATCTCTTTCTTCTGCTAGAATGATTGTACGCACACTTTGACCCAGATTCTTGGCAATTTTACCCAAACAAATAGTGGTATTTGTACGGATACCGGGCTGTTCATCGTTGGCTGTGCGCGCGAGAAATTTGAGCAAGTCTCCGTTGATGACTCTGTCACTGAGCTTATTGATGATCGGCAGAACTGCTTTGACAGTCTGCTCACGAACCACAGGTGCAACATCCGTAAAGCCAGATGTCTGCGACGATCTCATTAGCCAAAGCCACTCGTGCTTCTTGAAGCCATGGCACTTACTATTTGTGGGAAAATCTTGTCGTTGACAACCTTTTGTGGCAAATTATCGATCATCAGGGGTAAACTGTCTAATAGACACACCCGTATAGCACGATCAGGATTCCCGAACAGACGAACGATTGCTGGTGTCAGTTTGAGGTTGAATTCATCTGCTGACAGTTTCGATCCAATCTTTAAGATAGCGTTCAGCACTTTAGGCCCACCGCCGCCAAACTCAACAGACTTGAGCAGCTCAGGCAGGACTTTCATCTTGAAGAAATCCTCAGGAAAATCATCTGACAAATTATCGAGTTCACTATGGCTCGTATTAGCTTTCAGAGTACATGGCGATGTTTGAAGTTCAGACACTGACTTGATGAACTCCTCACGTTCAGCATCCGTCTTGAGCCCTAAGCTCTCCATGTCCTCTGTCAATCGGATCAATGGCGTCTGAAAGAAGCCACCCTGTTTCTTCCCCTGCTCCACAAAGTGTGCCGGGCTGAGGCGCAGTTTGGGGTTGGCGGCACAAAGCCGCTTGTAGCTCTGTTGCATTGTTGGAGGAATATTCGTTGTCTTCCCAACCTGGTCTCCGCCAGAGCAGTTGCCATTATACACCTCAAATATCAAGATACCGAGTCCGTACGCATCCACTGCAGCCAGTGGATGACGCTTGATGGCCTCCCAACCACCCTTTACGACCTCCGGAGGAGTGAAGCGTGCTGCATCAGGGACCAGGCTTCCATAAGTCTAAATGAGCGTCAGCACGTTGAGCTCGCAGAGACCTCCGGCCAAAGGACGACTCACATAGATGATAGCATCATCCTCCTTCATTGAGCTTAAGATATCGAACCCGCCAAGCTTCCATTCTCCACTTTCACTTGTATAGATCGAGGATGCACGAACCGCACCGTGTACAGAAGACGCATCCTCGTTAATAAATTTGAGGGTTGACTGATCGTGTCGTGGCCCGTCAGAAACAAGTCCCGTCGCATCCATTTCAGACTTGACTTACAGAAATCGCGTATATACCCCATTTGGCAGTCTCCTCGCTTATGCTGCGTCGCTTTACGTGCCACTGAAGCGGAACAACTCGTTCTGTTATGATGTACAGATTCGTCTCGTTCTGATGGGTATCAGCCATGGTCATTTCAGCACCAGAGGATTCCTGTCCATCGCTCGCCTTCTCTTTCGTACCTCAATTGTGTCCAAAACCTTGATTACACCGGGGTGTCTCAGCGTTCTATATTTGCGCACTGCATTTTTCGCGATAGGGAGTCGAGACTTGTTCGCCCCAATATCAAATGTAAATACGCTGCAATTGGAACCGTCTTCCTGTACAGACACATGAACTATTAGAAACTTGAACTTTGACTTCATCGTGTGGGGTAGATCTCGAATCAATCAATTGATCGAGAAATGTGATGGTATTATTAACAAACCCTTCTTGTTCCGTTGTGAAGTGCCCAAATAGAGTCGCCAATATCCACGCGATCACCCAGCGACACTGGGAACGAGCTTCCCTTTGCGATCGCAGACGCGACAGCTGACTTGAGAAAGTCCATCAAAGCGATGCGCTGGCCACTTTCAGTTGGGTGGATACGGTGAGAAGCGGTCCACGAAATTCAATGACGTATTGGAATAAAATGAAACGAATTCAAAATGACCGCAAAGACAGATACAAATTCAGCGGTTCCAGATGGAATGCACACACTGTCAATCAGGTTTGCAAGGATATTTTCGAGGGCAGCCGTGGCTTATTGACGAGGAATTGTCTTATTTGATTATCGATACGGCAGCTCCCCCCACCTTATCAGAGGACAGCGAAGTGCTGCCTCAGGCAACGAGGGGTCACACGGGAGGATCCAGGATCCACCACGTTTGTTTGGGACCGTCACCCTCCGCACGTGCTCCTTCCTTCTTTCTCTCCTCTCCACAGTCCGCACTCACTCTCGGTGTCGGCCGGTTTGAACGTCAACCGGCACCGAGAGTGCCTGTAGGCATCTCTGACGCTCTTCGATGCTGTAATTTTCGATAGGTCAACAGGTAAGTGTCAGCATATTTAACTTTTCCTATCTACCCCTTCCGACCGGCAGAGAACGCTACTTCTCCTATGATGCGAACCTGGTAAAAGGTCAGACTGCATAACCCTATGAGCCCAGAATGCCTTGCCAAAAATGCCGATGGTACTCGACTCTGGAAGGATGGAAACTTGTCGCAAGACAGCACCAGCTACACTGCACACGGTCTTGAGGCCCTCCGAGGCACATTCTCAAATAAATGCCGCCCTCCAGCTTTCTCAAGCCTTTCCATGTCACAGGTCCTATCCTGGCCTCCGCGCGACTTGTGCGGAGCACTCAGCGCCCTGTCATCTCTGTCTCAACGAGTTATGGGGGTCACCCTCGTTATCACTCGGACGCGCTTCTTCTCTGTTTCATGCAGACACACGACCAAGGCACGAAGGTCTAGGCCAGAGTCCATGGCCTCCCTGACTCAGGGCACAAGGTTCATTTTCCTCGAAGAAATTGATAATTGTGACGATCTTGGGCGAGCAAGGAACGGAGACCTCAGGGTTTCTGGGACTTGCCCGTGTGCAAATTATCACGAGTACCATGGTGAGCCCAGCGCTCACTGAGGACTTGTGCAGCCGCCTTCTGGGGTTCCTGGGCCCGCTCTGCTTCCATGAGGGCCCAAGCGGAACTAATGGCTGTGGTTGACAGAGGCGCCGTTTGTTGAGTCTAGCTGCCATGAAACAGGGATGATTGCTTGGCCGAGGCGAGGCTGAGACTTGTTGAGAATACCATGAGTGGCCTGGGGCTGTTGGGTGTGGACGGCGAGGGAACTTGGAGACGGCATGGACTTTGAGGCTCTTGACTGTGTTGGCTGTGCTTGATGGCAATGGACTATTTCCTCGACGAGTAGCACCGCGGTTGAGCAAGTGGCAGACGGGCATCTCGGGAGCTGAATGAAGATCGAAAAAGAAACTGAAAAGACCTGAGGAAAAATGCTGAGCTCGTGTTGACAGTCATTACGCTGCTTTTCAACCTCATTGGACCCGACGCTAACCATAAACACGTGTTGAGATTGCAGATGTCATCTCACCGTCTCAAGGTCGCGAACGTGTCTTCGCAGCATTCGCGGCCCCAGGTGTACGACAAGGCCTCCGTCGACGCGCCGTACATTGACTCTTTCACATGGAAGAACTTTCGAGGAGTGCTTTCGCGCAAGCTAAAACAGGTGTGTACCAAAGACGACGAAATTTATCACGACAGCAATTATTTAGAACCCGGGTATGTCGGGTGTTGTGTCTTCAAATTGGAACCGAAACCTCAGTCCTGCCCGTGGTGAAACGATAACAATCATGTCAGGCATGTTCTGTTTCAAACCTGTTTGGCTGCTGCATCAAGTGATTGTCCTCACAGAATACGAAATGTACACCCTTTTTGAATCCGCTGGCTGCCCAGCAAATTCTATCAAAGAATCATACAAACCCCTTTCGAGAACGAGACCGTAACTTTTTCGGGTACGTGACCTTGAGGCTGCCCTTAATCGTAGATCACGGCCATGGGTACGTTTGCTCATTCTTCATTCTACCTTATTCAGATACGATGAACAAGCAACATTTTTAATCTCATGCCTTTGAGAAGATATAGAGATATAGAGCAATGTGACTGTTCCCCTAAGCGACAAACAAGGACGAGAGCAAAAAAGAAAAGGGCAGGAAATGCGACGTCACAGGAGCTTAGCGTCCAGTAGAGGACCTTTGACGACCGCAATATTCTGCAACTAGAACACCTCCACAAAGGCAGGGGTATTGGTCCCCTGGAAAGCAAGGCTCATGTGAACGTTGTAGTGATGACATAGCTCGCGGGAGAGACAACGTCGCCGAGATCTTGATAAACCGTGCTTCTACGCACAAACTTGATCGTCATGAACCCAGATCATCGGGGTGATGGGCAGCACGTAACCGGAGTGAAACGTGCTCGGACTGCTACAGAACACGTAAATAAAGAGGCCAGACCCAGACAGGACAAAAGGGGTTCATCTTACCTGTCGACACGATTCCCGATGTTTGGGTCTCTGAGTAACAATGGGTCAAGGTTCTCTGTCACAAGGGACAGACAAGGATTGGAATACTCGCTCACTCGACGAGAAATAGCTGATGCATATCTCATCCTCCACAAATAATTGGTGTTGAGGAGAGGGTAGTCGGAGGACCCCCCGCGGGATGGTGACCTAAACTATAAAGATAATGAGACCAGCCTCAACCTCCTGTAGCGAGGCTTTCATGGCTCATTTGCTGTCATCAGCAGGCTCCGCGGTGTGGGGAGTAGTCCCTGCATTGGCGGGAGAATGGGCAGATGGCGCCTGGTGAGGAATTTGGGAGGCCTGGTTGAAGTTGTTGGCCGTGTTCCGATGGTTAGGCGGGAAATGGTGACCCTGGTGAGGGCTGGATGAGAATTGAGGCTGCTGCTGAGGGTAGGCACCACGACCATTGGACACTAGTGGAATGGGGTCAGTATTGTTCCTGCAAATACCACTGTCATAGAACACCTACTGTGGGTTGGTTGATTAACAAATCCAGGCTGACCCGGTTGGCCTGGCGACATGAACATCATAGGCTGTGGGGGCTGGCCGGATTGCGAGTTTTGGTGCATCATCATCGGTGCACCACGACTGGGGCTAGGATATCCACTGTGTGGTTGCGGTGGAGGTACATGGGGATAAGCATGGCTAGGAGATGGGGAATACATCTGCATCTGCGGATTGTATGGCGCCATGCCCTGAGGCATGCCCATGTAAGGTCCGCTGGATGGATTTTGGACCATCATAGGAGCCCCCATTCCAGTTTGTGGCCCAGAGAATTGGGGACCGTTTTGATAGTGTCTCAAGTGTCCTGGCTGTGGTCCCCCGTAGAATTGCGGCATCGGCTGTCCATATGCCAACTGGGCGTGGGGAGCCATTGGCGAAGGGTAACCTACGTGACTCTGACCCATACGGGGCGAGGAAAAGACTTGTGATGAGGAGGCAGACAACTGCATGCGGTGATGGTCTTCCAAATGAGGGCCAGGTCCGTGACCGCCAGGATGCACGTGAGGTCCATTCGGAGGGCCAGAGGAGGGGTGTCCGCCAGCGTTGGCTGGCGGAAAGTGGAAAGGCATCTGATGCTGCTGGGGCAGGCTGGGGTTATTGGAAATGGAGCGCCCCTGTGACGGCACCGAGGATACTCCGGTTGGTTGCTTGAACATTGCTTCAAAGTCCTTATCCTCATTGCCTGCGGGAACATCCCAGGTTGGGCCAGTCCTATACGGAGGAGGGATGCCCCCATGAGAGGAGGAGCCCCTGCCTTCACCGGATGCAGCGCTCTCTTTCTTCATGCGCTTGATGGGGTTGAAATCATCATCAATTGAGGGTCTCTCAGAAACGCTCTGCGGTTTCCTGGCACCAAAGAAGGACGACGGCGTCGCTGCGCGAGACACAGAAGGGTTGCGAGACGGACTAGCGACACTGACGGCGCTGGGTGCAGCAGCGGGGGCGGGGGTGGTGGGACCGCCGGGGGTGAATGTGCTTGCTGCTGGATTGGGCTTGAACTCCATGGCCCGCACATTGAATTTCGATGCAGCGTTGGCCATGACCGAGGCCTGGCTCTTCGGAGGGCTTGTCACACGAGCCTGTTCACTGGCCGGGCCGGTGGATGGCACTCGAGCATCTTGAACGGGCAGAGGCGCTGGAACAGCGCCCAGGGCAGCCCCCTTTCGCTGCTGAAGGTTGTCAGCAAGACGGTGACTGAGCATTCCAGTTGGAGGACGATTAGACTGTAAAGCCTGCTGAGGGTATCTTGGGTGTCCTCCACTGCCCAGCGGACCGGTTGGTGGGTAGCCCTGGCGACCGCGAGGATAGTTGTGTCGGTCTGCAGGGGCCGTTGGGGGCATTGCACCCGTGGGTCCAGTTGCACGCAGCGCGGGCTTCTGCTCAACTACTTGCGCGGGAGGTTGGGGAGAAGGTGAGTCTTCTGAGTTCTTTGCTCGGCTAATGATTGCCTCTTGTTTATGAGGATCCTTCGCAAGGATCGGGACGAGGTCCTTCGGCACAGGGGTATTTAGCTTAAAGTTCTTAGAGAACTTCATCAGCTCATTCAGCTTCACGGTGCGGTCGTAGGATGCCTGGTTACGACGCCGTTCCTGCATCTTCAACTTCTCGCTGTTGGCGAATTGACGGAAATGGTCAAGCACCTCCGTCTCCACATTGGCAGTAGCGTTTTCAGGAGCTGGGCGTTGCTGCTTAGCTGGAGGAGGAACGGCAACCGCTGGCGCAAGCTTTGAGGAATCTGCTTTCTGTTCAGGCTGTGTAGGCTCTTTGGGAGTTTGCGCAAGCTGGGGATTATCTGCTGAAGATGCCTCTTGAGCCGGTTCCGGAGACTGCAGTGCAGGGGCAGGCGAGTTTGCCGTCGATGGCTTAACTGGGAGCGCAGGCTGAGCTGCAGCCTGTCGACGACCAGGTGGCATGTACTTGTTTGGCTGCCCAGAGACAAGCGGCGGAAAGACCTTATTCTCCCGCTGCACGCCACTGTACTTGTCTTCCTCATCTTGGTCGCCAGTGTCTGGCACTGCAAGTCCGCGCTCCTCTCGCATATGCACATTGTCCACGTCCGTGCCTTCAATCTCGGCCGCGATTCGTGCAGCCTCGGCCTGTCTCTGGCGGAAATTGGGATCACTGCGGTCAATGCGTGTTGTGTAGATATTCTCATCATAGCTCGTCTTCGCGCCAAAGAGACGCTCATTCGTCTCAAACTGATCCCAGTTCTTCGAGTCCCCAGTGGTGCTCTCTAGAGACATATCGACATCATGCTCAGATGGTTCCCAACGCTTGAGGGTACGCTCTCGCATCGCCAGATTACCAGAAATGTCAGCATCCGTTCTAAAACCGCCTGTGTTTGAGCCTAGAGCAATCTGTCAGCGACGACCACCAAGCCATTTCTTAGTGCAAAAGTGAGTGACTTGCCATTCGGTTCTTTCATGGAGACCTCGGCTGGAACCACTTTGGGCACAGAGATGTCGACTACGTCCTTGACATCAAAGGCCATGCTATGTTCCGGAGCTGCACCAACAAAAAAGACTGACGCATCGTGCACGCCATTCGATTTGTTTGAAGTCTCGGAGAGTCGGTGAGCCATCTTCAGCACAAAAGACGAGCTGCTTGCCTCTAGGTGGGAGGAAGAGAAAATGCCAGCAAATTTGTCTCCGCTCTTCGTGGTGATAGTCGCATTTAGGCCCTGCACATTGAGGAGATGACGTTGTTAGTCAAACAACATCAAGGATAGTGGACTGGGAATTCATCTTACGATAAAGCTGGCGAACAAGAACAGTAGCCGGTCGTGTGCATGGCTATCCGGTGTATTGGATTCCTTTTGGCCTGGGCGAGGAGAGCCAGTCTGTCGGGTTGCAGTGCCATTGGAAGAGGCATAGGAGGAGCGTTGCGTAATTGGATTAGTCCCCTGGGTCCAGGCTTTATGAGAGTTTGTGCGTCTGAGATTTTTCAAGAATGAGAGCTGTCAGTTGATGCTCAACCAAGCTTGAAGTTGTGTTCATGACAACAGGGGATGAGCGAGCGATCCTGAAATCAAAGTTTCCACACGCTATTGCGACAAAGCTGGCAAGCTGGTCGGTTTATATCACCCCAAGTCACAGAGCAATGCCAGCAAAGATGGCAGCCAAAGGGCACACTCCATTGAAATACCATCTGCCACCAGGGCACGGCGACATTGATAACATCCAAATGGAGTATGAGGCGGAGTAATTATTGTCAATACATACCGTTGACCACCGTCCACAGGACTCCCAGACTGGCGACGACCATCTCCCTTGGTGTTGCCACTCGACCTCAGCGAGGGTCTGGTGGAGGTCTGCGAGGCATTGTTGGCATTGTTGCCAGAAGTGCTGTTCGCAGCCGGCACCGAATTCAATGTGGAAGCCATTAGGTGCCTCCGGTGTCGTGCGTGATGGCAGACTGGTGTCGTGGAACTGAGCTCGGCGGACAGCCGTGAGGGTGGCTCTCCCACTGTACACCGCCTACGCAAAAAGGATCGAGGTTAGACCCAAGAGGGGATTTAGCGGGGATCAAGTCTCTGGAAACCAGGAAGAAGAACGAAAGAAGTCGTGAAGAAGGAAAGGAGGCAGTTCACGCCCAGATCAAGCGAAAAACAGAATTTGCTTGTGAGATGAAAGTCTGCAGGAACAGAACGAGACCATGGATCTCGAAGACGTGTGGATGGTTCTGAAAGAAGAAAAGCCGTCAATGCTGGGGTGGGTTTATTTTGGGGAAAGTGTTAAAAGGTGGTGTGGAGCCGTGGAGCACCATCAAGCAGACAAGCACTACGGTACAGTACAATACACCATCAGTACTGAAGAGGCCGTGGATCACTACTACTGGATCAATCATCAGACGCAAGCCATAATTACAGTATTGTGTTACATTACTGTAACATTATCACCAAGAAGCCATTGTCAGGCTTGCCAGCAGCTTCCACCGCCGACGACTAAGCTAAAATCGTGGGTGATACATGGAGTGTTTCTAGACCTTGAATGGTGATCCAGTTCGCCAGCGACGAGAGGTGTATTAAATTATTACTGCTCAACATCGTAACTGTGCCTTGATGGACATACCTTATGGAAGCATCACTTCGCTATCTAAGCTGTTCATCCGCTTGAATGAAGATCTCCCATTTGAAAAGTGGGCCTAGTACTTCCCGTGACCCAAAATCAGATCATGCAAGGTCTTACTGTATCATCAAGATAGTAGGTCGTGGCTAAATCATCTGTCGATTATAGGATGGTTGCCTAGTTGGTTAAAACAACCTTGATTGCCCTGATTATTGCTCGAATATCCATTCTCACGCCTTGTATGGCGAAGCCGGACTGGCCTTTGACTCGGGATGTTCTATTCTTCTGGGTACAGACTGGACTGGTTAGGTACCTAGCAGGCTGGCATAGTGCCAAATTCACTCCAAGGTAGGGATGGGAGATATTTCCTTTGTGGACACGGACAATCTGTTGCGATTGCTCCCAATATCGGGCGTCGAAGGAACAGGTACACTTACCTAGTGTTGGACTAGATAAGTGGGAATTGCCGTCATACTCCTCCAGCTATCTATGGTGGACAGTGACACAAGAGACGTTTGCAATGTTGGCTAGCAGAGGTATTAGTAATCGGTATCTCCCACCCTACCGGGCACTCCCGCATATTATTGAACACCACATGCGATTTTATTTCAGCTCACCAAGCAGGACTCCACAAAGTCTATTGCCTTTGCAAGTAGTTACCTACTACCTACCTGGTAGGTACAGGTTCTAGTCACTGAATTACTGAGGTAAATTGGTTGCCTTCCATCTACCTGGTCGCTCTTCGTGCAAAGGAAGGAGTATGATGGTCTCCAGCCTGATGAGTGCATAAGCACCTTTCTTGGAGTTAGTTGATGGAACACAGGCCTTGTACATCAAGGATTCGGTATTCAAATACATTATAAATTAGTTGGAATTGATGGATGATCAATGATGGCTAGTCACGTATAATACCTCGCACATGAATATTTGATCTGTCAAAATAGCAAGACTGACTGCGTTCTTATTTAGGTTTGTGTACCACCCTGGGAACATGTGGGAGGAGCCACGGCTTTGTTGATCCTGCAACTCCACAGTCGTTTTAAGGTTGACGAACATTGGCAAGAATGAGAGCCGGAACTTGTGACCGATTGAATCTGCATGACTCGCACATTTTCGCAACGAAGGAATCTACCCACAAATCTATAGTGTAGCTGTGAGCGGGTACCCATCTAGTCTGAGGTCCTCAACAGTGGAAGTAAATTGATATACTATCGGAACGGTCTTCCCCGGGATCATGATTTAGCATCCAAGGTTGAAGACGGGCGATCGACGCTGCCAGGAATCCTTACATTCCAAACCGGCTGTCAAGCTCGGTTGGTGCCTCGGTGAGCGATGTATGTGTCTCATGTTCTCAACTTGCAGATATGACAAGGCATCAAGATCGTACTCTTGAAGGGGGTGGTTCAAGAGGGGGCTTGCTAAGTTCAAAGCATGTATGCAGGGAGGAAGGATCCACGGACTATTGCAGTCTTGAAACCACAAACTTGGTGGTGAATTGTGGAACTGGAAGCAATATGGAAGTGGAGGCGGGTAGAGCCGAGAAGGGGGCTCGCTAGTCGAGATACAGTCCGACCAGGTCGGCTGACTCCTTGAAGGATACCATCATTATGACACGGACTTTGCTGTACTCCAGTCAGGCCTTCCGAAGTATACTTACTAAGTATTACTTAGCGACTTATAGATCGGACAACGAATGCTCACATCTCATTGCTTGAGAAAGGGTCATCAGACTACTGCGTGCGAGCACCTGAAAAACAAGTGACAAATACTTTTCATGCTTGGATGTCTGTGCTGGAACGGGCCAAGCTCAGCTAAACCCGGAGTCTGACGAGTCACGACTACTGTCCTTGTCTCCATCATCTAACTGGCTTCTACTTAGGAGTCCGTCAAAGTACCGGATTGCGGACATACATACTTAGGGTCTTGAGAAAGGAGTCATTCAGAATTTCAGAGACAATACTGAGCACGATAGTCGTGCACTAGTGTGAAGCTTGACAAGATTCCTGCCCAATCTCGAACATTGGGCCGCCTGAAAGCTTAAAACTCCCAATGCCTGAGGCTGGGAGGCTGAAAGTCGCAGTGCTCAGTGCTGGGGTGAACTCATCAATCTGTACCGGTACAGCTACCGTGTGTACTTTGGCCACGTGATTGCTGGCTGTAGAGTGCATCAGTGCAGGCCGATCGATCTGATTACAGCTTCATAGCTGGCTTGCAGGTTTACGGTGCACTGGTACACCCTTTGTAAAGCAAGGGCTGTCTGTTTCACGCTATTGTCCTGATCTGACCGATAGTATGGTAGTACGCTCAGAAGTATATGGTACGGGATGATTACTGGATTTCTAGTATTAGGCATGTATACTCCATCCACGGGTCTTCTCTTGAAGCCGCACAAATTACAGAACTTAGGTGTTTGCACTGTTGAGATGTACCAGGCTATCACCGGCAGCTACCAGTACTACTACAGTAGTAGCAGTAGTATAGCTTTGTAGTGCTAATCGCTGGTCAGGCGGTCAGGTCACTGCCCTTCGTCAGCTGGCCCATCCCCTCCACAGTCCGGCAAGTGGTTCACCACAAAGGCGCCAAATCATCCATTGAACACGCCCGGGAGGCTGGGGTGTCATCCCGTTTGTCTGCCTGGCACCTTCTCCCCTCCCCCAGCACTTTCGCTTACCCACCCAACTTTCATGCGGGTTTTGGCCGCGCCAACTTATCTACTCACTCACGCTCCCTCCTGGAGGTCCCCCCGCTGTCTCTCCCACCAGATCGACAGACCGTGATAGCGCACCAATGGCGTCCGCTTCCACGTCCACGTCCACGTCCGGTCGCAGTTCGTCGGCTACCGCTGGACGGTCGCAGTCAGCCAAGAGTGTGGTAAGTTGAGGGTCAATGATTGTGGATCGACGGATTCCGAGTGCAGGGCGGCAAGCAAAAGCCTGAGCCAGCCTAGACACTCAAGAGTAGGGGCGTGTGTCGCTAACCTCATGCCTTCTCTAGCCCGACAAACAGATCTCACAAATCGAAAAAAGTGTCACACATCTTCTGGTCGCCACAAAACAACTTCTCGAGACCTTGACTCAGTGGTCCCGCAAACAAGCCACCGAGACGGACGTATCCGATGTCTATGTGCGACTGGGATACGAGTTCAATCTAGCCTGTCGCGCTTTCAACGCTATCGGAGTGGAAACCTCAGATCTCGGTCCGGTGCCCGATGTTCTGCGCAGTATCCTCGAAGATACTCTCAGTCAAGATGCATCCTCTCAAAGTCTCGACCGCTACCTGCCCCAGATTCGCGACATCATCATCAACCTCCTACATGGCTTAAAAAAGAAACAGGCCCGACTACGATCGCGGCAGCAGCGGGAAGATGGCCGTGCCAACATGTCTGGTCGGCAAGCGAGCGCGGGCAGCATCCCAACGGGTCCTTCCAGCAACATAGGCCAGCTGTACGATGAAGCCGCCGCGTCGACAATGCCCCAGAGTACGACCTCCTCTCCCAAACGGCCAACTCGGAGGTTTGGCAGTAGTGGGTCTATGGAAGACACTTCCTCGGGTCAGCGCGCCTCGCCATCCCATGGGGAAACCCGGGGATCGAGCTATTCGGACCGGGAAGCCTCGCGACGAGAGACCCAGCAAATTCTCTCCCAGCCATCTCAAGATAATGAAACCACGCCGAGACCGCCTCCGCCACCCGCACCACCTTCCACGGCCCCAACACATTTCCCAGCTCCACCACCTCCCCCCAAGGAGGAAGATGCTCTAGGTGCTCTCCAGCGGAGTGGTGAGCTGGAACGGAGGGCTTCTCGTCGGTTCTCAGCATACCAAATACAAAAGCATCTCGGCACTTCTACCAGCGGAGTCCCAGTACTTCCCACGCAAAACTCTCCCATCCCGAACCGCGGACGAGACGTGCGAGAGTCGCTCAATGCTGTACGCCTCCGTGGCTCGTACGCTCATTCCAGGCAGCGCTCGTCGAACCGACTTCAGGAAACCGCGAGGACCGCTCAGAGTCAAGCCGCAGCGCATGTGCCAAAGGCAGTCGAGGAGGAAAAGGCCACAGCTCCCCTTACGGGCGAAGCAGGAGGTGCCGAGACTCCTCCTGCACCGGCAGCTCCTGTGACTGACCAGCCGCCCCCACCCTCTGAGAAGCCCCTTCCCGATGGTCCAGCTGCCATCGAGCCCGCGGCTGTTTTCCCACAACCTCCTAGCCGCCCATCACTCGATGATGCCTTCGACCCGGAAAAGGCTGCATCAGAGTCTCCGGCTCCAGCGCCTGGGACACCAAATGGTAATCGCTTGACGCCTCCCAATATCGCTACGCCGCCTTCTGTAGCTCAATTTTCCGTGGATCAGCCTTCTCCAGGCAAGGAGTTGACTCTTTTCCTGCAATACAAGAGCAAGATCAAAAAGTACGTACTTCCTGGAGGAGCGGCTGAACTGACCATCGGACGGCTGCAATTGGCCTTTATTGAGAAATTCGCCTGGAACACGCACAACAATGGCGTGGACTTGCCGGAAATCTACATCCAAGATTCCATTTCGGGAATTCGGCACGAGTTGGAGGATCTGGGTGATGTGAAAGACCGCTCCGTCCTGGTCCTGAATGTTGATACTTTGGACGAGGTCAAGAAGCACTTTGACGATAGCTTTGGCGGTGTGCGTAGCTTGGTTGAAGGCGTCAAGGATGTGCTAGAGAGTCAGGGAACTGCGATTCAGCGGGTCTCGGATCGTCAACTTGAAGCCGCAAAGGAAATGGCTCGGTTGGCTTCGTTGCCGTTGACCCCTGTTGCTCGGTCAGCTAGCCCCAGCGGCACGGTCAAACCAGCGCTTACCGGAAACCGTACGCAAGTGGCCGAAATCCAAAGTCTACGGCGGGATCTTGCTGTTCTGCGACAGACCTATTCCAACTTCACATCAGACATTACTAGTTCGATGGCTGCTGTTCGATCAAAGGCCACCAACGTCGTGTCTGCCGCGGAGAGTGCTGCGAACGCGACGTACGAGGGAGATGCCGGCCGCGCTCGTGTCAACAAAGGAAAGAAGGAGCTCGCTGACGAGTCAGAGCGCCTGGTCTCCCGTGTGGATGACCTACAAGATTTGGTGGAGGATCTTCGCAAGGACGTGGTTCAGCGAGGAGTGCGACCTCTGCCGCGCCAGCTTGAAGGTGTCAACCGTGACATCAGCACGGCTTTGAAGGAGATCAAGAAGATGCAAGATTTCCTCGGCCGGGAGAAGCCCATCTGGACTAAGATCTGGGAGAAGGAGCTGCAGCAAGTTTGTGAAGAGCGCGATCAACTCACGATGCAAGAGGACCTTGCCGCTGATCTGCAGGACGACTTGGAGAAAGCTGCTCAGACTTTTGCCCTGGTTGAGCAAGCGACCAAGGAACAGGCTCTGGAAAAGGCTGCTAATAGTGGTGTCACTTTACGAGCCACCTCGCGCACTCTGGGGATCGACCCCACTGTTGACCCGATGAAAGCCAAAGACGATCTTCTTGGAGAAGTGCGCGCCCTTCAGCCTAACCACGAAAGCCGTCTGGAAGCCATCGAGCGCGCGGAGAAGAATCGCAAGAAGGAACTCGAAACACGCCGGATTGGCTTGTTCCAGAAGGAGCTTGGCACGTTTGTCCAGGAGGGCAAATTGAAGAAGAGCGGCGGCGTTGAGGAGGCGGAACGGCTGCGTAACGCCAAGGACGATCGCATCCGCAAGGAAGTATGGGAGCGCCAGCAAGCGCGCAATGCAGAGATGGAGAGAGCGGAGGCTGAGGCCGCGGCCGCCGCCGCTGCTGCTGCTGCTGCCGCCACCCCCGAAGACGCTGAAGATGCCGGCGATGCAGCAGAAGTTGCCATGGAAGCAGAGGGTCAAGTCGATGCCACACCTGCTGCAGAAGACGCTACTGTAGCTCCATCTCATGATGTTGAGACAGAGGGAAATGAGATGACGCCTGCAGAGAGCCATGAGAACAGAGCCATCTCTCCGGATGCTCCCAGCTAAATTGGAGGCCCTTGGATTAGCCTGATCGGGGTGTAATGTTCCTCACCAGTCGGCTTTTCCCCTTTATAATTGTCCCAGTCGTGCTACCAATCTTCCTTTTACGGCTCATTTTCTTATGTCGTGCATTTCTGCGCAGGCGGGACATTCGAGCCATACGACACCTCTGCATTCGTAATGCATAGTCCGTGTATCCTCTTGCATTTTCCCGGTTCGATATTTGTTCCCATTCATTGCCGCCTCAAGCAATGTTTTTCTTATTATATCTATCATCGATACCCTACCATACTCACTGCGGTGATTATTTTTTTTCGCGTTCTTGATGTGTCATTCATGCCATTCGATCGTCCGTCCAGGCATGTAGCGCGGAGTTTTACTTGAGTGCGGTTTAGTAGATATGATTTTTTCCATTCCCAAGTTTCAACAGTGTACCTGCAGTATATCTTGCTATATAGCTTCTTGTAGACTCACGTGTTGTGAGTGTGTCAAAATCTATATGCAGATTTAACCAGTACATGATTGGAAAGGTCATTAATGGAGTGGAATCAAGATCTGGGGTTTCTCTGAGGGGCAGTGTGTCGCACTAGACAACCACTTTATCTGTGTCCCCCAGCCATCGCATTTAGTTGACATTGACCGCCTCTTTTGCAGGCCCCGTTCCTGTCACCTCAAATCGACAGAATCATTTCGAGATCGATACGTTTGTGGGGGTTACTCAATTCTTTGAGGGTTGTTGCCGTTTTTCTTTTCTCGAGTACTCTGTTCAGCTTGAGATCAAGTGATACCTGGCGTGCTGACTTGCTCTTCCCGCGGAGGCCCGAGACCTGTGTTTACTTGAGTGCCCTGGGCTGCAAGAACAGCGCTGGCAGTGAGCTTCAGATGTAAGGCTTAGAGAACTTTCTTTTTTTTTTTTTTTTTCCCTCCAAAGGATTTCCCCCCAACTGCTCGAGTACTAACATCAACGGAACCAGACTACTTGCTCCGCTCGGAAAGGCAACTTTAATCATCTCAGCTTGAACAGCTTAGCGGGACTATCTCTCCAGAAACGGATTGATCAAGTCCGGTTCAAAACAAACACAACCATGCGGGTGCTAGCAGGGCTTGGGATCTGCCTTCTTGCCTCGATCACGTCCGCCTCAATTCAGGACACGCATGAAAAGGGTCCCAAGGAGGAGTCCGAGTCGGAGCACCAGATCCTGCGTCGCAATGCACAGATTGAAGCCCGTCTTGCGAACGAACATCTCTACGGCGTTCGAAAAATGAGCACCGACCCCGGCGAGAAGTTCTTCCTCGAGTACTGGCATTTCGAAGACTCCAGACAGCAGGACGGTCTCTCCGAGACAGATCTTGCTTTTCCGAATGCCACCGCCGGACAGGTGGATAAGGATGGAGGTATAGTTGGATCTTCATCATCTCCAGGTGGTGTGTTCACGCCCCGATCTTTCGCCTACAGCCCGTCTGTTGAACCCGAGTTTAGTCTTGGATTGAAAAGCAGTCGGATCCTCGACGCGAGAGACTTCAAATGTCCATCAAATACATACGCATGCACTTCCATTAATCGACCAGAGCGATGTTGCAATGCGGGCAGTGTTTGTGAGATTGTTCCAGACACAGGAGCTGGTGACGTGGGGTGTTGTCCAAATGGTCAGACTTGTTCCGGGACTGTTGGATCGTGCCAGAGTGGGTATACGACTTGTTCGAAGGCGCTTGGAGGAGGATGCTGTATTTCGGGGTATGATTGTGTCGAGGGTGGATGTGAGTTTGTCCCCCTGTTGACCCTTGATGGAATCTTAGAGATCAAGTTTGGATCAGATTGGGCTAACGAGATCTTTCTCTTTCTCCCTTCCGTTGATGATAGGTGCTTACGTTTCGATTGTCACCGTGACTGTGGGTGCAACGGTGACTCTCTCGACAGTCACGCACTCTGCATCTCAGCAAACGAGTATGATCACATCATCAACAACAACATCAACGTCAACAACGTCAACATCTTCTTCACCCTCTGAACACTCGACTTCAAGCTCATCCTCCACCTCTACCTCCGCCTCCACCACCAGCAGTACTTCACCCGCCCGCCCAACTACAACCACCACAACCACCGAAAACCTCATCCCCCCAGCCCGCGGCACCAGCATCTCAAGCCTGACCAGCTCCACCACCACAAGCACCCTCTCCCTCTGCCCCACCGGCTTCTACGCCTGCTCCGCCGTCTACCACGGCGGCTGCTGCCAAGTCGACCGCAACTGCGACACATTCTCTTGTCCCACCATCCCATCTACGACCTTTACCTCGGACGGTCGAACAATCGTTATCCCGGTGGCGACTGCGACAGCCACGGGATCTTCCACACCCTCTGCTGGTCAGGGCCAGCGTAAATGCCCCGGTGGATGGTTCCAGTGTGCAGCGTCTGATGGTGGAGATTGCTGTCCGACGGGGTATGTTTGTGGCAAGAGTATGTGTAGTGCTACGGCTGGTGCTACGGCTGGTGCCGGTGGTACGGGGGCAGCGACGACGGTGGCAAAGGAGCAGCCAACTGGTAGTGGTAATGGGGCCTCTGGATTGCAGGTGAACCGGGGAGTTATCATCACGACGATGATGATGGTGGTGATGGCGGGGTTGATTTAGTGTGGTTATATTAGGCTGAGATTTGAGATACTGATGGACCCTGTATTTCCATTTCGTGGTTGGCTTGGTCTTGTTCTTTCTGGTTCTCGTTTGGCTGTGCTAGACGTGTCTCGCTCCTTTTTCAATCCGGTGCGAAAGAGTGTGGTTGTGGATGTCCGTATCTAGAAGTGTATCATGGGTGTTTGTGACGGAATGGGAAGATGACTACAATTACATATACGACTTACGGGCTGACCTCCTGCCTTGGGTCCGGTTTATCATAGGCTTGTATCAAGAGGTACTATTGTTACTGTGGGACTTTTGAATAGATTTGAATTGGCATAAACAAGTATCATTGGCTTGTCATATGCCCATGTCATTCCAAATTGTCATTTCACAAGATTGTCACTAAAAGTCATGGTAAAGCAGAGGGGGTATTAGTGAGTCAAAACATCCAGTCATAGCGTCAAAACCAGCAGAAGCATCGAAGGGAAACAAAAGTCACAAAAAAAAAAGATAACAGATGAGGGCAAAAGCATGAAGCGGCACTCTAGATCAAAGAGTTGCCACTTCAGGCATCATCCAAGCTGAATTGGGTAAAGTCATGAAGTGAAAGACAGCAAAGAAAAAAGAGCTCAGGGACATTTGTGTATAAATTTAGGGAAATCATCGGATCATGAATAGCTACCCATGCGGGTAAGCAGTCAGTGCGATGCCCACCCAAGGAAATGCCCCCATGCCATATCAGAGAAGAGAGAGTAGAAACCAACAGTGAATTCTTAAAACACGTAAACAAACAGGTTGACCACAAGTCAAACATGAGGAGCCGGGTATCGATGATTGACGAAGAAAAGAAGCACAAGAAAAAAAAAAGGTCAAGACAGAAGCGACGCACAACACCTGAACGAGAATGGAAAGCTCATTTCGAAATCGGCAGGGTGCCAGAGAAACGCGAGCATTAATCTCGAAGCGGCCCCGTGTATCGAAAGCAGCCAGGAAACAACAAGGCAAAGTAAAGAACGAGACAACAACTAGATCACGGAATATGCAAGAGACCGCACTGAGAAGTCGAATGAAAGTCAGACGAAAGTGAAGCCGTCCACAGACATGACAAGAGACAACGCCAATCTCATTCCAAATGCACCTCGCCCTCATTCCCCTCGAAAAAGCCGACGCCGGATATGCACATAGAATCAAGCTCGTCCCACGATGTAGAGCAGGACAGGACTGTCCACGTAGATGGACATTCTCTTCCGAAGGACTGGTCTAGTTCATCTCCATACCGTACTCATCCTCCTCCTTGAAACTCAGAGGAGCATGACTCGCGCTGCTCCAGTACTGCTGTGGACCTCCACCGTTGGAGCTGCTGCCCCCGCTGTGGAACCCAGGGCTCAGTCCCGGTGGTGTCAGACCATCGCTGCCGACAGGGTCACCCGCCAAATTGGTATGCTTGGGAACACGGAGACCACTACCCGGACCGCGGGTGTAACTGAACGAGGAGGGGTCGTTCTTCTCCAGCGCATCGAGAATCTCACTCCGCATGCGCTTCTCATCCTCGGTGGGCTCAAAGGGCCAGGTACCACCAAGGCTACTGATCAGCTCTGCGAGCTCAGCTTCCTGCTGATACTTGACATGCAATGCCCACATCAGATCTCGCGTCCAGCTGACTGCACCATTCAGAATATCTCCCTTGTTGGGTCCTTTCTCTTTCTCGTCGAGGGGAAGGCCCATGGTGATGTTGCCAGGGGTGGCACGACGGCCGTTGCCACCAGCAAGGAGGGAGGTCGCAGCATTGCTGCTGGCGCCCGCCATGGAGAGCGCGGTGCTGTTGACGAGCTGCTTGCGCACCTTGTCATCCTCAAGACGGTGTTGAGGCACCAGGTGTGAAAGGTCTTGGATGCGCTCATTGATGTTGTCACGGCGGCGACGTTCAACAAGATTGTGCGAAGCGCGGCGTCTCCGACGCTTGGCTTCCTGCGACTCTAAATCCTGGGCGCTTCCGGGAGGGTGGCCATTGTCGACCTTGGCGGGCAGGGATGCATGTTTGCCGGACTGGATGATCTCAGAGATACCCAATTGGTGAGTGTGCATGTTGGGCGAGCCGATGGGAGAGTCAATGTATGACTGGGCGCTGCCGGGTGTGCCGTCCCATTGATTGGAGAGGCTCTTCTGGTGGCGATGATGGATTCCAGAATTGCGAATTGGCTGACCTGGGAAGCTGCCGGAATCTGGCGTTCCCAGAGTCAACGAGCCCAATGCGGGTGTCTTGGGGGTCATGGGACTTCGAGTGTCGGACGAGGTTCGGTCCATGGCCTGCAAGCTGGGACGGGATTTCGCATTCAGGTAGTTCTGGTCGAATGAGTTTGCATGGTGCAGGTGGTGATTCTGCTGATTCATTCGGAATTGCTCGTAGTTGAAACTGTTGTTCACAAAGGGACTGGCCATCGGAGCATTGTCGGGTGTATTCGAGTACATGTGCGACATTTGGCTTTGGTGACTCATCGCGATGCCGCCGGACTGGTCCTGGAGATAGTTGATGTTGTTGTCGCGTTGCACGCCGTTGTTCTGTCCACTGATTTCCAGGTCCAGAAGCTCATCGGTATCGATGCCCGAGTTGCCAAAGTTGAAGCTTGATGACATATTCTGTTGCGATCCGTACGAGAACGGCATGAAGCCATTCTGCTGCATGGTCAAGTCTGACGGATCGATCCCATCATTGGAGTTTCCAAAGTGGTTGTTGAGGTAGCCGTTGTGCGACATGATGAAAGGGTTGCTGTGACAGTTAGATTTATGTTTGATAAAGAGGGCTGCTTCGGCCATGGTGAGAGGTTGAATTGTGTCGGAAATAACTTGGAGAGAGAAAGCAGACGAGCTGAGAGGTGGTGGCGAGGAGGATGAGGACAAAAGGCGAAGATCTGTCGGTATTACTGACCCTGGTTCTCGAAGTTGAGCGTGATGTAGTCAGGCAGCCGTAGAGGAAAGGACCTTGGATCTGGGACAGACTAGGGGAGCCTGGAGAGAGCGAGGTTCGCTGTATTCTGTATAGAGGTGGGGTGGGCCATGTCAGCGGGTTCGACCATGCAGTAAATGATCGCAAGTGTAAGAGTAAGGGCAAGCCAGTGCGGTATCAAGGAGTGGACTGAAAGAATGAGCAGCCCTGCTTGAACCCGAGGGCAACCGAGGGGGGCTAGCCAGCACGGACTGAGGGGTAGATAAATCCCGATCTATGCTGCAGCTATCCAGCATTCAAGTAGATGCTCACCTTTGAGGACCCAAAGGATGAAAATACTCACGGCGTTGGTGTAGTCGGTCGGATGTATCCGCGCAGGCTGAACAACGGTATTGCAAGGTAGTGAAGGCTTGGTGGGATGAGTCGACGTTCTCGGCGACCAAGAATGCCCGAGATTTGTCAGGTGGACGACGCACACGCTGCCGTTGGTGCGTCGAGCAAAGAGAGAGAGTAAGAGAGAGTCAAGTGTTCTTAGACAGTAAAAGCTAGAAATGATCCAAAGATCTTCAATTGTGAGTAACTCTCCACTGCTCGTCAAAGAAGACCAAAAGGGAACGGAGACGTGGCGTGTCCCAAAAAAAAAAAGAAGGGGAAAGAGAGGGGGAACAGGGCGGATGCAGCAGATAAGCGCGGGCTTCGCTCTCCAGGGCAATCGAATCCACAAGGGAGAAAAGGCCCGTCAGGAACCCGGAGTCCAGCAGAGCAAAGACAGCAGATGTGTAAAGAGAGACGCTCCGGAAAGGTAGACTGCAGAAGCTGTAACAGCAACAGAATGTTACAGAGGAGCAGAAGCAGTGGTCATTCTCTGGATCAAGAGTTTCTGGCTCAGGAACGTGCTCACGAACATCCGGCGTTGAAGCCTTGAACAAGATGAATACGACGATCCAGCCGATCCAGAGTGGAGAGGCGGGGAGAGAAAACAAGCGGTGGAGCGCAAGAGAGGCCACGCGGGCGGTGAAGCAGTGGCGATCGCTCGTTGGCCCGTGAGGCAATTTGGCTCCTCTGGGGAAGTATACCGGGCGGGTGGATATAGAGAGAATTGAGCGCTGAGCACTGAGCACCAGAATCCAGTCGGACTTCTTTGCCGAGAGATTGGAGGTGCTCCATGGAATGCACCCGGGGTAGTTGCCAAGAAAGGTTGGTTCTTGATCAGAGGCATGTCCGAGGCATAGTTTCACTTTCTGCTCATCGGCCGAACCGGTCCGTTGACGCCGGTCAAGGACGCCTTGACCCTGCGTGTTCAGCCTCTCTGAGTCTGAACGGCCCCGTGCGCCTGGTTTGGCAAGACAGCGCCTAAAGAGTCACCGTGCAGCGGCCCCGCAGTTCATCTGGTGCTGCCAACACGAGCCTGTGTCCACTCATGGATTGATTGTTGTTGGGTTGCTGACGCCTGAACCCGGGTTGCCTTCTGCTCCATGTTGACCCGGACTCGAGTGAAACAAGATCAACAGCAGAAAAATAAAAGCAGATAAAGTGTGAAGCAGTCCAGTGTGGGTCCAAGGAAAAAATGGCCATTGTAAATGCATGAGTGAAGAGAATTGGGTGCAAGGGCAATGTGTGAGAGCAGAAATGAACCGCTTACCAAGTATTGTTGGCTTTAGATCACGACTGATCGTGCTGACGGAGGTCCGAGCAAATCCGAATGCAATCAGCAAGAAAGTTTGAGCGACTGTGAAGGTGTCAGAACGATGTGATGAGATCATGGTGTGATGGCAGAATCATCACACGAAAAATCGTTAACAGTGCTGCAGGAAGTGTCTCTTGTAATGGAAGGCCGGATGTGCTTCCCTTAGAGCCAGCTGCAGAGAGTCGACTCAGAGAAAGAACAACCGCAGAAACAGACATCAATCAATCGATGGTGCAGACACTCGTCGTCTTCCGCACAGAGCCCCAACACGTGGTAGCTAGTGTGGAGATAGGTAGGCAGCATCCATACATGCAGGAACCGGAGCACCATGAAGACGGAAGGGAAGTGTGTGATGACAGCTGCAGGACGGCACAGAAAGATGCTCATACGTACCACGATCCAAAAGGTCGAATAGTGAGAGTTTCAAGATGGAAGACAACCTGCAAGATCCACAAGCCAGGCTATACGAAGCATGAGGCGCGAGTCGAAGATTGATATAGTGGCTGAGAAGATTCTCTGATACCGACAGTCCCGTCGCAGAGAGAGCAGTGTTGGATGACTGTATAGATCTCGGCAGACGTTGGATGATGGGTAAGCGATGGATCTCCGAAGAATCAATACTATATCAGTCTAAGGATGACGACACCAAGTCGAGTCTGCCCACGGATGAACTCGAGGGAGAAGAAAAAAAAGTTCTGGATGATTTCTCAAAGGAGACTAGATAGCGCAAGCAGCCAGTGATGCAGTGCCAACACAACAACCGTTTGCAAAAGCCTGCAGAGAGGACTCGACGGGAGCAGATGGGCGGGGAGGGGAAAGGAAGGTTACAGAAGTATCACTTGCAGATGGCAAGAACGGGGAGAGGGCAAGGGGACTTTAATAAGACGGGCATCCGGTGGGATTTCTGCATCTCTCATTTGATGTATTATTGATATATTACACCATCGGTCATGCAGCTCGTCGATCGGTGAAAATCGATAAGGCTTGCCGGTTTCTTCGGCATCGGAAAAATACGACACACGCTTTTTCCTCGACGCTTGTCTCAATCGAGAGCAGCACGACACCCACCCTCACACATGTCTTGAAGGGGTGGGTGTGGGTGTGGGCGAGTTGAACGCAAGGGTGGGGGATGACTCGTCTGGCTATGGCTCTTGGCTACAAGAAAGTCCACGATCTGGGATTTATGGTGTTTATTCTTTTTGCCTCCTTAGGTAATTCCCTGCTAGATGGGCAGGTCATGCAGCCATGTACCCGTTCACGAGCTGTGTCCTTTTCAAGTTTTCATCATCCGTGGTATGGAATCAGGGGAAAGATAGAGACCATGCGGGCATGAGCGGGTGGTGGGTGGGGGAATCTTGGTCGAAGATGATCTTATCTTGCTTGATCTGGTAATCATTCAGGGAATGCTCGACACGAGACTTGCCGAACTGGTCATGACATCTCCATCCAAGAAACTTCATATGTGATATGGAAAGCCAGAGCTATCCCTGCTATTCCTATTGAAGGTGAGGAGAAAGCAGGTCCCTGTCCCCAGGATCACAGTCTACTGCAACATGGCGCGATTCTCCTGACTGTACACACAGGGTGAAAAGAACACATGGAATGGGGGGGGGGGGGGGGATGAACTTCACTCCGAGTGTTCCTCCCCGTTCCCCTCCTGACAAGTGAGAGGAGCGCAGGGAGAAAGAAAAAACAGGATTGAGGGTCGAAGACGGGGTGCAAAGATTTGAACATATGTGGAAATCAATCTAAGCCTGAGGAATACCATGGCGATGATCAGAAAAAAAAACAGATAATGAGGAAATCTACTGTCACATGTCATTGTCCATCGGAAATCGCATGCGCAACGATCTTCAACCGCTTTAGGCTTGGTCCAGGGCTGCGCCATGAAGAGTTAAAAATAGGAAGCAGAATTAAAATTGAACATCAAAAGCTAGGTCCTCTCGGATGAAATGGTCATTCGGGGAGTGACCCTCGACGAGAGGCCGACTGATCAGACTGACGAAGATCCAAGCCGCGCCAGAGGCGAAAGAGTGACACGACCGGATTAGGAAATCATCTCTAACGAAATGGATCCCATGATACCAGTAGCCGCCCAGATCTGTCACCTGTGCGCGAGTCATGACTCAAAGTTCAATCTACATGGGGGAAAAGTTAAGGCAGCACTGGCCTCAAGAATGTATCAGATGGGAGGAGGGGGAGCTGGGAGTTCCACAGATGTACCCAAGTGGAAGATTGCTCCTGTTTTCTACTACGTGGTCCTTTCTTCTTTCTCGGGAAAGCCTCTCTGAGTTGAGCAGCTTGCGATGAGTACTTCTACCGCGCTGATCTGTATGCTGAATGTGCCTGCGAGGTCTTGTCAGAAAACCCGGTGCGTACCGCAGCTTGTAGCATACGAGACTCCAGAAGTTGTTATCGGACTCTTGAGTATAGTCCAGTGTCTGCGACGACTTCCTCCCGCTCCAGTCGGGTGAAAGCCATTTTCAACGCTCCGAGGAGATTCTGCGGAAATGAAACCCTACTATCCTTCTTCCTGAGTTGAGTCGCATGAGTGAGATTCCCGAGACGGCCAATCAAGTATACAAACCCCGACATGGGCAGAGCTCGGACGGAGGTGTCATGGGTTGGATCATGGAGGATGGAGTAGTAGACGAGCTTTGCGATCAAGCCAAGAGTCGTCAATACTCGACCAATAAAGTAGCCAGGGAATGTCAGATCACAGGCGAGAAAGGAATGATCGTCTGAGAGAGTATGTCAAAGACGAATCCGTGCCGTGACATGCTCCAGAGCCGTGGTCGCAAAAGAGGAGTAAGAGGTCCTGCTGGGCAAATGAAGACGCTCGATGAGTATGGACGTCAGGGGTACTAGGCAACGGCCATACAGGGCAGAGAAGATGATGCCTCTTGGTTGAAAAGACCGAGAACGAGACAGAGACGAGATTTGAGTGCTGGAGGCATGACTTCCGATGTGAGCTCACCTTTTGGGAATGTGAAAATCGATCAGCATCAATCGTACCGAGAGTATGTAGCACCCGATCTAAGCCTGACCCATCTGTCCAAAATTGATTCAAAGAGAGGTCCCTTGTCTAGGGATTTAGCCCATCGGCCAAAAGTTACTGCGCGTCTGCGTGACCGTGGTCCATCGTACGTCTACCAAGAATTGGAGATTATCAAGCATCAGACATCCCAGAAGCCTTGTATACTTCAGGAATTTGACCACCACGCATCGTAGGAAGCGGGAAATGATACAAGCGGCCAAGTACAGAAAAGGAAGCCGACAAATAACGAAACGTTGAGAGCTTTACGGAAGTTCCTGCCGATAGCACCCTGTATTTTGTGTCTGTGGCTGGCAATGCGCAAGCCCGCTCTACAATGTCGTGCGGATGGATGGCGCGCGCTCTGGTGCGTGGATATTGCCCCAGGACCCGGGGGCGATCATCCTCGGGGACGATCGACGAGAGCTTGGGCCTCTACATGTCGTCTCAACGAGTATACTAGTTCAGGCGGCCCACCCTTCAGCGCAGATGACCGTGAGCTTTTAGGTTTGCGGCCATTTCCCCCATTTTCCGGGAATGTACTCCGAGAGCCCTGTGGAGGGATATCGCTTTGGCCCGCGTGTTTCCAGACAGGATGTGAAGACGGAGAGCAAGGAGGGGGAAACGGGTGTGGAGGAGAGCTAGAGGCCCGAGAGATAGAGGAGGGTGCTCTAAGTCTGCTGCACTCGGCACTTGCGCAGTGGTGACATGGTGATAGTCATTCAATAATCAGTATATCAATCTGCTCAGTCCCCTTCCGGCCGGCTCCACATCTGACTTTTGGATCCCCCCGACGGCTGCATGAGAGAAAGGGAGCGCAGGTGGTCCGTGGCCTGCAGCCTGTAGCCTGCAGACTTCAACGACGGCTGCAAGGCGGATCCATACGATTCACTCGTCGCCGCCCGACTACTGCCGTCTCCCGTCGGTGGGCCTCGCGGGATGATCGCAGAGCCAAAATGACGGCAACGCTTTCAGGACTGCTCACATTACAATCGATGAGGGGTAATGGTCGTGCCTCCAAGGGCCTTCATGCTCTGCTCGACTCGGGATCTGGGCAAGGAGAACGACATCCTTCGGATGCACCGTCTCTCGAGGGCATGTGGCGGTGTGCATACTGAAAAAGGGACTCTGTCGGAGAACCAGATGACGAGGCAGGGTGGAGGAGCAAAGATGGAATGTGTCTGAGAGGAGCGACCAATAGGTGGAAATATCACCCACACCTTTTCCGCCCATCTTCCCATCTTGGCCCTTGCTCCTCGATCCCAAAACCGGCTGAGCGAGTCCCCGACTCAGCCACAGATGATGATTTGATCCGAGTCGGGAAAAATGAGATCCCATTCACGCTCGAATCATACCTTTCGAGGGATTGTCCCGGGACTCACCACCGCACTGATGCTTGGCGGAGTTGCCTGAATCAAGCATCGCTGGAGCCTGGCAGTAGTGCATATGATATCCTACACAGTGCAAAGTACACACTACATGCCAACTACATACATACCACATAGCATGGGTACCATGAGTCTCGGACTACCGTTTGTGGTTCTCCCTGAATCCCGAAGCTTGATAGCCGAGAGTACTTCTTCATATCTATACAACGAATCTTTGATATTCCATGTGGATGAGTACCGACCAGGTGAACTGACGAAGCTCCGTCGCTAGACAAGGATGAGTCTTTGTTTCGAGTGAACCTATGCGGAAGTCTTTCCGTCTGCCCTTCCAGTGCGGGGACGGCGGTGTAGTGCAGGAGGCAGGACGGTCTCATGACGAGTTCATACAAGTCCGAAGAATGTCCGACGGTTGTCGAGGAACATGGAAACGAAGGGGATGGAGTAGAGTCATGGTAGAAGAAGTGGTCGAATAACAACAAGAGCAACAAGTACTGCTAACTACTACTACTATTACGACTACTACGACTACTACGACTACTACGACTACTACGACTACTACGACTACTACGACTACTACGACTACTACTACTACTACTACTACTACTACTACTACTACTACTACTACTACTACTACTACTACTACTCACAGTAGTGCTGCTGTACACGCCCACTGGCAATAAACACTGCACTCCGCAGCGGCCATGGCTCGCTGACGTCCCGTCCCGTCAAGGTTCGGAGAAGATGACACCGAGAATTCCATGGGAATGAAAGCAAGGAGGTGCGCGGGGCGGCTCGACTGCTCGACCGTGGGCGAGACATGGGCAGAGTGGGTGAGTGGGTGGGCTTTGATATCCACTGCAGTCACACTGGTTGAACGTCAGCGCAATGCGGTTGAATGGAGTCGACATGGTACACTCGCGGTGATTCGCACCGATCCCGAGGCGACAAGCGCAATCACTCCGTTTGGACTTGCTCCCAAATCGGACATTTCGAAATCTGCACAGTCGACCGGACCAAAAGACCCATGGATAAAATGCTCACTGTCTTAGAGCCGATGTAACCCAACCTCAGTTGAGGAATTCGCAACGGCGGGTGTGATGTCAGGCAGGTGCGATCCCACTCTAGTTGGAACGTTGATGGTCCCGGGTCTGCCTCGCACCGTTTCAAGATTGATATATGCCCCCGTGCTCTGTTTTTTGACAATGGCAGCAGCCCCATGCCACAAGTCAACGGCATTCATTCTTGCGAGTCTGTGGTACGCTTTAACAGAGACTGCTGAGATTGCAGTTTGCTAGGCAGCAGAGCCGTAGACGCTGTATCATCTGCCTCCCAAACCATCCATGTCGCCCTCTTGGTGTGATCTGTTTAAATGTCACCCCAGGGCGGCTCGAAGCGGTGGACTGGCCCCAAGAGGTAAAGTCCCGGAAAAGGTGGGACAGTATCCTCCAGACGCCGGACTTTCCCCTTCTTGGCGGCGTGAGCCTCGATGGGACTCTTCAGTCCTCGTCGGGAACCCCCAGTCGGATCCTGGTCGAGGTGGTGTCATCCGTGGAAGAGTGGAAGATTCGCAAATCCCGGGGAAAGATGCATGGCTGACAGAATACTGCTGCCATTTGGGAGCTGTCATCCGAGCTGATGACCAGGGAAACAATACGGTACGTCGATGAGATCCCAGGGTGGGGTTGGGACCGCCGTTCGGCAGTCCCAAACGAGCCCATACTCGACCTGGTCGTGGCACTTTGCCTTTGCTCTTGGCGATTCTCCCGTCAGATGAGTTTCTGCAGACTAGCCGGAAGCTCACTCCATCTCGGGTGGATGCAGATTGCACGCAGGCGTGGATCGCCACCGGCCTTGAGTCATGGCACTGTGCTGGAAATCAGCCTTTTCTGGGCAAATAATAATCAACAGAACTCTGAGGTGTGAGGTGTCGAAATCACGTCTGTAGTCTTGGATCGGGATTGGGGACGTGGTTGAACCGGATCATTGTCACCCGATCTAGAGGTGGATGTGTACCTCCCTGAGATGTGTTGTGCTGTCGACATAGATCTGAAACGAAGACTCGGTGTTTGAGACGAGGCTGGGAGTTGACCTACTCGACCAATTCATCTGGATTTGAGATAGCATGGAATCGGATCCATGTTCAGGTTCATCCCATCCAGCCAACCTCTTCATCCCTTGTTTGAGGAGTCATTAGGGAGTTGAAACGAGGCACCTCGAGGTGGAAGTGCCATACGGGCTGTATCCATGCTGTGGCCGTCTCTCTATCCATTTAGTCTGCTGTAGTACACAGTATACAACATTAGATGTTTACTATGGATCATGGAGTATTTACTCGAATTAAGTGCTCTCCCAGCCTTCCAGGATTGCGGTGGCACCTAACAACAGTCCTTTGGGAGTTGTCAACCTACAATACAATAAAGGCAAGGCAAAGAAGCAACAATCGTGTATGAGACACAACGAGCACGGATAGGTCCAGGCAGCTGTCGCATGGCTTGAATCTTGATACCAAAGTGTTCTATTGTCCGTACGGACACCTGCTCGATCAGTCGATGGCCCGTGCACTGTTTACCCCACTCCGCAGGGCCAGTGAGAGGACCCGATTACCTGCAGCTTCGGGAGGGCCCACACTCGGAGGTTGCGATCCCTCCTTTACCATCTTGGGCCTGTGCTCTCACCACCTTCGCCTCCAACTCTCTCCGCAACCGATCCCATCCCTCAGCCCAAACCTGGTGACTGCACCCGTTTGCCCATCCATACGCAGTCCCCACGCTTGGCCTCTTTGGGCCTTGATCATCTGACCCCGGGGCCTCGCCCGCACTGAACTTTCAGGATCTCTGGTCATATCGAAAACAGCTTCACGTCATCTCCTCCTCCGCCCGCTCGGGTCTCACTCTCCCTCCGCCTCGTCGTCCCAGGTCCCTCCTCTCCTTCGATTAGCGCTTGCGGATCCAATTACCGCCGACTAGGAGCAGTCTTCAGCCCGTCTCCATCGCCTCGACCTTCAGGACCGGCTCATCGCCATTGGGAGCCGATCAGTGTCCCTGTGTTGCCTTGTCTCCGAGTTGACCGCCTCGACTCTCTTCAACGGAGCTTTGGCACCTGCCGGAATACTTTCTCCACCCAGCTCATCCCCGCTCTGTTCGTGTGTTCGATTTGTGTGTCGCGTCCCGCGCCTCAGTATCGAGACGGCATTTGAAGCTTCAGCGCATTCGCCACCTCGCGCCCTCATACGAGGCCCCGTCTGGCCGAATCGGAAGATACAGCCGAATAAAAGTGCATCCAGCAGTACGCAGGGAGACCATTGCGGTACAAGCGAGTAAGCTTGCTCTACGCAACATCCGCACGACGAGTGCCCTGCCCATTTTGGATTTCCCGCATTTGCGCTTCTGAAGGAGGGTCCCAGTGCGCTTCCGTGATATCCTCAGGTGCCCCTATTGGCCCTGTATCTTCCTCGACGGATCTGGTCTGGTCTGCTACTTGTACTACTGATATCAGCTCTTGATCCGAGCCATCGCACGTCCCGCCTTTGTCGCCGAGTTAGCAACGCCACTTTCATCTACCTCTCGCCCATCTCCGAACTGGGGCCGCCCTATCAGGCCTAGCTTGCCGGCGTGATCGCCCCTCCGTATCACACGCAGATCATCTTGCACTCTATCGTGCATACCCCCTGCCATCAGAACTCTCGGTTACTCGGGCTTCAAGTTGGCGACCATTGCCTGACCCGCGCAACCGTGACGATACTATTTTTTGGGGTTCTGCTTTTCTAGCCAGGCGCCTCACTTGCCGATAAGCCGAGCCCGTGCACCATTGACCCAGCTAGTCGCTACCTGCCCTTGACGAGTTGGTCACCAAATCACTGCTGTCCTCGCCTCTTGCGATTCTAGGACCCTCCCCCCACCCGGGCGGACGTTTTCAGTATCATGGCAAACACTTCGTTCCGAGACTCAGTGAACTCGTTAGGCTGGTCGCGCAGAGACCCAGATTATCCTGTACAGACCAACAACGGCGGTTCTCAGGCACCCTTCCTGTCGCGCTTGCAGGCCTACAATCCCTTTGGCCAAGGTGGATATGTTCAGCTTCCCACACACAATGAAGCGCCCGGTGCGCCACTGCCTGCGCCAAGTCGACGGGAAGAGGAGGAGGGGTTCTTTGCCTGTAAGTTTACCCTTTCTGCATGCTCGAGTTGTTTGCCGTCTTCGTTCCTTCATCTATAAAAGAACGCTCCAAATGGCTCGGAACCTGGGGCCAACCTAGCATGCGGCACCTGGACAGTGGGAAATGCTAGTCCTCTGCACCCAGGGTGGCTATCATAACACTTTCCTTCGTTTGGATTGCAACCAAATCAAAAAAAAAAAGCCTTCATACCTTGGTTCTTTCACCTGCATTCTTTGCATTCGGATTTTCCACCATGTCCAGGCCTGATGTTACCCATGTGATTCAAAGCTGCAGACTAACAAGATTTGGCTATTAGTGAGTCGATGGGATCGAATGCTCATTTTCGGTGCCTGTAACCTGGGCGCCGCCGTCTGCTTCTTGATTTGCTTCTTCCTCTTCCCCGTGCTGACGCTCAAACCTCGGAAATTTGCCGTCTTGTAAGTGTCTGTACCAGTCACGTTGAACTTTGCCACGCCTCTTTCCACTACACTCTCCTCTGCCTTACCCTTAGTGCAGCAACCACTTTTGATCCGTCCTCTCCGAATCTAAGCTGCAGTCCCCAGTCATTTGCTCTGTCGTGATCACCCCTTCCCACATTCTCCAGCCACAACCGGTCTCTCTACCTCAAGATGTATTTGCATAGCCACACTTTACTGCCCCCCGGTCAGTCTGATTGCTGGACAGAGTGATGGTGGTCACTTGCCCCCTCCCTCAAGGCTGGAGCATATGAAGATGCGGGCTTTGCATCTGATACATCTCATTCGTCGCCCACTTGGAGCTATACCGCTTCCCTGCGCCGCATACTAAGCCTCAGGTTCCGCGCAATTTGCACGCGTCCTCGCCAAGCAAAATCTCTCATGGAAACATATTCACTAACTTTTGATCTGTTCCCACTTGCAGATGGTCGGTTGGTTCAGCCCTGTTTTTGCTGTCATGGGCCGTTCTCATGGGACCCTGGTCTTACGCGAGACATTTGGTTTCGGGGTCACGTCTCCCTTTTACGGCCGCTTACTTCGGCTCTATTGCCTTGACTTTATACTTTGCGATCGGTGTACGTGATTCTTTTCTGTTCTCTTGCCCCATGCAAAGAAAATCGCTTTTCCCCTCTTCAAGATGCCTGCTTGCTGGTCGGCTTCTCACTCCGTCCATATGAGCTTGTCCTCTTTGCACTGATCATTTGACTACCTGTCTCATTCCATTTGAGTCATCTGGTCCATCTCGCATCGTTGCCCCTTTCGCCACTGCACAGACCGCAGCTATGGTTTTCCAAGACGAAATCTCGTTGCCTCCACGTTGCGGAGACTGGGAGACTTTGAGCAAGCTCTTGCAAGCCTAGTGTCTAAGCTGTCGCCCTTGAATCATCTTTCTCAAACCAAGCGCTGCCACATTCTCACAGCAGAATCAACCCCTTGCTGACATCCATCTTGCCTTTAGCGTCAAAACCTCCTCCTTACCCTCATCTCCTCGATTTTCCAACTTGCCGCTCTGGTCTGGTATCTTGTCAGCTACTTCCCCATGGGCAGCACTGGACTTCAGTATGTGGGTCGATTCGGTATCTCGAGAGTGTCTGCATGGGTGAGTGGGTAGAGGTTTCCCCGTTCGAGTAAGTAGGCAGATCCTAAGCTGTCGCGGCCAGTGACCAGCGATGCATGGTGGCGCGAGGACTTTCCCTAGCGTTATTGCGTTGGTAGATGTTTTCCTGTACAGTATATACCATGGACGATGAATTCTGCGTACGTTGAGTAACATATCTTGTTCCTCTTTTGGGCTGGAATAAGGCGTCAAAACACGAATTCTGATTGTATCATTTGAACGGAGTAGTTATGTTTGCGCTATTAATACACAGGCTCTCATACGCTTTTCACTTCGAAAGTGAATAGTAAAAGTGGTTGCTTTGTAAAGAAAGTAATCGCTGACAACCTCACGTCATCACGCATCACACACCGCCCTTCTCAAGTCAACAGCTCCGTACTTCAACACACTCGACAGACCTGACAGCTCTCATCTCTCATTACTTCCCACGCATCATAACAGGGTGAATCGTTCCTTCCACGACCAGCACATTAGGAACCTCCAGCTCGTGGATGCCCGTATCACCACCCGATCCCACCTGAAGCCATCGCTGGAGCAGGTCGTTACTCTCCTTTGGTTTCACAGCCTGTGAAGCAGTGCCCACCGTGATATGAGGGACCCGGTTCGCGCACGGTAGACCTTCATCCGCGTTCGCAACGCCTTCACCTGTTTCCCCTTCAATAGGCAGCAGGCGTACCACGAAGGCCATCAACTTGTCATCCCAAATCAGGCGCTCGAGGCGCACCTGGGCGCGGCCGAGCTGGGGAGGGCTGATGGCGAGATCGTGATCTGGATTCGACTTCAAGAAGCGAATGAACTGTTTCGTGTAGCGGTCCCAGATCTCGGCGCGATCTCGGGAAGAGGCACGATGGATCAGAGTGACGTGGAATGCAGGTTGAAGACGGCGTGATTCGCGGAGATAATGGTAGAAACGGGCGAGCTCTGGTGATTTGTTGTTGAAGAGAGATTGAAGCGTGGCAGTGATCGTTGAGCTAGGGACCGAAACCCCAAAGTATTCCGATTTCTGGACCAGAGCCTCAGGGCTTTTCGGCTGGACTCCTTTCTGTGACATGACGGGTACAATGGAGTTCTTCTGTTTCTTTGTCTTTGGTGCACTGTAGCCTTTGCTCAAGTCCTCCTGGACGTGATAGTCTGTCAGCGCAGCTTCAATCGCCTTGTCGAGCTCCTCGGCAGAAGGCATATTTGGGACCAGACGTGGATATGCACTGTGCAATGCTCTAACGACAGTCTCAAGATTCTCACGAGAGGATGAGCAGACATCGAGGTCAATGACATGCTGGAAATTCATATCTGGAGCCCGGTCGGCGTGGACTCCTTCGAAACGAGTCAGAAATCCATCCATGATGCCCACGATTTCCTGCTGATTCTTGCTGCCAGCTCGAATGGTCTGGTGGTTGTCACCTCGCTCAAGCACTCGCTTGCGAGTCACTTCCTTGATAGCTGGAAGAAATTCGGACTTGGGCTCGTGGACGTAGTGGAGGGCGACAAACTGGGCGTCGGGGACAACAGGGAAGGTATCATCCATCAATTGCTGTCGCTCCCGACGCTGGTGATTGTTGCGGTCAGCAATGACCACAGGATGAGTCGCCAAAGCTTTGGTGATCTCGAACGCAAACTTCTGAGGCTTTCCCTTCTGCTTCGGAATGTTGTCGTTCTGGAGATGGCCCCAACCAAACAGATAAACAAGAGCGAGGGCAACGGTCGTCTTTCCACAGCCGAGAGATGCAATGGGGGCAAGAATGACATTTTTGGTGGCTTCTTTGGCCATGTTACTCTCCTCTTCCATAGCAATGATTTCAGATCCCTTGAGGCCTCGTTCCTGGAGGAATTTCTCTCGCAAAGAGATAATGCCGTGGTTGTGTTGGTACTCCTCCGTTAGTTGGGGATTCTTCATGAACTCCCTACGCGCAAAGTTGAGATATTCTTCTGTGATCCCGCGGTGTTTCTTGATTTTTGGGAGTTTTCCGGAAATCACTGCCTTGGTGCACTCGCGCCACTGACGGTACATCAAGTAGGGCTCTTCAAATTTGTATTTGAAGAACCAATCGCGATATCCGCTATCTCGATCGCTGATCTGGCACCGGACCACGAACCCTTCTGTTTCGCGCCCATCCCAGGTACCAGTCTCTGCGCAGCTCTCTAGGAACTGTCTCACGGCGGTAATGTCATCGTACACGACATACTTCGCTTTCTTGAACCCCCAAGCATCTGCGAATTCATGAACTTTGTCCCCCGACATGGTTGCAAATTCGGTCTGGTTGTAATTCAACCCATGAAGGTAAATGCCGGCGGCAGTCTGATCGTAAGCTAAGACATGCTCCTCGAAGCTGTCGTCGCATAGCTCGCCGACAGCGGTGACATTCATCTGACGCAGAGTGCGAGCTAGGTCCTTTGTTGTTTTCCCCAGGCCCGACACACATCTTTCCACCCATTCCTCGCCAACCTGCGCGTGACTTTTGGCGCTGTCACTCCGGTGTCCCGTCGAGTGCTTGCTGCAGACCAGCAACTTGTCGTCCTCCAAGCCGGAGATAAAGACGATGCATCCATTCTCTTTCACGCTCAGCTCATAAGGGCCTTTCGTCTTGTTCTCAATGTTGCGCCACTCGGTATCCTTGACTTCGCCGATGTTGAAGAACTTGTCGTAGCCACGCACGGCAATTTCCGGAGTTTTGTCCTTCCTTTCGGTTGTGAACAGACCACGAGCGTAGATCGGTAGGTTTGGCATTTTGTAATCCCAGTCCATGAACTTCCATGAGTCCACTGTGACCCCCGCAGTGCCTGCGACTGCGAAAGTGGACTTTTTGCACGTGAAGCATTGTTTTCTGGCACCCTTACTCATCTTTCGAGCTTCCTCTAGCTCTTGCACGAGCTTCCTGATCTCGGACGGATTCTGCGTCGCCATCGCCATGGTGGTCTTGCCTCGTGTGGGAAAATGCCGAGTGGTGGATATCACGCGTGGTATGGAAAAGATATCGTTGGAGTGGAGATCGCGATGGAGGGGGGCGATGATTGACAGGCCAAAGCGGGTTGGAACCTTTCTGAGACTTCTCAGCAGCTGAAGGCGGGAAATGTTTAGTCTTAAAGAAAATGACATACCGCAGGAAACGTAAGGTACGATCTAGGCGGTTACGTGTCGCTCCTTCTGAAATGAGCTCGAACCGTAGGAAGAGTCATCGACGAAGAGTCAGGGCCATTAGTGTGCTGCGGGGAGCCAAAACGGCAAGGCGGCTTCAGCCTTATCGGCGGGATATTTTCTCTCCTCCGCCAAAAATCTCCATTCGGATTCCGCGTTACTCTTCGTTTTCAAGACAGCAAATTTGTCCAGTCTCTGACGCATTTTCATTCATACGTCGTCAGATTCATTGACTCAAATTGTTCACAGTGACTCATCCGCGTTGCGACACCATGGCCCAACCCAATCCATACCTTCTCGCTTGCGACAATCCCTCGGGGCTCCTTGAGCTCCTCCGCGCGAACCCTGCCATTGCGTCCACCCAGGACGAGCATGGATACTCCCTCCTGCACGCCGCTGCATCCTATGGTCATACCGATCTCCTGCGTGCACTGGTTCAGGAATTCGGTGTAGACGTGAACCTGCTCGACGAAGATGGTGAAACATGCCTGTTTGTCGCCGAGACCCCGAAAGTTGCCCGCTGCTTGGTCGAAGAATTAGGCGTGAACTGCAATAAAACAAACGATGATGGCTACAAGGCCCACGAGAAGATGGAAGCAGATGATGAGTTTCCGCAGGTAGTTGCCTACCTTCGGGACGTCGTTGGCGCACCAGCTCCATCGACTGACAGTGCCGAGGGACCATTGAATGCGCCCCCGCCAATCCCTGAGAATATGAAGGTGAACATTGGTACCATGTCAGAGCAGGAAGCCAACGCCGGTGGAATGGAAGTTGATCCAGAATTCAAGCGTCGGATCGATGAGCTTGCGGCCCGTGAGGACTTCAACAGCCAAGCCACGCAAGATGAGTTGCGCGCCTTGGTTATGGACGCTATTTCCGGATCGAGCATCGAGACTGCCGACCGTGAGACACGGCGAAGGACAGAATAAAATGTTGGTCCATCGTCGCAATCCTCCTATACCCCCAATCAGACTCGTGCATCTCTCTGCCCTACTCGTCCAGACCTCTTCTTTGGTTGACTGCTTTCAAATGATGAAAGCGCGGCGACCGGTTCATGACCTGGCCAGTCAAAGCTGTTCAATATTCAGAACATATTCTCCGTGCCGGCATGCGTAAGATAAGCTTGGCTCAGGACACGCATGACCATCCGACGCAGAACGTCAAACCTGAAATCCCCGCCATCATCTCTGAGACAAGTGATGTGGGTGGCAAGAATATATCGAAATACATGACTTTTTGTTCGACTATCCCGTGGAACTACTCTTGCCGTAGTTTACCCAACCGTCAATACAGACAAGGGTCATCCAAACATTGACACCCTCGAACACATTGTTGTATCCTCGGATTTTATCATAATCATGACAATTGACCACTGGATCATCCAAGGCTCCTTCTCGCTAGCATTCTCGTATGCGTTGGTATCGCTGAAAAGCAAAGACTGCTCTTTCGTTTGATATTACAGCCATAAAAGCGCGAACACCAACGAGACAGCCGGGGCTCTTCCAGTCGAGGCTTTGATCATACCCAGATCTAATCAATGCGAATCATGCAATGTTAATAGCACGAAAGAGGATCGAATCCTTGTTGGGCTGGAACCGAACCGCGTCGAAGCCGGCTCCATCACAGAAAGTAACGTCTTCATCCGAGTAATTTGACATGTTCCTTTGCGCGAGGATCATGACTTCTTCGGTTTATAATCATCCGTCAGTCGAGTTTCGGTCTTTGATGCTCCTTTTCGAGCGTCTTAGTCACGCAGGATTCGCTCAACTGTTGACTTGCTGATCTTCTCGTTCGAATTGCTGATAAGAGCCTTATAAGATAAGGACGGGTCCTTTTGAGCGAGCCGATGGATATAAAGCCTTGTATGATTACTGAAGTTGGGCTTTCTAACAGACCATGGTCTGGATTTTAAGGTATGCAGGCTCTGCCATCGGTTGCGTGTGTCATAGATGGTCGCGCGGGAGACGTTGTCTTCGGCTGCGATTTTGGTTACGGATTGACTGGTCTTCAGATCGCCTATGATAGATGCTCTTTGATCCTCTGACAGTTCAGCAGTGTTTTTTCGAGTTTCAGTATTTTGAGTAGTGGAAGAGCACATCGTGACAGTATGCCTGTCGATGAAATTTGGTGGGTCTGGAAAGGATGAAGTCCGCGAAAACTCCAAATTGGGTGTTTGTCAACATACCCATGACCCCATGATGTAACTTTGGATCTGGAGCTACTGGTAGATTGATGAGATCTATGCAGATTGCAGTCAGGTACTGCGCTTATCGATAAGCCTGCGACGCCGAACTCCAGAAACAATTGTCACCCGCCCGCATCTCCAATTCCCGCCAGACCCCACACTCTTCCTGCGCATCCCAAGCTCCATTTCGTCCTAGAAATCTAGTGACCGAGAGGCCTCTAATACATGGATGTCTCAGCCGCCATTTCAAATTTCTGCGCACCCCTACTCTTCTACAACACCGCCTACTATGAACTCTCCCTTAAATGCGGAGACCCCTCCACCCCCGCCCCCGAAGCCGAACAGCCATGAGGCCAGCCGGCGAGGAACCCCTCAGAATATGACCTCATTGCCCATGCCGCAGCAACCCCAAAGCAATTATCGACCAGACTCCCAACTCTCTCAGGTTGAGCAAGCCCATACACATGATGTCTTATCCTCAGCACCTCTGCCAGCACCTCCCACGGCTGCAGAAGGATGGATACCCGAAGTCCTCAAAGACAAATCGTGAGTCAAAACTCCAACTTCCTACATATAAATCATGCTGCACTCAACCTGACACTGCCAAATCTACAGGACCAAAGACCTGCAGACAATCCTTCAAGACCCAACACTCATCTCTGCCCTTTCCACTCAACACCCATCACATGCCGCCCGACAACAGAACCTCGAATCCCTGCTCCACGTCAACCAGGATCTCGCGGCCCGCCTCCTTGAACTACAAAGGCAAGTCTCCGAGCTTCGCAGTCAAACGGAGAAGATGCTCTTGACACATCAATCGCTCGAGGTTTCTTGGCGCAAGAAGCAGGCTGAGATGGATACAGCGCTGGCACCGTGGTCTCCCAAAGCCTTGTATCAGCGTCTGAGCGCCGCAATTGCAGAGCAAGAGGCGGTCTGCCATGCGGTGGAAGAGAGTTTCTTGGATGAGGACCATCATGGTCGTGCAACGGAGAAGGAAGTTGCTGACTGGATACGTCGCGTGAGAGCCGAGGCTTCGAAATTGGCGGCGAGGAAAGAAGCAAAGGCGCGATGGGACGAGGGGAGAGTTGGGGGGTGGCGGTGATTGAGAACAAACTACCAACTGTATATTCTGGGTCTAGAAGGCCCCAAACCTACCTTTTTGGCCTCCTCATTCACTAAATTCAAAGTCACAACATCTATTGTGATCGAGGATCGAAAGCTTGATACTAATCTTGTGCCAAGATTTACGATGGAAAGGCAGACATCAAGACTCAAAAAGAAACTATATTGTAGTTTTACGAAATATGTATTTCACTGTCCACTGTCAGCATGCCGGCTTCATGTTTCTAATTATTTTCAATCAGGACCGTTCTTTTTAGGACAGCAACCCTCCTACTGAACCTCAGCCTCGCGTTTTCGCTGCTTCTGAGTTCGGCCCAAAATCACCGTACTCAGATCGCCGACGGGGATTGAGAAGGGAAAATCGACCGCCTCAAAGATCTGGGCCATGAAGATCCACCAGATGGGCAAGCACAAAGCGAAATTGAAACCACCAGCAACCTGATATCGAGAACGTTAGTTGATGGCTTGGAGGATCGAGTTAGAGACAAGGCAGTGTGACACAACATACCGACTGGAGCTTAGCTGCGTGCGCAGCATTACCGAAAGAGAGTTGGAAGTATGTGGCAGAGAACAAGGCAAAGGTGATGACCAGCAGGAAAAGCGCGAGGAAGAGGCAGACGTTGGTACGGATGGAGCACAGCAGGTATACGAAAGTCAGGACAGAGAGGGTGGCGAAATAGAGGCCTGGGAGTTGCGCGAGAGTTAGATCATGAAGGGGGCAGCGTATATCGGATCTTGAAGTATCATGGAGACTAACCGGTAGTAGCAGCAAACTCGGGCGTCTGCATGCCCTCGAGAGAATTACCCGTGGGCGAGTAGTTGGTTCCCACTGCGAACCAGGGGATCATTGAGGTTCCCTGGACGATCCAGAATGTTCCTATATACACATTAGCCACCATCTTCTCTTGATTCATTCCCTGGGGGTCCCTTACCGTATGTGAAGAACAGCGCGCAGGAGAATGTGTTTCCAATGATCCATTCGCCCACAGCGCCGAAGAGCTGCACAATGCCTCCAAAGAAGATATACACGGGTCTAACGTTGCGAAAGACTCAATGTATCAGTCATTTGATCCAGTCCAATGAACAGTCCACTCAGCGTTTATCCTGAACTCACAAAATAGCGCCACCATTCCCACCAGAACCGCCCCATCCCATCGTCAACATAGCCGCCGGTGTCGCAGCCAGCAAGAAGCCCATCAGCGAGATAGGTGTGGGATTACCAAACGTGCGACGCAAGTTTCCTGCCGTCGGGGTCTTGGGGCTCAGGTAAAGCTTTTCAAAGGCATCCCTGGAAATTGGAAGCAAGACGCTGTCGGCAGTCTGATAGCGGCGCAGCATCTCAATGGTGGCCGCGTCTTGCTTGTCATTACTGATATTCTCGTCTGAGGACATAGTGGGCATGGGGAAGAAATCAATCGACCGTCTAGGTTGAAATGGAGAAGAGTGTACCGTGTAATAGACACGGAGAAAAAGGTTAATATTAACACAGAGAAGAAAGTAGAAAGGCAACCCTCCGAGATCGTCCTGGGGATGGGCATTGACGTGATTAAATAGGTACAGGTCTTACCTATTTTAAACTACTTTTAGGCAACTTGCGAGCCTAGACATGCGGTACAGATGCCAGTTGCGAGCAACATCTACAAAATGATTTCAAGTCCACTGTTGTATCAACCCCGCGAAAATCACGATCCGCGGACCCCAGATCGAGAAATTTCCACCCACAGAACTGCCATTTTAGGTAGGTCAGTATGGATCGAAGAAATCAACACCAAGCGTCTGCTCCACCGTCCTTCACTTCTCCCCCGGAATACCCCCAGAAGGGGTCTCAACGCCGAAGATTAAAACAAGATCTAGAGCCATTCTCTCCAATCCCCGGGCATCTTGCAGAACGTACGCTAGGCAAGAACACGCCTTGACAATCTGCGTTCATTGGTCCTCGCGATAAACCAGTGCCACTCGAAAGACTCTCGACCAACAAGCATCCACTGTAACTCATCGCGCCTCCGCAGGCAAGCGGACCCCGGATCCATCTTTTTCAGCGGAGAAAAACGCAGAACGTGGGGAAAGAATTGGAGCGATGGGGAGGCCTGCTGAACGCTGGGGATCGTCCAGATTTGCCAAACTTGCGACACCAGCCTGTCTCAACTTGAGCCCCACCGGCGCGAGGCAGGAGCCGAGGGTATGAATCGGTGAGTTCTGCTTTTCATTCCAACGTCGGAGGCAAGTCGGGTTGGCTGGGGCCCAGCGTACTACTATGAGTCTACGGCAGCTACCTCGGCCCAGGCGGAGGTACTGTGTTAGTTGCATTTAGGGTTCTGGGCGGGCGGCCATGGCACAGGCTTGGTTACTCAAATCGCAGCTTGGAAAGAGCCAGCCCCAACCTTCACGGTCTTGGTGGCGCTGAAACCACGGTCGGTTGGCAACGCTTCCTATTGCGGCTTCAAGTGATCATGTTGAAAAGGGGTTGGAGTGCCCGTCATCATTCTACAATCCATGTGGCCGGACGGAGGACGGTCGGTGACGCCACGCAACCTTTATTGCCCCAGTCTTTTACCCCACAAATTGGCGTTCTCCAACAACATCAACCGTTGGCGTCGCACCCGCAATCAGTGATAAGGAATAACAGTATATGAACATGTCTCCAAGTGTGCTGTCTCCAGCTCATGTCGCCTTCAAAACTCTGGATGGGGAGGACGGGCTTTTGGTAATCAAAGGTGTCTGGACACCGACTGAGGGCATGACAGAACTACATGTCTCCAGCCTCCGGGCAGACCCCTTCTTTGCGCCGCCGAAGGCAGTCAAGGCACTAGTCTCCAAGATCTGGGGTTGATGAGACCAACCCGCAATTCGGACAAACTCATGCCCGCACTCCGGTACCGCGTCATGTCATGCCCAGGCAGCCAGGGCCTGGAACTGGGTATACCGTATGTCATTGCCAACACATTATTCATGATTATTTTTATCCCACATGCACCTTGGTTGTCGTCTATTTTTTCCCTGACATCCGATCCGCTCAGGCCATCATCATCTACGGGCAAAGCCGGGGCTCACATCTGACTTCTAAAGGGGAGTGAATTTCGGATTGAGTTCGTGATGTCCAAGCATGGGAGAACTGTGGTAAAGTTTGGCGAAATGCACGACACGATCCAGAATGAGCATCAATCGTGCTGCCTTGACAGCGGCGCCGTGTCATGCGTATTGGTCACTCCCAATATACGCCAATTTCGATGGTTTGCGTGGAGCCCGGGCGAATGGAGAGACGTTAAATTGGGATATTTGCCTGTATACGCCGATCAGCCCCAACATACCTACTCAACTCCCATAATTGAATATCTGCTGCAGGAAAATCCCCACATCATCACAACCACGTGGGTGATTCGAGAATTGTTTTCGCGGTTCATTCCCCAACCTACTGTAGCACGGTGATCCGTAATCTATGCGATATTGCTGGTCTTTCTGAGTCGATGTTGTAGCATGGGTGCAAAGCACCCTCGACACGAGCGGCAGAAGATCAGGTGGATCAGGCAACGAACGCCCGCCAAGGCCATCATTATCTCAAGGTCGCTCGTGTAGAGGACGGGCTCTTCTGATGAGATACAGGTAATTCTCTGTTTCCAGGTCCGGTGTGACTCAAATGACCGGCATTACGCCAGTTTAAGCAACGTGCCTCGAGGAGCCAAAGCCAGCAACTATCGCTTGACGGAGATCAAGGTGACTCGAAAGGTTCCCAACCTACTCGACCGGCATAACCGGCCTTGACTATCTTCTCCGCATCATCTGCTCCGTGTCGTGTTGCTTCTGTGGACCCAAGGGCCGTTACGGAATACCAATTCTTCTATATTGGACCGCCCTTTTCTTGACTCGTGAAGACGCAAATTTCGCGAAAGGCGGCCGATGGCAAAGTACATCGTAAGCAATTTAATTTGACCGGCAACTTGGTGGGGTCATTATCTCAGCACCTCCGTTTCTCCGATTGTTGTAAGTGTCGTGAATCGTTTGAAAGGGGGTGATTTGCTTCAGCCCATTCTTAATCCCGTCTCTTGCATGATTCATGGACCGCCAAAGATGAGGGGAGACGGGAGACGAGAGACTGCGCCCAGAGATTATTAACTGCCGAGCTGCGTTGTGTCGGCACTCCACGTCAACTGTTATCGCAACTCTCGGAAAACGTATCGGCGCTTGTGCTGTCAACCTGTTCAAGCATCTTGTTGGCGCTTACAGCCGACTGACGAAGAGTCCTGATAAGCCAGAGATTGCTACATTCCCGTGCTTGTTGTGAGATTTGACTTGAATTGGCAATCAGATCCCCACGCAGGAACTGACCTCGGTCGAGTGAGGAGATATCTCCATGGACAGCTATACACACGTTCGATAACGGACAGCTCAATCTCACAATTTGAATTTCCATTGACGTCTTCTGACCGTATCCCACAACTCATATGTACCTGAACTATCTCGTTGCGGGCCTGGCCCTGTCCGGATCTACTTTGTCTGCGGCTTTGACTCGTGATCTTGGCATCCTTTGAATTTATAATCCTCCCGATGTGACGGCAGACTCACTGCATAACATTCACGTGGAGATTCTTGATCAGTCCTTTGAAGATCATGTTAAGCTAGTCTATGGCAATTGCAATCTACAGTCTTCTGTGGATGGCCATCATGAAGTCGCTAGCGTCTTCGTCCGACGGGACGTGAAACCAGACAGACTAGTCTGGGTGACCCCCGCAGACACCATGCACAATCAATGCCTCCACGCCTTCTCCGGGTCCAACTTGCTGGGTTGTTCGTCACCCGTTGCCATTGCTTCTCCACTCACCAAGAGGGAGAGCATCGCCGATGTGGCTGACATGATGGGACCCTGGTTTGATGGCGTTACCTATATGAAGTCAAAGCACAATAGCGAAGCGTTCGTCTCCAAGGCCAAGAATAACTCGGTGGCCATCGTCGGCAGAGGTATGTCGGGTCTAATAACAAGTCACCTCCTCGAGTCTGTTGGTATCCACAACTGGCACATCTTCGAGTCATCTCAGCAAGTAGGTGGACGCATTCGCACCAAGTATCTGAACCGCACCCGTCCCGGTCAATACCAATATCAGGAAATGGGTCTCATGCGCTTCCCTGTGAGCATAACGTACCCAGGCAGCAACGAAGCCCTTCAAATTATGGACCATCGCATGCTCTCTCAGATTGCGGATGTTTTGAATCAAATGAACACTGATCGACCCGACTTGCGAGTCAATTTCATTCCTTGGATCCAGAGTAACCCCAACGTCCCTGCTTCTTCAGGTGGGGTGCGTCTTGCCGATGGTCGTATTCCGACTGCTGCTGAGACGGCTGCCAATTCGTCGCTTGTCTACACTCCAGCATCGTTCAATGCAACGGCTGCCGCTGATGCAAAATCAGCCTATGTCTCTTACACCCAGCTGGATAAGCACGCGACTATTCAAGCCATTACAACCAACATGTACGCTGCTCACATGAAAGCCGTGGAAGATGGTATGTTCCACTGGTCTGAGGCTGGCTACTTACGCTACGCGCTTGGATACGATGCCAACATCACCGACTATGTGGCCGGCACCGGCAACACGCCTCTGGGGGTGACTTTTACGACGACACCTACTTTGCTGCAATAGAGTGGCGCACAATTGACCAAGGCCTGGAGTCCTTGCCACGAGCATCCTTCCCCCACGTCGCAGATCGAGTGACCTTCAACAGCACTGTTCAGGGTCTCGTTTACAAAGAAGCGACAGAGAAGATCTCGGTTGCATGGCGCGAGGATCCTTTGCAGATGACTCCTCAGACAAGAGAATTCGACTATGCCGTTGTCGCCGCCCCCTTCAGTGAAGTCCGTCTCTGGGACCTTCCGCGATATTCATCGCTCCTGTCTCGGGCCATCGCCTCGTTGAACTACTCTCCTGCCTGCAAAATGGCTCTGCACTACAAGACGCGCTTCTGGGAACATCAAGCGGAGCCCATCCGCGGCGGATGCGGCTCAGTGGATATCCCGGGTATCGGAAGTGTCTGCTACCCATCATACAACATCAACGGTACTGGACCCGGCGTTATCTTAGCGTCGTACATCTCCGGGACTCTTGCACGATCCACTGCCGCCTTGAGTGTTGAGGAACATGTCGCGCTGGTCCAGCGAGCGATGATCCAAGTGCATGGTGAGGTTGCCGCCGAACAATGCACCGGCGTGTATGACCGCCAATGTTGGGAATTCGATCAGCATCAGGCTGGAGCGTGGGCGAGTCCGCTGGTCGGTCAACAGGAGCTTTATTTGCCGGCCTATTAGCAGACTGAGTTCAAGACGATCTATGTTGGAGAACACACCAGCTATACTCATGCGTGGATCTTTTCGGCTCTTGACTCTGCAGTTCGAGGGACAACTCAGCTGTTGCTTGATCTTGGTCTTGTAGATGAGGCAAAGTTAATTGTCAAGACGTGGATGGGCAGGTGGATCAAGCTTTGAGGCCACGCACAACATCCCACTTTCATGATTCATGGTTGCTGCATAGATAAGAGCACACAGACCTATATTCACCATCACAATCACGAGACGCGAGCTCAAATGTACATCTCGAGAATTTCGTAACAATCTTACAATGAGTCAAGAAAGCCACCTTCCTACGGGTCCTCAAGGCCATCTTCCATCTTCCATCTTCCATCTTCCATCTTCAAACTCTCGTGTCTCCAATCACGGAACCACTTCCTTGCCCTTGTAATCCCAGCACTTGCCCCTTCCATCCTCCGGTCCTGCACCTAACCCAGTCACCACCTTCAACAACCTGTCCGCGGACTCCAACGGCTCCAGCATCTCCCTCCCCTTCCAAAACTCCTTCGTGAAGTCCGTCTTCACCGTCCCAGGATGAAGCGCCACCGCAATCGCCCTCTCCGCACATCGACCCCGCAAATACAAATCAAACGTCTTGGCTGTCTGGAAAACAGCAGACTTGCTCGCACGGTACGAGTACCAACCCCCAGAGGCATTGTCGGATATTGAACCCACCCGAGCTGCCATCATCGCATAGATCGCATGAGCGGGTAGTTTCAGTGAGCCCTCCGAGTTGGGAAACCCGGACGCGGATTTGTTGGGGAGTAAAGGGGACAGGTGCTTCATGAGAAGAAGGGGCCCCAGCGAATTGACTTTGAAACTGTCTAGTGCTTTGTCGGCGTCGATTTGAGTGGGGGATTTTTCCACATGTAAGATGCCAGGGACTGTAAAGGCAAGACGGAGAGGCGTGTCGGGGAGGTCTTTACGGATGGTGGCGGCCATGGACGATATTGTGGATTCGTCTATGAGAGCAATGTCAGTGTTTTTTTTTTTTTTTTGAAACACGATAGCGATGCTTTGACGTCGGGCTGAAGATGGGTCGACGTACCGTTCACATCGACGTCTAATAGATGTAATCTTTTTTCGGCATTCGATGGCACACCCTCACTAGTGAGGAGCTTCTCACGAAGTTCATCGTGATTTTTCCGCGCGGTGGCTACGACGGGAAGGCCCGTCTGCGTGAGGAGCTGCTGGGCTAGTGCAAAGCCGATGCCTCGCGATGCGGGCGTAACCAGTGCGAACCCTTGTGCAGCTGCAGCCATTGTTGAGTGTAGGAAAGTGTTGAGATCATTAGTTGCGCAGGGTGAAATGAGAGATTCGAGACTTGTCTGACTTGGCTGGAGAGCTGTTGTTATGCGACCGAAACGAACATGACGTAGTACAAATCTAATTACAAGGTTTCATCGACCGATCTCAGATCTGCGGATCCATCCGTACTTGAGATCGGAGATAAACCTTGGGAAGATCCTTTTAGGTAAGGTTACTGAATGTCACTGCAGTTCGAAGCCCCAGGTCTGGACCCGCCTGCTCTCCGAGATCGATCTCTGTAGAAAGGGGATTTCTGTGCATCGCGGCAGTGTATTTCAGGCGATCGCCAGGCTGAGATTGCGTTGAAGGTAGATTTTAAAGGTTGTAATGACTCTTTCAGAAGATCTTGCACATTTGTCGGATGTTCCATTGAAATTGAGCCGCACGGTTCACCGGGGACTACCGCCCTCGATCTTACGTAGGGAGCATTGAATGGATGCAGGGGTTCCAGACGGAAGCTCATCATCTCGATCTGAATCGACCAGCATGGAGGGATTAGAACAAATTCAGCCAATCTGATCCAGCAACTTGACCTCTCATCTTAAATTATACCGTGAGGGTGTGCCATCAGTTGGTGAACTACGTAGGAAATGCAGGTGCAGGTCCAGGACGTTTTTGACATTTTGAACAACCTCCTTCAGAGTGTACTCTTGTCTGCATCAGACCTATCGGGATGGAATATGGATCTACTCGGGAACTGGAACATATATATTTGCGAGGGTTTGACCTAGGTCGTTGCGTAGAAAATTTGCCTAGGTGCCTAGACACGTACATAGGTAGAGCTTGTCGAGACTCTTTACCTCCATGTCTCCACTATCTACCTGTACCTAACTAAGTACGATGAATGTAAAGATCCCAAGCCTTATTCTGAAACCAGACTTTTCTTCTTCCCAGCTGTGACGGTTGTTGGGATGACTTCCGTCGAGTATGCATCACGTGCGCTCACCTGATGGGCTCTAAGCAGTTCCAGCCCTGTGGAAGAAAACCCTTCGCGCAGAACTAGGTTCTGCAATAACCCTACTCACGAGTCTCTGCAGTGAGGCCAACTTCGGTGCGATGTCGGTCAAGAGAGGTATAGAACCCATCCATGTGACGAACAAACGATGGCCCGATGCATCATCATACTCAGCTGCAGATCGGACAAGCTTGAGATTGGCGGTCACTGTAGAGTGTAGACGGGCTGCTACGCCGGTCGCGCCATCTTCTTGAAAAGCAGTAAGCAGTCAGTCGCTGCTTTGAAGTGGTGCAAGTCTTCGACTGACCCCTGCTTGTGAGATCCTCGAAACTTGATCAAGTGGGACCCCGTTCAAGTTCGCTGGGCCGTGCCGCAAGAATAAATAGTGGCCAATGACTGCTCGGAAACCCCGTCGCGATGGTCTCCACAGGAGTTCGAGATCGTGTCAACTTGGGGTAAACAAACCTCAAGCCCGATGTGGTCACTGTTCGGTCTTCACTATCTGAGTCTATGCGCGACTCCTCCCTGCTGTTCACCGGTAGACAGCGCGACAAAGGTATCGTGGCCACTGTGGAGTCGATTCATGAACACCTTTCGACACTATGCGTCTCATTTTCTCGTACTTGGAGATTCACCGAGTCTGGTCTGAAAGCCTCTTTCCACATACTTCCTGCTCATCGTCGCTTTGACAATGTCTCATCCCAGGGTACATTCTTGCTTGAATAAAGAATGGCCCTTGGCATCGTTTACGGCCAGGCTCGAAGAATTACTCTCGACGTCTCTCTCACGGTCGTCGCAACTCACAGGCTCAGGTCTTTCGATCCGAAGGCACGTTCCAGGGGACTCGCAAGGTGAAGGTTTCAGGAGCACTTTTAGCTTTCGAGGCCATCAGCTCTCTTTGACAAGGGCATGATACCTCATTTTATCGTCTTGGAAGCGGAAGAAAGCCCACATAGGCTTGCATCGGAGAAATATCGAGGTGGAGAGCCTTCGGCTGCGGCAATCCGAGTTTCAGAGATGGCTTCAAACTACACATTCGGGAACCGGAACGAGTTCGTGTTCTACCTATTCATAGAAAGCGGGCAGACATAGTAGTGGTTCCCAGATACACAATTACATTGCCAAGCAAAGATCGACAAACCATTTGCGAGGCCGATCAATGTTCCGGCGCGGTCCCATTTTTAAGACGTTTCATGAACGCGGAGAAAGAATGCTTTCCCTCACCATACCGCTTGTCCTTTCAACCATGTGACAAGTAGCTGGACCCTGATCCATCTTCCACCACTTCAACTCATGGATTTTGGTCGGCTGCAAGTCCAAACCCCCCACCGTGTCCATGAACAGGTCTATCGTCCGGATCCACTGCTGGGGCCCGACATGCCGAAATGTCTCTGTCGATGACTGGTTTCAACACATCCATCCCAACCTCCCTCGAAGTCTCGCTGATTTGATATCTACCACTTATATGTGGGGAGGAACATTCAATCTCGGCCGTCACGACGTGTCGTGCTTTTCGGAGGCACCATTTCCAGTCAAGCTTTTGTGGGCAGCAATGGCCTCTGCCGATTGTTCAATGGTTGTTGACCAACACAAAAGGTCTCTGAACCTCTGCTGAACTTGAATCGACAGCAGACCGAAGAAACTTCAGTCGGCAGTCTTGATCAGTGAAGAGGTCACTCATGGGAACATAGTCCATTTCATGGACCACGACCCCAAGCGACTGCAGTTGCGAGGCAAGCACAGACCATCGGAAGGAGGAATCAGCCCACCAGACAGCGTCGACGGTGTTTCACGACGCTGTCACGACATAACGGGAATCAGTTTCATCAACTTTGTCTGGATGTTCGGAGAATGAGACTGATCACTCTATCTGTCTGGCCGTCGGGTCGATTTCGAGTGTATAAAGTCGAGAAGTCTTCCCCGGTCAATGATCATCCTCATTCTCATCATCCTCACCTTCATCACCAGTCCTCCTTTCATCGTCTTCTCCTTCTTCTCTTTGCGATCTCGTTGGCCGGTTCAACATCGCAATCTTCTTCACAACTCTATCCGAATTTTCCTCACTCGTGCTCATCACATAATCTCAGGACTGGTCCTGAACTCGCCTCATTTCCTCCCCTCAAGTTCCATCTCCAAACTGCAACCAAAATGAAGAACACTGTCCTTCTCATGCTGGCAGGCACTGCTATTGCCATGCCTGTTAATAACAACAACAAAGTCCTGCAGGCACGCAAGCCCACCTTTTTAGGCGCTGGCATTGGCGGTGGCGCTGATTTAAGTGCCGGTGTTCACGGTGGTGCCGGACTTGGTGCAGGTGCCGGACTTGGTGTCGGCCTCGGTGCTGGCGCTGGCCTGGGAGCTGATGCTGGTCTCCATGGTATTGCTGGCCTAGGAGCTGGCTTGGGCGCTGGTCTCGGTGCAGGCCTAGGAGCTGGCGCTGGTCTAGGTGCTGGTGCCGGTCTCCACGGTGGCGCTGACCTTGGTGCCGGCGCGGGTCTGGGTGCTGGTGCCGGACTAGGTGCTGGCGCTGGTCTTCACGGTGGTGCTGGCCTAGGCGCGGGCGCTGGCTTGGGTGCTGGCATTGGTGGCGATGCTGGTGCTTCTGGTGAAGGTTCTGGTGAAGCCTCCGGTGGTCTTTCGGGCGGTGCTTCTGGGGGTCTCTCAGGCGGTGCTGGCGTTTCTGGAGGTACTTCCGGAGGTGCTTCAGGTGGTGCCTCTGGTGAAGCCTCCGGTGGTGTCTCTGGCGGTGCTTCTGGGGGTCTCTCAGGCGGTGCTGGCGTTTCTGGCGGTACTTCCGGAGGTGCTTCAGGTGGTGTTTCTGGCGGTGCTTCTGGGGGTCTCTCAGGCGGTGCTGGCGTTTCTGGCGGTACTTCCGGAGGTGCTTCAGGCGGTGTTTCTGGCGGTGCTTCTGGGGGTCTCTCAGGCGGTGCTGGCGTTTCTGGCGGTACTTCCGGAGGTGCTTCAGGTGGTGCCTCTGGTGAAGCCTCCGGTGGTGGCTCCGGTAGCCCTTCAGGTGGTGTTTTTGGCGGTGCGTCGGCTAGTGCTTCAGGTGGTGCCTCTGATGAAGCCTCCGGAGGTGTCTCAGGCGGTGCTCCTGGGGGTCTCTCAGGCGGTGCCGGCGTTTCTGGCGGTACTTCCGGAGGTGCTTCAGGTGGTGCCTCTGGTGAAGCCTCCGGTGGTGTCTCTGGCGGTGCTTCTGGGGGTCTCTCAGGCGGTGCTGGCGTTTCTGGAGGTACTTCCGGAGGTGCTTCAGGTGGTGCCTCTGGTGGAGTTTCTGGTGACGCTTCCGGTGACGTTTCTGGTGGTGCCTCCGGTGGTGTTTCTGGCGGTGCTTCAGGTGAAGCCTCTGGTCAAGCTTCCGGCTCCGGCTCAGGATCTGCAGACACCCCTGCTCCTGTCCCCACTGGTATCAGCCCTACTGGCGAGAGCGCCGGTGTTTCCTCTGGTACCGGTACTGCTCCCTTGACTTGGAGCACTAGCATCAGCTTCTCTTGGCCCGGCGCTACTGGCTCCGTTAGCGGCTCTGCTGGCGGCTCCTCATCTGCTGATACCGATGCCAGCGCCGATGCGAGTGCCAGCGCCAATGCCAGCGCCCACGCGAGTGCTGACTCTAACTCATCTGCTGGGACGGACGCGTCCGACTGCGGCTGCAACTGAAAGCCGCGAGAGCTAGCTGCAATGAAACACTCATGTACCGAGGCTGAGACTTATCTCTGGAATCATCTTTGATTGTCTTCGGTGATGTGTCGCCATCCATGTCCAAACTCGACCGACATGGAGCTTCAGGCCAGGAAAATTCGGGCTCACCATGTAACTTCCCACTCTGGAATCACTCCTTACACATTCAATGGAATCGGACCGACCATTTCTGTCAATTATGAGACCCTTTTCCACAAACTGCTTTTGATGCTTTTGTATTATTTCACAACATGATTTGCAATTGACGCGAAAGAACAGTACTTCTACCCTGGTTGACGGAAAGGGTGCTAGCCAAACTTTTGATCATGTGAGAACGACCGCGTAGTCTGGACAGGTCACTGTTTCTTTTACTCGGCGCGAAGGGCTGTGCCAATTTCCAATTTCCGACTTTATATCCTTCAACATGATAATCGACGAAGGTAAATCCTTGAGGATCTACTGCAGTAGACCCTAACCCTGATAACTAGCCCACGGAAAGGCGGAGAGGTGCCAAGCGGGTGGGAATTCTGCTGCCTTGTCTTCCGCTTCTCTCTCGTGCCTTATCTTATCGTTCGATCAGACTACTCTTGGCTAAGTCTCCGCCGCTTTGACTGGACTATCGGAATGACGGTGCACGCTGACCGTCAGATCCACCAGCAATTCTCGCTGAAGTCCTCTGGTCAGTTCTCGCTGTCATTTTGATCAGTAATAGTCCTGCATCACAGGCGGAAATGGATGAGGAGGAGGCTCCGCCGCCTTATTCGGCCGATGACCCTTTGACCTCTACAGATCACAGTCGCAATGGGGATTCGCAAGATGGGCAACCGGTGCGGGGATCGATGTCAAGTACGAATTCTGCAACGAGCTCGCACGCGAGTCGATCTACTACAGCTGCGTGGTCGGCGATAGGTCCTACCCACTTCACATCTGCAGCCGCCTATTTCGTGGAGCGCCGACCCACGACCGTCGATAACAGTCGAGACCTGTTGCATCATTCGATGACAATATACCCTCGCAGCTCAATCAAGGACTTTCCTCGACGACCTCGCTGCTGGAGCGCGCGAGTGGAAGAGGTGGCCCAGCAGGACTGGGACATGTTCTTGCGGCACCTTTTCCCACCACAATTGGGCCCGGCCGCTGCCTCGCAACATCTGCCGCGACAACTGCGCGCAGAGATTCAACGTGATCGTAAAGATCGCCCGCAAGAAACAGATGAGCAGCGCCAAGCACGTATTGCGGCGGTGGTGGATGAATGGAACCAATGCTTCTTCGAGCCGCGGGCGACTCGCATCAGTTTCGTCTACATTGGGGAGTCTGAGACAGCGCCGTCTTCCGCGCTGTGTCCCCGATGCTATCCAGCTGCTACAAGAGCAAATCATCAACCTGGAAGTGATGGGCAACAGACCCCCAGCTCTCATCATGGGCCTCTTGCGGCAGGCTATCCGGCTCATCCGTTCAATGGCTGGTCCACTCCTATAAACCAAATTCAATTTCCGTACCCGCAGCAAGCACCTTATGGCTCGTATGGTATGATACCTGCCTTTCCGTTCTCTGGTGGCCCCCCACCCAACCACCTGTCTCCCCAATACATCCCACCTAATCTATATCCTCCGGGCATGCAGCAGTGGCAATGGAACAATTGGCCTTACAACCAGCAACAATATGCAGCGCAGCGCCCCGAGAAAAGCAGCGGAACCTTTGGCTGGATCTCTTCTCTTACATCTCAAGCTCAGAAGTATGGAGAGCGATTTGCTGAGCAAGCCCAGCATTACGGTGATCAGATTAGTACGCAGGCTATGCACTATGGCCGACGGGTGGAGGATCAAGCCCTTGCGCATGGGCGGTGGATTGAAGAGCAGGCTCGGCTTCATGGTCGCAAGCAGGGCGCATATCCTCCTGCACCATACGCCATACAGCAACCCTATCCAAGTTCCGGGCAAATATCGGGGGCTCCCCAAAACACAGCCTCCACCTCGAGTGGCGTTGAAAGTCCGTCCCAGCCCATTACCGAGAACCCCGACGCTCAAGCCGGGACCCCAAATTCTCAAGAAGAGATCGCGGGGCGCGATCATAGTCAGGTCAACGATGGGACCAGGCCCGAGAAAACGGACGACATTGTGCAGGTCCTTCATCGTACCTCGTTTGACTCAATCTCGTCTGAATCCTCCCTGGATTCTATTGACTCGATTTCAACGACATCCGATCTGACTCCTGCTGATCTTGCCGCTGTTCGCCTACAACTGCAAGACCTGAATAACGGCAACGATCGTACCAAGTATGACGCAGCGCTTGATCTTCGACAGCAGTTGTACACGCTCCAAGAGTCAAGACGTGAAGCGAAGGTATCAGTTGTGCAGAACTGGCGTCGAAGACTCGGTCATTTCCCGGGTAATGGTACGGACAGCAGTGACTGGGGCTGCTGGGACTCGCCAGAGCAACAAGCACGTCAAGTGGCCGAGCGCCGTGCCATGAAGGACGAGGTCCGACACACTCAACAGGCTTTCCGAGATTTGGTTCTACATGCGCGAAATGAGAAGCGCAATAGAAGGTTGGCTCGACAGAACCGCCAAAGGCAGACTTCGTCAAATGCAGGGCCAGCTGTTGAACATACTAAACCACTTGAAGGGTGTATGGCAAGTCTGTCTTTAGGAAGCTCTCAATCTGCAACGACAGCATATGCCAATTCTCGAGCTGTTTCCTCTTCCATGTCGAGCCGCAGCGTGTCAACTTTGCCCAGCGAAGTCACAGAGCCCAGTGTGGGTTCTGTATCCGAAACCGCGCCTTCCAAGTCAATCGACAACAACGATATACGTAAGGAAGACACTCAAAGAGAGGAGAAGAAGAGTCGAACTCATGGCCGACTCAAAGAGATTCTAAGACCGTTGGGATCCAAAAAGCAGCCACAAGACAAACACTCAAAGAAAGCCAAGGAACCAAATAGGGACGGAGATACCACATAATGCTCGAGTCCATATTGTCTTTATTTTGCGTTGCGCATTTTTGCCGCGAAGATATCCAGCGCTTGCCATGCCTTCTGACATCATCGCCCAGGTCGACTGATCACAAAGTAAGAATACCGAGAGTTTTTGATTCGGAGAATCCGACTATTCACCTCCCAATGAAATAACATCCATGCAATTGGTCTTCGACTCGAACCCCCGATTGAGGGTCAAAGCGTCAATGCAAAATAGAAACCCGCACTTAACGCAAATTTGACATCATGGGGTATTTTCTCACACGCAACAAACATGACTCTAGGCTACTGATTATGACTGTTGGCTCTCATTCCTCTCGACGAGGTCACCAACACCCAGACCGCGACCAACCTTCACCTTGACCAATTTCTCGCCTTCCTTGCCGTCTCCCTTCTTGCCCAAGTCACCGACTTCATCTCCCTCGTCTGCGTTCTCATCACCGTCAGCCTTTTCATTCTCGCGGTCCCGCTTCTCGATGGCCTTCCAATCCAGCCATTGCTTCTGCAGATCCAATTTCATGGCGTAGGCATCCTCGCCGTCGGCGTAGTATCTGCTCTCAACCTTCTCGACTTCAAATCCCAAGGTATCGCGATAAAGACGAAGAGCGGCAGTATTGGACATGCGGACGTGCAGGGAGACGTAGTGGGCACGGTGCGACTCGGCCATCGCACGTTCTGTTTGACCAACATTAGTCATTTGAATTCATCCGAAAGACAAACGAATTGCATGGTAGGGGAAAAATTGAATCGAAACTCGGCGACCCGAAAGCTCCAATTAGCTCCGAGTCATGACCATGCGATCACAACGCATGAGGAAATTTACGGCACGGGTAGAACTCACGACTCATGCGCATCAAGCGCTCCGCAATGCCCAGTCTACGATGCGTGCCCCTCACACTCAAACTCGTGATATGGCCGTGTTGCACACCATCACTAGGCTCTTCCTCCATCTTTGCCAAAACGTACCCCACCACTTTGGGATACTGGCCGGAGATGTCGCCCGCCATACCAGGCCCAGAGCCTGATTTATATCCATTCTTGGGACGGACAACAGCCACAAAGCTCAGCTGGGGCCATGTCAGGGCGTGGTAAAGGTAGTACTTCAAGAAGTAGTTCTCGGGAAGGTTGGTGATATTGCAGGTTTGCATTGAGGGAAGAAGGTCGATGTAGGAGGGGTACGATGAGAGAGGGACAATGTCGACCATTTTGGAGGCTTGTGGGTCGTGGACCGGTCTTTCGACGAATATATGTAGGATAAACGAGTTGATTGAGTGCCCAGAGGGGATTGGACCTGGGACTGGCTTGGGAGTTGGGCAATGTGAACGAATGTGTTGGCGGACATCGCGATGACCGCGTGACATTAAGGTCATGTGACTTTGAGGTGTGGGCCATGAGGGGTTGGTGCTATTCAACCGTGCGCATCATTGCAGTAGTATCCTGTAGCCAGGAGCCAGTAGCCACATTCAGTTTTTGCTTTCTATATGGAGAAAGATCCATCAACGTTCTATTCTGGGAACGGGGAGTAAAAGCCATTCAAAATTTGTCAGTAGTCGGTAAATAAAATATGACAAACGATTTATGCGCTTGTCGATCACCTCATTGACTCTACTACTGAAGTTTGCGTTGGTACTGCCCATTGAGTTGTCGATATCGAACGCTTCGATGAGTATTACATAAATTTAGTACTGTTGTTCACATTCATAGCTGTCAATGATGCGCAATTTGAACGGTGAAATGTTCAGCAATGGGTCTTCGCAAGGTTTGTTAAAGCATGATCTAGATGATCATGACGCCAGGTTGAATTCATAACAATATGGGTATCATATAGCTAATACACATGGGTCGGGTTTTCACCGACGAGCAAACGAACGCAAACTATGTACATCTGAATTTGCGCCAAGCACGGCACCATTCCCTCCTCCCCAGTTTCTTGAATCCCCATCTCTCTTCCAGCCCACATTCTTGACAGGACCTGGACCTACTGCAACCCCTTGTGCCTGTCGAGCTCGTCCCGTCCAATCTCCAGACCGTCACCTACTCCGGCGTCTTGCCGCGGGCGAGGGACTCCTCCAACATCAGAGCGAACTCGTCGTCAGTGACATGGTACGGGGAGGCAGGAGTATCGCCGTTGGTGACTGTATTGGACTCGGCGACGGCTCGAGGCGCAGGCGCGGCCGCGCAGGTATTGCCGGTGGTCACCGTTGCTGCAACAGCGCTTTGGGCGACATCAGAAGGATGACCACCAGGAAGGGGTGCTAGCGGACCACCCAAAGCTCGGCGCACATGCTAAAAAGACGGGAATGGGGTATATTAGTAAAGCGAGCCCACAACTATATCATGAGAGTGTGGAATCTACCTGCTGTGACTGAACGAGCCGGTAGCACTCGTTCAAATTCACGTGCACGAATTTGTCACCGAGCTCCGCCTGACGCTGCGCGGAGTTCAGGCTCTTGCACATACGGCCTGCAAGAACACTGTCGTTCTCAAGACTGTTGCTATTACGCAGCCAGTCGAAGCTCTTGGCGCGCAAGCTGCGACGAAATCTGGTAAGCGGGCTAGGGTCCTGGGTCAGCGCGGGTCGGAAAAGAGAGTTTGGTCCTTGGGGGCTCACTTCTGTGTCTGAGTCCACGGTCAGATCGATGACCGGAACGTCCTTGGGAGGCACAGTTGGAGCTGCGACAGGTCGTCGCTTTTCGGGGCCAACGACCGCGTCGGCAATGGTAGCGGTCGTTGAAGAGTCGGCTGCGTGGCGGGCAGCAAGGGAAGGCGAGGCTGGCGTGGTGCATGTGGCACCAGGGAGCAGGGGGTCCGGCTGCTCAAGGGAGGTCGCAGAGCCCTGACCGCGGTGGGCGGAAAGAGTGGAGGAGGGAGTGATGAGGTCAGGTGAGGGATGCCCGGGAGGAGGTGGTGGAAGTCCCAAACTACGGCCTTCGAATGGAGACCCGCACGCATGGGAAGGTAATCTCTCAGACCTGATATCGTGTTGAGAGATCCGTGAAGGTGAGGTGATCGAAGGCGGAGAGACGGGAGAAGAGGCGGCAGAGGTGGTGACCAGTAAGCTGGACGTGGAATCCCGGGGGACGTTTAATGCCGCAGTCACCGTTGCTTCCATGGCACTACCTGAGTGAGGGGGACGCGAGACCATCATTGCTTGAAGATGATGGTAGTCCCGCAAAAGGGAATTATAGGTAGTGGCCAGGTTGGTGTATTGCCGTCTCCACTCGCCCAATTCTGTATTCGCCTTGTCCATTCGACGCCGGTGATTGGAGGCCGTCTGGCGCAATTTCTGCACCTCTGCTTCCAGCTCGTGGATTCTGAGCTGACTCGTGTGAGGGTTCACGTGCTCATAAGTACTGAGTGCAGCGCGGGCCTCATCTCGCTCAGTAGTGACCGTGTCGAGGCGTCGACGGGAACTGTCAAGGCGGCGCCGAAGGTCTTCAATCAGATCTGTTTGGGAGCCAGACTCAGATTGAAGACTTGCAGTCGACAGGGATTTGTCGACTGGGGCATAAGGGGAGATATGCTTCGACGTCGAAGAACCATGACAGAACGCCTCAACGGCTGACAATCGGTCTGAGCTTTCTTGGGTGAGACCGAATCTGCTCTGAATATCGGAGCTGAAGGTGAAGTGAGCGGAGAGTGTCTCATCATTCGCTGGAGTGGGTGAAGATCCAACCGAGATGGGCGCCGTGGAGCGGATATGACTTGACGCTCTTGACACTCCAAGCATCTCTCCCTGCGAAGTGAGTCCCCGGCTTTCGCGCCGACATCCCTTCTTAAAATTGCCTCCGAGACCTGTTTGTACCTGATCATGGCTGCGCTTTCTAGAGCTACTAGTCGATCCTGGTGAAGCTTGAGTGGCAAGTTGCTTGTAAGGTGAAGAGGCGGTGTCATATCCTAGTGGTGAGACATTGGACAAGTTACAATTCACTCGCTTGGTCGATGACTTCTCATGATCAGTCCCAAATGCTTGTTCGCTGGTACGTTTCTTCGTACTCGGGTGGGCCTGATCAGCTCGATTGGATGAAGGCGGGGCGGCAAGCTTTGAGAAGTCGGTGAATGGATCGAAGTCATCTTCCAGGCCGAAAAACGCAGCCAGGTCATTTAACTCTGTAGCATTCTTGCTGGAGTCAGGGGTAGTATCAGAGGCATTCTGGCTAAATAGAGAGCTGAAATCGTTTCCCTCTGAAGGTTGCGAGGAACTCTCGGCAAAGTCGGTGAACAATCCAGAATCCTCTCCGTCGAACAGGGAGGCGAGGTCATCTTCCTTGTTTGGGTGAGAAGGATCCAGCTGGGCAGGCTGAGATCCAGGGGAAAGTGTAAGCCCCAGATCATTAACTGGTGTGCTGATGGGATCCATGGGACGAGACTCACGGGGTTCCATATGGGGTGAGCGCTGGCGTTGATTATGCCGGTAAGACGTGGTGTCTAACAAGAAGGTGAAGAGCTCGAAAGCTTTGTTTTGAAGAGCTTTGTCGACGTGGACGACAAAAGATCGAGAGCGAGCTAGAAGAGGAATAGTAGGGTGAAGGTTTTTATTTTGAAGATGCAGAAGTGTAGAGTGAGGGATGATAATGACTAGATCAGGAAGTCTTCTTGTGGACAACTGATCCTTGTAACGAATCAAAGGTAGACAAGGAGACGGGAAGGTGATTAGTGGAGGATAATTTTGAACAGATCAAAGTCGTTTATGGAGTTGGGAAGGAAGACCGTAAAGAAGGGATGGGGAAAGACCGAAGGGTGTGAGGAGGAAAGAAAGTGCATAACGCGTAAAAGCTGTAGGAGTGAGGAAGCGTGATGTTATCAAAGATAGCCTGGTGAATGTTTGCGACGTTTTTTTTATTTAGGCGATTGCTACAGTGCAGCATTCTTCAGGCAGAATCCATGACCGCCTTCTGCCCGCTAGCCTTGTCAGTGTCACAAGTGCTAAGCCTAGATTGTACCCCGCCAGCCCTGTCGTAGAGAGAGGGGACCTTATAGCATTTCACCCTAAATTTTTCGCTCGTCAATATAAGCAGATCTTGGGCTATGTTTAATCGGTGATGCTAGTCAAACTTCAGGATCTTGAATGTTTCACATCAAATTCAATTGACTTATCCAAGTTCCTACGTAGGTTATCGTGGTTCCTTATCAGCTTTATTTTGCCCGCCTCAAACCCGTCAATGACCCCATAGTGACCCACACCAGTTCACCATCTACTCCGGTACATCAATTGTAATAGTAGCACCACTATCTACTCAGGTGCCTCTCTGTCACCGCCTTGGAGCCCCATTCCTCACGTGCGACGATCCCAGCTCTCTTTACGTCACCGCTTACGCTACCGCCCTTCGGTCCTTTGTTGTCCCGCAGTCCACTCTCTCCTCGAAGTCGTGCCTGACTGGCAGCTTGGCAAATAGAGGAGTTTCGTCGCTGCTGTGGATCCAGCTGGAATCATCTTGCTCGAACCCAGCTCTCCTCCCCATTATTCGAATCCCCACAGTGTGTTCCTCAGCCCGCCGTTCCGAGTGTCTCTCTCCCGCGCCAATTGACAATCCCAAAGCTGCAGCTCAGCCAGCTACCCTAAAACAGCCGCTACGTGAGGTTTCATATTGGAACAACCCCTCCATCACGACTCTGTTCTCTGTTATCGCCTGCTTCATTCGATTTTGGGGTTCTTGGAGACGGCCGATTGAATCGATCACTTCCGTATTCACGAATCTCAAGCTTTGGACACCCCAATTCGCCTTGAATTGATCTCCCCATTTCACTGAGCTTTCTGTGTCTCCAAACCACAGCCATTTAGAGTAGGCCAACCGCGCTACTCTTGGGGAAAGTCCCAGACTCTGGGATACTGGTCAAACTGTCTAGCGTTTCATCACATTTTGCTCAGCGATGAGCGTCATTCTCTGTACTGGTAGGTGATGGTACACTTGATGAGCTGGCTACCACTCGTTGCATCTTTTTAAAATCTGATCGCTAATCAAACGTCTTGACAGCGGGGTATGACCATACCATCCGGTAAGTACATATGAACCGCGGCTGCTCGCCAGTCTGACCTGTGTCGAATGCACAAGCTACTAGTCTTGGGTCAAAGCTGACTAGGGGAATTTCAGCTTCTGGGAGGCCCTCTCCGGAATCTGTTCCAGGACCATTCAACACCCTGATTCGCAAGTCAACCGACTGTGTATCACCCCCGACAAGAGATACTTGGCTGTCGCAGGTCACCACAATGTGAAGCTCTTCGATGCCAAGTCGAGTAATCCCCAGCCTCTGATGACCTTTGAGGGTCACACCAACAATGTGACTGGGGTCGCATTTCATTGTGAAGGCAAGTGGATGGTGACAAGTTCTGAGGACTGCTCGATCAAGGTGTGGGACGTCCGCAGCGGTAGCCTCCAACGCGACTACCGACATGACTTCCCGGTCAATGATGTGGTCATCCACCCCAATCAGGCGGAACTGATCAGTGGTGACCGTGGTGGCATGGTTCGCATATGGGATCTGGGCGAGAGCAAGTGCATTCACGAGCTGGAGCCCGAGGAAAACAGCTCAGTGACAAGCGTCAGCGTAGCCAGCGATGCGACCTTGCTGTGCGCTGGAACCAAAAAGGTCTGTACTCGGCGTTTATTGACCATGCGTTTGCTTGCGCCTCAAGCTCACTTCAATTTTAATCGCTAGGGCAATGTCTACCTCTGGCGGATGGTACAGACTGAGGACAAGGGTCTCATCATTCCCGTCGCTACTTTCTCGGCCCACCATGACTACCTGAATCGCGTTCTCCTCTCGCCCGACGTTAAGCACTTGGCCACATGCTCCGCCGATCATACTGCCAAGGTCTGGAACCTCGACCCAGACTATCCCCCGGCTAAGATCGCGTTGAAAGAGTGGAAGGAAAAACAGGACCAACAGGCCCAGGTCGACCCGACGGAGAAGACGAATGAGGTCGATTCCCTGGAAGCTAAGAGTCAAGGGCACGACCTCCTGCGCATCTTCGACCAGGACCGCCACTTGTTGCGCCTGATTGGTAAAGATCCTCGAGAGGAAACGCCCCAGCAAAAGTTCCCCGCGCAGCCTGACGGCCCGCCCATGGACCCCGCCAACAAGACCCTGTTCCTCGAGACTACTCTCGCGGGGCACCAACGATGGGTGTGGGACTGCGCATTCTCAGCCGACTCGGCCTATTTGGTGACTGTGTCAAGCGATCACTACGCTCGACTGTGGGAGCTGAGTACAGGCACTATCATTCGGCAGTACAGCGGTCACCATCGCGGTGCAGTGTGTGTGGCGCTGAATGACTACTCAGAACCTCGCTGAGAGCAGCTCGCACTCCCTTTTTGTCCTTCATGTCCCTAGGCTTTTTCAATTTGTTATTATCAAATATGCGCATCTGACTTATTTTTGATTTGGAGGGGAGGGGAGTCAATGGAACATAGCGCGGCGTTGGACGGGTTGTATGCATATTGAGGTTGCAGGCCCGTCGCTGTTTACGAATGTGGGCGCGAATGGGAAATATTCAATCTTGCGTAATTTGCCGGTTCATGTCCTGTCTGTAATCTGACCCCTTCTTGCGCCCCGAGAAAGAATCCCTCAATGTGATAACTGCTTGGTGTTCGCTCTGGCTTGCTGGTCATGGAACCAAATTGAACTGGAGCAAGTCGGTCGTTGCCGTCGAGACCAGTTTGGCGTCATGGACCAATGTTCGAAACTCAAGTCACGGGCTTTTACGGGTTTAGCTTCATTGCGTTGCAATCGCTGAATTCCAACGTGCAGCACCACCACTTTGTGTGATAATTTATATGAACAATCGAATTTCGCCTGGATATTCCAATAGTGCGTCGGTCAAAGGGGTCTCATAATACAGCGAATTGGGAGCAAATCACACAAGAAACAAGACAGGATGCTAAGTTGAGTTGACACAATGACGACATCCGTCCTCAGTGGCATAAGATCGGTCGACACTTGTGGACGCTGTGCTTCTGTTGCAAATCATCGAGGTAGCGCCGTGACATGGCCTTGTAAAGGTCGAGGGACAGGGGAGAGTCGATTCCCCTAGTTGACGGCGAACCACGTCACACTGACCACGACGTCAAGACCTCGCTCCTCAGCACCGGGGTACTTGAAGGTCCACATGCCATCACGGTTGACATCCCAGAATGCACCAGAAGCGGAGTGCATGCCGCGCTTGCCGGCATTGCTTTGCGCGCCGTCAGCTGCGGCCGTCTTGTCAATTAGGCCCTGTTGGACGATTGTGCTGTTTACCGTGAAACGGTAAGGCGCAGGCTTGTTGGCTTCGGATGGGGTAGTGGCGGTGATGAGAGCCTTGAGGATAGTGTTCTGTGGGTTCGAACATTCATCGATAAGTATTTCAGGAGATTTCATGAGACTGGTGTACAACACACGGGGGAGTAAGACTCACGATAATCTGAGAGTTCCAGGCGCCGACAAGGCTGTGCTCGTACTCGGTGGCATCTTTCAGGGCGACATCACAAGCCTATGCGGAAGGTATCTCTGTAAGCATATTTTCTCGGCCGTTGGTGTGCATACCAAATGGTATTCAGGCGAGGGATTGGCGCAGAGAGGGCTTAAAAGCCATGAGGTGAGCAGCACGTACGTCGGAGGTGATCTTGGTCAGCTCTGTGATAGGAACAGGCTAGGTAGCAACAGAGTCAGCATTGAGGATGTCGGAGAAAGAGGTCCGTCAGACATGGCTGTTCAAAGGATCTTCGCGACATGCGAATAGAGCCTCAACTCACAGGAACGGGAGCAGCCTCGACAGCCATTGCGTTTGCTCTGGTGGCTTGCTTGAACTAAGGCGATTCTGTCACGATAGCGGTTAATGAGTTTCACGCGCACGGGTATGATAGACTTTGTCGGCGCAGAATGAGGCAATCACTCAAGCGCCAATACGTCGCCGTAACGGGGTGGTAGTGCGCTGAGGAGCCTCGTTCCGGAGATAATATTGCGGGGGGGGGGGGGGGGGGTTTGGCCTTCGAGGGAAGACGAGGCCGAATTGGGGTATTCACGCGGGGAATTGGGGCAGCAAACAGTGATCGGTACTTACTTTTGGGGACCGAGACAAGGACAGAGATCTCTCAGGTTTTGGAGGGACGCACTGGGATCGAACTTGGGATGGTTGTTTTGTTTGGGGAGAGTCGTATCATGGCGGCTGGCCCGTTCAGCCCATGTGGATCTGTCATTGATGTAACACTAACACTTACCACGTGATTTAGGGAGTAGGGTATAAAGTCCACCTGACGTAGCAGATCAGCTGACAGTCATACGATTGTCAGACCACGTAGCGATAACGCTCTGGACCTTCCTACTTACGATCTTGACTTTCTATTTAATTAATTAATTAATTCTATTTTCTGGTTTCAAATTACTATTCTAAGTACGTTAAGTTGAATGGTTTGTAGTTCTATTATAAAGTGGAGTATAGCTTTTATTTTATGTTAGCCGAATTAAGAGGCTTTCGCCTCGTATTAGTAACCGGCGTAGGGGCTCTCTTAGTTATATATATATATAAACCTATTTCGTCTTATTAGTATTAGTAGCCTAGGCTCCTTAGGTTAAGGGTAGAGTCTAGGCGGGTATCTAAGAGAGGCCGGAAATGGGAAATTACTTAAGAGTACTATTTCGAGGGAGTATGATCCCGGGCCCGTAGCTACCTATTAAGGTAGCTACTTTGGTAAGGTAGCTAGACTTAATCATTAGGGAAGAGATAGCTCGTAGTAGTTAGATTAGTATAAAGACTAATTCTTAGGGATCCCTACCGGTCCCTTCCCTGGTGCCTATCTTATAGTCCTCCCTCACTATACTCTCGAGGGGATTACTCTTAACTCCCTCTTCTATCGATCGATTAATCGATCGGCTACCTAAAGAGGTAGGAAAGAGCTACTATAGAGGTTACGATCCTTCGGGTTAGAATATATAGGATAATAGGGGGGTCCGAGGCTAGGTAGGGGGGCCTAGGAGCCTAGCTTCCTAGAAGCTACGGGAGGGCCTTACTTCTAACTATTATATAGTTAGACCTAGATCGTAGGTTATAGGTTACCTAATAATTACTAGACTATAGATTACCTAATAGGATACTTTAATAAAGAGAGTCCTCTTATAACTATAATCACGGGCCTATAGCTACTTTAGGTATCCTAACCCTTCCTTTTCGCGATAAGTAGAGCTAGATAAGCTATAACCTTACCGTATAGCTCCGGTCGGTCACGTACGGACCCTTAGTCCTCTATATATATATAGTCACGCCTATAGCTATACTTAGAAGAACTATATCCTATCTACCCTCTAGATCTTATCTAGTAGTAAACCCTTATATTAGCTAATTCTCTATACTTAACTACTTAAGAGCAAAAGCTTACTTAGAACTATATTTACTAAGCTCTCGAGACTAAACGATCCCTAAAGATCTAGCTTAAATTACCGACTACTCGTAGTACTAAGTAATCCTCTCTTTACTATACTAAAAATCTTAAAAATTATACGATAGTATAAGAGAGGGCCCGAACCCTAAAAAACTCTACTCTACTGTAGTTAGTATATAGGATATCCTTCTAGAAGAGATCTAATCTACTAGTAGTTAAATAACTAGAAGTAAAATTAGAAGAGAGATATCCGATTAGAAACGAAAGCTTCCTTATTTAAATAAACTATAATCCTTATCTACTTATAGAATACCGAAGTATACGAATCTCTCCCCATAGAATTCGATATATAGGAAAACCTATATAGGACTTATTGTAACGGGCTAGAGCCCGGTAGTAAACTATTAGCTATAGCCTTCCGGATTATATTAGTAGTTAACGGCGAAAGACCGTCTTAGTGTTCTTCTGTAGAAGAATACTAGATCAGAAGGATAGATACCGCCTTTAGCAGAAAGGCCCCTATATTATTTACTACCGAAGAGGGACCGTTTCTTTCCCTCCTTAAGATTATTATAAATAGTATATTAGCCTAGTATAATTAAGTTAATTCTACTATAGCCCTTTATATATAATAATCTTCCTTCTATATTATTCAGAAGTATTATTAGTTATCGGAAAGCCCTAGGAAATACTAATTTCTAGGTATATTAGAATATCGGAATATCGTAATACTACCGAATCGCTACCGGTTAGTATACGAAATACCTAGGTATTATAGACCCCTAGAATCGATAATAGGCCCCGTCTACCTAGGCGTAGGCCTTAATATAATAGATAGAAGTAAGCTAGTATTTAGAGTAGTAGCGCGCTACCGTCTAAGATAAAAGAATTCGCTAGCTTAAAGATATATTAGCGCGATAGATAGCTAGCTTATTAACCGAAGGAAATAGTACCGAAACGATAGTAGAATCTACGCTAACCCCCGCCGAATCGATATCTACTATTATACGTAGGCCGAGGCCTCGACTCCTAGATCTACCGCTCTTTATAGGAAGCGTTAATAATTAGTTAACTTAGTAGATTATAATAGAAAATAAGCTCGCTATTAATAGTAAAGTAATTAGCTATAAATAAGATTAGTTTATATATATCTTCTTACGCTTAGAGAAGCTAATATAGAAGAATACCGGAATATATATAAAATACTTACGAGATATTACTAGTCCGGAGGATATACTTATATATCTCGAAGATATATATAGAGACCCGAATATATAGTTATAGGCCGTAAGAAGACTCTACTAAATTAAATAGATAGATAGCTAGCCTTTTACTTATTTCTTACCGAAACTCGAAAAGGAATTTATAGATATAGGAGCTATTAATTAGCCTAATAAAGCTAGAAGATAGATCCTACTAAGTACTTTAAATAAAAAGATAAGCGCTACGCTAATAAATTATAGGATTCTAGCTACCTACTTAGGACTAGTAAGTCGCCTATATAAGATTAATACCGATATAGATATCTTAAACTTAAATAGAAATAGTAAAAGTAAGCCTTTTAATCGTCGGTAGAAAGATCCGGATATAATAGACTAGACTCCTATAGTTATCGCGAACTATACCGAATTATACTAGAAATACTAGTAAAATAGAGATAACCGGAAGAAGGCGAGATAGATAAGCTCGGAAGAAATCTAATAATATAGGAATAAAGACCTATATATTTATTACGGGTAGGAGGGTTATTATATTCTAAGATACCTTTACCTCCTAGCTAATCGGCTAAGTACTAGCTATATAGTAAAGAGTACGCTAAAGAAGGATCGAAACGTTACTAATTCGAAGGTAAAGCGTAATAAGATTAAGAAAGTATAACTAGTAATAGAAAGCGAAGAGGAGAATATAGGACCCTCAGATAAAGACCTATCTATATCGAGCAAGTCGGAAAACGAGTAGCTCCTATTCTTAATCGCGAATAGGAGCAGAAGGAGGTTAAGAGACTTTTAGAGAACGAATCACTACCGTTTCTCCTAGACGTTAGAGTAAATAGAATTTAGTTTACAAAAGCCCTAGTCAACTAAGGCTACTAAAGCTATATAATAGTAAATAGAAAGCTTGTTAAATCTCTTAACCTCCCGCGTATTCGTATTCTAACGCGATCCCTAGACAGGGTCGTTATCACGGCGCGAGTCACATACGGTGACTCAAGACGATTCACGATCAAATCAACCCCGCGTCGCCTTAGGGTAATAACCCTCGAGACATCATGTGGGGTTATGGGGACTCGGTACACGGGAACCCCATGTATATATTATGGTAACTAGTGAAGTCTACCCGGACTCCAAGATTCAGTCTTTGAAATCAGACCCCATAGACTTGGACTCTCTGCCTAGCCAACAGGCTCTCTGTCCTGCGATACAGACCCCTTAACAAGAATAGTAGTAGACTTAGAAGATTTAATAATATTTATAACCTAATATAGGACTTTTAAGTATAAGATTATACTATTTAGGTTATATAGTAGTCCTATCTCCTTCTAGTAGTATATTAATTAGGTACTTAGGGATCTCTTAGATATTATTACTATTATATTTATAGATAATATCTTAATCTTTAGTAAGGATCCCGAGAAGTATATTAAATATATTTATACTATAATCTAATAGTTATAAGCTACTAGTCTTTAAGTAGCTATCTATAAATATAAGTTTAACCGAACCGAGACTAAGTTCTTAGGTTATATTATAGGAATAGATAGAGTAAGGACCGATCTAGAGAAGATTAAGGCTATTTATAAATAGTAAACTATAATCATAGTTAAACAGATTTAATCTTTCCTTAGTTTTCTATAACTTCTACTAATATTTATTATAGCTTATAGTTATATTATAAAGCTACTATACTAGCTTATAAGAAAGGATTATCTATTTATATAGAATAAGGATTATATAAGGGCTTTCTAGTAACTTAAGACTACTATCTCTTTACCGCTTATCCTATTATACTACTATCTAGAGTAGGAAATAAGACTAGAAATAGATCTCTTAAAGGATATTATTATAGGAGTACTATTCTAGAAGTAGAATAGAAGATAGTATCCTATTAGATTTTTCTCGAAGATTATATTACCTAGAAAGCGGAGGTAGGATATCTATAACTAGGGAATACTAGCGATTATAGAGAGTATAGATAACTAGTAGACTATGCTATTAGGACTATAATATAAAGAAAGATTTAAGATCCTAATAGATTATTAGGTATTAGAATACTTTATATTATTAAAACTCCTAAATATCTATTAAGTATACTAGGAACTAAAGCTTTCTTAGTACTATTTTATAATCTACTACCGACTAGATTAATAGAATACTTTTATAGATATATTAACTTACTTCTAGATT